TATATTCAATGTATCTTGAAATTGTTGGCAATATTCTCAAAAGCTGATAATTTAGTATAAACGAGTTTCAATTTGGCACCATTAAAACGTTAGCGTGCAATCCTATTCCATCTTAAAACTATCTTTACTAATACTAAATGTCCCTATTGCTATAAAATTATTTTACTATAATGGAATTTCAATCCGTCATTAAATTAGAGTAATCATAATAAACTCTTCTAGATCTGATAATGTCATATTCTGTCTTAAATTAACCTTCATAATACGAAGTCTGAATTACTCTCTTTAGAAACAAAGGTAACTGTATTATCCTATTCCATCTTGATACTATTGATAATATCATTTAATACTGATACTTTACTGTCCAAGAAATTGTATTTGCTGTGATTTTAAATCAGCATCATCGCACTCTCCTATTCTACCTTCTACCTTCAAATCTTGTTATTGTACATATCAAAGGATTTCAATTTGCTACATTTCAAAATCAGTATTATCGCATGGTCTTATTTTACCTTGCAACTATCGGTAATAATATGATCCAATGCTGATATTTTACTATCCAAGAAATCTAATTTACTATAGTTGCAAATTAGTGTCATCGTCTTATTTTTTATTCTCCTTGAAACTATCGGTGGCATCATTCCATAATGAGAGTTTACTATGGAAGAAATTGAATTTACTGCGATTGTAAATAAGCTTAATCGTACGGATCCATTCCATCCTGAAACTGTGACCAATACTGTATCATCCAATGCTGATATTGTAAAACTAAAGGGTTTGAATTTACGATCATTCAGAAATAGAGCTATCATACTATCCTATTCTATCTTGCAACGATCCATAAATCATCATCGCATATTTGGTACTATTTACGCTTTTCTATTCAGGGTAAACAATAACGTAGACAATACATCATTATTAATGTAGTCGAGAGTACAATATCAATCTCTATAGATTGTCTGCCATTTTGTCTACACGGTAGCCTAAGTTCTACTGTAATACGGCATTCAAATATCATAATTATTTCATACTGTCTTCAAGCTATTCACTATTATATGATTAGTATCATAACAGGACTACACAATTACGAAAGATTTCTATTCCACTTTGTCATGATGTACTTACACTTTGATAAATGACGCAGCATTGCAGATAAAATGCAAGGATTTGGTAAAGAAGAAGCGATATTTCAAATAGTACCGATGATAGCTGGCTACCAAGAGAGACCGGTTGATGTTTAATAGCTTCGATTGTTGCAAATCGAATGGAGGTGTTGTCTCCATCCTGACTGCTATTAGGCTTGTTGACTAAGGGTGGATTTCCATTATTGACATCCATTTCACCACTACATTTAATCAGATAGAGAGGGATGATTATGTATCTATATCGTTACCTTAGTTTTTTTGATACAGCAACTAAAGCATAAATAATAAACAACAAACTCCAACTGGAGTGATCGAAATCTAAAATTAGACATTAATCATAATAGAAAATAATCTCATGTCGATAAATACTAAAGAAGGGTTATTTCTTTCTCATTCATGTAATTATTTTACTTGAACCGGAAGGCCTATTCCCTAAAGATGGTTGATTTTAATTTCATATTAATAACTCATTTCCATAAAATACGCGTCCATTCAATCATTTTAGATATCGTGTGGTTATTATGGCAACCGACTTGAATAGAATCGTATCTCGGCTATTTGACAGTATAATCTTTATGCTTAACGGCCATTGAAATAAAATGTTCTACTGCGACTTTTCAAATTGATATAGAGAATCGAAAATTGACTGGTAGTACAGTTGTGTGGATTAGTTAGCAACATAGGGTATAATCATCACAGGATGTTTTATTAAGAAATACAGTATTACAAATGAACGTCGAGATAACCTGCATATCATATCTATTGATACCTAATAAAACTAGACAGCTATCTCCACGCTTAGATCGAAGGAAGCATGTCTTATCCTACGTGATAAACACCATTATTGATAACGGGATTGAAGGCTGATGATTTTCATCGATCAAGAGTTCAGGCAGTGATAATAATCCACTACATTTGTGCGATCGGAAATGTTTTCTATCGCTTGTAAAATAAGAACTGTATGAGATAAGTTAAGATATGCAAAGTCTGCAGATGGCATCATTTGCTAAGTTCGCAAAAGCCCGTACGACAGGAGCTTGGTAAAAGAAAAAGGGACAAGGATGTCTTTGACGTGTTGCTTATAGTACTATAATGTCAATAAAACAGAAGTATTGACGATGATGTCCAGCGATGGAATGAATTCTTATTTGGAAGTAGAGGCGCAGATGAAAGAAAAGATTTGTTGGCAACAGCATGATCCACTATCGATTGGGATGCATCAAATATGAGGCTGTAAAATCTTTCAGTGATGAAATCGAGTGGACGCGTAGAACTAATTGGTGAAAATGCGCGTAAAATAAATCTATTCAGTGTAGAAGTGTTGGACATTTGCTATCGATTGAACGGATCAGAGTCATTACTGTATTTCCCAAAATATGATGGTGAAAGTTTGGTAGAGGGAGGAAATCATTCGCGACTGGGTTGTGAGGTATGCGTTGGGGGATAGCTGAAGAGTGTATAAAAAATGTTTTACTCCTCTAATGGTATGGACAGTAATAATCCAGTAAGCCTAGGCAAAAATACAAGTATAGAAACATTTGGCATTAAGTGCAGATCATAGCCATCATCATTGATCCTGATTACTAGTGACTGTAATCCATGATTGCAGTCAAGCCGAGGCGAAAGAAATTCTGTGTTGGCGACTACAGTACTGTAAGTTGTTGGCTAACAACTTGAGATGAATCAATGGCAATCCCCCCAAAACTTTGACCCTACCAAACGATACTATTGACAGTATACATAGTATTTAATAGGTTTCTAGGCATAGGCAAGGATGAAATGAATTGACGTCTGTGTTGTGTAGACGCAATGGGGACGTTTATAGTACAGATTGATTATAATTGGATTCTTTTTTGGTTGCTGGACGAAATAGTCATCCAAATTCAACATGTCCGAGAGGCAAGAAGGATAAAAAACAACATGAAAAGATAGCCTACAGTATAATCTATCCAACTATCCAAATGCTATTATGATCATTTATGAAGAATCTATATCGTAGGCAATCTTTCCAATCGTAACGTCGAATAATGTGAAGGATTGGATTGTAGGACTGATCATCGGCCATCGTCAAGGTGGATGACAAGATCAAGGAAGAAGAAATGGAGCAATACGATGGCAATAACTTACGTTATCAATGATTGAATTTCAACATTATCCGATGGTTGCTTCTGGTGATTTCTTTCATCGGTACACCGATCAGGTTGTATAGTCGATTTACGATGGGATTGCTTGCCATTACTGCTGAATGGAGCATGATTATGTCGATATGGTCGATGTTTAGAAGGCATAGTTGATCTTGTAGTCAACACATTGGATCGTTATTGATCAGCAAGAATACGCGCAACATCAACGCTAACACTCTATTCTACATTGATCTGAACAACGTAGTTTGAGTACAAGTTGTATTGAGCAACACAATCAGTTCCAATTCTGTCTTAAGAAGCTTTAAAAAGCAATCAATTGCCAACCAAGCTCGTCGATGAGTAGATTAATCGTCTCAATTTGCAGTGCAAATCTCCACAGCAGCAGCCATCTCCAAGCTGGAGCAACGGATGGTTTCTGGCCGGGATAGTCAGCGCTGGACTCTCCATAGGGTACTATCTCATGGTAGACTATTTCAGCCTAGAACGAGTATAGACGACAAGTTTGGCTTCGGGTTTTCGTATAGGAATAGGCTATCCTCTGCACTGTAGGCGAATTTAGTTTAACTACGCATACATTCGCTATGGACAGAGTTTACAGTATAGGCAAGCCGACATGACAACGTGGACAGTATTAGAAATGGCTGTAGGCTGCCCTTGAGCATGCCATACTAGACACTATATCACTACGCGTACCCCCGATAGAACTCTAGGGATTACACTAGAAACGATCGTATTCCAATACAGTACTGCAAGTAGTAGAGTGTACGTGAGCCTTGTACAGTGTACAGTACCTCTACTACAGTCCAAGACTACCAAACACAGTGTATTGTACTGTAGCCAAATGAAAAGAAAATCGCCAATCGTGCCTCAAGGTCAAATCTTGTCTTGATGTCCAGCTGTCTGCGCCAGCAAGTCGCAAAATGGCCACACATCGAGTTAACCCAGGCTAAAGAAAGTGATGGATCGATCAATTATGGAGCAGTTTTGATAGCGTCCACTCAAGAGAATCCGATATTATACAGTCTAGTCTTGTTAGAGTCTGCAATACACAGTAAGTAACGGCTATAAATGAACGAGATTCTACTCGCTTCAAATGTGAAGTACTATCTCCTACTTGCGCTTGGATCCAAATCAACAAGTCGCTGGTCTATCTTTCCATTATAAAATTATACTAAAATTAAGACGCTTGCTAATTTAACTTTATCTTTTTACTACTCTCCATTTTAATGAACTCAACCAGGTGATATTATTTCAGATCAACTTCATAATTTTTGATGCAAAGGCGAAAGTATCCATTCAATTTACCTCATCTTCAGAACAACTGAATTCACCTTCTCTGCTTTTCCTTTCAACTAACAGCAAGTCTGCATTGGATCAATTCATTCTTGCATACCATAATTTACAAACCCCATCCAACTGCAATCTTCTATCGATCCAATAGTCGACACTAATATAAAGATGCAAACACATGATATCGTTTACCTCAACAATAATTGATATTGGAATTGGTTAGCCTACTTCGCCTAGTTTACTCTCTCGGGAGCTAACTGACCTCAGCCTGCTTCGTTCATTAATGAACAATTTGTATGAAAACGAAAACTGTTTTTCTTTTCATTGCATCAACAACACTACATTTATTAATACTTCCATACGCCTTGCAATGCAACTCAAATTACTCAATACTGTATCGTAGTCGTGATATGCTTCTATCATGAATGTATCTCCAAAGAGGATTGAAACTTTTAAATGGTCATTAGCGCCTGTATCACATAATGACGTAATTAAAGCGTCGTCTGTAAAGGATGAGAAATACCATCAAGCTTTATTGATCATCAACGTTAACGATAGCTTATACATTGGCACACCGACGCAACTTTTGGTGAGCTTGATATTTTATAAAATACTATTTGTATAAATTTATCAATATATATCTATAACAGTATTAAGTTATCAATAGTCAAAATCGATTGGTGTAGTGTTATTCAGTAAGTCGCAAACACTTTCAATCATGGCTGATTCATATTTGCTTTCACCGATGTTTACCTATACTCTATGTATGCATACTCATGCTTGTAGTAACTCAATATCGGTTATGATTGAACCACGCTCACTAAAGAGACTACGATGCTACTGAACGGTATTTAGTTCTTGAATAGTGCATAACGAAAATCGCCTATAACTTGGCTATAAGGCGGTTAATTAATTCTTTTAAGATCAAGATATGTCGATGCAATAACCTATCTTACTAATCTATAGCAATGATATTATCATCATTACAAATATAGCAAATTAATCAACTGTCATCGACGCTAGAGCAGTGGATAACATCAATCTTAAAAATGATATTTCAAATAATGCTGCTAAAAACTAACGAAACGTTGAAGAAGTTATTGGCTATTTAATTTAGTTTAATATACAATAGCTAAAGGCTAAAATGGAAATAGTTGATCCTTCCTGCAATCTTAATTTGTATCTAAATACCAGTATATTAAATATCTTTAATCTACTTGGGGCTATACTATCATATACAGGCAGCATGTAGAGGAAGCTTGCATCGGCCCACTATATTTTTAAGTTAAAAAATGACACTGTAATGTAAATTGTTTGATATTTTACAAGCTGGCAGGGTAGGTTACTCTAACTTACTACAAAGTCTTATTCGAGACTTTAACCTCAAACTCCTATTACTTTCTATAGCTAATTTGCAAATTTCCTGATGTCATCCAAGCATTCAGTATACTCAATACAGGGCTACAAGTACTTCTGGTTAATGATACCAACGGAAAGCTTTGGTCGATCAGCTATGATATCCTAATGGATAAAATAGATAATGCTGGCAAAAGGTATCTTTCTTCTCTTGGGAAACTCATATTGATATAATGACCCAATTGATCTTTTACAATGCATACCGGTACCTTTACTTATTAAATTAACTCAATTATAGGAAAAGAACAGATATGGATGCCAACAATGATGGACAACACAATCCTATTGCACGCTATCATCATCCCGTACAATGGGATTCTACAGGACTTCCTAAAGAACATCAAAGAAATGACAATATCAAAATTTTAACAGTAGCAGAGTTGGATGCTAAAATTATATTGTCTACGAATTGCTCCGTAAATACAATATTTTTCCATCAATATTGGGCTACTTATGGTGCAATCACCAATCCATATTTGCTAAAAATTTTCCAGATAATGCCTTCCATGGAAAAAAATTCCGTTTATTTACAATTTATAACTGATACTGAACTGATTGATAATAGTAAGAAAGATGAAAATTCAGCAACAGATTTAGTTGTACAAAGTTTCTATCCATCAGATTTTAAGGAAATGTGCTATGGAAATTGTATTAATTGCAAAATTGATCGAAGCCTATTTATCAATATTTTCGGCTTAGACGCGATGTTGGCCAAATCGTACGGTTTTATGTACGGTAGTATTGATGGTAAGATTCGTATATACTCATGCAACATGCAAAATTTTCCAAAGACAGCAGAAATCTTTTATGATTTGTGTGAGGAACCAAAAGCGATTACGTCTGTTCGAATTCCGATCACAAATGTTAACGGTAATCAGAGTGTGGTCAATAATGCAATACTTTTACTGGGTATTCAAGGAAAGTTAATAATTGCATGCCGTGGTATAATTGGCAATGATACGATTGGCCTTGTATTTAGGCAGTATAATCTCTTTGGTCCAGTAACTTCGCAATGCTTATTTCAAGATGAACATGGTACTAGCTCGCTACTGTATGCTTCTACAAATGATCTTCGTCTTGTTCGATTTAATAGTAATACAGAAACTACAGGTGAGAGAAACAGAATATTCGTACAAGCATTAAGCTCGATAGAAAGTAATGAAACTTTATCAATAAATTCGGGCTTCGTTAATATTACTTGAATTAGTGACATTTTCATAATTCAATATTGGCTGCTATAATGTAGTGCTACCTGCAACTATTTAAAAAGTAATTGTGCATAATTTCGATTTCAGATATATCCCACATATATTGCATTAACATTTTGAAATTAATGTAACTAATAAAAAATAATTTACTATTTATCAATCGCAGCTATATCTCATAATGAAAGTAATAAATCAGATAACACTGATGAGGATGCAGAAAAATTTAAGAATCAATTGGATTCCTTACCAGTGCTGCCTCAGGTACTACATCCAGTCAGTGAAAGAATTGATCATATTCTCTCCATACTACCTTTCATATGTGAAAATGAAAAAGACGTTGGTTTTGTAGCAATCAAGTCTACTGGACAGATAATAAAATTTGGCTTGTCTATATTTATGAAGAAAAGCAATTTGGAAAAAAGCGATTTAAATCCTCAATTGGAAATTTCGAAAAGACTAAATCAGCTGACAAATCTAAATAATTTAAAGACAGAATTAGTGTCTGCAATATCAGCTTGTAATAATAGAACCAAGTTCTTTAACAATGTTGCTTATCAATATCATAGGATCAACAGATGCAAGCAGTTAAACGATTTCCAACTCAAAATAGGTATACACGTTGAATATAATTCTTTTGATAGTTTATCAAATCAGAGTGGAGCACTCGTAATTCGTATGATAGACGATATCGGTTTGATAAACTCTAGCTACTCTCTACTCGTTCTTGTTTCTGGTTATACGCACCGATCAGGCAAGTTATGTAAAGACATCGCATCCTTTTCGTACCCTTTACGAGATCGACCCCCTACGCGAATGACATTCAATATACCGTTCAAGCGTTTACTTGGGAATGTTATCACCTTATCTGGATATTCTGAAATTAACTTTAATATCCTATTTACATTGACAGTGGAATGTTTGCTATGCTTAAACTCTTCAGTAACCTCAAATGGAGGAGATTCATCCCAATTTTTAAAGAAGGGAAGTCATAAAATGCTGCAGCTTTCTTCGTGTATCACTATATCTCAACGCATTATTGACAGTTTATACTTTGTTACTGGATCATTTATTGGTAGAAAACCACCTTTAAAGTTGATGCACCAACGATTAGGCATGAACATGTATGATCTTATACCAATTTCTATGAACTTTGAAGGAACTATGATGTTACTGAAACGGATTCTTTATGATAAAAAGAATTATAATCCAGTGCCGAATGTTTCCGAAAGTAATATTACCAATCAAGTAGAATGGAAAAATATAAGTCTACAAATCAAATTAATAACAAATGAACCTGTGGATTTGCCTACATTTCGTGATCAAATTCTTCATAATATATTAAATAAGAATTCTGATTGTATAAATCACTATGATCAAGAAGCGAATGAAATATCCTTAGTATTCTTTGATGAATTACAAGTTGCAATAAGGTGCAGTAGGTTATAGTGATTTAGAATATTCATTAATACTATTATTAACCTATAATATTGATGATCAAATTGAAGAAATTTCTTTTTTTGGTTCTATAATTTTAAATCATAATGAAATAGAATAATATTAGAGAAATCCAATTCAGAAATTCCTAGCGATGAAGAAAATCGTGGAAATAATAGTCAAGTTATTTCAAGTATAACTCTTCATATCTCATCCATGTCTGTACCTACTTTATTATCTGTTTACTGTACTATTTCAAGAAGATTGCAGGTATATTTTAATAAAATATCTTCCAATATGTCATACGCTAATGTCATCGAAAGGAATATAAACTTTTCTCTAAGATGTACTATTCTACTTAGGAAATTTTACGAGCTTCATTTCAGAAGCCATTTACGCTATCGACGGAAATTACCAAGTTTAACCGACGGGTATGATTTAAGGCTTATGTACTGATAATGTACTGCTATAACTTCTAACTTTTGCAATCGTATAAAGTCAAGAAAGTAACATGTACAATACACGCATATTGAAATTATTATAGGTCACGAGCTGCCGTTTTTAAAATTGTTGTGATTAGTCTACCTACCCAATCAATTTTTCTATTGAAAATTTTTTAACCGTTACATTGTTTCCACTATTTATAGATGTTACAAGCCGACCTTCATAACATTCGAGACCAAGTTTGTCGTCTAAATTATTTATCAAGCATAGAAGAAGAGCTTTTACAGTCAACAAAGCTTTTGTCAGTAATGTCTTGTATCACAGATTTGCAAATCAAAATCGGAAATATCACAACTATAGTTGCTTCCGAGATATAAATTTATTTAAGAAAATTTTTATTGCATCACGAATGCTAAGTTTGAATTGAGTATCATTATCTCTGTTTTTGTTAATAAATGCATATGAGCTTATATTTACGTACATAGTCTGTAGATACAATAAAAATCTAAGATTGAGAGATATAATGGTATTTAAATGTTAAATTTTCGAAATTTTCATGCATTGATTCTTCGCAGCTTATCAATAGACTACAGGTAAAAATACGATATCATTTTACGTTAATGCCTTCTACCATACGTATGTAAATAGACATATACATTCATTATCGATACAACTCGACTATAATGCAAACCAAAGAAGGAAATGACTACTATTAGTAGTCTAGGCATATTCTAGCATAATCTAAAGGGCTAAATACTATTGCTTAATAGCGTCAGAGATAGACATAGAACTACAATTCACCCACCAAACATCAAAGTAGCATGGTGCACTCATTTTAAGGATAACATCAATTAATTTACGCCGATAATAAGGAGTTATTAAAAATAATTAGTACTAAACCTACAATGCAGTTGAAAATAGTACAGTCAATTCACGATACAGATATTAATCTAAAACATCTAGATATTAATAGTAATTAAGCCTCAATAGAAATTGCTATAGTAATGATGTTCTGATATGTGAAGTAATTGAGACTTTTTGATCAAGTCTAGCCTCAGATCGTAATTCGATGCGAAGTCAAAGAAGGCTTTTAAATATGAGATCGATACATACATTTTACGTCATACAATCTTAATATCTTTATACGTTCCTCTAGTCATTTAATTCAACTTAAAACTTATCAGGAACACCCAGAATTTGAATTGTATTAATCACTTCTGGTATCCCGTGAAACCATAATCGTATTGTACACCTTGAGATGGTTGCTGATTGTAATAAGTACCATACGATTGTTGTTGTCCCGGTGCCGGCGGTGGTTGTTGTCCAGGTGCATTATAGACGGCATCAGTATTTTGAAAGTTCGGATTAGGATAAACCATCGCGTAAGATGCATTGGGCTGAGAAGTACCTGTGGTCGCCTGTTTTGCAGCATCAGTATTACCGTAAACTGGTTGCTTAGATTGTGGTGGCTGTTGTTGAACACCGCTGTAAGTTGACAAATTTTGTACTGGGGGCTGTTGCTGAGACGTTGGGTATTGATTATAGTTTATCTTTTGCTGGGACTGTGGTAACGACGCATATGTCTGAGTTTGAATAGGTGCACTACTAGAATTTACCTGCGTTGTTATTCCAGTTTGAGCAGTGCTACTTGCTGAAGCTAAAGTTATTTAAAGAGCGATATCAATCATTTAGAATAAAATTATTAATTTATGAATAATATTGTTTACTAACACATAGAAAATGTTGATCCTCTTCCAGACGCTTGATTTTTTTCTAAATTTTCGTTGCTGTTTGCTCTCAATGGATCGAACATGGCGGTTTGAGTAACGTTTGTGTTGACAGGCTGAGTTTGCGATTTAGTGTTTGCGTTGGAACTTTCAGCTGTAATATTATCAACATAAATGTCACAAATATTTTATTAGCTTGGAAAATGGCTGACATAACTGACTTCAATGATATAATAACTATAATCGAAGCCAATATAGAGTTGTAAGACTTTGTATCATACTCGCTAATTTTAATACAGAGGATTAACCGCTAATTCAATCAAAATAGTATACACGTCTATAGCCAACTGAAAATACCTTTTATAATTTTGCTATCGACGTTATTCTCTTCCTCTTGCTTTTTACCAAAGCCACCGGCTCTTTTTACCGTATCCAATGTGTCCAGTTTATCCAATAGTTTGTTTACTGTATCTCTGACCTGAGATAGTTCTTTTTTTAAATACTTAACAGTATCACTTTCTAAAGGTCTTGGTTTACCATTAACTGTTGTATAGAGATAATAAGAAATTAATAAATTATTCAATTTCATACTGCAGTTAGTCAAGAGCTCTAAATATCCAGTTAAGTTGGGTTTACAACAATACAGAATAGGTTCTAATTAGTTAATACTCTAGTACAACAAAATAGTATAAGTAGAATACCACTACTATACAATATTTATATTTTGTATTAAGCTGTAAAATTTGAAACGTACAGTAGATCAATATCTCCAGAAAGAACAGGCAAGTCTACTTACCAAAGAGAGTGACTTTAAGAACACGTTTGCTGTACTGCTTAGCAAAGGATAAGTCTGAACTATCAAAAATGGTAATTAAATCACCATCTATAAATAAGGATAAATATTGATTGATTAGCAAGGCAGACAGTATTTATTTTGCAAAAGCATGAAATCGAAATATGATGCGACTAAATTAGCTTCTGTTACGGCATAATGTCACACCGCTTGACAAGATGTCATTAGTAATAATAACCCATCATTACAACCAATGAAATTGATTTACAGTATAAGTAGCCAGGTATATTGTATATATACTGAAATGTATGAATATACGAATAAACTGTATTATACTCGTATTACTCCTTTCTTAATAAAATTATAATCGAAACTATTAACATTAATTTTCCGTTTCATTCATGCAGTATCCTGTTAAAAGCGTGCTTCTGCCTAGTCGCAATACATTGTCTATCATTTTTAATTCATATCCTATCTCATAGAGTTATTACCTGAAAATAGGACATCATTATAACGTTATAGAGTAATACAGTACTGTATTGCCGAAACTTTGTAACTGACTCCAATATACATCCATTAATATAGTATTCAGGCCCCTTAACCATACAGTAAATCATCAACTTTTCAATGTCAAACTATATCGAAGTCGTAGTACATGTTATCTAACCAGTTAGAGATACACTGCAGTATATTAACAGTATGTAATCGAGCTCTAAGGGTTAGTAAGGTCAAAAATATCCGAAATCGGAATTAGAATTACAAATTTGCAGCATCTGGCAATCGCTTGGTCTTTCGTGATTTCATAGCTGTAATTCAATTGTCTGAAAGGGTAGTAAAAGCTCATCTGTTCGATGATCTACAACGCTATCAACCCTACTGGACTATACCCCGTAGAACTTGTCGTGAGACATCTTGTAACTTTAGTGGAGTAGTGACCATTATCTTCAACATTATCTTGCTGCAACCAAATAGTACCATGCTAGTATCAGTGCTATTTTTGAAGAAATTGTATAGCTTATGTGTATATTTAGTGCTACTTAGAGACAGGACAGTAATCAAAATGGGGATAATCAATAATTATATATATACACTACAGAATCATCTTAGTTGGGTGAAAGCTGATTCAATTTGTAGTCAACCTAATATTTAGTATCCCTTTAGCATTTAAAGTCAACTTTCTGTCTACGATTGCTTACAATAGTAAACGTACTGTCTATACATTGATCTTTAAGTATCTATTCAACTGTCCTAATAAACTGCTATATTTCATAAACGAGCGTTACCACGATAGCAGCACTCAATTTATTACTGTATTCTTTCTTTCATTAATAATACGATACGTGAACTCACACTTCATATATTTGATGCACTACCATAAGCTTAATTATGATTTATCTTTCAGTCAATATCATCCATCATGGATCATGGATGATATTGACGAATCACAAATCACCATGGATAACTTTTGATCTAAGTTGATTGTATGATAATGATTCTTCATTGTGATCATGAAATAAGCTTGATTACTTGATGCTTACAGTGATGAAGGTAATCGGTGTACGCTTACGATGCAAGATATTTTTTATTATTTCAGCAGTTACTAGGTCGTCCATTCTGGTTTTTTAGCATGGAATAATTGTAAGCATTTGGAAGACAAGTGATTATCAATCTAAGTACGTTTTTCAATATAGGTTGGATATCTCTCCTTCTTCTGGTCGATCGGTATCAACGGGTTAATAAGTTAAAGATGACATCATGGTTGATCAGCATGAAATATTTCAAAGTCAGAGAGATTGTATTGGCTACTCATCGTCCAAAGAAAGCCAGAGACAAATGCTACTAAATACATTTTCAATATGGGTTGGATACATTCCCTTCTCCTGGTCGATCGGTATCAACAGATTAACAAGTTAAAGATGACATCATGGTTGATCAGCATGAAACATTTCAAAAGTCAGAAAGATGGTATTGGCTACTCATCGTCCAAAGAAAGCCAACGACAAATACTACTAAGTACGTTTTCAATATAGGTTGGATATCTGGTGTTATTTTGGTCGATCGGTGTCAACGGGTTTGATCAGCATGAAATATTTCAAAGTCAGAAAGATTGTATTGGCTAGTCATTGTCCAATACTGCAATCAAAGCCAAGGACAAATGCTCCTCGTACTCACTACCAGTAGTCTTATTTCTACAAGGAAAACTGATTGAAATTGGAGTAAATCAACAGCATCCATCGTCTAGCGATGACTCACCTTCATCACGATATTTGATGACAACTTCATCCGATGTGCCCAGTTTACCACGAAAGACGCGCTGCATCATCAGTAGCAATTCATCATAGGTAATATCCTCATTATGAATTGGAAACATGCGTACATCTTCACCCAAGCGTGCCTTAATTAATAGCTTACCGCTTAAATCAATTTGTGAGAAATTGGTATCCAATTTCATGATATCGGCATGATTCAAATTCATGGCTGGTTGTCTAAACTAAAGCAATGATTCCTTCCAGTTAATCAATCCAGTCGTTGCAGCGTCTTGCCTTGATGCTTTCTTGTCCAAGAGTTGGCTTGAAAACATTCAGCGTTGCTTCTCTTCCTCTTCTACTCTATGCCACAGTATAGACGTGCAAGTCTTTTCCATGATAGTCTATAGCATACTGTACAGCGGACAGGGTGACAGACTGACAAGACACCACAGTACTGGACGGACCACATAATGACGCCATAAAATGATGTCACCACAAGTACGAGACATAGTTCGGTCCCGGACCGAGACGTAAACATGGACCACTTGAAACTGGACTGGACACTCTCCTCTAATGTCCAGCCAGGTCTTCTTTTTAGTAGACCCCACTCACCCTTACCCTGTGACGTACATAGTACAGTACTGTACTGCTACTGTTACAGTAGTACAGCGATAGTTACACTGTATCAAATTGTACAAATCACTCAATGATTCGAATAGGGAGCTGCCGACAGACTCAAAGCCTGAAAACGTGTTATGGCCGACTGACTCAGTCAGTCAGTCAGTTAGTCTGTAACCGTAGACGATGATCTGTTTAGCGTTTAGTACAACAGCACACGCACACTCGTACAGCACCAGCCCCAAAAAACTTGGGCCGAAGCAATTCAATGAAAAATCGATTGCAGAATTGCATACAAGCAAATATTATTTCATCGTCCTACAAACGCAATAGCTTACCAAGGAGAATTCATCGAATACAAGCGTCAAAATGAGTGACTGGAACGAAATTCAACGTTTAGCTGCTGATTTTCAACGCATTCAGTTGACAGCTAGCGCTCATCAACTTTCGGAAAGAAATTGTATCGAAATAATAACCAAATTGATTGCAATGAACAAGGTCCAAGTGATGTATACCATTGATGGCAAAGAATATCTTACACCGCAGCAATTAGAACGAGAAATAAGAGATGAATTATTTGTCCATAGCGGTAAGGATAGTAGTAAAGTAACTGAAAAATCCATTCCAATCACAGTACATTATCATGCAATCGATGACAGTCAAGAGAGGAAGCGGATTAAAATCAGACTCTGTAATTAATCGACATTTTCATCATCCATTATTGTAGGGCGTATCAATTTGGTAGAGTTACAACAGGTAAATAAATTTACTTGATATTCTTGGTACTGTTTCTTACTAAATACATGCTAATTCATGCTCGCTTTCATTTTTACTTTACATGCTGTATGGATTGTTACAGAATCAGTATACCTTGACTGAAAAATTGCATTTCTTAAGTAGTGCAATGTACGGATCAATGATAGCCTTTCAATCCAGTTATTTTATAAAATTATACTTACGCCTATCGTTCATCAGTCCATATGCATCGAAATCTACAATGCAATAAATACAATTTAGAGTACAGTAGTAGGGTTAATTTTACTTTTATGTAATAGGTACAAAGTAAAAAATAACAAGAAGCATATTTATTCTCCTACAGTGTAATAAATTACAAATCTCAATGATAAAGCTTACTTCCCCTGATGAATAACCTAGCATGCACGACCCCACGATCAGTTGAGGGTGCCTACGACTCGTACCTACCATAATTAGTCTACTTAAAGTCGGTGCTGTAGTGCTGCAGAATACTCTTAGGCCAATTTTATGATTGAACGAAATATCAAATACAACAGTCATTACAAGTAACAAGTAGGATGTGATGATAAGTCGCATAGGGATTGATTCATTAACCCTACATTGCGGTATATGCGTATACGTGAATACGTATTTATGTCAATACACTCCATACGCATTTATTTTATGCAATAACGTGTCTCTCTCATGTCTCATTTCCGTCTACGTCTGATGTAAAAATGCAACTCCCTTTATAGTAATCAATACCAGTTTACCCAAGATAAGATGGCTATTGTAACGAGTGAATGTCTTTTTAGGTTATAAATGTGGATCTAACTCATATCGATAGCAAAGTCAAAGAAATGTTAAGAGGCGATCGAAGTTTATACTTGATACAAGGAGACTTAATCGATAGGTACAGTAATTGATATCAAAGCATTTTAATCCATTCACTTTAGCTTCATATTGTTAATACTACCAGTGTAGCGTTAATTTCAAACTATTTTATCCTACTAAAGTCAGATAAATAGTACCGCAACTTACTAATAGAATTTGATCATTACATCACTTGTAACAACTTCATCAATTATATAGTTCGAAAATCTTCCAGCAATAAATAATGCCATATTATCAATACTATAGACATTAATGTAGTAAATGCTCTTGACATCAATCTATTTAGGGATTATATAGATAGGTTGGCCGAAGAAATTAATGATATTCTGCAAGAATCCGGTCAAATTTCTGTATCTGAATTGGGAAAGACATTTAATTTACCTACAGACTTTTTACAAACGGTAATTGCTGCAGTTATAAATTTTTTGTATCTTGTGTCAATTTATAAGACGGCCATTTATTTAATTTAACTACATTAGAATATTGAAAAAAGAATGGGAATTTACATACATGGACAAGTGAATCCGTTAGAACGTGGTACGATATATACTGAAGCATATGTGGCACGCCATGCAGCCAAAATTCGTGGGGTCTTCAGCGCTATAACTAGGTTTGTACATGCATCTATACAATCGGTTAGAGTATAGTATGTACACTGAGATAAGTATTGACTGACTCTAAGTAACAGAATGGCTGATTATATTCAATTGCTTCAGTTTCTCCATCTTTGCAAAAGTTTACTTTCACCAACTATCGACGCTTTATTCTTTCGTTTATAGGCCGACTTCAGTATCATCAATAATTTATCAATATAGCTTTCCAGAAGCGTTACTACATGGTAAGGCTAAACCAGTTATAGCAACATAGTCTGTCGTTACTTTAACACATTCTCGATTACAATATAACTTTGAGCCTTATTAACAACATTATCAAGATATTTTACGCAAATTGTTGGATGAGAAAAGACTAGCAGGATCAGTTCAAGGGCATCAAAGTAAAGCAATTTATACTCCAAATATCTATTCCCGAACACAATCGAATTGGGTATTATCATTCTTTCGCCAGAATGATTATATTGGTAAGACACTCGAGTGTATATCAATGATGCATGCTTTATACTTACGTAAAGTTATCTATCCATCAGCCTTATGTCACAGATTCTTGAAGCTGTCATTTTAAAGATTTTCCTTAAAATTCTGATTGTGATTATAACAAATTAATGCTTCATTTTTCATAGAATACGACAGCTTAACTCGCCTAGACATTACGGACCCCAAAAATTACCTGAAAAAGTGCTTGAATAAGAACGTCATTTTTCTAGAGTCATGTGTTAGCGGACAGAACATTTTAGGTCAAGTGCAAGCAGCCATAGAAGATGTTGTCGCAACACCTTCTTGGGTTGATATTATGGTAAATGCCGTCGACTATAATGAAAATTACAAATTCAATGTCGGTGTAGGGCTAAGATTCTGAACTATTTTCAAATTTAGACGTTGCTGCCATCACCCTTTACTACTGGAGATGCATCAGTGTTGTTACAAAAGCATTGCTTAAAAAGTAATAAAAATAACACATCCGTACAATGTCTTTGCGACAAATTCGTTGTCAGCAACAAATTTATTCAAAACTGTTTACAATTATTCGATGATCATATGAAGACCAAAGCCGAAAAAGTATACTTTCATTTACTATTTATAGTCTTTTTTGAATCGCAATTTAAAAATACTCTTTTCTCATAATCTATTCAGGATGCCGGTAAAGTAGCTGCAAAATTTGCATCTACCAGCTCCACCAATCCTAATCATTCGACACTGACTAAACATGACGACTCCAATGTTACTGGAGGTAAAAAAAAGAAAGGAGATGATTCAACGAGTTCGAAAAGAAAGGGTAAAGGCAAAGACCGATCTACGCCAGATGACCTTGAATCAACCAGATCTCATATTAAACAAAATAAGCAGGACTTGGAATTTATGGCCATTCCCGAGGTATTTGAATATACAAAGCTATATTATAGTACCATAATTCAACTCTACACTTATTTGAATTATATGAATAAAGATCAAACTTTCATAACCGGAATTCCCACAAAATTTCAGATAATAGAAGTATTGCAACGAGAGCATTCAAACTGTGAAGATCAATTTTTAGAAGAAATCGCTTCTCAACTATTTAGGTAAGAAAATAATACTTCATCCATTCTCTTACTGGCCGTCCTGAACAAGTTAGATGTAAGGAAATCATATTGTAATAACTGAGTGGTAATGATCATTGATTTTTCTGCTATATCTGTAGTCCACTCAAAAGAAAGTATCAGGAGGTTGCTAAATCAGTATTCCTGGCATCAACATCTTCAGTTACTTCTGAAAAACGTAAACTTCATTCAGATGCACAAGATAAAATTAATGGTTTATTAACTAACGCTAAATTATTTGGAAAAGGCCTTCAACATTTTTCTGGTAATGCAAGTAAAAGTCTTGCTTCACAGCAGATAAAAATTTGCTTTCATACATTAATGAACTATCAATTTTCACTTCCATTTAAAATTGCTATAGGCGACGCGCATACCACTCTTGGAAAACATCTTTTGCATACTCTATGTACAGAGATAACCAATATCGTTTTCAGTCTATTAATTAGCGAACATATTATGGTTGATAGTGATCCTAATTCTTTAAATCCTGAAGTGAGCCCAATGTATTATATTTAACCGACAGTATATATATACTATATGACGTACATGGACTGTATATCCTAGATGCAAGTGACAAATTCTTTCTGTTATACAGACACGTTCTTCCGCTTTGGAGAAATTTCCTAATAACGTTAAAAAAGCTGCATCTGCCTTGGAAAAATCATTAAGCGGCAAAGTAACAAATATTAACTGTTCATTGGTAATGCATATACAGGGATATACGGTAGTAGACACTTAGATCTTGTATTAATGACGGTATTATCATTTATAAAATGATACTATCATATAGGATGTTGAGCAATTCTTTGATGCCCTTGACGTTGTTCTTGGACCTTCGATTTGCCAAATAATGATAAAAAAATTGGATAAGAAAAAAGAAAGGTTTGTTATCTTTTAACTTCGTCACAATAACAAGCTGTAATACAATCTATAATATTGATAGTGGATGATGTATTCATAGGCAAATAATCTTCAATCACCGCCAAAGTCTAATAGAGCAATTGAATAAAGAAAGTAAACCGGCGATGTGTTTACATCTTTGCACATTGCTGTTATTTCAAAGACATACGCAATGTATGATACACGCTCCTGGTCGATGTATCCCTCAGATTATATCATTCCTAAAGCAACACTTGACAGACGAACAGTATAAAACAATTTATGAATACCAACAGCTCATTATTCAGTCGATACAACAATCATCTGACAAGCAAAAACCAGAGATGTCGGAGGAACCTAAAGATTCCGATAATTCAAACGATAATCAAAATATTGATCTACAATTACAAGAAAAAATGACTACGATTAAAGCAATTGCTTTAGAAAACAAAAAGCAATCTTAAAGATTTTATTGTAGCTGTATATCATATATATAAATATCTACATATCTACCAAAATTATATATATTTGAAATATTGCTTTCTTATTTGATTCGAAGCACTATGTCACATATTTTCATCTATTAGTGATCATCTTAAGTTTCATAGATATTCGAAAGGAGGTTATGATACATATTATTTACAAGTTGTATTTTTAATTGTACGCAATTTCGAGATAATGTAAGGTTAATTCTCATATTCAATTACTTGGTGACGGAACGCAAAAGCAAATCTTAACTACAAATGTATGTCATTACCTTACATGTAGAAAGGGCCTTGCTCCCAAAAATAAAAATAAATTTTGACACTAACGGTAAACGAAGTTTGGACTGACGTCTTCCTTCTGAAATGGAAATTCTTCCGTTAGTCTTCAGTAAAAAATTGACAACCATCATCCCTGTGCATAGCGTTCTATGATAATTGTACCATATATTCAAATATGTAAACATTCCAATTCAAATCTATAATAATCCTATTAGCATAATATTGAGACTGGTTATATTATTATAGTTGTCCAAGACTGTGCATTGTGCAAACAACAAATCTGATTGATGACACTCCTTGACATAGGAGCGTATACGAGTGTACGATAAACGAGTAAGAATACAGACATTTATACAGTACTACCGTAAGTGCAGAGATAGAAGTTCGTATTCGGCATAGATATCATTATCCAAGCATTATCGTTTAAAAGTAATTTCGTTCGATATGATGATCCTCAAAGTGCTACTACGATTGTAGAATTAGCTAAATAAATTAAAAATACCACTTTGGAATATAACATCTCTACAAGTAAACTATCCAATTTTGTGAAACTGGATTTAAAATGAATACAATAAAATGATCGAAACTTTTAGCAATCTTAACATATTCATAGTTACACTTTGTTAACAAAAGATGTAATGGAATTACTTTACAATATCGTGCACAATTTGTACAAATCTATCATTGTTAAAATTACTCCCTAAATGACTATCATTTTAGTCAAATACACTAAGCTCAGGCCCCAGCTTCACTATTGATAATAATTATTGTCAGAATTTTCAAATCTTGTAACGAAATGGAAATTATCAACTCCTACACATTTATAGTTCTCTATATACCGAAATTATTATAATAACAGAACTATAGTCTTATTAACGTATTGATACTATGATTTCATTTATCAAAATTGGCAGTGCATTTGTCGTCAACTTCATTTAATCTTCGTGTAATGCACGAACTGTAACCAACATACTATAAGTTATTTAGGGTAAACCTTACATCTCATCAAAAACTATAAATTGAGCAAGTCCTTGTAACGAGTAGCCAATAATTCGATTCCAATCCTGACAAGGTGATAGAATCTGGATTACAACGACAATACTATTTGAAAAATTTCCCATCTCAGTTAATGCTTATATCCAAGTAAGGTCTTCTATAGCAATTGCTTAACGATGAAATACAAATCTTTACTAAAACCAGTATCTTTTATTATACAAATATATATTTGAATTTAGTTTATCAAGGAAAGAATCTTACATCAAGATGAAATTTGCGTTACTAATATTATTCGCTGCGGCATTGTCTACGTCAAGAGTGCAGTCCGATAACATATTTTTGCAAGTATATAAGTTTCTTTAATTATATATTCTACGTTATGTACATGCCATTAAACTTGATTTTGCATAGTACATTTCATAAATGCACGTCTTACGATATTGAGCTTTAGTCAAGTCATAATCTAACCTTAAATACTTCTGTCACTGAAAACGATAATATTTCTAACGCTAACCGGAATAGGACCAATCGGATTTGGCAGGTACGGAAAATTTTGTATTGATTTGTAGGTGTTTGAAAATTTGTTAGAACTAATTCCACCGCATTGTATGTATTTGCACGCATTGCCTTTTCGTACGCTAGATGAATGTTATATCAGTCGCGGGAGCGATTATCGCGGAAATGTAAGCAAGACCGCATCAGGAATTTTATGTCAAAACTGGACTTCTCAAAAGCCGCATAAACACGATTACATACCGCTAGATTATCCTAGTGAAGGATTAGAAGATTCTAACTACTGTCGCAACCCAAGTGGCAGTGCAGGACCTTGGTGTTATACCACCGATCCTCAAATACGTTGGATGTTTTGTGATATCCGCCGATGCAGTAAGAAATTTAGGCGACGTTGTATAGTCTTATAAATAATTTATAGTGACTCAATCTTTGCTACCGGTACCTTAGTTTCAAATTCAAAAATTCTGCATGAATTTTTGAATACCATATTAAGTTTAAAATCAGTATTCTAATGAGCATATAAAGTATCCTCAATACAGTAGCAACATGTAACTTAAGCGTATGACTGTAAAAGGAAATAAACATAAAATTGTACGTTAATTTTTGCCTTGAGAATTCATCTTGCAGATAAACGAAATCTAAGTGTATAGCTTACAGTATACGATTATCGATATTTGACTTCTAGATTGCCTCAAAAAGAGCGTTGGAGAATATTATCGGGGCTCGCAGAGGATTACAAAAAGTGGATTATTGTGCCAAAAATGGTCCAGCCAAATACCTCATGCGCATACTTATACACCAGGAAATAATCCTCAAAGTGGCCTTGAGGCAAATTACTGCCGTAATCCAACCCTAAATGCTATCACACCTTGGTGCTACACTAAATCGACTTTTAAAAGATGGGAATACTGTGATATAGCAGATTACTTATGCGGTGAGATAAAATAATATTCTATAAGCTTGACGAATTTTAAAAGTATGAAGTAATATTGTGGGCTTTTTACGATCGTTAGCCTTAGTTCGTATTGGAGAGCTAAACCATCCTATTTAGCGAATACCCTATCTGATTTGTTCTAACTTTGTGTTACATTAAAAATGTCTGTATTTGTGCTAGATCGATTAGATTGTAGCCCAATAGTCCATATAATTCACAAAGTATTTGTCAGGATAGCAATTTTATTTAATTGCGCTACTTCTCTAATTCAATCATTGACAGTGCAAGAAGACCATGCAACGTTTCCTGTTGTATATGGTGGTGATAAAGGCGACTTGTTCCTCTTTATATCCACAGCAAATAATCCCATCGAGTCTATTACCTTTCGCTATGCTTTCGACGGTCTACCCATTATTAAACATCTCCAAGTTCAATTTATCAATGGCTTGATCAAGACTATCGGTTTCATGGACAATTTAACCCTGACTAAAACCTTCTTTACTAATAAAGGAGAAAAGATTATCACAAACCTGACTATTTCCTTAAATGATGATCATTACGTTACCCATGTTAGAATTTATACTGAAGGCGAAGAAGTTTTTGATGTCGGCATTAATAATTTAGCTTCCAGGAAATCGGATATCTTAATTGGAAAAGGAACTTTGATTGGTGTAGCTGGTAGAAGTAACTGTGGTATAACTGGTTTGGGGTTTATATTTGCAAAGTAATGAAATTGTTAATTTTCCTTTACGGTTCATGGTAGATATTTCGAGTTTGGCCTAACTAATTCTTGACGCTGTTTAAATAGTATGTGTTCATCATCACATGTATTGAATAGGACAATAATGTACGAGATTTTACTTCCAAAGTTGCACTAATTGCTATTTCTTGTTCGTGAAATAAATTTATATTCCCATAGTAACTTTTACATCTTTCTAGATAGACGATATATATAACCGAATCGTGATAATGGAGTATAAATTAAGAGTAAAGCTCAATTAATTATTACCATGCATGTGCATGTGCTTGTGATGCACTATGTTACTCTTGAAATGATATACGATACTGTTTGGGGTCTGAATAATATATAGGAAAGGTGAACCTGCTACTTTCAGAGAGTCTATTCTGGCCTCTAAAATTGTTCTTTTTTGCATTTCTTCAATAAAATTACACAAAACAGACAAAAAAAGGTGCTTTGAATCGATTCTTTTTAACAGTTGGTGTTCATTACGATACGAATTTCAATCATTCATTTAGAAGTATTCATTATACTGTATAATTATCAATCAATATTCCAGGTATTCTGCCTACAAGTAGCCTCGCATTCGGTTATTAGTCTCTAAGTCGTATTAGGTTAGAAGCACTTTCAACGTAATTATGTATTGATATACTTGTCTCGTTGCCTAATAACGATAATAATATACTGTACTACTCTTGCAAGAATTGAGTTTAAAGTATTTGAAAAAGGAACGATTGAATTTTTCCCTTACTGGAAGAGAGTTGACTTTGTTGTTTTCGCTCAGCAAAACTGAACAAGCTCTATTACTAGCATACATTAAATTGCAATAAATCCAATTGTTACATGATGTAGTTGTTATATCAATGGTATATATATCCATAGTATAAGAATGAATTCAATTATACGTTTACTAGTACAAGAATGAATTGGATTCTACGTTTACGAAAGCAATTACTTGTATAATCCAACAGACACTCAATATCCGGCGCCCTACAGTTGTCAAGGCTGTTACTAGGACGGAAAGAGCTGATAGACAAGAAATGGCTGTATGCCAAAATGATTTCAAAAGAGTAAACATCGTCAAAGTTGGATAAAATCTTGCCTAGTAAGCAGTCAATTAGTGACAAAAAGACGAAATAAATTCAATTTGAAGTTATTACTCTCTTGTCTGCATATTCTTGACTTAGAATTAAAATTCTATCTAGATATATATCTGGAAGAGAGTTGACTTTGTTGTTTTCGCTCTGCAAAACTGAACAAGCTCTATTACTAGCATACATTAAATTGCAATAAATGCAATTGTTACATGATGTAGTTGTTATATCAATGGTATATATATCCATAGTATAAGAATGAATTCAATTATACGTTTACTAACTAGTACAAGAATGAATTGGATTCTACGTTTACGAAAGCTATTACTTGTATAATCCAACAGACACTCAATATCCGGCGCCCTAAAGTTGTCAAGGCTGTTACTAGGACGGAAAGAGCTGATAGACAAGAAATGGCTGTATGCCAAAATGATTTCAAAAGAGTAAACATCGTCAAAGTTGGATAAAATCTTGCCTAGTAAGCAGTCAATTAGTGACAAAAAGACGAAATAAATTCAATTTGAAGTTATTACTCTCTTGTCTGCATATTCTTGACTTAGAATTAAAATTCTATCTAGATATAATAAGAAAATTTTTTAAAATGGCGCGGGAAAGTCATTCAAACCCCCCCCCCCCCTCGTGTTAACACGCACAACCCGTATTTACCTCACGCTAGACAGTCGCAAGTAGTGCTCGCCATGAGTGCTTTCAGTATGAATAGACAAGTCTGTGCATCGAAATGACTGCAGCGCAGAACATGTAATACGGTCAATATGCCCCACCATCGACAATGGTGTCGGTGATGTGTTGGTACTCGCCCAATATCCTCCGCTGCGCCTGCTTACATAGTAAATAGGTTACCATAGACTCCTGATTACGCTCATGATTATAAACCCTATGGAATGTACACACAGCCCTCAAAAAGGGGAAAAGCTTTCTATTGGCGCCAGCGGTAAGTGATGGCCATTTCTAGTCTAAAAATGCATTAATACTCTTCAAAAATTGTCTTGGCTTTGAATTCTTCAAAGAAAATTCAATCTACAACCAATAGTATACTCAGTAGACTATAGGAAAATATTTCATTTCAAAGAAAATGATAGCCATTTCTAGTCTAAAAATCTATTAGTACTCTTCAAAAATTGTCTTGCCTTTGAATTCTTCAAAGAAAATTCAATCTACAACCAATAGTATACTCAGTAGACTATAGGAAAATATTTCATTTCAAAGAAAATGATAGCCTTTCCAGTCTAAAAATCTATTAGTACTCTTCAAAAATTGTCTTGCCTTTGAATTCTTCAAAGAAAATTCAATCTACAACCAATGGTATACTCAGTAGACTATCGATAGCATGCAATGGCTTTGCTAATTTACTGTCAAGAGCGAAATTATTTTCAACGTGCTTTCAGTCAAAGTGCCAAGCATCTTTAGGGAAAAATTTCATTTCAGAAAAATGATAGCCATTCTAGTCTAAAAAAATACAGTAGTACTCTTAAAAAATTGCCTTGACTTTGAATTCTTCAAAGAAAATTCAATCTACAACGAGTAGTATACTCAGTAGACGATCGATAACATGCAGTGGCTTTGCTAATTTACTGTCAAAAGGGAAATTATTTTGAACTTGCTTTCAGTCAAAGTCTTGCCACCTTTAGGGAAATATTGCGAAAGTGATAGCCATTCTAGTCTAAAAAAATACATTAGTACTCTTAAGGAATTGCCTTGACTTTGAATTCTTCAAAGAAAGTTCAATCTTTAACGAAAAGTATACTCAGTAGACTATCGATAACATGCAATGGCTTTGCTAATTACTGTTAAGAGCAAAATTATTTTCAACTTGTTTTCAGTCCAAGTCTTGCCACCTTTAGGGAAATATTTCATTTCAAAGAATGTTTCTATTATTCTCTTGTACCAATAATTCTGCTATGAAGGCAATGGAACTACTAGTGTTTGTTCAAATTGCGTAAACTTTTAGTTGCTAGAGGAAAAATGAAATCTATGACTAATAGCTCGGTATATTACAAGTCATATTGCACAACTTTGCAAGTTGAACTTGTAAGGAAATAAGCCTCAGCGCACACTCTTTAAATTTCACTTATCTACGACGATAGTTACTATTGATTTCAAAGAAATTTTTTGAATATTTTCCTATACAAATTGTTCTACTGTAAAGGCAATGGAGTAGCTAGTAGTCGTTCAAAATTATGCACAATTTTAGTTGGTAGACTGCAGACCAGAGTATGAGAAGCACAGAAATTATCGCTGACTTTGCAAGTAGAACTTGCATAGAAAATGACTCACACCTCACACTCTTAAATTTCATTTATAAACGAGAATATTTAATTTGAGATACCTCTAATATTCCTCTATACAAATTATTCTACTACTACTACTACTACTACTACTACTACTACTGCAACAAAGGTCATGGAGCAGCTAGTAGTCGTTAAAAATTGTGCACAATTTTAGTTGGTAGACTGCAGACCAGAGCATGAGAAGCACAGAGATTGTCGCTGACTTTGCAAGTAGAACTTGCATAGAAAATGACTCACACCTTTGTATTCAGGCACACTCTTTAAGTCGTTCAAAATTGTGTACAATTTTAGTTGGTAGACTGCAGACTAGAGCATGAGAAGTACAGAGACTGTCGCTGACTTTGCAAGTAGAACTTGCATAGAAAATGACTCGCACCTCACACTCTTAAATTTCTCTTGTAAACGAGAATATTTAATTTGAGATACCTCTAATATTCCTCTATACAAATTATTCTACTACTACTACTACTACAACAAAGGTCATGGAGCAGCTAGTAGTCGTTAAAAATTGTGTAAGTTTTTAGTTACTTGAAAAAATGGAATCTATGCCTTAATAGCTTGGTAGACGACAGACTAAAGTATAACCAGTACAGAGTTGGCATGTAGAACTTACAAAAATAATAATAAGTCACAGCTTTGCAGCCAATCACTCTCTTAAATTTTACTTGTCCTCCGTGATATTCAATTTCAAACAAATTGTATCAATTTTTAGTTACTGGAGAATAATCGTATCCATGCCTAATAGCTCGATAAATTACAAGTAATATCGTATGACTTTACAAAAATAACGTGTGAAAAAGTGAGTCAAAGTTTACAGCCAATCACAGTCATCATTTTCACTCGTTCATAGCAATATTTAATTTTAAATCCATTTTTTTAATATTCTACTATAAAAGCAGTTCATTTGGTATCGAGAACGAATTCACACTACACCTAGAAGGAGCTAAAGTTGCTAAATTCTCTCATTCTTATATTTATTTATTTACAAGAAAAATATTTATCAATTCAGTTAAAGTTAGTACCGTAGATTATTCATTTACCTAAAATGAATTATTCACCTGGCCTTAATTTTTCTTATACGTTTACAAACACTGGCGTAGATTCCTAACAGCTTGACGTCAATACTCTTGAAAAAATTCACTACCACGAAATTATCTGGTTCTCTTCATTGGCCACAGTAAAATAATTGGATCTTAAACCCCGGTCATCTTGGTACTATTCCAAGTAACCCCAAGTCTGCCACCACCAGTAAGACGACATCAAAACTTTCTATTTCGCTATGTGTACAAGTTCGAATCGCCGAAACAACCCTGTCGCAGCACTTAACTTGCAGCGATTTGCATACATCAATAAGGATAATAAGCAAACTATCTCAAGACCTAATCAAGGTATAAAGTACAATTTAATACGTGATATCCAAAATTGTCAGTAATACGCTAATGTTCAATTTACTATTAAATCCAGTCTAGTACAGTAAATTACTATACTACCCATATTAATTTACTCAGGGCATACTACGAGAGTACAGTAGTGCAAAGCATGCTTGTACAGTATGGGTAATTTTTTTCCCATCGAATCTGATAATATCAATTTAGTTGCAATTATTGCTGTGATTGAAATGTATTTACTTTTTCAAATAATGCAATCTTTAAAGTCACCAAACAGTCTTAAATCTTGCATAGACATACGCTTATACGTATATATATATATTTATTAATAAATTTATAAGCCTCAGGTAGCACGCTTTTCGTTATAGTTTCGCATAGTATTACCATGAACTATAATCTAATCATTTAAATAATTACTTGATTAGCTGTTATACCACGGCGGATAACGACTACAACAATACCTGAAAGTCCTGAGCAATCTTGGCCTGAAGTCAGCCCATTAATTAGGAAAAAAAGAAAACTTATCAGATTAGATAATAGCGATTCCGATAACGACCATGATAACTTAAGCAAAGAGAACCGTAAAGGTTGTACTTTTCTAATTGGATACATAATTGTTATAAATATATAGCTGAAAGCAAGTTGGATCAATTTACACTTTTAAATTTATACGCTCGCATACTATTAGTTGAGTTCATAATCTTTCACAAAAATACGCGTACGTTAATCTGATACTTGCTACGGTGCCACCTACTTTTCATGACTATGTGTTTCAATACATGATGAAGGATTCAAACTAACAGTAATTATTTTTCATTACGTAGATACTAATGTCAATACTAAACGCGTCCTGAAGATGCCGTCAAAACCTTCAATCCAGGATGATGATGAAATTGAGCACAACGCCAATATCTCTGACCAAGATGACATTAAACCAATATCGAAACGATTGCGTCATCGAGATAGAAACCAAAATTGGAATAGAAACAGCATCAAACAGAGAAAGGCATCCAACGATAGCGAAGAGTAAGATGTTCATGTATTGATTTTTAATACACAAGACTTATAGTACTGCATACAAACTGATGCTATTAGGACTATGCAATTGCTTACTTAATCTGGAAGTAGACCGAAATACCTAGAGTATTTGAGCTGTCATTATTATAACATTTCCTATTCCAACAGTGCGGGCCTAAAGCTTAGCAAAAAATATAGTGTTAGAACATTTGATTAAAGGATATTAATCTGATGAATTTAACTCAATACTGATAGATATTCGTTGGTTAACGAATTGCAATATATCATGTTTGCAATTATGAGATATTTATCAGTACTGTAATACCCATTTCGTGTCAATTAACTGTATACCTAATGGTTTATAGGCAGAGTGCTTCTGATGAGAGCGATGATACCGATGATTCTGAATATGATCTGATCATTCATGATCGGGCCGTGCAAGTTGCAATTCTCTCCTTTCTAAATCAAGCCAGCTTATCTGATCTCGCATTTATCGAAAATGTATCTGTCAACAAAGCTCGTTATATTTGTGAACTTAGGCCATTTCAATCATGGACTGACGTGGTAAAATTTTAAATCGTATTATCAATTGTATGCTAGATATGAAATTTATTTTAAGGCGAATCTACGATAAATTACAGCACTTTATATAGAAAATTGTTCTTGTAATTATAACTACAAATAAAGTGTACTTATATGTCTTTAATAACTAAAATTGTAATAGCTACGATGCTAAATTGTATCGTAAACTTAGTGGTATCATCTTTTTTCATCATTTCCAGGTTGAGAAATTTAATCAAACAAGATCGCTAAGTGACGATGTAAGATTAAGTAGCTTCATATAGATTACAATTTTATGTGGTACATGAGATGATTAATTATATCTACATATCTATATTGTATAGATTCTATGGAATTGCGGTGATCTTTTAAAAAGACGAAATATATTACATAAATTGCTAGATAAATGTGAAGAATTAGCTGGTAGTGTAGGAAACTTGATGAAGCATTTCGATGAAGACTTAGTTGGGAATCAAGTGCGTATTAATCAAATAGTAATTCACTAAATGACACTTGAATGCTAAAATATAATGGCTCACAAATTGTCAATTACCCAGGTCTTAAAATTAAATTTGCAATGTATTATTGAAAAGTAAATATGAATTATGTTGCGAATTCTTAAACAAATAATAAGGAATCTAAATGTGTCGCTTATTTTTATCACGTGTTAATTAGAAAATAACGGAAGCCTTGGTTGATTCACGTTCTTTTAAATCTGAGGAATGCGTCGACAAACAACCTGAAATTCTTAATAATAAGTAAGATTGATCGAATTATGTCTCTAGCAATTAATATTAATCAATATTGGTTTTACTTATTTTAACTACTCAACATAATGATTCCCACAGATATCAATTAAAAAGTTACCAGTTGGTTGGCTTGAATTGGATGCTCCTCTTATACAAAAAAGGATTTAATGGTATCTTGGCTGATGAAATGGTAATAGCAATTGTGTTTATAAAATATTTCATCGATAAATTGTAATTTTACAATTTCACGACAACTCGTAATTTTAGACTGAAAGGAATTATAATGTATTTAGGGATTAGGAAAAACTATACAAGTAATCGCTTTTTTATCCCATCTCTATCAATTCGGAATAACTGGTCCGCATTTGATCATTGTACCTTCCTCAACACTTGGTAAAGACTATATTTTATGCTCAGCTTGCATACTTGACACTATTTCCCTAACGTACGATGTTTATTATTATCAGATAACTGGAAAAGAGAATTAAAAAATTGGTGCCCCAAATTAAAAGTTGTATTATACTATGGTAAAGAAATTAATAGTTCCGATATACTTAAGAGTGGCGTATTTATTTAAATTAGTGTCCTATAAGCACCTTTTTAATATTTTGGTATGGCGCCATCTACTTAATTAGGTTCACCTGAGGAACGATTCGAATTAAGAATGGATATCGCTAGAAGAACTGTTAAACTTCATATTTTACTAACGACGTTAGTTTTGCTATGTTTCGCTACCTGTAATTAATCTTGCCTACTTTTCGGTATCAATGGTTTTATAGACTTTAATACAACGCTAGGCATTGATTCTAAATCAATCTTACTAAATTACATTGTAGCTACCACATGTGTTGTACGTCTCCAGATGATTTACAATTGTTCAAAAAAGTAAAATTCACGTATGCTGTTTTTGATGAAGCCCACATGCTCAAGAACATGATGAGTAAGCGTTACAGAGCGCTTATGAGAATAAGGGTAATTGGATAATAATAATTTGGCTTAGAAATAATGCCAGTAGTATGTGGAATAACGTACTCAACTAATATCTGTACTAATCCATACTTCTACTAGGCGCAGCGTAAACTCTTGTTAACTGGAACTCCATTACAAAATAACTTGCTCGAATTATTTTCATTGTTAAGTTTTACTATGCCAGATATTTTTCATGATACAAAAGAGTATATCTTAAACTTTTTCTCAACATTTAAGGTGCGTACAGCGAATATAATAATAAAATTTCTTTGGTTTTTTTAAATTTATGTCAGCTTATTAGAATCGATTGTAAAATAGAGAAAATCTAATTTTTCAAAACAGACTGATGATAAATCAACAGTTCCATTCGTTAAAGGACAAATAGAACAAGCTAAAAAAATTATGAAACCATTTGTATTGCGTCGATTAAAATCAGAAGTTATGAGTCAGTTGCCTAAAAAAGTTCAACTGAAAGAATTATGTAACATGACAGAACGCCAAGAAGAACTTTATAAGAAATTAATGATAAAGTGTTCTACGGCATATAACTCATCAGGTTAGGAAACTTAAATTATTGTACCTACTTTAAGAAGTATCTCATTAGTTTGATAAATCTAATAATTTTGTCATCTGGAATAGATACTAGCAAAGCCCGAAAAAGTATTCTCATGGATTTGCGCAAGATGGCAAATCATCCGTCATTACATCGGATCTATTACAACGATGATATGCTACGAGAAATGGCTCAAATTATTGTAAAGGTAATTTCTTTATTCATTTCACAAGTGTTCTACTAGCTTTCATGTTCGTTAAAATTTTACTCATCCATTACCAAAGGAACCTTCACACCATGACGCTAATATTGAATACGTCTTCGAAGATATGACTGTAATGAACGATTTTGAACTTCATCAGTTATGCAATGAATTTCATGTAAGTCATAAGCAAAAAATAATTTATGACCTCATTATATCTACAGTGGTCTATAGTTTAATTTTTGTTTGGAAATAATTACGTTAAGATTTTCTAATGCGTAAAAATTTCGGTATGTAATTAACTTTAGGTTTTATCAAAATATTTAATGCCTCAAGAACTACTATTTGATTCTGGTAAAATAAAGTGCTTGGATAGGCTATTACCACTGATGAAAGAACGGGTAACTTTCTAGCTGTTAATTATATTGCTGTAAATTATATAATTATCTAAGCTGATCTCCGTTTTTCAGGGTGATCGAGTATTACTCTTTAGTCAATTCGTGATGGTACTAGACATAATTGAATGTTATATACAATACCGTGGCTATTCTTATCTGAGGATGGATGGTCAAACCCCAATCAAAGATCGGTAATATTTGATATGTCATATTTTCAAATTAATTAATGTTGTAATGTAATTAAGCGTAAGGTGTAGCGATTCTGTAAATATATATATTAACCTATAATATTTATTAATTGGTCTTATTGGATCATACAAGCTATGTTGATATATTAAATGGTAAAAATATTCTTATCCAGATTGGATCTCATTGATCAATTTAACGACTCTGAAGCAGACAAGTTTATTTTCTTACTCTCGACCAAAGCTAGTACGTAGCCGAAAATTTGCAATTTCAATACGTACTATTTTATGACCACTAGCGGTAAGGTAAACGTTTAGCGTTCACTAAACATTTTTTCTGGACTGTTCCTAGGTGGTCTAGGGATTAATTTAACATCGGCCAATGTTGTCATTCTGCACGACATTGATTTTAACCCTCATAATGATAAACAAGCTGAAGATCGCTGTCATCGAGTTGGACAAGATAAGTAAGATGATGTAACTGAGTATTTAATGCCATTCCAATGCTAGTACGTAATTAGACTTGTATTTACTTTGAAACTTTATCTTATTTTATTAGGGATGTGATTGTGTATCGGTTGATCTGCCCGGACACTATTGATCAGACAATGTTACAATTTTGTGATAATAAACTCCATCTTGAAAAAAGTGTTGATGGGAAAGAATCAGAGAAAGATAATGAAAGTATGTATACAATGTTTATATCATACTACTTGTTAATATCGATTTGTACATCAAAATGAACTCTAATAGGGTATATACTCACTTGATCGAGGATTGTTAATTCATTTCATATTTATGCATGTATGTAGATTCCAATATTGACCACATAACTAAGATACTCTTCAAGACTTGATGAAATTATATTTTTGGAAAATGCGATTTATGATGACTTCAAGAATTACTATTATTAATATTATTGTAATATCGAATCTTATTTTTAATGAGCATACTATCTAGATAGCAACATTATTGTTATTATTTGTGCTTGAAAGATATACCAGATTTGATATTTTCTCAGTACAGTCCTGAATTACGGAGATCCAAACCATATATATGTTACTGCACCATTATCATGGTAATAAAAAGAAGCGATACAGCAAATTCTATTACGTAGCGCAATTGTATAAACTTTGATTAAGAGTTAAAAATTGACCAAATAACGCCATGATGCATTTTAATTGCATGTCAATATATACTAGCCAAGAAATAAAATAAATGTAAATTTGTGTAATTATTTCATTTCTAAATCAGTTTCACCCTATTAAAGTAAGAAAGTAAGATATGTTGTTGACGAACAGTTTTGAAGTTAAAACTGTTGGTGCGATATCTCTGTGCGTGTTGACTGAACCAGTAGATTTTAATACATGGCAAATATCTTAGCATTAATTTGGTTTCGGTCGGTTATTTGCTGTACTGTGTGTTATAAGTTCATTTACTATTGCATAAGTCTATTCATTCATTGACCAAGTCATCGTATCGTTGTATATCCATGCATAGTGAATTTCCATATTATTCTAGTAAATCAGAGTGACCTACGTGTTAAGGGTTATTTCAAGCAAAAGTTTGCCAATTTTATCAATTGATCATTTATTAGATTAAAATAACACAATAAGAGTTATTAAGCAATACGTGCGATTGAATGACTACAGATATTACGGAATTAATTATACCTAAAATGGGAGTAGATCTAACGTCATTATCATGCCAAGCCAGGCGTAATAGGAGAAAAATCTAGGTAGCCTAAACTAATTATGCAGCATTGATAACCATAAATCATGGACTACTAAATTACAGTACATCTAGTAGTCATGTATAAATAATATTTTAACATTTTTATAACCAGTTTACACTATTTTATACATGCAATAGTAACTATCGCTTCATCAAATCTAAATATTACTGCAAAACTTATAAAATACGCGTTGAATGATACCTCGCACAAATAATTCATTTTTAAATTGACTTTCGGATAAAATATCTCGTATTACCGAAGTGCATTAAAATCTATCTATCCTACATTGCGTAGCAATTAGTACCAGTAGCGACAAAGTCTATGGAAGTACAGTAAAATATATTACGCCCTAAACTCTTGCATAAGAACATAAAATACTTTATGAAATATTTGCAGGTACAAAGTAGCAGTAAACAAATTATTATGTATTAGTCAGTATCAAAGAATGATCCATTTCATAAAATCCGCCATTTTTCGTAATTGATTTAAGCAATTCCAGTGAAATGATCGATATTATATTTCTCTTCTAGCACGCGCAAACGTGATGCAGCCTCATCCCAGTCGACATAGCCACCTTCTAAATGTCGTAGACTATTTGGAGCGAGAGAAAATGGGGACCTTCCATGCATGACCCTATAGTTATCGAATACTGCTATATCGCCGGAATCCAAAGTAACATTAACCATATACTTTGGATCGTATACATACTTCAAGAAAGTACCCATGGCATCGTAAAATGGCATAACTTTATCTTGTGGTACAGCTAAATTAGGACTTCTTGCATGATCTGAATAACAGATTCGAGCTATAGAACCATTTGAATGTAATCTGAAAATAAAAGTAGAAATATACAGTACGATTAAAATAATAGTTGATAACTGCAAACCGGCATTTATTATTCTTTTTCTATCGATATCAACTCATGTTATATGTAATCAATGATCGTCATTCACTAATCTATTAATATCACGAGTTTCTCCTAAAATCAAGAATAGCTTTGGCTAATGACTGTAGGTAATTACGGCAAACTTACTGAATAATCGTATGTTGAGCGAGTTGATGAAAATCGACAAAGTCTTTACCAATATCAAAATACTGAATTGGGTATTTAGAAAGCATTTTAAAAGCTTCAGGTTCATTATCTCGAAGTTCCTCAGCAACTTTAAAGCCATCAACAAGTTGATTTTCACCTCCTTCACCGGCACGTTTAATACAATGCAAAAATTGAATCTATATATAGAATCATATCGTCAATAACACGAAACTATCGTAATCTTTTAGCTGATTTATCGCAATGACATAAAATATAAAGTTTCCTTATATTCTTGACAACAGTTCTACAATCTAAGGCAGTTGCATATGATATCATATAGTTTGATAGACTTAATTCAATTTACTTACGCCAGGGATATAGTTAAAGTAAGTCAAATCGGTATGCATTCCTAAGCCGCCAGTAGTGTAGGCTAAATTGCTAGCATCTGTTTTACTCTTGACTTGAAAAGTTGGCCTGATCGTCACGAATATAAATGTTGAGGATTAGTATCAACTCAAATCAATTTACGTATATAATAACTGTTAAATGGAAAATACTAGATCGAACGATTTTTAAATATGGAGAGTTTTATTGCGTCGTCAAGTGCTCTAAGTTATGAACCTCTAGATCCCCTGGGATTCCAGAAGTCCATGCTATGAGTTAACGTCGATGCCGATCTTAATGACATATTTTCAATATTAATGAAGCCAAACATTACGATCTCAAATAAAGGTTGTATGTATAAAGTTTTTGAAATAATTTTTCAGTTTCAATGCTAATTTCATGCTACTATATAAGATATAAATGAGGAAAGTATTGATCCAAGTATTGATAAAATCATTAAAAATAACTAGCTATTTAATATAACTGCTTAGGCCCTGTCATTAAACCATATGCATAGTGTATATTATCGAAGTCGAAATGATAGCTACAGTACTATTTCATTATTCTTTTGACATAACTTAATGTTGTAACCTTGCTTTTGAACAACATGAGGAAGCTACAATTTATCATTCACTTTATAACGATAAACTTTATAATACGAATTGGGTGATATTTACTAAGCAGTACTTTGCATCATATTGAACGCATAAAATGTATAGAAATCATTCATTTCAACTTTGTAATCTATCCATTTCTATCGGGATATCGTATGTATAAAGTTGAACTCTATTTGTAAATACTTTAGATTCCATGACTGAACAAACTGAAGCATACGCGTACTAGTAACTAAGTTAGTGTAAGGTTAATAGTAATCCTTACACAATTGAGAGATGTTGATCGAATATGCTGGAACAAGTAGCTGAATTTACTCACAATTTATGCGAGTAACAGCTTAATGTAAAGAGGATATCTGTAGCGAGACCTACTATCACCCTAATCTGAATATTTCATATTTACTAAACTATGTTAGTATGAATAACGTTTTTACAAGTGAAATACGCGTATGTGGATGGAATCGGTTGAAATAAATAACCGAATAAAATCCACAAAAGTGCCGATCGATTATGATGAGAACGTGAATTAACGGTTACCCTATGGTAAAGAAGGATATCTGCTTCAGAATCCTTTACTAGCCCTCCGATAGGTACAATATTGAATTGGCAAAACTTAATATCAATAATTATAGTCTTTCTACAAGTAATCAAGATCCTGATCAAAACTGCTTGAATCAACAGCTGAAGTTACCCACAATAAAGTTGATCGATGGTAACGAATGATATACTTTACTCGTATAATGAGAATAAACATAATGATAGCCTAATGTAGTAAAGGATATTTGAATTCTCAATCTCCTACTAACCCATATATACATCAGTATACCATTGGTAAACTAGTGTAAATTAGCGTTACTTTGTGTAAAGATAACTATGTTTTCTATTCAATTACTGAACGTACCCATAATTTGTTGTACGATTATAACCCACTCTTGCAATCAATTTAGTAACTTGACCCACTTCTTGTGGAGTATTCCTGACAATGGTTAATCCAATGGTAGTTAAATGTTTCAGCCAACGATATAATGTTTGATCATTTTCATGTAACTCTTGATAATCGAAAATAGGTATGTTGTCTTTCATTTCTTTACCCCATGTATGCCGATCTTGAATGTAGACTTGGTTCATCGTTTTAAGTTCGTTATCATTGGAGAAGCGATGAGCTCTTAACCAATCGAGCGGGAAACGACTAACAGGATGCTCATTATCATCTTTCCAATCGACTTGGATGATTTTCTCATTTTCTGATACATTTGCATCTTGTGCAATACAATCGATATACGAATTGTAGACACAATTAAAGAGAGCACGCGATTTGGTTTGTGGATCATAGCAAGATGGACAACGGCAATGATCGCGTAAATAAATATGAGGATAATTTGTTGTTACTCCATCTTCCCAAGTTACATCCAAACATTTCTTGTCTATGTTATTACTAACCTGAACGGCATAGCCCTGTTTGCATAGTAATTGCCATCCTTGCCCTAATTCTCTGTAGCGATGGGTAGGACGAGATACATGAAGGACTTTCGCCCACGATGGAAATATTCTTGATCTTAAGATGGCGCTCATGGTTTTTCTTTTTCTGCTACCAGCAATAGGAGAGCGGTAGTTTGGAGATGGAGTTAAAATGGTCAACAGACTAACGCATCGGATCAGTATCTAAGGCTTGGCTTGAGCATAGGTGTGGCTGATGGTAAAACTATACTGTAGCCTATTGAACGGAGGATGATATAAGGATGTCATGGAGTCATTTGCAAAAGGTATCTATACTCATGGACTCGTTACATATCCAGTCAATACCTGTATTTGATGGGCAGTAACGGCGTATCGAAGTAGCAAGTTAAAGTGGCGTTGCTAACGAAAACCATCTCAAACCAGTTCAAAATCGATAGTAGAATTATTCTCCACTGCAAAGTAGACTAAAGTCCATCAAAATATGCTAGGTAGACCTACAAGACTGTATAGCACATGCTAAATTAGCTGATCTTGTCAAGATGGAAACTACAATGTCAAAAGAGCTTGATAGACTAGCAATACTTTGCACCATGAATAGCTGGCAATCCATCATGATGGCCAAGCTATATATATGCAAGAGAGGATACTGCCGCAATATTGCATGCTATATCTTGGAAATAATTAATGTTAAAGCTGTTATTGCCAATTTGCACTCTCAACGGTTGCCTTCATGCATATGTAACATATAATTTGGCTTGTTTTCTACTTTTAAATCATGAAATACAGGTGATAATACAGTATACAGTAATATAATATAATCAATAGAAAGAACAGCAAGTTTCTATTCATATTGCTGCTACTTGCATTGGTAAAAAGAATACTATAAGCTACAATATACTTTTATAACGGTATGCTAGGCATTCGATGAGAACATATATTGGGTGTTCAATTTTATAATGCAATACAATATTTTGCTCACAATAAAAAACGACTAATATCAGGAATGATTCAACAATTTGTATTGTGCAGCTAAAATTAAACCTACAAGTTAGATCAGCTTACTTATTAACGCTACTGTATAATATGTATATATATATATGGTCCAATATTTGCTGTAATCAGCTGAGAAAAGTAGATGCTATTAACAGATGGATATCTGCAATAGCCCATACTTATCCATACAGATATCTAGAATGGAAATCAACAGGACAAACACTACTAGACTGTATTGGCAAGATAAACTGGTCGAAACTGTAATTAATCAGTAGCCGTTAATAGATGGATATCTGCAATAACCCATACTTGTCCATACAGACACTTAGAATGGGAATCTACAACACAAACTACTAGGCTGCATTAGCAAGATAAACTGATTGATACTAAAATCAATCACTAGCCATTAACAGATGGATATCGGCAATAACCCATACTTATCCATACAGACACCGAGAATGGAAATCGTTAGTACAAACATTACCAGGCTGCATTGACAAGATAAACTGGTTGATATGAATATTAATCAATAGCCGTAACCGTATGTAAACAGAAAGGGATACATATTATACGCCTTCATTGACACAAGCAAGTACGTATGGTTATTTATACTGTACTAGGAGATACTATAACTTGCAACTGCTAACAATATGCAGCATAATTATCGTGATTACTTCTACTATAACATTGGTGTGGCAATACAAAAAGTTAATTGGATATCTACAGATCATTGCAATATCGAACATATCTTTTTTATCGTACGTTATCCCTTGGCCATATTCCATTAACGATGACACTATACAACATGGACAGTATAATCGCCTATTAATGCTTGTCAAGACACTTAACTAAATACCTTCTAATGATCATTATACAAATTTACATAAAAGTAGTCTACAAGTAAACATTGAAACAGCTTGAATAGCATTAATAACCTGGTGTTATACCGGTAATACCGGTATCTAGCTATTCGATTAGTCCAAAAATAATAGCACGGCTTTGATCATTGCTGCATATGAATTGATCTATCCATGTTTTCGTACATAAACATACTTCCATCAATATTGCTCATACGAAAACAAATAAAGTCCAGCGTATCATCACCAACAAAATTAATAGTACTTCCGCAGTTGCAGAATTCTGTACCAGTGCCATACTGATCTTTTTTTTAAATAAGAGTGGAAAATCTCCAGATCGCATAAAGTTCTATTACAGTAGAATGATTTCAGGCAATTAATTACAATAAATATGCGTTTTACTAATAATTCATTAATAGACAGCGAGCACTATATGACGTAGAACACTTCGTTGTACGTATGATCATGACCTACTAAAAGACTAAAATAGGCCTTTTTTAGTAGTTCAAGTAGAATATGTACTAAGGGTTGGTATGTAAATGTACCGTATATCTTCCGATGTAAAACCTCAGCTGGGCGAAGGTATCGGTAGATATAGTATGTTGGACTGCAAGTTGAATTACAATCCAAGACAGCAGAAATAATGGCCCTACGTTTGTAATCTCTGTACTGACTGAATGAGTAATCATGAATAGAAAAATTAAAAATAAATAAGAAAAACAAGTTATAATGTCATTAGAATTACTTTTTTATTCTAAATAATTGTATAAATTATATATCATAGTCATAGCAACAATTAATACAGCATTTCAGATTAGATGATATGATAATACGTTATCAACTTATATTGCTGAAAACTTACTTATAATATCGTCGACAAATTTTATTATGGAACCATTCAAGTAAATCAGTAAAACTATATACTTTCGAAAATAAAATACTCAAATGAACATTTCAAGCATCAAATTTCATTACAAATCATGTAATCAAACGCGTATAACTGCCATAATCTATCGATTTTGAACCGATCAGTTATACGAACAGTTTCACATTAAATTTAAAAATTTTTTCATTTGGTTTGATTTTTGAACATAATTTTATATCATTATTTTTGCTCGCACATACTTCAGATTCGCAAGTATTTCGCTTTTACTCGAAAATACAAACAGTTTTTATTCGGATGATTGCACATCTAATTTAATGTCGAACTGTTGATCCAAACCTAAATAACTATCACTTAAAAGATATAACGTATAGATATAACGGCCTTCGAATTCCGGTGTACAAAATGATATCATTGTAGTCAATTTCCTTGATACATAAGATACACGTTTTAAAGCTAATAACTCTCTCTTTTCAGTATCGCCTAATATCAGCAACCATCCTTCATCTTTAGCTTTAGGAAATCGAGGTGCATACGCTTTTCCTATATCTCGATCGCGCTAGAAAAGGAATAGAGCCATTTACCTTTGCTGATTAGATACACGCTTAAGAAATATATATTTTATCAAGCTAAGATACAAAGTTAAAATTTTGCTAACCCTAGCAGTGCAACCAACCTGTCGTTTAAACATCAATCGATGCAAATTAATTTGCAACGTATATTCTCTGTCACTACAGACGGATATCCAATCAACCGTTTGAGATGAGTAATTCCTATCATGACCATCTTTAACTATTCTACTTTCATTGGAATCATCCTCATAACTTGGTAAAAAGCTACCTTTAATAGTAATACCAACATTTATACGCGGTAGCTGCTGGATCGTAGAAAAGAGCTAAGTAAAACGTATATATAAAGAATTGATCAATGCTTACGTATCAAGGGGGAATATCTATAAATATTACAATAAAAAATTTATATATTTTATTTTACTTCATCAGTTTGGCGTTGATTTAAAACCGGGGTAAAGATGTTATCGAATGCTTTCCTGTCATTCCCATAAAACTCAATTAATTCTGGTAAAATTGGTACACGTTGTTTACTTCGATTAGCTTTTAGAACTTGCAAAACAGACATATCGATATTTGGTAATGTCAGCAATGGTGAATCTCTTCTCCATCTTCCCTGTATTACCATTTGCAACAGATTAATCACATTTAACACAATAACAAGCCAACCACCATCTGCTGCGACATCAATCAACGCCTAAAGTACAAAAAAAAAATGTTATATTATTGTTAATGTTATTATTGTTAAACAATCATAAAATATTGCCCTTACTTGTATAATACGAACAGCTTGATCTAAAACGGACTTTGTATCCGTTCTGTAATCGACTACTGGTAATTCTTGTCGTGAAAAATGAGCTTGCAGTAACAAGTGTGTTTTGACATGCGGTGAATCATAACTATTTGAATCGACTTCAATTGGTACTTTCTTTGCCAGTTCCATATTAAGCATATCTTCATTATGCCTTACCGGTAATTCTTCATATTCTGTAGCATTGGTTATCAATAATAATAAATCTTCTAATGTCGTATTACTGCCTAGATTGGTACTAAACGAATATAAAGTTGAATGATGTAAATAGTAGTATGAAGCAATACAACCTAATGTAAGCGGAACAACAGAACGATCATCGCCAATTTCGATACAATACGAATTCGATAATTCTGTTAAAGCGTCTTCAATAATATTAGATAGATATTTATTGACGGCGTTAACGTCAGTATCATTTAATTGATAATAGTTAGGATTAACCACCAGCCTACGAAAAAAGTAAGTGTACGTGATATAGTCCATTGCATCTTGTTTTGAAGTGATTGTGCCTGAAACTATCTCAGCGTTCAAATGTTGAGGTAAAACTTGTAACAAGCTAGATTCCACGGGAAATGGTTCATACAAAAATTTTAGATAAAAATTCTTTTTCACATCGTGTACAAGTATAACTGCAGTACCACTATCATCGAATTGTGGTCGACCAGCTCTGCCCATCATTTGTAATATATCAGTTACCGGGAAATCAACATAACGCTTAGTCTTACCATCATAATATTCTGTACCTTTAACAATTACCAAATGGGCAGGAAAATTAACGCCCCATGCTAATGTGCTTGTAGCAATCAAAATTTGAATTTTTTGTTGAACAAATAATTCTTCGACAACTTTTCTATCACCCTCGTGTAAACCGGCGTGATGCAAACCTATGCCAAATTCTAGCGAGTGACGTAAGTTAGAATCTCTGACAAGTTCTAAATAATTTCGTAACTCATCGTCTGCAATATGTAACCAGGACTTATTTAATTCATCATTAATACAAAATGAAACTAAATCATTCGCCGTTAGGCGTGTTTGCCTTCTTGATGATACAAATACTAAAACAGGTTTATCACGAGAATATGTCTTAATAGCTGTGTAAGCAGGCTTATTCATTGATGCCATCCTAGGGCAATAATGTTTACCAGGAAATCCACTAATATGTACCTCTAATGGAACTGGTCTAACTGCAGGATGGAAATTAAAGAAGCCAGTTTCATCAATATTCAGCCAGTCTGCAAGATCACGTGCATTTGCAAGAGCGGTAGATAATCCAACTACTCTAACTTTAATGTCGGTATGTGCAGAGATATAATTTGCTCGTGACACAATGACTTCTAATACTGGTCCACGATCGTCACCAAGAAGATGAATTTCATCAATGACAATTAGAGACACAGCTTTAACATAGCTTCGTGTTTGCCAACTTCGACTAATTCCATCCCATTTTTCAGGAGTTGTAATAATTAAATCTGCTTTCGATATAGCGCGAGAATCCGGTGTAACATCGCCAGTTAGTTCTATTACACTGCCGAAAATTAAATATTTACTAAATATATCGTCATCATAGATTTAAATACAAATAGCACCATATAATAATAAAAAGTTACTTTTTCTTCAAGCGTTGTTGAATCCTAATCTTCCAATCATCGACACGCTCTCGAACCAAGGCTTTTAATGGCGCTATATAAACAGCCTAAATCAACACATTAGAGTTAATTATCCTTGTTGTAAATTCATTTACGCTTTATACGTACATTTATTCAAAAAAAATACATTTTAATATACGTTAGATTGATAAGCTATTTACTTCACAAGTGCATTGCATACAACTAGATATCTAATTTTTTTACCTTAGTTTTAGGATAGTTATTAAAAACTCTAAATATCGCAATTTCTGCTGCGACGGTTTTTCCACTACCAGTAGGAGCTCCGAGTAGAACGTTGTGATCAGTGTGATATAGTGTATGGAACGCCTAAAATGTGTAGCAATATTACGAATGAAAATCAATGCAACAAAATTGGAATTACCCTTCAAGCAATTATATATAATTAACAGACCTGAGTCTGTATTGGATTGAAATGAGTAAAATTATATAAATTGATATAGTCTTCATTGTTTAACGCCATAATTGGTAAGGGTTGCAATTCTAGTAATTTCGTATGCGGTGGATAATGTTCCGGCAATATAAGATGTTTAAACGATATAGCACTGGTAGCTTCACAATTCAGCCATCTATCAGAAACCACATGAACAAAGTACTGATTTGGTAACGGATGAGCTAATGGAATTGCAAATTCTATCTTTTGCGACTCTTTCTGTAAAACCTAAACATTGAAAATTTACAATATCGTTTGTCAGTAAATCAATTTTACACCATTAGTATTCAATATACAACATGCACCGCAACAAAGATTAATCTGTAAATACTTAAGTTACCTGTTTCTTATGTAACAGGAAATACTCCGAATGATACATGCGATTATGTTTTGGACAATCTACCCAAACCCACCAAGGTTCTCCAATTTTTCCATGAATGCGATCATTCCATTCAAATTCAGGCGTTATAGATAAACTTATCTTAAGAATTTGATGAGTGACTGGTTGGATAGTAACAGTTAGAGAAACTGATGGCAATTGATCTACGTATTCCTTAATTTTACTACCCATCGCAGGATGTCTTATCAAATGCCCTAAAATGTGTATCACGGAACGCAATACAACAATAAAATAATATGATCAGTTATAATCGCTAAAAGTGTAATAAATTGGGAATATCTACCTATTTCTGAAGCAGTCATATCTTTCAAGCGAAAAACATTAGCTTTGCGTTCTTCAATCTTTTTAAGGATATTTTCAGGTATTGCATTAATTTGGCGTAGAGGATGTTCGTACGACCAAATTCGTCTTTCTATCATTTTACTAATATTTAATAGTTGTTCGGCTAAGGAAGGCCAGCCATTACACATAGCCATTTCAAACAAAGAACGCGCAATACGAGTTGAATTCTACATAGTGCGTTTTAAAATATTTTTAATTAATTCATGATGATATGGTCACCCAAGTAACTGTATTTTAGCGCAAATAGTCAAGACAATAACTTAAAAAGATACCTGGGCAACATAATTAAAATCTGATGTAAGTGAGAAGCTATTGATAAATGTTCGTGATATAAAACTTTGCAATAAAACGTTCACTTTGCCATCGGAGTTCTCAATTCCTTGTTTAACTTCTTTTGGACAACCATCTAACAAGCAATGTAATTCTTCCATTTCATCTTCGCGAACCTTTACGATAGATTTTAAATCAGCGGTATTAAATAACTAATAAAGTACATGTTAGCAGATTCTTTACTCTAGATCAATGTTACAGTATTTGTTACTTATTATTAGCAATTACTCAAGAAACTAAACAAAAATTTATAAAATAGTATGTAAAGCAATTCTATGTATGTGTAGTTAATGTGTAATCGTAAATAATGGTAAAAGGTGCGTTTTCTATACACTGGAATTATATGCATGTAAGTTTAGGTATAGAAATAAGGCTAAATTTGGCTTTGATATTAACACATAGAAAAGAAGCAAGTTACAAATTACCTTTAACTGTTGAAACTCGTGAGAACGAGACATCATTGTCAATAAGTCACCATCGATCATTATAGGCTGAATCGACTCCATAAATGTCTAGATAGTTACCATTAAAAATCATTGATAATAAAACGTTATCGCCAATATTACCTAGGTAACGATATGTATTTAATCAGATTAAGTCAGGTTATAACCTCTATAGTTTGATATTTAATGTAGAAATGGCTGGCGATTCTTCCGATATCGACGGAAATTAGTTGAATATTAAATTTATCGATTTTATTAATTCGAATCATCTGCAGTTTATCAAGTGTTAGAGCTGCCTTTATAACTAAATTTCTTCTATATTCATCTAGGCCAGGATCAGACTTTTTTACATAGAAAGAAAATAAAATAAATTATTTATACTTTATACTAGCTATTGCATTTCATAAATAGATCAACAAAATACCGAGAAAATTTCAATAATTTACCTCTTGAACATTATAAGACAGACCATAAGCTAAAGGATTTCGTACCATCCGTATATATAAATACGTATAACTTAGCCACTTTACCGCTTCTTCAACTGTGGTCACTGTACCTAAAGCAATCTACCATGATTCCAATCAATCAATAGATAATATGATATAAAATGCTTTAAGAAATCTCTAGATCAAGTAAGATTATATTATCTACTGATGCTACCTAAATCAGTATTGAAAATATTACATACTTCTGCATTTAAATTATCCAACAAGCCCTTTTCAAATTCGCTTTCAATCGGTCTTTGCCGTGTTATAACCGATAAATAATGGGCAAGTTTATCATGTGTTGTAATAATTGTTCCCTCGCCATGATTATCGAATTGCGGCCTACCAGCTCTACCAAATATCTGAAGGACATCCAAGACATCAAGGTCAACGAAAGATCCCTTACCGGAATCGTAAACTTGCGTACCCTATATATGAATAATAATAATGTAAGATTATTTGAAAAGGTTATGCTTCAATACGCTTTAAATATAAATCGTCTTATTGTTATAATATAATAATTTCAAAACCAATCAATTTTACACTACCTTGATAATGACAGCATGAGCTGGTAAATTAATACCCCAAGCAAGAGTAGCTGTGCAAACCAATACCCTAATGTGTCCGTTTAAAAATAGCTTTTCAACCAAATTACGATCTTGTCTGAGCATACCCGCATGATGAATTCCAAAACCACCCAAAAATAAATCACGTAGTTCCTTATTGCGAGATTTCATAACCTATAAGAAGTTATTTAATCAATTAATACAATTACTATAATAAGTATTATTATTATAACGCGTAATACAATAATAACATTGAGTTACCTGTTTTTCTGATCTTCCATAATCAACATCTCTTTCAGGTATAAAGTACGACAATTCATTTCCATTTGAAGCAATATCATGCAGAGCTCTAGCAGTTCTAACGGTTGCATTACGTGCATGAACAAATACCATAACCTAAGAAGTAAACGAAAGATAATTCATTAATTAATTTTTAAAATTTTTCGACTTTTTCCGTAAAAGTTAATTTCCCTTACCTGCTTATCATCCTTTAAATATTTAAGTACTCTGTCATAGCACACGGTATTCATATCTTCCGCTTGTCGTATATAGTTTGTTGATTTAATTCCAATAAAATGCTGAGTTAATGGCACAGGACGAAAGCGATTATCGAAAAAGTATAATCCACTATGAGGATTAACACGTAAAAACAAAGCAACATCTTCATAGTTTGGTAATGTTGCAGAAAGACCAACGATACGAATCATCCTTTGCGTGGCTTCAACCTGCAGTACATTATTCCATATTAACGCTTTAAGTTTGTGATCAAGATATTTTCTATAATATTGACAATAAATTCGACACTGCATCTTGTATAGTAATATTTACCTGTCGCAGTGTTCGAGCAACTATACTTTCAATTACAGCTCCACGATCGTTATATAATAAGTGTACCTCATCAAGTATTATTAAATTTACTTTATGCACAAGAACAAAGTCACTAGTATTTTTCCTAGTGACTACATCCCATTTTTCTGGCGTTGTTACTATCATCTAAGGGGAAAATTAATAACTAGTTTTAAATTTCAATAGACGAATGACAAGTATTACTTTAAAGTTAAAATCAACAAATCTATTAAATTCAATGGATAAAGTTCAGTAAAAATCTCCATGGTATTACATTTAATGTATTATAAGGCTAACGTTATGCCATAATATCATTTCTTACTTACCTGAGTAGCCGCTAGTTCTTGTTTCGTTAATGACATATCCCCGGTAAACTCTCTAACGTTAATTCCAAGCGGTGATAATCTACTACTAAAATTTCTCACTACTTCCGCAGCTAATGCTTTCATAGGAGCAACGTAAATAATCTAACCCAATAATTTAACAGTATTAAATTATTTCACACTAGTTTTTTTTATTAGAAATATATATATATATATATGCATACCTTGAATTCATCCTTTTTAATAACACCACTATAAATATGCTGGCGAATTTCTCTAATTATAGTCAACATGGCGACATTAGTTTTTCCAGCACCAGTTGGAGCGCAAATTAGTAAATTTTCATTTGAATTATAAGCGTTCTCGTAAACTATTGACTGAATTCTATTCAGATACTTTGTACCAGTAAATGCCATTTGCGCTATCTAAATTGCAATAAATTTATTAGAAAAAATAAAAATTTCTGCTATCTATACAATAAGATCAATCATGTAGTATTCGTTTGAACAGTACTTCATCTAGTGCTGTTATAGGCACTTTCCTTTCCCATTCCATAGGTGGTGCAGGAGCAGAAAACGGTAACATGACCGATTCGCATAACTGATCGGACGATCTCTTGGCATTTGTTGGTAACGCCACCTAGTACAAACAAATTTCGACTTTGTAGTTCATTTAAAAATACACTTGATATTTAGCTAATAAATTGTAGTACCTTAACATTAGCTAAAAATGCAGATGTTTGCTGAGCTTCATACATTGAATCAAAAACGTATGGATATTTTATCCTTCGTGAAGCTGCCGCACTAGATCGACTCAATATCGATTTTCTACTGGCAGCTTGCAATTGAATTTCTCTGTAGAATCAAAGGAGATCATTAGTATTTTAAGCTATTGATACCCTTGTTTTAACAACATCTAAAATGATGCCTTGATTAATGAATGTTGAGAATATTCTTAAATATAAATAAAATGATAAACGCAAATCTTAAAGTATAAAAGTATCTTGAAGGTTGGACTAGCCTTTGTTGCCGGAGAAATTCTGGATCAAATTCCATAAAATCATTATCAGCATTGGACGGATTGTGTGTAGTGTTTCGATTCAGTTTGCGATCTTCTTTTTGTATTACTTTGGCTAATTGCTTCTCGTATGCAGACTAGTTATAAAGGAAGTAACACGTATTAAATTCCTTAAGCCATTGGATTAATTAGTCTAAATTTAAAACTATCTGTTTTGACTTTGTATCAGCTCAAATTTGTGAATCTACCTGAACAGTTATTTGAGAGGCAACAACAGGCTTTCTATCCGATCGACTATTAGCGTTATTCTTTTGATAACAGTCTAGAATCAGGCGAATACGTACATTTTACTTACAATGGACGTTGTCAATAAATAGAATAGAATCATGTACTCATGCAATGCGTATTTAAGAACGAAATTGTTTTTAAAAGTTTATACGACAAAGCATAAAGGTGCATTGCCCTAATGTTAATCTATCAACATCGTAGCAGATCTAGTTCACATATTATAATAGCATACCAAAAAATCGCTTTACCTCTACTCATATCTATCGTCTTAGCCGATTGGACTAAATCAGTTCTCTTCTCTAATAATAGCATTGCAAATTCTAATTTGTCCAATCCTAGTATATCACAAAGCTAAAAGAATATAAGATCTTTTGTTAATGGTATTTATCTGGTAAAGGTTATAAAATTATACTACCAATATATATGACGAATAGGCGGTGAATTTACCATCGCCATTAGTTTACTACCTCGCACTGAATGTCTTCATTACTTCTAGGCGATTGTAGGATATCTAATAATACGCTACAAATATCTTCTAATTTCCATCCATCCTTTACTTTATCCTTTAAATACTGATTACATAATCCCTGTAATGCAATAGGTTCCTCTGTCGTATCTTTCTGCTGGATTTTCGTTGATTCCTGCTGAGGTGATTTGTAACCGATATCGAACTGAAAATCATTTTCGGTACTAGGGAATGTCATGATCTTGATCAAATCTAATTCAATCAATACCAATAACAAGATCGATATATTATTTTAAGATAACTAGAATGTATTAACGAAATTGAAATGAATTTTACAGATATTTTTTACGTTCAGGATGATTATAACTGACATCAAGGTTTACTTACCTTCATTTGAAGTATAATCCACTTGATCTAAATCAGCAAAAGTGAACTTAATGCCTTTACCAAATTCAATTGGATTATTTTGATTTTGCGAAAGTGGCTTATTTAAATTTCTGAATTTGTCCATTTGTTGGTCAGGTATCAAATGTACAAGTTGTTGAACAATTTTACAGGCTTGACTAGCAGACGATTGAGGAAATGGGCCAACAACTCGACGTATCGTCTCACTTTCATGGCGGCCCACTTGTTGACTATCGATTAACGTCTCAAAGAGGAAGGCTGCGGTAGCAGCGCTAGCTCCTTCTCCAAGTTCATTACAGGCTATAAATAGATCAAGAATCGCATCCGAGTCAATATCGCCTGCTACCTTTACACTACAATTGCGAGCATCGTTAGAATGTGAAGACTTGATCGCTATCATTATAATCATTAGAGTTGTAGTATAAAAAGTCATGCTAGACACTGATTGTACCGGCATGTAATACTTATACTGTATTGTATTTAGGATAGCAAAAAGGAAACAAAAGTATCAGTTTGCCAATGATGGAAGGCATGTCCCAATTTTTGAGATAACCGGTAGGTGAGGAATCAACGCCACAGATAGGGCTAGTTAGCTATACAGTATAACTATGATGCTTTTCAATGATCGTAGTTTAGCATGTCCGTACAATTTCTCGGCAACATGCAGTTATATACAGTAATGAGTTGATATTAGAGTAAAAGTTTATTGTAGACATCGAAGATGATATAACGCAACTTGCTCAGTATAATACAGGTTAGTATAGAAAGTTGACGATAACATCGTTGTAAGCATGGTAAGAAGTGATCAATACATGAGAGTACAAGATTTGCCAGTCAATAGTAGTATTACTACCGCAATACTTGATGTAGCACTGGTTGCTTGATGTATAATAACGTCTATCAAGCAGTTTTGTTGTATAACAATAAAATAGGTCTTCTTCTAGCCTTTGTAGCGATAGTAGTGACTACTTGCTGAAATAAATATTTGTTCAATGCATGACTACAAGAGTATTGGTGGCATTATACTGTCATTGCAAGACAGGATCACTTCAAGCTACATACAGTAATAGTTTGACGAGTGCAACTCTTTGAAAGCTACTGTTGTACAATATAGTAGATTGGGTTGACTCCAAATACTATTATACTGTTGCTCGTATAATCTTGTTTTAGCTCAAGGTATAAAGTAGTTTTATATATCAAGCAGATATTCTGTATATATGCTTTGGTGGTATAGTGTACGTACAATACATCATTGCCAATTAGCCTATTTTGATTTCAACAATAAATTCATGATCGCTACTGCACAGTAGAATGGCTGTTCTGCGCATACGTCCAATGCAAAAGAAGCATTAATTGATTGATGATAACAAGACGGAAAAATGGGGACAATTGCAATAGTGAAATAATGATACTTTGATGAAGTTAGCACTTACCAAGATCATTGGCACAAGAAAGCAACTGCTTTAATAATGGTGCAACCTAAAGGAAAAATGGACGGAGAATCAATTGAAGTTGAGAATGTTTTGAAGTAGAAATTAGCTGGCATTTTCACACGTTGTTCCAACATGTACAGTTGTACTGTAGACTTGTATAGTAGAATATAATGTGGTAAGTCCATTCACATGGCAAGATGGTGTCCTAGTTCAATTTGAATCCTCTACACATCCTATTGTAACTGACTGTGTCAACTTTGGATTTATTATTTATCTTGATGTCCTGTATATCAGACTGCATGCTAATGATATATCATTTTTGATACTGTACCTACCTCTTTCTCTAGCTTGTCCGGTAAAGATTGGCCTAACTGATTCAATTGCTTCCAGGTGATCGCATTGGTAATGTTATTTTTACCTTGACGTTTCTGTTGAAGACTAACGCTGGCATGATGACCATGATGAGCTGTTGGATCGACCACTTTGGAGAATGTACGTAAAGATTGAGTAAATCGAGGTAGTTGTAAATCGGCCATTGGCAAAGCAGCGTTGTTATTAGCAATGAAAGAAAGTTTCTTTGCTGTCAGTAGCAGACTACACTATCCAGTACAATGTACAGGGCTGTACCTTGAACTGGAGCTTTATAAGTGTAAAAGTGCTGAATGTGCATCCATAGAGTCAGTCCTTCTGTCTGTAGTCAGCAATTTTCCCAAATTAGGAAATGATGTCACTCACCCTGGAGGGGGAGTCGAGAATGGTGACGTCACTACAGTGTACAGTGTACAGTGTACTGTATACTGTAGTGCAGGGTATTGTGGGTTTGGACCAGTCGAGTACAGTACAGTACAGTACAGTACTGTACTATACAGTAGAATACTGTACAGTACAGTGCAGGGTATTGTGGGTTTGCACGGTGCCCAGTAAACTACGGAATGGAACGGAACGCGGATGCGCACTTCAGCTTCTGGCGGAATGCGCCTGCGTAATTCGTGCATTCCGTAAAAGCTTGTCAAATGCAGTACAGTGTAACGAATTGATTGTTACAGTACAGTACACTGTACACGAGGGTAAACTCAGCGATTGACCTGCTGTTAGATCTGACTGCTGTACTGCCCGTACTGTACACTGTAGAGTACACACCACCTGGACACGTGACAGTTCCATACAGGCTGAAGCTATAAAACTTTCTTTCATTCTACAGTACTGTACTGTACTGTACTGTACAGTACAGTACAGTAGGCGTACAATACGGTACTGTCCTGTGCACAGTAGTGCAAGGTATTGTGGGTTTTGACGTTTTGACCTCGACAGTACAGTACATAGTACTGCATTTTACAGTACACTTTACTGCAGTGTTCATACTGTACTGTACCGTCTAAACGGGAGCAGTATCGTACACCACTTGGACACGTGACAATTCCTTATACTGTACTGTACAGTGTACAGTACAGTACAGTACGTAGGCTGAAGCTACGTACTGGCGTACAGTACAGGGTATTGTGGGTTTTGACCTTTATAGTACAGTACATAGTACTGCATTTTACAGTATATTGTACTGTATGCGATGGTAAACTCAGCGATTGACCTGCTGTACTGTACAGTACTGTACTGTACTGTACATCACCTGGACACGTGACAGTTCCATACTGTACTGTACAGGCTGAAGCTAGAAAACGTTCTTTCATTCTGCATACAGTATCATCTACTGTACACTGTACCGCTGAGTGACATCATACCGTACGGCTGGACTGTGGCACAAGGCTGTGGCTAAGCTTGCAAACGGAACACAAACTCTTTCGCCTGTGAAAATCGAAAAGACTAGCGGTGGAATTCCCTGTGCAAGCCGTCCAACTATCACTGCAATCATTTATGGATATTTGAATTCAATGAATCCAACAGAAAGATGATAATCCACTACTGGCCATGAACTTTATTGACCATTTCATCGTCATTTCACCTACAATCGAGTAGTACGGTTTGACAGCAAAGTACAGTACTCCTAATCTGCCTTTTCAAACCATTTTAGCTCGTTATTCAATTGGCTGCTATTGCAATCATTGGACACGTATTGATTTTTCTCCTTTCTTTTTCAATTGTCAATCCATTTTAACTTTCAAACTTTTCATCCATTTTATTGCAAAACGTCAAAGATTATGTCTTTTGAAAAATCAGTCAATAGGCAAAATAGTGCTCATGGATCTGAAGTAGCTTCGGTGTCACCACCTGAAGATTATAATCCTTTACTGGATAGTGGCTCATTTGGTTCTGGTAGCGTAGATAGTTACGATTTGGACAATGACGATATTACTGATAGTGACTCCTTGGAATTTCCAGCTTATGGCGTGACCCCTCCGTATGATTCTCGAGTGGCAAGAGCTAAAACACGAATTGGTAAACGTGAAAAATTGCGTTATAAAGAAGATTCGAGTAGTAAAAATATCAACCATAAAAATTTAACCAACGAAAAATACCAAGAAAATCAACGCAATCATCCACGCAGCGCTGCACGCCAAATAATCCCTGTAAGTAAAAACAATACGTACATTTAGACATGGTGGAATGTGATAGACGTACAATCAATTAATGCTAGTCTAACGTACTTGCTCCAGGATGCTTCATGAAAAAGTTCAAAACTTCAAACAGATAAACTGCTACGAGAGCAAATTGTGCCATGGGTTAGCAGATTAATACTGCAGTACATCTCATCACTATCATACACCTACTGTACGACGTACTGTACGTACATCAATCTTTTAATTTTGTTCGCCATGGGTACCCCAATTAATTCTAAATTCTAGTTGGCTACAATATACAGTGCAGTATAAATAATACATTTGGACGGCTTTCCACTTCCACGACTTATTGTGTAAACAAGATAATCGTTTCTTTACAAATAAAGTTGATTAATGGCATCAATTGTGTTATGATTCTGCTAAAGAATTTGGTCTTATTTCACCGTTTTAGTAGCTATGTTTATACTTTTTACCTTAGCTTTCTTACTCAGCTCAGTACTCTGTTTACGCTTGTGAGTATGTTCACTCCAACGCCTATACAATTGAAATTATTACTATTCTTACACTACTGTATAATGGAACTACTCTACTATACGTAGTAGCATTACATCAGTTTTATAGCGTATCCATTTTATATGAACACTTGTAGTACTGTACAGTACTATCGTTCCCAGCTTAGACGCTGCTGCTCAACACTTCGATAACTTATCGTTGCACCTTCCAAAGTCGTTTTGAATTTTGAATACAATTAAACAATCAATTCGTTGTATCTTGATCAAATATACCCTGGATACTGTAATTATGTTATCTTTGCCACTATTGTAAATTATAGATTAGTATGCAATATCACTACTGTATTATTATGAAATGAATATATATACATGTGGTAATAATACGTCTATCACGGTTAAACAATATAAAGGCGCATGATACATTATCCACTGCTAGTAAATGCACATTTACTTGGCTTATTGGAAATAATCGTAGACATTCCTGAAATGATTTCACCCTCAAGCTAGAATCCTCAACTAAAAGATTACTTACTAGTTCTACTATTGTCAATCATTTAAATTATCAAAATAAAGTACGTTCTAGTGCATTGGTCAATTCTAGGATTGTCCAATTTCAGGTATTGACCTTAACTTGTACATTTACAGTATTCATAATACAGGTCCCTGAGGCAATTTTAATAAACGTGTAATCTTTTCCATTGATTCTGACATTACAGTATTAATGTAATTCATCTACTCTCACATCTATCTTTAAATTGCTATAATTATTACTAAAATAGATGACATTATCTTTATGTAGTAGCGACTAAAAAGCGAATGATAGATAAATAATTCATGAATCTATCGCGTAAGAGCTACTATTGCATAAGCCTTAACTTAATTTTTGGGGTAATTTTTCAATACAATAAAAATTAATTCAACACGGCTATAGAAAATTGGATAAAAGTAATCGATAATGCTAAAAGATTAATGATAGATCGTCTATACGTTTTATAATTTCAAAGCGGATAGCTTCTTTCATTTTAAAAGTTATGCTAATTGACCTTATCAAATGGGATACCACTTATCCTTATACTATTGCTATTTCATGCTAGTCCTGCAGAATTGAATCATTTATCCTAAATACTTATATGCTTGCTGTACATTTAGTACTGTATATCTAAAATTCGCTATGTGCTTTAACAATAAACGCCACTACAGTACTATCGGTCATTCATAATACAGTTCTACAGTATATATGTATAGTAAACTTTGTACAAAAGCTCTTCACATTATGACACTGACTAATACATCTGAATCTACCTTGACCTCATTGATTGTACTTATGGATACAATAGGCCAACCAACAGGATGGAACAAATGGTGTATTTCCTGCTCTTCATAAAGCCAGAAAAATAAACAACCAAAAATCTAGACAGTATGATAGAAAAACAAAAGAAAACTTTTTTACTGCATCTCCAGAACAATTCTCACCAACAGTCACTCAATCATCATTAATTAGAGCAATGTCTCATGAATTTAAAAGCTTTAATAGACTAAATTCAGTTGAAGAGTCACCATGTTCATCTCCCCACTCCGATGGTCTCTCAAGCGATTCATTACTAAAGCCTGACTGTGCTCAACATAGGAAAGATTTCTATTCCTCTCTTATAAAGAAAATTAATTTAGGTTCATCATATCATAAGCAAAAGGAATCAGTAGATTTATCCCTAAGTATATCCGATAATACCTATGAACCCACTGATAGATGGAGGGAAGACTATCAGAATGCATTATGGTTAGAAATTCGATCAAGATTAGCCGATCGTGATATTGATGAATTCGAGAAATACTTGCAAAAACAACGACGAGAATACTGCAATATCCTTGATGAAATTATGCAATTAAATTTTAATCAAAAATCCCATAATAATCCAATAGATAGTGATAATAATGGCGATAGTACCTACAATAGTATAAACTCACTTACCGATAGTTATCGCGATTCTTCGCCCAATCAATCTAGTTCAACCTTAGTTGATGTGTCAATAACGACAGAAAATGACGACAAAGAAGATGATATGGGCTTTCAGATAGATGACTTTAGTAACCCCGAAGATGAACAATTGGAAGAATCTAGCATCGATGAAGTAGAAAAGGACTACTTAGCCCATTGGTTAAATCAGGAGGAAAAGTATACTACTACAGCGTGGAATTTTGGTGATTTATCTGTCATGGCTATTGATAAAGAATATGCAGAACGAGTTATATCAATTATGAAACGATTAGATCGGCTTGAAAGATTATACCCTAATTTAAAATCTCTAGCAAGGAGCGAAGCTAGATTTCGTAACGTTAAATTACAAGAAAGGATTAATACTTTAACTTTATGGCTCAATATGGTACAAAATCTATCGAGGCAATTTTGCTTAATGTCCAATGAATTAAGTGTAAATATTAAATGCAATGATACATTTTGTAACTACCAAAAGGTTGATTTAGATCCGGATGAACGACTAAGGTCCTGTAGTATAGACATAACCGCATTCAGAGGCATCGATCACAACGATACTGGTAATTCATCTATTACAGAATCTACTAATGGGAGCCTTCTAATGAGCAGTCAAAGTTTTGATTCTCAATTAAACCAGGAGACTGCAAAAATACCTGATGTTACAATCGTTTTATCAAACCCAGAAAGCGACGATGATGTCAATGAAGTATGCACACATGATGATAACCATGTAAATAAAGAACAACAGTCTGAGTCGACCCTAACTGATCCCCAAGATGACGATAATATCGATATCCCCTGCTACAAGGTATTTGTTGAACGCTGCCTCAAACTAATGGGCGTTGACGGCTTGGTAGATCGCTTGAAAACTCTTTTAAAAATGACTGTCGACAATGCCCGTTTTGCGTTAGAAAAACCCAACGTTTTCTCTGGCGGAGATACAAATATTGATAATAGGAGGCACTTGATTTATGAACACGGTGCGTGGAGCTCCGAATTCCAAGAGATGGGATTACCAACATTTCGTCGTGCAGTGCTTACATTGCTTAAAATTCCTTTAGACGTTCTACATGAATGTTTACGAATTAGGCTGGAGCATTTACCGAGTTCAGAACCATCATCCTTTAGTATTGAACAGGTAATTAATAATAATTGAAAGGAAGCAAGGAATCGGCTAAATTTTCTAAAATGCCAGATTCTTTTTTGGCAACTTAATATTGCCATTGAAATTAAACCTAAAAATTGTCCTATTAGATTTTCACTCAAAGTACCTTTTCAAACTTTAAAATCTTTAAAGAAATCTGTTTATCGAATCTTATTATTCTTTCGTAATATTCTAGCTATTACGGGAATGTAAACAAGTTCTATTAGCATGCTTTAAAGTAAAAAATTTCTATCAAGAATCTGTCGAAGCTATTCTTGTCGATTTCGACTCAGTTAACAAAGATATCTTCGACTCGGATGTCGCAGGATTTGAAGAACACCTTCACGACATGCAAAGGGTATCCATATGATTTTCTTTATTTCACTTATCTTTGACTTCCTATTTTATATAAGTACCTTACATTTAACCCGAATGTTGATAGTACGTATATTCGGTTCTACACTGACCGATTTATAAGAGACTTGTTTAACATTAAAGCGTTTAATTGATCATGTCCTTTACAGGTCTACTTCAATTATTTACATCACTGGTTAAGCCTATGGCAAACTGTTTCCTCCAATTCTATGAACAACGTCCTTGAGGAAGAGTGGTCCTTTTTAAGGGAAATTTCATCCTCAATTCTAGATGGTGAAGTTGGTGCCGCAAAGCGATTCTGGTAATTCTACAACAATATCATTCACTTTAATTGCTCATATATCCAATTTGAACACGAAAACGTTACATGTGTTATATAATATTGTTACTGTTACGTAACGATAGTCGGTAAATATCGTAACATTAATTGAGTATCAGAACGCATAAATACTAAAGATTCAATTTTATCAATTTTATAGTGCTCTTGCTGCTGGTATGATTAAAACGACTGGTGATTATTTACAAGCTAAACTAGACGAGTATTGCATGGAGGTGGAAGATAATACAGCAGAAAATGTTTTAACTGATGGATCAAGGTAAACTTCAATTTTAATTAATTAATTCATTTATTATAATTCTAGTAATCTTACGTACGTTATCAAAGTGTTTCTTATCAAGAAGCTGAATTGAAAATATTATTTACTCTTTAGACGTAAAGTCAATGATATAAGCCGCTACTGTAGAGACTTATTCAACCAAGCTAAACAACAAGCAAATAAAGCTCTAAGTTTCGCAAAAATGCTGAAAAAGGTACCTACTAATATGTACGGTGCGCCAACATGACTTCGTTATACAACTAATTCAAACAATAAACTTTATATCTATCATATAACCCTTTATATGTAGAACATATTAACGCTCTATACATTTTCCTTATTACCGATAAGCGTATATCCAATACTGTAATGAAGATTATTTGAAACTTACTAAATTGTACTCCTTAGCTCAATTAAATCATATTTCATAAATTAGGACTTAGAAATTGCTGCAACGTTCAAGATACAAGATGAGCACGATATCATTGTTCAAAAATTATACGAAACTGGTCACGTACAAGTTGTAACGCGTCATACAACTGGTATGCTGATATTTGCTCCTGTTGGCATGGTGAAAAACAAGAAGTAAGATAGAATTATATTATTCTTCTACTGCCTGTTTATTAAGTAATTGGATTATTGCTGAAATATGTAAGACACTTATCATATTCTTATCTCTTTAGGGCCATTTCAAAATTAATGAATGTGTGTTGTAGTAGAGATACTCCTGATTCTTCTAATAGCGATCAGGATTATTATCTATTGATAATAACAAACAGTAATGAAACTAAACCGCTAACTACGATACGTCGGTCTGAAAGTATGGTTTTTGTCGATTCATCAATAGAAGCAGCAATTGCCTTATCTGATATTATTGTAAGCAAATATATCGACGTATAAATAATATATGTCAATTGAGTGTCTATTGTTATAAAATATTAAAATATTTTATATATCCTTTTGATATTCTCCATCGGCGCTGAAGGTCGATCACTTAACACTGCTTGTTGAAAATTCAGCGCAGCTAGGGCAACAGCGGCATAAATTTCAGAAACTTCTGAAGGATTCAGTAACCTTAGTTAATAAGAAAACGACTTGTCATCAAGGAGTATTAGATTCACTTGACATACTCAGAGTAATTACTAGCAATAGCTTACGATTGCTAATTTATTAAATTGATGATATAACATTTCTACAACCAGCATTGATAGAGAAATGATTTACATTTTATCCCTATTAATCTAATTTATTTATAGAATTCGATTTATTCATTAAGTGAAGAAATCTGCAGCGCCATAGAACGTGTACATTCTAACCTACACGAAGTCGTAACTCATTCTTACTATGTTGAAACTATGCATGCCTGCTACAATATGGGATTCGAGGTGTGTTGTTGTTTACGTCTTTGCATACACGCTTGTGCATTAGATCGTTCACTTTAATTGTAGAATTTTTTTGACATTTCATCATTTTACTTCCTTCACTTAGTATCATCGAGAAATTATTCGACTGTTAGGATGGGAAGAAATTTCAGTTCCTCTAGGACCTCATTTAATCGACTTAGTTTTGCAATGGACAGCTTTCGTCCAAAAGAATTGCGAAAAAGGCAGAGGATCCAAACCAAGGTATTCAATCATTGTCTTTAAACTAAGGAGATAAGATATCGATTGTACGAAACATCATAATGTATTCTTTTTGTTATCCTTGATTATTTTTAGATCTGTTATGACATAACACAATACGACAGTTTTGAAACATGATTTATCGCGATAGCACAACTTACAGCACCTTTTATGTTAAAATATATAGATGGTCATTGCAAGGCTTAGAATTTCTATCTGTGGTATGTAGTCCACAAAATGTAGCCCATATATCAGAAGATAATTTTCAAGTAAGTCGATAGATCTATATAACGCTATAATGTAGTAAAATTAGATGTTATCATTATAATGACTCAAAAATGATATCGTTCGAATCTAGCTACTAAAGGCATCGACAGATAAATGCGTAGCACACATCATTGGTAATCCAATAATGGATAAGTACAAGAAATCGAAAAGCTCTAGAATAATCTTGCCACCAAAATCACCATCTAGTACAGTTCAGAAGCTACAACGACCAGTATCATATCCCACTAGTATAGCTGATAAACTAAAAGGCGATGTCCGTAAGTATTCCTTATGTAAATTCCAGAAATAACCATACAATTGGTTACCGCGTTTATTGATAACAATCTTAATATATTGCAATTTACTAGTTCAAAGACTCGGTAGCTTCTCAGGTAGCGATTCCGAACACGAAACCATTGCTGATTTTTTTAGTGTCAATTCTCCTGGTCCCTTACCCGTATCAGGATTCTCACATCAAACGACCTCATCTAGTAACAGCAGTGGAGTATATTCTTTAAGCCATAATAATTCAGAAATTGATAGATATCCACGCTCTATACGAGTCCTATACTACATAGAAAAACTAGAAGAAAGAAGAGAAAAAAAACTATTTAATGATGATGTCATTGGCAGACTTTGTAATCGTCACAGAGATGTTGCTAGCGGATTAATCGATGCATTAATAATAAGGAAGGTGAAATATCGCTGGCAGCGTAGCAAAAAAATTGGTATGTTTTCAGAAAAATTTTGATTACAATTGAAATGGTGCTATACCACTATTTTTCAATGCACAGTACGGTAAGGTAGCCCTTGCTTATTTAGTTATACGATATTCTTTACCCTAGGTGAAGGTAGATTTGGTAAAGTTTATACTTGCATCAGTTTAGACACTGGAGAAATAATGGCAATGAAGGAGGTATTATACCTTGCGGAATTTTGTTTTATTTTAATTTGATACAAATAAAATAAAATTATCGTACATACAGAAATAATCAACTAAGCTATGAATTTAATTTTAAAGCATACTAGATGTGTATAAGCTCCTTTCTGTAACTTTAATTACTAATATCGTACTTATGATTACTAGATTCGCTTTCAACGCGGTGACTTGGCTTCCATTAGAGAAATAGCTGATGAAATCGGCAATATCGAAAATATTAATCATCCTAATCTCGTAAAATGTTATGGGGCTGAAATTCACAGAGTAAGAGATAACTTTGTTATGTCTTGTATGCAATAAATCATGTAAACTACGTATAAATATCTACTTTTTGCAAATATGATATTGTGTTCGTATTATTTTCTAGAACACTTCTCAATGCTAGAAATAACATATTAATACTTGTGTGCTTAGGAGCAATTGTTAATCTTCATGGAATACTGTAACGAAGGTACAATCAGTGACGCTGCCAAAAATGGATTACCTGAAGCAATGATTCGTAGATACACGAAGCAAATTTTGGTTGCAATCGATTTTTTACATGAAAATGGTATTGTACATCGGGATATTAAAGGTACAAATTTGTTCACTGTACTAGAACGTTAAATCCACAACCTACATCTTCTTCCATTTCTTACAACCTTATTAGACTATTTGTGTTTGCAGAATCACTGTATTAATTATCTCCAATCTTAATCGAATACCTACTATCTTTTCAGGTAATAACATTTTTTTGGCAAGAAATGGTCTTATCAAGCTCGGAGATTTTGGTTGTTCCGTTAAACTGTCTAAAACTACGACTATGTATGGTGAATTTAATAATATGAGAGGAACCACAGGTGATTTAGCAAATTTGAAGATAGGGACCCGTTTTAATTAAAAAATATCAATTAATTGCCTTAATCGGTAAATTCATCTTATACCTATAATTTTTAGCCTTTATGGCCCCTGAAATGATAACTGAAAATAAACGAAAAGGACATGGTAGAGCAGTCGATATTTGGAGCTTAGGATGTGTAGTAATCGAGATGGTAACTGGCAGAGTAAGTTGATACATCCATAGTGTGAGCTTACGAGAATTTATATTTACATTAATATTATAGCTATACAAATTCTAATACCAGCTAATCACGTACCTTAACTAACGGAATTACTTATTACTTAGCATCCGTGGTCAGAATTCGATGACGAATTTGCTATTATGTTCCAAGTTGGAAGTGGTGCAGCTCCAGTTACACCAGATTCCATTAGCGATGAAGGAAAGGATTTCCTCAGTCGCTGCTTAGTACACGATCCACAAGATAGATGGACGACTAGCGAATTACTGAATCATCCTTTTGTAAAAGTAAAAGATTAGCATTGTTATATATATCTTCCAACTCCTTTTAAATTTTCATTCTATGCCAAGTTAAGAAAGAACTTCTTTATATTAACATATATACTTTATAAATAAAACTGACATGTAAAATATGCAATATACGAGTTTAGTAGCTATGTTATGATCTATTCGATCAAGATACTTCGAAAAATGTCTGATAAAATATGCCATACTAGATTTTGCAACTAAATTTTTAAAGCATGCTATATTAACTTGTATTCTGACCGATGTCACGAAGTAGAATAACATATGTGTGTTATAAAGGACAATTTTAGTATATAATGTAAAACTATTCATGATTCGTCATAATTATCAATACTAAGCTGGTCTAGCTATATGATTTTTATTCAAGGAAATATGATGTTGCTAATTAATCGATGCTGGCCATCGACTATTAATGTGCACCGAAAAATTCGTTTTTCTGTAGATTTAGTGCACTTCTATTGTATTACAGAAGACTACAGACTTATTGAAAATCTGTAAATCTAACACAAACTTTAGCTTTTGTGCAAGCAACGCTCTACAGTATTTGATTGTACTGGGCAGGAGATAATGTATTATTTGTAAGAGTCTTTCATACTGGTATAACATATATCTTAACGTATTATTAGTATCTGACTTTGAAAGACTATTAGTTCGCTTACTTTTCTAAGAATCTTAATTCAATCCTATTTGCAAATTTGTATTACTTTTTCCGATCACAATATCATTTTCGTAAATATATTTCGAAGTCTTAGGCTGTATTGCTCAAAGAAAGTTCTTCTTATTACAAGTAATAAAAGCACTTTACTACTTCAATTTTCTTGTTTCGGAACTTGATAATCTTCATAAAGATATATCGAAATGAACTAAAAAAGGAAATTTACATTTAAACCAAACAAATCACAATCCTTGGTATCGTTTCAGAAGGTAAAAAGTAGCTTACGTCATTTTAATAACTATCCATTAATTATCATATTAAAATAATGGAAAGAAGTCAAAATTTCATCATGTGAATATTTAACTAAATTTCATACAGCTTTCTTATTAGTTATATTAATCCTGACAAATAAGCATTATTGTTAGGTTACCGGTAACACTTCTCTTTTCTAATTGTGACTTAGTTCATAACTTAGTAAAGAATATCAATAGGAACATTTACTCCCATCTAAGGTGTGCATTGTACAATTTCGACACTTGACAAATTATGCCGTTACTTTATAGCATCGACCTGTGTATTTTAGTTGTCTACTTACAGTATCAATGTACGAAGAAGTCTACAACATGCAAGCACGAGCGATAGATTCAATAACGGTCAACTGATTAGATTAATCCTTGGCTAATTGCCTGCTATTTTCATCCTGATTCTTGAACTTCTGATAAAAAATAAGGCAGAAAATTGCTAATGTAGTAAAAAATAAAAGCGTAAGAACCGGTTAGCTATTAAATAATAGCGATAGAATTTATGATGAGGAAAAGCGTAAAGAAATATTGTAGTTTTAAGCGATATTAAACGTACTTATGAAAGCTGCCATTTTCAATCTATGAGACGAGTCGTAGAAGCGATCAGTTTGGACAGAGTTGTCCACTTTTACAGTATACTAAGTTAGAATAAATATACCAGTTTCTCTTATGCTTATTCCTTTATGTATAACTGCAAATAAACTATAGTACAGTATACAGCTAATTCAATTAGAGAAACGATGATTGAAATCCTATATAACAATATGAACTGTATATCGGAGGAAAGCTGATTACAGCATTAAATAACTATATTAATATGTAATATTACAATATTCTATACAACTTTTGCAATATTAAGTAATATAGCATTGATTACTTGGTATTCCATACAATAAGATAAATACGGATGATTTTAGTCTGAATATTTGGTTAGTTTTATTAAACCTTAAATGATACGATGATACATGATTAATGAAATCGTGAAGAAAGGTAAATATTATTGCGAGCTGAAACAAAATGGACAGATAAAACTGAGTAAGATTTATAAGATCATTTCATTTAATAAGGCTGGGTTTTATAGAATTTAAATATTATACTTAGCGTTAAGACTACTGATTCCAGTTTATGTTTATCGTCGATTTTTCTTATGGAGATTAAAAAGCCACTATTAATATGGCATAGTGTGGTCAATCTATTTTGAAACTTATTAAGTGATACTAGTTTCTAATTTATAAACATAAGTTTAATAATTGAAGGAATAAAAATCTTAGTAATCATAATAAATTTGATTAAAATTTCAGAATTTAATTTACTTGCTAACTTTAAGGATTAAGCTTAATCAAATTAATTATAGCAGGGTAGTTATAGATAGCTGCAGATAATTATAGTTGTATTTAATTACCTAGTATAAGTTAAATTACCCTATAAATAATAGTAATATTATTATCAGTGGTAGAAGATAGCTCTGTTATGATTCGGTAAACAAATCATTAAGATTATACTATAAGAGATTGAAAGTTTAAAAAGAACAGATGATATATTTGATCTTGATTTTGAATAATGACACAATTATACCATAGCTTCCTTACTTTGCATTAATGGAGAACTTAAGCAATTAGTCAGATTTTGAAGGGGTTTTTGAACTTGTCTGGAAGGAATTTGCTGTTGATTACCATTAGCATCGTTATTACTTTTATTTTGCTGATTTGATTGACGACGAAAGCTTCCAAAAAACGATAATGTACGGCGTGAAAGTTTAAAACTACCTGATTTACTTCGTTGGCTAGACAACATTATACTTTTACTTTGAGTACTGGCAGAAGTGGTAAACCGATCAGGTCTCCGACGATCAAATACAGATATTCGCTTATCGCATGTTATGACGTAAATCATTTCTTGGCGATAATTCTGGCTAAATATCCAGCATACAAATGGATTATGACAGCAGTTAAAGACTGCAAGCCATTTTAAAAATGATAATATCAATGTTAATTTTGGATGGCGAAGAATAACAAGACTGAGAACAAAGATCATGCTACCGTAGGGTATCCAACACAATGAACTTAATAATAGCATTACTAGTAGCATTTTTAAGATACTACGATGGCTAGCAGCAGTTGCTGGATTATGCGAATTAATGCTATTATTGCGTCGGGTACGACGTCTCATAACGTAGTAAACGTGGCCATAAATACCAAACGTAATAAACATGGGAACAGCATTGAGAAAGAACAAGACACGATAATATATACGTTGATAAGCAAATGACCACCATGGTGCACAATAAAGTGCTCGTTTAGTAGTGAAAATATTGTCATAGTGCATTTTAACTGTAACTGGGATAGCTCCTGAAATAGCTACGATCCATACTAGGAATATAATAATAGCAGCACGCCGTTTGGTTAATGCTTTTTTAAATGGAAAGACAACAATACGATGGCGTGCATAAGCAATAGCTAATATTTGTAAAATAGAGACTGTAAAGAGCGATTTCTCAATGGTTGGCAACAAAGCGCATAGTAATCGACCTAATTGCCAACGTTTAAAAATGAATTCATTATAACGATAGGGAATGACAAAGATAGCAATTAACAGATCAGAAAAGGCCAAATTAGCAATGAAATAATTGGTAGCGCCTCTCATATTTTTCGTTTTATTACGAATGATGGAAATAATCATGATGCTATTACCAAATAGACTTAGGATAAAAGTGATACTGTATAATATTGTGAAACAAACAAATTCCCAATTTTGAACACCGATGATACTTGGAGGGGTTGGAGTTGCTTTGACTTGGAGGAAAAGGCTATTATTTTGATGGCCCATTCTTATTGCTTAACTTTGAAGTTATTGCAACTTAAAATTTTTGCGATCTTGGTTGTAGCTGTTCGATGCTAACTCTATAAAAGGGATTCAAAATGACAACTTTGTTAATAGAAGAAGTCATGACAACAATAGCTCTAGATAAGCTATTCTGTCTTAGAAAATGATATTATCGTTCTATATCAAATTGGCTACCGTGTAATAACGAAGATGTTTATATATCACACGGCTATAATTTGAACCTTTTCTGATTACAATCAGTATTAATTTCAAATAACGCCAGTTATAATATAGGAGTTCTGAGTAACTCGTATACTGTACTCGTCGACCGTACCCATTCGCAATGAGCTTATCAAATTGTTTAACTATAGTGTATATGCAGTACATATATATCGTTCTCTTTTTTAAAACATGAATATTAATAATTCTCGTCTATTGAACAAATATCTGATTGCTACCTACTTTCGTGTTATACATTTCATGAAATAGTGCGTAGATTCCAAACAAATGTTGTAGTGATATAAATGCTCTCGTCAATCACTTTCTGCTGTATATGCTGTACGCACGAGCTGAACTATGTAAATACTTTTATATTCATGTGTCAGTTTTACACAAGTATTGAACAAATATAATATATTCTTATCTATGATTTTCTATTCATATGCTAAGGCCATGAATGTTATCAATTATCAAATATTCTAATCTATTACTTTCTGTGTAAATGTTACATGATTGTAAAGTAATCTTTATCTATCCTATCACCTCGATAGAAATTTTGAATATAATGTAAACATTCTTATCTATCACTTTCTATACAACTGTCAAACAATAAAAAATTATCTTATCTATCTACTATACCTTCCTAATAACCGATAGACCTATTTCAGAGTATTCTATACAAGTCGTTACTTTACATACATCTATGTTGATCTATTACTTAAATTGAATCAAATTCAACATTTACATCGAATAGTTACCCAATAAAATTTCTATCTATCACCACTAGTTATTTATTTTCAGATAAAATATTTTATTCAAGAACACTATGTTGCTTCTGTTTAGAAAATTAGGGATGAGATTTTCAGAATGAAGTAGCTGTTTATTCATATATCTAATTATTCCTTTTTGATGGAGCACATATTCGAGAAAGAAAAACTCCTTAGCAATTGTCATAACTACGGTACTTAAAAACATTCAAAAAATTTAGCAACGGAAATGTAGTTTGAACATAGAAAAAGACATTCCCATGTAATGTACAAGTATTGGATATCCTTATCAACAAGCTGTCTAAACTATCACTAGCAATTAGCGATAGTAAGGTTAGCTTATCAATTTATTTGCATATCTTGTCTTCCATACATACTACACGAAAACGCTATTAAAAGAAAACATTTTATCATAATCCAAAATACCGTATATACGTACTATTAAATCATGATATCTAATTTTCAATAGCCGAGAAGATACGTAGATGGTGATTCATTTATCTATACAGAATATATTAACATCTTCTTTTTAAATTTTTATCCTATACTGTGTTACATTCATCGGAAAGCTAATCTAATTTACGAATTTATTGCAGTTACTTGGTGCTACTATGAGGCAAGTGATCCTCTATCAAAAAATTATAGCATACATTAGAAATAATTGTGAATTCATTACCTAAAATGATCATTCTATACCAAATTAAACCTAGCCTAACATTAGTAAGCAATATCTTCAAATTTAATACATTTAGTACTCCAACTATGTAGTCTATCTAGATGTATATAATAATGCTATAGTTTTTCATCCATATCTAACAAAGAATCACTTAACTTACCAAATAAGATGAATAAAAATTGCAGCGATATTTAGCTGTAGAAGTCTTGTAGGCTTGATTGAAACGCTAATATTGCATTATCTTGGGGTAAAAAATATTGTATATGCGAGTAACCCCAGATGTCAATAGGATAAATTTTGTGAAATTGAAAGTATTAGAATAACTCTAATTCTGCTAGTGTATTTAGTTTTAACACTTACGGTTACGGTTAGATGAGGAGAGTATTCTATAAGAACGGGAATGATTGAGAATATCTTTAAATGATTTCTGTAACCAACACAGGTGTGCTGAGACAATAACACTTGGTAATCAAGTTGACTAAATGAAGATATCCCCAATGTTCATATTATCTTTTTATAGAATGCGTATATATACAGCAGAGTTACATGAAAAGAGAACAGAAAGGAAAAAGAGTGGGCTAAATACTGTACATGACAATAGATTGAGATCTCCATTTTAATGTTATCTTCTTAAAAGTTAGGTTAAAAAATTTAATTGGAGCTTGATGATTGCTGTAATTTTTGTTATGCTGATCAACCGACTAAACAGATAATTAAATTTGTTGGCTAATTATTTTGTTAATATAAATATTATTCTCAAAGTTATTAGCATAATCGCTGTAAATTGAAAACGATAAAGCAATTATTTGTGTCAGTAATAAATCTTAATTCATTAAATAGTATGTATCAATAATAATTATAATTTTTAAGTATCCGATTTATTTGTTAATAACAGCTTTTCTTTATCTTAACCATTTGAAAATGAATTCTTTGCTTTCACTGATACGATACAATCAATCTAATTAGTTACCTAATATTATATTTGCTATTTATAATAATAAGATTGTTAACAGTTCATATTCTGTGTAATTGTAAGGTTAATAAAAAATTGTTCCAAATCAATCAATTCATAATGCCATATTCTATTATCTGTCATCCAAACAGACGGTTTAAAGATTTTAGTACAATACGATTATGCAACTTGATAAGTATCCTATTCTTCCATGATAATTGCATTTCGTTACTCCTTATTTCAACTGATAGCAAGCGATACTTTAGCGTAATTTAAAGGCACAAATTAATGTCTAGAATTTAAGAGAATTATTACTAACACGGGTTATTTTGTCATATTAATCATGTTTTGTCACCGTTCTCTCCAATATTAAATCGATTTTTCATTTTCATATATTTTTAATATCGAGATTAACTTTGTACATATCACTGTAGTATCTCAAGTTCAAGAAATCTTATCTAGAATAACGTTAAAGTTATCATTGTTTGAAAAAAGAATAGTGATATGGAATGAATGAATAAACAAATAATTAAATTTCTATTACTCATTACTATTGTAACAACTACAGTACTACTATAGCCGTATTGTTACTACGGTACTATTCCATCGAATAAAGTACTAATTCTAATCAGTCGTCGTATAAAATGGGTTGAAAAGATAGCCAAACAGATTTTGGTTTTCCTTTTTTATTGGTTTAAAGTTATTTGTATACAGTTAAAAGTCCTAGTTATGATACAACAATTTAACTATTTCCGAAGTCGAAATGAACACTTAAGAGATCGTTATAACTCCTTCTAGATAGTATAAAATAACTTCGTATTGATAGCATAAGATAAATTCATTTAATTTTTCCGTCCAAGTTCTGTCAATATCCATAAGGGAATATTTATCTAGATACATTATAACCTTAGTAATGTATCATCCAGAATTTTTATCTGTTATGAGTTAATGCCTTAATCTAATTTAAACCCTTTCAGAGTCTATCGATCAATAGTAAAATCTACCTAAAAAGAAAGTAAAAGTTTATGGTAGACGATGTATTGATAATGTTGATGCAACAACTAGAGCTTTAGAGAAACACCCATTGACTAGCTATTTTTGCTATTAGAGAGGGTGCTAGACATGTTTGCATTTCATAACCAATTTGCATAAAAAGTAGACTAAAAGATGATGAATGTTACTAACAAATATCCCTATTTATTTACTATCCGGTACAAATCATCATCATTTCGCTAATTAACCAAACCAGTTATCACACGAACTAGACAAGACCTTTCAGTATTTGCTGCCAAGATATTTAATCAATCAATCAAACAGTGATTATCTTAATTAGGAATTATGAGTCATGCTTAAGTTTTGTTTATTCATCAGCGATTCGCCTTTTGATTTATAACGATTAGCCATCACTATCCTGTCTCATAGTGTTGTTTTGCTATTAGTGACAGTATTTTATTAATGCAGTTCAATTCGTAATTAATAGTGCTATTTATGAAACAAATTTTTATCGTTAATTCCACCCTGTTTTTACTAGCTGTGAACAAAGTACATAAAATATGAGAATGATATAATTAACTGGCGTAAATACGCTGTATTCTACATTACTCATTTATGAAATGGTGTTTCAACTAGAAAATTGTAGCATCGAATACTCGCATAAGTCAGGTTTAATGCTTATTAATAATTGAAATGCGACTTTATATTAATAGCAGAAAACATTAATGAATAACTTTGACAGACCATGTCCAATTGTCCATCTTATAAGTTCAATTGAGAAGTAAGGTTTACAATCAGATAACTTAGCAAAATCCATAGCCATCGAGATTATTTCTATACCTAAGGCTTTAAATGTTAATTTTCATAGCGCTATATAGATAACGTCAGTCTGTCCTATTTCATAACTTGAGAATTTTTAAATTTTTGGAATTAACATTAAGCAATTTGATCATCATTGAAAGACGAGCCTGTCCAGTATTATTAATATTTCCAGCTATCATATTACGATGATACTGTATACGAGTATTATATAGCTATTGAGCTTCACGTTGGAAAGATTGATAAACGTAAAAGAGAAGAATAGCCTTCTATGTTACTTTACAAGTTTTTTAAGGAGTAAAAAAGTCAAAATATTGTACTGTACATAAAGGATTTATATTATTTATTAATAATCTAATTTAAGAACGGAGTAATTATCTTTAATTGACTGAGTTTTTAAGTTTTTATGGTATAATATTGAATTATTTTTCGTAATCAGATTTGTATAAAAACTCATTCGCAGACATTGCTAGTGCTAATTCAAGTGTACTATTTTCTACGGGGAATTTCGGGAGTATTGTCATCAACAATGGATTGATATGCTGGAGGTGGGCCATAAGGCTCAGGCAAATGATGTTGTGGCGGAGCAGCTGCAGCGTTAATCGTATCTGCACTAGTTTCGGTAATTAACAGAGATTTAGCTTGTTCATTAGGTAAATCAGTTGGTGGTTGCGGTGATTGATAGGGTATATTGGTAGCCTGAAGAGAATTTATGTTAGAATTAACGCTTTGGTTCTCGGTATTTTCGTCAACTGTAACAGTAATCAATTGGTCAGCGGCGATTGATTCATTGATTTCGCGGACCACGAATGGCATACGGATAATATCGGCCAAAAATCCAATGCCAACTAACCCAAACGTCAATAAGTAGGTAAGACCTAAGCCCGGTTTGCCTAGATAAAAGTGCTGCAATCCAAGAAAGCCTAACGGGAAAGTTAAGACGTAAGCACTATCTAGATGCTTGAAAGGACTTGGAGGATGTGTATTAGCTCTTCTGACCAGCACAGGCATGCGGAAAAAATCAACTAGCCAACCAACTCCCCCCATCCCTATGGTGAACAAATAAGCAAAACCAAAACCAATATTTCCAAGATAGAAATGATGGACACCTAAAAATCCAAAAACCCACATAACATATGCATCGTCTAGTCTCTTTGGTCGTTTCTTCATAGCAGCGACGGGAGATTCTTCTGATTCGTGTACACGTTGCCTAGCATCTGCTACCAATAGCGGCATTCTGAAGATATCTAAAAACCATCCTATAGTGGCAAAACTGGCCGTGAAACAGTATGCTGTCCCAAATCCTTTCCTATGAAATTGAAAGCAGAAATTGTTAGGGTATAAGTAATGCTATCTACAACAATTACTTCCTTCAACACTACTTAATTTGATATTGCATCTGTTTCCAGTTTTGATCTTTATAATAACAGTTACAATAGAGTCGTATACGTATATGTATGTAAACTGTAAGCATAGCAATGGAAATATACAGTACAATAAGTTGTGCGTACATTTGTAGGTACTGTCCTACATGATGTAATTTATACAGTAATATTTAAGATTTTAAAGAATAAGTAACAGTAACAGATATATTTTTTATAGGTTGGGTACTGATCCAAAGTAATGATGGTTATTTTCGACCTACTTTAATTATAGGCTATAGCTCTAGATTGCAATACATATAGTATATACGTTAAAAATTTGATGTAATATCTAAAAAACTGACTCATGTATGCGATCAGCTTTCTACCTACGTACGGTCTAAGGCAATACGAATATACAGTAGGTTATTTATTATAGGTATTGTAGCTCCTCTAGGTTTAATAAATCAACTGTGAGTAATTTGATGGACTTCTAGAAGTTAATGGTAATTTGATATACTCCAGTTCATTCGCAAAAGTATTATTATATAAACTCCTGCACTACATTTAATCGTATTTTAGTAGGCCCACTATTACGATCTATTGCATATTGCAATTGATAACTATGTAACTGTTCATCATCTACATTAATGATATGGAAGTACCCCCTCCCGTCCATCTTTGAATGTTTTATCTCGCATGGATGTCATCATTATTGGACATATTGAACTTCTAAACATTGATTTACATGTTTTATAATTGTAAGTGTATGCTCGCTTACATAGCATAGCAAAATAGGTTTACACTAAAGTTATACGACAACAATATGATTAGAACAAATCGATTCAGTAAATTGAGCGTGCACTACTATAACAAGTTGTTCATTAAAAGGAAAATGAATACGAATTGGATGTATTACTGTAAAATAGTCTACGAGTATGACTAAAGTACAGTATATTGTATAATCTGATGATAAAGCGATTTCAATCAGTCATTTAAATTGAACGAATAGCTTGTTCCTGTTTACTATGATGTAGCTCAGTAGAGTAGTACACGATATCGAAATGATGATAACAAAATTGACCATGATCTGCAGCTGTTGTATTGTTGTTGATGGTATTTTAATTTAAAGAGCTAGATTAATTAATGACCGCAAGGGCATGCAAAGTTCAAACTAGTATAAATAGTATCGGCAGTAGCCAATACAATAAAACTGGTGCGCTATGCTGTATACTGTACCTTCCAAGATAAAATTGATGCAATCCAAAAAGTAAGCCACCAGGATTCAAACAAAGTACGTAAGCTTCAAGTAAACTAAATTCCTTGCTAATTTGAGGATTAGCCAGCCGATGATTGACTCGTTGGACAATTTTAGGCATCATAAGCATATCGTGCAACCAACCCACGCCGAAAAATCCCCCCGAGAATAAATATGCCAATCCTAAGAGTGGTTGACCAAGATAGAATCGATGTAACCCTAAAAAACCAAGAGGGAAAGCACACAAATAGGCATCAGCCACGGATTTTTGACTTTTTGGACGGCTAACATTTCCAATGATGACTGAAGCACTGGCACTTGAAGAATCGATCATTGCTGTTGCTATGTTGGACGATTTGGATAGTGGATTTGGAGAAGAAGAAAGGTGTTGCCACTATCCAGTCGTTGTGTTGAGATATTGTCTATTTTCACTCGAGCCCCATGCTAGTCAATCTATATGGAATAGCGACGTATACGCGGAACAGTGGATAGCGCTTTGACTCGATTGCCAAATGCTTCATTTTATTTTGTTATAACGGTACAATCCTGTTGGACAACAATGACGTCATTGGATAACATCGCGTACTGTACCGTACTAGAATGAGTACAACTTGGAGGCCCTATCCTATCGTTTTGGGGTCTTTCTACTATTCTATCAAATTAACGCAGCATTCGGTAGGTCTTTAATGACATTTGGAAGCTAAATGTTGGATTATTTTGAAGTACTATTCAAAGGAAACTCCGAATCCTTTGGATTAAAACATGCTATTATTATTATTCATAGCCCTGATCATGATACAACATCAGTACTATGAGGTAATAGGTGCATCGAGTAATCCAATCATAGACAGTACTAGGTATCAGTCAAGAAAAGTCAACGTGAAACCGCGACATGAATTCGACTCGAGGGGAGATTCGGGTGAAGAATTTCCATGGTGATACAGTGGTTGTATAGCAATTGCACATATTTCGGGTTAGAAGATCAACCATTTCATCGGGTTCGGGTGGCGTTTTTACTCCATTGAACGATTCCATTAGGTATCTCCTAATGGAGAGCAGTTAAAAATGGAGGGGGAAAAAATCGACGCCAGACGGTACTTTACTTCTTCCTCGGTCTCTATGGCTACAAGCTCACTCACATTGTAAATCTGATGTACAGTACTGTAGATTTACGGTGATCAGCAAACACGAGTTTTATAACCGTAGAGGTGGTTTCTTGTGACCTCTATCATTTCAACAAAATGAACACGATGCAATATTGATTGAATTAATTAGAACCATATTGATGCCTGGGCTGTGAGTTGACAAAAACTAAACATCATCCAGTAAATGTACATAGTAGTATCTATTAACATATAGATACAATCTTGTCCATTCATGATTCATACCACAAGTACTGAAGGTATGCATCATACAGTACGAGGTATTGGCTGTAATATTGGACACAGATATGACTTGGAATACCATTTCTACGATCTACGATAAAGTAAAATTTGGGTAGATACCAGTATTCGTCTGATCACTTTTCTCTACTTGCATTCATTGTATCTTGAAGGGATGCCATTAAAACCCACTCTAAAACTGGCGTAATGTAAATAACGTTATGTACTAACTAGTGTACAGTCCAATATGGCAGTTTTAGTCGATCGTGTGGAAAATAGCTGCGGCAAGTTTTTTCGAATCTTGAGAGATTTATCGACCAAAATAAGTAATACTCAGCGGTATAAAAACCAAATTAGGCTGTGGAATTTTCTTTTCATTTGTCTGGTTTTAACGGATACAATTATCAACGGTAGAATTCTTTCTCAATCGACTCTTTTCAACAATTTTCTTCATCGATTGGAAGATACAAATGGTCATTTTTATAATACTTCACCATGTAGCCAATCTGGTCACTCTCGATGTTGTGGCATATATCGCATTTCAATTTTACTGCATGAATACGAAGGCGTATACGTAACATATATTTTTATCTTTAGCATTACCATGATTGTCAATTTTTTCCTATTTATACGATGCTCGGCATTAATCATTTACACATCGCAATTGTACGATTCCAAAGTCTTTCGATTAGCAGCTTTAATATCAATACCTCAACCAATGTTATTACAGTCAGTTCCACTGACTTGTTTAACTATTGCTTTAAGACATTTAGAAAATATGCCCATGGGACTAAGATGCCTCCAATGCCGAGTTAATTATATTAGTAATAATACTGTATGCTCTAATTTGTTAGCGGTCTATGGCTTTGATTTCGATTTGCTAGCAAAGGTCGTACTTATGCTAATGATTGGTTATGCGACCTCGTTAAGACTACTTGGATTTCAGCTGCATTATGATGAAGGCGATGTTAATAGTAATGATCAGGGTAATAGTGCTGCCAAAACGGTAGTATTATACATCTTTGAATCTCTTGGCTTAACCGCTATCACTAGTGTGCCCGTTTGTATCATTGGCTGGACATACCATCAATCGACATCAATCGATCCAACTTTATCTACTGGCTTATATGTACTATTTATTATCCTGCCTATAATTGCTAGTCTCACAATCGTTGCTACAGCTGCTGCGTTGGCAATGAGGGAACAAAAAGCTTACATAGCAGAAAACAATCTCGACATTAATAAAGAGGATGTTGCATTTGCATGTAATACCTTGACAATTTTCATTTTAGAAGTGCTGATGTTAATTATGGTAATCATAGGCCTATATACATTTGTTCCGATATTGCTTGTCTTTGCTTTATTTTATCAAACAGTGTTATACTTTACATTACTATTAAAATTGGTTTAATGTAACTAGAAAAGCCTAATGTCTTGAAATTATAGGAATCTACGATTAAAATGAATCATTTTAGAATTACTTATGCAATTTTTGCGATAAGTTAAAGTTATAATTTATCTTTATTAAATTCTGTAATAATGTTATGCAACATTACCAATTGTATTTTAACAAAACTTATTTATTTAGCTAGTAATTCGAATAAAAATGATAACTTACCCTTGCCGCTAAAAATAGTACACATTATACATTAACTTGCATTAGAATGATGATTACTATAGTATTACCTACAGTCGCCAGCTAAAATAAAACTATGTATGCTTCACTTTAGAGTTCCAACAGAACGCAATGTTCTACTACTAGTATATAATGCAATAATGGCTTGATTGTACAGATTAATGGTTCAAAATGATCATCTATATTAATGGCTTCCTCACCTAACTAGTATTTATATCGAGTGAGAAGGTAATTTTACTATTGAAGCTATCTTATTACAGTATATGTACACTCTTAAATTAATTATCTATTTAAAATTACGCATAGCAAGAAGTCGTACTGAATCCTTCTTGAAGCTTGTTCCAGCATAACTTATAGTTAGGACTCTAAATTGATGGTATATATCCTGATCTCGTATTCTCGCTTATGACAGGCGCGTAGTAGTAAGATTTAAATTTTAACATCCGGCAAAAAGCTTTGAAAGAATTGAATATCCACGGCGTTATTAACCCTTACAGCATCATCTTTTAGAGTATGTACAGTTTGAGATATATCCTAACACGAAGAAAAGAGCACATGTAGAACATATTACTAGATTTAACTTCTAGAGAGATTAATAAAGTGAAATTTTATTACCTGTAGAACTGATTGAGTTTTACATATTTGATTAACCGTATCTTCTAATTTATAATTTGCGTTACTATACATATCAGTAATTCTGGCGTTAATTTCATTTCGTAACTGTAAATTTTTTTCGCCTAAATAATAAATATTTTATCAGATCGATATTAGCTCACTTCGTTTCTTACTGCTTTATTTAGATACAATCGTAGATTATATTTTCTTCTACTTACGTAATTTACGGTGTAGTAACCTAAAGATTAGAGAGATAGCAATAATTTATTATAAAATAATTGATTATAACGCTTAATAATTAAATATAGCCCATTCAACATAGTATACTATATGCAGTAGAAAGCTAATACAGTACATACTCGTATCCATATCTTCTCAGTTCCGATTGCACACAACAAGAAGTGAATAAGTTACAAGTATTTGTAATACATACGTGTCGTATTTCTCTCCAGAACGGACTGTCTTTTCTTGTTTCTGGGTAGATTGAGTTTCAGAAAGTTCTGACGCAGGCGAGATCGGTTCATTGGATACAGTGTTATCATTGGAAATTGTTGATTTTGACTGCTGGTCAGTATCCGCTGTTAATCTAATGGAAGGATGATAAAAGAAATACTTTTGATGTGACTATCCTACCTGACGATATTTTTATATTGATTACAAGTCCAAATACGGTTTTATCCTGTCATAAGTTAAAATCTATACTGAGGTCTGTACCCTTGAGCAATTTGACAACTAGCTTTACTATGCACATTTTTTAAATAGTTCGATTTATCAACATTTAAAATTAATATAATTAACATCTGATTAGCTTTAGTTGATAATTACTTATTCATGCAATGCATAATTAAGTAAAAGATTAAAGCAAGCACGTATACTCTCATTGATCAATGACACTAAGATTAACACTAGAGGTCGTACGTAAATTAGCGGTCTATTGGGTTATTAAAAATTAATTTATCTCGGGTCAAACATTGTAACATGGTATACGGCTATGTGCGTGTATCCTGTCTTTGCCGATTTTCCTTTTATGTCTAACGTAAGAACTAGGAAAAATTTTGCAATACTGTCTCAACGTATTGTACTATTCTAGCTAAGTTAACTGAAATATTTGGCTGTAGAATATGGTTCATACAACAAAATTGTTATGTTTTTATAGTTGTTTTATTTATTTATTAACAGTAAGCATTGCAGTCCTTTGTCTTGGCATCAAGTGTAGTCGCTATTTTTATAAGTCTGCAAAAATACTATTGTCGATGGAGAGTTAATTATAATTAACAGGTATTTTTTTAAATAAATAAAGCATATACGGTATGTGCCACCAAGGGCTCGAACTGGATGACCTATAGCATCATACTCTGTTTGAATTCTGATATACGTCCACTAGAATAGGACACTATAATTCGTCCTGTGTTCTTTCAAAAGTCACTGTATAGTAGTAAGACAACCTCCTTAAGATGTGATTATTTCTATTTTGTTCAGAAATAATACTATGATTACTGGCAGTCATACGAGATGTTGACGAATTTAATGATGACTTATTTAGAGCAAGAATGTATCATTACCCCAGGCATGCTAGCAAGTGTATGCGATGTCGCCACAGTTGTAATCATAAGAATACTAGGTAACGAATACCACTTGACCACATATTACGTTCAACCAGGGACTTTTTAAGAAGTTCCTGATTCAGCGTACAATCCAGGATTTCAATCTGGCGGGATACTATGTTGTACAAATGTAGTGTTAAAGCTTTAAAGGTCTGAGTACTATCTAGAGGTAAAAGAAGATACCTCTTCTGATCAACCATTAAACCACTTGTTGGTTTCTTGTTGTTTGCTGCCTATAGATTTGATCTCAATGTTGTAAAAACTGAGCGGCCATCGAGTGCAGAATGCATCAGTCTTTGGGGCAGAGCATTGTATCGTACGTCGACTAGTAGTTTATTATTAAGACAGTGGGTGACCATTGAGTATGGAGACTATGGCAGACAGCGTCAAAATGTCAATAAAACAGATCAATAATTCTAATCTAATCAGTCCATACTGTAATACTGAAGTTAGCTGAACCATAGACTACTGAATTACCTGGAGTAGTCCATGGCTGAACTGTACTCTAAAATGATCTATTAGTTGACTGCTGTATAATACTCCTGTTTTTTTTTTCTCTTAATAAATAAACAAACACAATACTGTACACAGTCAATGCTAAACATGAAAATGATGAATGTAGTACTTTTTAGACTACAAGCCGGTACACTACTGTCAAGGACTTTTACTATGAGTAAAATGCTCTTCAAGTAGTTTTAATTTTTCTCCAAAGTGCCTAGTACTGCACCCCTGCTCATACATTTACAATCCATTTTAACTTCTTAATTTGACTCAGTATTTGATCTCCAATCTCCATTCACTGATTGTCTTCTATCTTGAATTAGACAAGATGCAAATGGCTACCATTGGCAAAGCTCATATTCTTACTGGGCAGATGTGTACAGTACTGTACTCGTTGGTACTGTAATCACGAATACTGTGCCGTGTTGTACAGTACTGTAGAGTACAATACTTTGTACTGAAGACAATGGTAAGTACTGTACAGCCGTACCCGTACAGTACAGTACAGTACTGTACGAGTATGTTACGTACAATGAATGATACTGTAGTGCATTTAAAATGCACTGATTTCAAAGAGCGATTTCATTCACCAAAAAAAGGAAATTGGTCTTGGTGATCTAGATGTACTTGAATTCATGAGGTCTGTCTAAACTCTTGCCTATATAATTGCTATTGTGGCGTATTGTATTTTATCTTCATAGCATTAACTTCTTATAAAGGTAGAATTTTTGAGTAGATAGGTCTAAATAAGCCTCATGATCGTTTCAACTATTGACAGTCAGTCGAGTTTTATGACGTCCACAGCAAATATCTCAATATAGGTGCAGAGAAGACACGTAGGATCTAAACGTATGGTAAGAGAATTCAACTACTGTATCCATTCATGCACTTTTTCACCATACACGTCTACCACATACTGTACACCTGTTCATGCTTTATTGGTGTTGCCATTTTTATGTAATTTTGGTAGATTCACCTTATGCAGTAATCAATTTTTTGTTGTCACTTGTAATGTACAGTACGGGTATAATGTTGCGCAATTGGTGTCCTTTGCATATTGATATCTTGCAATAGTCCAGTTTATGTGGAAGCAACTAGAGATTGACTGCAAGAGATTATTTTACACTGCCAGTTATTACAATAGTGTAAGATCACTTACAGAATGACTATCATTATTTCAATGAATGAAGTATACTATACTTCTATTTCGTAACTGATCATTGCCAACGCACTGTGATATTGTACAACGACAACAAATATTTTGGGGGCAATGGGTGGGTAGAAGATCTTATAAGAAATGTAAAAGAGTTCGTATTACGATATTGTACGGTATACCTGTTGTCTTTCGATTTCAATGCCAGTCAATTTCAAGCATTGCTTAGTAATATTTCATTAGTAAAATTGGAATAAAGTACCCATTTATACCTATTTCTTGGGAGTAGTCTCTCCCTCCCTGGCGTTATTGATTAATTTCGAATTCCTGGATTACAGTCTATAGCTTGTAGCATTTAGCTTGGATTATGATAGCCTTGACTTAGCATTACTATCAATAAAATGTCTAACAGTTGAATTATGCATATAATGCAAACTCATGAAATAGTCCAATAGCAGTGTCGATTAACTTCTTGGTATCTTTACAGCCCCAAATACAGCACAGTAATACAGTACTAGAGTAGAAGAATGAGCAGGACGAATCATTTAGGTTGTATTTGTACTGTACCTGGGTTTTTGCGGATGAACAGTTTGGGCTGGCTGAACGTTAGGGTATTGATCGTCCTCTGATTCCGATGCTTCCCCAGCTACGATCGTTCCATGGCTTGAAATCGGGTTGACAGTGCTTTGTGTATTAGAGCAGCTATGGAGTTGTTGGGAGATTGCAATTTCTTCTTCAGATTCCGAACCTTCTCCTTGAATTTCGATGGTGGACATTTTGTAGTGCTACAACAGAACGATACAGCGGTCAACTACAGCACCAATGACACTGCGTACAATCAGGTCAAATTACAGTATTTCGTGGTGTCACTGCACCGTTTACCGGCTAGTCTCGTCATACAGTACTGTACTCCGAATGATTTACAAGAACTACTGTACACTGTACACTGTACAGTACTGTACAGTACAGCACCGGGTGAAATACTGTTCTCCCAGAATGATTTGTACTGTACAGTGTACCGTATCGTACTGTACTGTACTCTTCACCGTTTACCGGCTAGTCTCGTCATACAGTACTGTACAGTACTCCGAATGATTTACAAGAACTACTGTACACTATACACTGTACAGCACCGGGTGAAATACTGTACTGTACTCCCAGAATGATTTGTACTATACAGTGTACCGTATCGTACTGTACAGTACAGTTGCGTCGCGATGTACTGTACAGTACTGTATTATACTGTAGGACTGTACACTGTAGCGATTCAATTACAGTACTGTAGTCTGTGGTCTGGTCGGCCGTCTTTTTATTTGGACTACTGACTGTACTGTACTGTACTGTAGACTGATTTTTAGACATACTGTACAGTAGGCCCAGCCATAATAACCCCGATTACTCAGATACTCAGCGTAAATAGCTTAAACGATGATGCATTAACACACCAAAAAATCAGGGACTATTTTTAGATGTTATCGCCGACAATATAGTGTACCGTTGCAGATATACGATACACTTTCAAATAACCAGTAAAAGATAATCCGTCTTGACATTTCTTAGACTAAAGGGAACCATCACTTCCGTCTCTCTGTCTCAGTCATGATGATAGCGCGACTGTACCGTACTGTACGCGTACAGTACTTCTATTATACTGTAGAATTATGCAGTTACTGTACTGTACACTGTACAGTACAGTACGCGTAAAATTATGCAGTTGGTCATGTAGTAAAGTATATGCTAATCGAGACCTTTTTCGTGCTAGACGACACTGTACTGTACTGTATATCCAAATGTTTACTGTATACTAGATGTTGATCAGAACATTCATAACGTTAGTAGAACTTTTCCAATCCAACGTAATCTACGTTTCCATAGAGAAAAAGCAGATGTGACAAACACTACGTACATACAATCCATACTGATCATATGGTACTACAAATTTTCATATCATTATCAGATAGTTGCCAAGGCAAAGGATCCATATCAAATAATAGATGTAGACAAAATCAATTATTACAAGTTTTATCAATTAAAAACTAAAACTATTATAGAACGGTAGAACTATCATAAGCGCGCTTGCAATTTAAGTCACAATTTGATGTACTCAATGCGGTAGCGAATAGTATTATTGTTATCGCTATAGAACCAGAAGAAACTAATTATAATATTGATAACACATGTACATATACATATATATATATATTGAAATGAATCTATTATATTCACGGTCTACCTTTGTATTAGGCTCCAATTTTATTAAAGCAAAATTGATTATACTATAACCTTAACAAATGTTATCAATTGTTTACAACGCATATTCTAAATAGTCTATCATCCTGTATTTAATTAATTGTTAGTGATAATTTTATACTGTATACTGTATGTACAGTATTGCTCGCCCTCACTACTTAGATTAGAGAGAGAGAGTAAATACTGCAGTGGAGGGCTATCGTGTTAAGCTAAGCTATTTATTGAATATATTCCTTGCTATGCTAAATTAGTTTTTTTTAATTGATGCCTTAATCTACTGTAAAAACGAAAATTATCATCTGTGAAAATCATCTCTATTTAATTACGTTAGAAATTATCTCCAAAACGTTAAACAGACTCGTGTGTCGTTGATAAGTTACTGCTTCTTTTTCTAATCCAACAAAACTCGTTACTGTTACTTCAGACATCTCATTATCTTTCTACTTTGGACTCTATAGTAGAAACTTTTTTGTGTATGCCAAAAAAATAATCACCGTAGTCTAGTGTTGTTTTCATTTCTGGGACTTCTTCTCATCATTAACATCAAAGTAGTGAAGAAATTCAAAAGTTTATATTGACTACTTGAGACTGGGCAAAACTTTAAATTTTTTTTTGGTCTTGATGATCTGATTATGGGTAATGCTTGTGGTAATTCTCAATTGACAGTAAGCACTAGCGATAATAAGCAGAAGGAAGAGGAAGAAATGTCTAATCCTAAAGGTGGTCAACTCTTTCCAATGGCTAATTCTCCACAGAGAAGCAGCGCTGGATCAACAGCCAATGGTGGTAGAAAAAAGGTCATCCTAGGCAAAGGTTATGGATTATTAGATTGGATTACGTTAGGGACGAAACATCCAGATTTAGCTGGGACTGGCGGCATTATACGCAAAATAACCAACGATGAACTTGCTCGCCATAATACTGAAACGGATGCATGGACGTGTATTCGAGGTAATCAATCTGTTTCTGTTATAAAATGAATAGTATAAGGGTGTTTATGAACATCCATAAAAAAATATATTCTATTCTACTCAAATTAGAGTAGACGAAATGTAGAGTTCTAGAGACGGTAGTTCTACTTAATATCCTAAAGTTAATCGTAGCTTTTCTTGTTATAATTAAACGATTGATCGTTTCCTAACAGGATTCGATTCTTTGCCTCAAATTGTGATATTAATTGAATCGTACTATCAAACGTGGCGTTCAATATAAATTAATTAATCGTTGCAATAGTTGATAGGAGAATTGAAAAAAAAGGTTTAATTAGCAGTAGTTTTGTAATTTTAATCTACAGATTTATACTGCGGGATACAAGTCTTAACCTCCATCCTATAATAATCTTTATAATTTGATGGTAAAATAGTTTAAATTTTAAAACGAGAAAAGAATTTATTTATTTGTAAGCAACCGTAGTCATTTGCCATTTTGTTTCATTAAGACCAAATATTATTTTCTGAAGTAGCATATTTTATAGCAATGTACGCTAAAGCTATTGTTTTAGCTGGTAACTACTTCAACTCTTTTAAGATTCTTTTTGTAGCTTGGTTAAAATTATACGCTCGCAGCAGTAAGATGAATCAAATTGACAATTTTTATAGCATATTTTATTAATTTGTAAACAGTGGCAGTTGAAATAACATTAAGCGACAATCTAAAACATGCTGCATAAACAATTAGTTCAAATTGATATTATTCACTATCAGTCTAATTATTAATAATAATATCTCCGCCTGGAACCAATTCCTTCTTGGCATTTTTATCTATGATGGGAATAGATTTACCGACATACGCATACGATAGTCATTCACCTTTTTTCTGACTTTACAAATAAATTTCTTCTATTAACTAGGGAAAGTTTATAATATCACTCCTTATATGAAGTTCCATCCTGGTGGTATCGACGAATTAATGAGGAGTGTTGGTTGTGACGGAACAGATCTATTCGATGAAGTATGCTTTCTATTATTATTAGACTAACTGCACTAGTTCCAAAGTTATACTTTCTGTATTAAATTTTATTCCCTAATTAATAAACTGTGTTACTAATAACAATTATATAATCACAGTTATCGCTATTATAGTGATATTGGTAATATGTTAAAATTAATGATGCGTACAAACATTCTTAGATTCATCGCTGGGTCAATGTTGAATCGATGCTCGCAAAGTGCTTAGTAGGTTACATTATAGCTGATGGAGTTGACGGCAAAGAAAAGAATAAAAAATCAAACGGTTCGTTATATGTTGATTTTAATGGAAAGTTGGTCAACTGTCTCATGGCTTATATATAGCTTTCATGACTATAACGACGAAATTATATTGATAATTTACAATTTTAAATTATTTCATAAAAATATGGATTAGGAAGCATGGTTTCCAAATCTTCGTTATCTGTGCCGACCCAATCAAAAGGTAACATACATTATAGCTTTATCATAGATTTCAAAGTATACTTTATGTTAATAGTTTGCCTGTGATTAAAACGGTTACTTTATAATCTTAGAAATATTTGCTGTTCCGCAAAATATAAAAAAATCACCTCCTATCCCGAGGTAGCCAATTTTTAAATATAATTTATTTTATTATTGCACGATTAAGCTTATAAATTATTTCAATTTCATGGTAAACTTATTCAACATTAACGTCTAGGTACGATTGGTATCAAAGTGACAAATCGATTACGATCGTCGTGTATACTAAGCACAAAGGCTTAACAAATGAAGATATCCTCGTTAATGTGAAAAATAATAGAAAAACCGATATATGGATTGTACTGGGAGATAAAATCCTTCAGTTATGCTTAGGTAAATACACGTATAGCCATTCACACCAACATTGTCTAAAAATAAAATCGAATACTAATAAGATAAATTTACTTTTTAGACCTTTTCGAGGAAATATGTGAAAGTGAAGGTTAGTTTTTACTATTTGTTGATGCATAAAATGAATACCATTATTATGACGTCCACTGCATAGTGCTTAATTAGCGCAAGCTCGTACATTTTTAACGGTCATAAACTTTAGAATATAATACCATGCGGTACTGATGTTTCATCATTTTTAATCTGTTCTATATCCTAATTCTTGTAGTGAAAATATCGACAGAGGGCAATATTGAAGTGATACTTTTAAAACAAGAAATTGGTAAAAAATGGCTTTCCTTAGGGAAAGAACTGTCAGGACATCACAAGTTATTACCAAAAAATAATAGAGGTAAAGCCTATAGGTTCTTGGAATTTCTTGTCAATCAGTGCCATTTGTCAATGTTATCGCTGAGATTGAACGCTAGTAGATGATGATACTACTGTATTTTTATCTAACAACATGAAATTTGTCATGCATTTATGCTTGTTTATTGTTATTTTCATATCACATTATATAGCAAAATATTGGATATGGTAGTATTACTGCATATGACGATGCTATATTTGAACTTACTTGTGAAAGCGTTGAATATGCTGTACTGTAGACAGAGCTTGCAGTATGCTGAACTATAAGGAGTTAGAGTGTACTGATTATGCAAGTAGTTTAGTTCCCATGACTGAAAACGGTATCCTGAAAGGCTAACGTGCAGTTCGCTTACATGTCTAAGTTCATTACCTTCTTTCCTTCACTTTTATCACTCAATCGACTTAAACGCCGGTAGTTAAGATTTACTAAATATGGCAAATCTCGCTCCCTTCACCCATCCACCGTTTATTCAATGAGGATGTGAATAGTGAATTAGTGAGCCCTCTTCCTTTCCTCATATTTAGGTGATATTATCGACCTGGATATCAGTTATTTGCAAGATATTAGCGCCAAATTTTGATTTATCTTGTGTATCAATATAAGTTTCAAAATATAATAAACTGTCTTTTAGTAGTTATTGCATAGCTTTTGTCTAATCTATCCTTTAACCTTATAATTTTTCGTAGAAACTTCTTACTTCGATTGTAAGTTGATTTCCAAGACTCCTGTTACGCACGATACTTGGATTTTTGGCGTAGCCTTACCTAGAGGTTCATTTATGCACGTCCCTGTCGGACGTCACCTTATAATACAAACTGAAATGAGTGGTTAGTAGTTAATTTCAAACTTAAAAAATAGTATAGTATTGTAGTTCATTGAATCTTTGAGCTAGATACTTGAAAACTAAGGCTATTGTATGCGTACTGTACAGGCATGGAGATTGGCCGCAATTATACGCCGGTAGTTTCTTTAAATCCTGATGAAGCCGTTAATATTTCAGGAAATGGTCGTGATATTTCATTTATGATTAAAGTTTATAAGGATGGCGCTTTAACTCCATTTCTCGGTTCACTTAAAATAAGTTAGTTTCATAATTTTTACAGTATATGCGCAGTGCGAATTATATACTGCAATGCAAAATAAAATAGCTTAGGTAATAAAGGCCCTCGAGATTAGCAGAGGCAAACCTAATTATGCCAATGATTTAGGTGAGACAATTAAAATTAGCGAACACTTGGGAAATTTTAAATTTTCACGTCTGGAATCAATCGAACAACTTATTTTAATAGCTGGCGGAACAGGTACCGAATATTTATTGTACGATATTTGATCTACTGATAATGTTACTATCCTTGAAAAGTAATGTTTTAATGATCCTTCTCGAAATAAAAGGTTTTACTCCAATGGTAAAGCTAATGCGGTATTTTATAATTGACAAACCGGAATCAAAATGGTTAATATCCTTTTTATTTAGTTATTTTTATCAAATAAATAATAGATTATTGCTATAGCTGATTTTCTTGGCTAGGTATTCTTTATGTGGATTAATGAAGGAATATTCTGTTCTTATTTCAATTTATTCAGCCAAGTTAAGCTTTTATTTGGTAATAAAACGGAAAAGGATATCTTGTGGAAAGATTCTTTAGAGAATTTGGTTCGATATAGCCACGATAGGTACAATTAAGATCATTATGATATTTTATTTACTGCAATATCGCAAATTGTAATATACCTTTTTTGATAGTTGTCTTCATAATAAATGTCAGACATTCTAAAAAACAAGGTCCAAGCAAATAGTTTATGAAATTGTAGCAGAAATATATCTTATTACTGTGTTGTTATCGTTATCGATATTGAAAATTCACTTATGTGCAAATAATTTTAAGAAAATTGTAATACAAATATGCGTCATTACTGTGTTGCGTGTCGTTATCGATATTGCGAATTCACTTAAGATGGCTTGTTGATATAAGATTGTAGTAATAGTAAACTATTACTGTATTACATTCTAAAAATTTGGAATATGAAATCTACTGTATTAGGTTTCAGGTATATCATACTTTATCAGCGCCATCTCCTGATTGGAAAGGTAATAACGGTAGGATTACAAAAGAAGTGCTTCATAAGCAACTCCCACCACCTCCAGGTGTTACGGATTTGGACAAACTATTGATATGTGTTTGCGGTCCAACACCTTTTACAAATAGCATGGAAACGTATGTTTTATCTAAGCTATTGTAATAATTTTACACAAACAGCAGATACTAGACACCTTTTATTGTATAGCAACTTACGATATAGCAAAGCGTAGCTGTTTCATTCAGTTTTCATAACTTAATTATTTATATTCTAGAGCCTTACAAGAACTAGGTTATCCTTCGGAAACTATACATCTGTTTACATGACGCCTTACTGTTTATTACTGCTGTACAACATGGGCTTGCTACGGTTGATCTACTACTCGTCCCATGCCTGATCCCATTTCACATTCATCGTGTCAATCTAGTAAAGAATAACTGTACTGACAATCTATGATACGGAGAATATGTATTAAGGTCCATACCAGTGAGAATTAAATATTGGAAAACGAAATTACTGTTTTTGTTTTGCAGCATTAAATGATAATGGTATTTCATGTTTTGTATATCGGTATGTTCTTTGTTTTTATCTAAGAATGAAAGTAGTTATTCCTTACACACATTTTGAAAATCAGGATACATTAAGAAAGTTATTTGCTGTAGCATTGATATGCCACAGTATTTATCAGTATCTCTACACTGTATAGATTTATCATTATTTTTTAAATAAAACAGAGCGAACACATTATGAAATATGTTTACAATAGTGTGACGCAGAAAGCTTTATGTAGAGAAGTCATGGATATATTTATCGATTAAAATATCATTAATTTAATTAGAATTCCTTAGCGTAAATGACGAATAAATCAAACTGAACAATCTACAGTATGCGAAAATAAAATGAACATTTTAAAGCATTTTAGGTGATTTAATTGGTAGTGCTTTATGTGGAAATAAAATACTTTGGTAGATACATTGTTTACATACACCATTTGTTGCATCATACGTGTATCATTCTACCTTGACTAGATCTTAAAATAATTCATAAAAAGCATTGTGGCTTACACGCCGTATGTTAAATTATTACAGGAAAGAAAGAACCGTCTTTCTTATACGTAAATTTAAGAATTGGAACCCAATTAATTTATATGAAATATTTTGAATTCTGATGCATGCATACGATGGGTAAATTTTAAGGCCTTACTCTTCTCATTGTAGGTTACGCATGCGATCACTACTTAGTTAATCGTGTTGGTGCTATATCGAACCAGTATATTTTTATTAAATTAATGCCTTTTAATCTTCACTTCAGCAAGTCTGTATTACATAGCGGATATCTAGACAATTTTTCTATTAAGAAGATTCGTCAATTCTAGAAATATCTCAGTTCATCCCAACTTAGTTATAAATTGACCTACCCAGTTATAGTAAAGTCTCATTCGCTTATAAATACTTATAAATAGATACTATACAAATATATAGCATAATAATTTTCTTAGAGACCATTATACGATTGGATGACTGTAGTAGACAATACTGGTCACGCGCAAGAAATATTACAAAATATGTAAATTGCTCAAATACATTTACTGCATTTATTATAACTTTACTATATGTATAATTACATATTCTAGAGTTTGATTACATACATAATTAAATATAATTATTGGACGCAAAGCTTTACTATATGTGGAATGCTATTTACAGCTTAAGCAGTTATCAATCAATGATAGCTTACTATTTATAATACTTTACAACGAAGTAGTGATTGAATCAGCAATCGGTAATTTGATTGAGTCGTCATTTGTTAAATCTACAATTACATCAGATCAAGAAATCGCTACCAACTGAGCAATATGTAGTATTTTTTTGATCATCATCATCACAACAGACAGACCAGCTATGCATAATTCTATAAGGTTCAACCAGATTGTATGCCTGCGATTAGAGCTGATGTGAAAAGTGCAAAAAATAATTTCGCGATAATTTTATTATATTAATTGCGAGAATACCGTGAAAACCTTTATGTTAAAGGAAATTGTTACAGTAATTGCATGGACTACCCGCGAAGAAAAGGTCTAAATTGATCTATAATACTTATCACCAAATTAGAAGGGAAATTCTCTATATACAGTAGGAAAGATTTTATAAGCCTTGTGCAATCTTACAAATATTGAGTCGATTATGCTTATGGTAGCCAGAACGCGATCTCTTTTAGCGTAAGTTAACCTTTGATTCATAAGCAGGTGGTGGTTCAGTACTAATTGATGGTGGAGGTGGATATACATCTTTGTGTGGATAATTTAATACAGTATTTCCGTTATCTATTGGTACTTTCCTAGTCTCCATAACATTGTTAGGTGCTTGGTAAGGCATATTGGAGGCATTCACAGAGGGATTGTTGCCAAATTGAGGTTGATTACCATTATAGTTTGAATCAATAGCAACACCAAGTAAATTTTGACCTTCAATTATAGCATCGTTAACTTGGCGAACCAAGAAGGGCATACGAACAAGATCAACCAAGAATCCAAAGCCAGCCAAGCCAAGCGTAAACATATAAGTAACACCCCAACCAGGTCTACCTAAGTAAAAGTGTTGTAAACCTAGCATTCCAAGGGGGAATGTTAAAATATAAGCGTCATCTAGATGCTTTTTGGGGCTTGGATTTGGGTCGTTGGCTCTGGCTACTAGTATTGGCATGCGAAGGAAATCGACTAACCATCCAATTCCTCCCATACCCATGGTAAATAAATAGGCAAAACCAAATCCAATATTGCCCAAGTAGAAATGATGAAGTCCTAAAAATCCGAATACGCATAAAATGTAAGCGTCGTCAATTTTCTTAGCTTTCTTTTGCTTAGCAACTTCAGGATTAGCTTGTATTTCCATTGCTCGCTTATTGGCGTCTGCAACTAACTTAGGCATCCTCAGTATATCGGAAAGCCAACCAACACCAAATAAGCCTATCGTAAAGCAATAAGCGGTACCAAATCCCTTCCTAGCCATACAGTCAAAGAAATCATGATGGTAAATGAACAAATACAGGACAGAAATAGTTCTTAAAATGTTGACTACGCGTCCATCGAACTTGTTATAATAATAATTTAATCAACGCTATGGTAATAGATTTTAGATTTTAATCAGAACTACGTATATTGCATGGATTACTTTGTTAATCAATTCATTGGCAAACAGTCCGTAGAAATAGTACTTGCTATTTTGTTTACCTTCCTAAATAGAATTGATGTAAACCGAAAAAAATTCCAGCTGGATTGAGGCAAAGGATATAGGCTTCGAGTAAACTGTATGGTTTCTTCTCTTGTGGAAGAGCTCGGCAACGATTAGCATGATTGACTACGCTAGGCATAAAGACAAGATCATGCAACCATCCAAGGCCGAATAATCCAAAAGAGAAAAAATAAGCAAGTCCAAGATACTTTTGACCCAGATAGAAGCGATGTAAGCCAAGAATTCCAAGAGGGAATGCCAATAAGTAGGCATCAGCAATGGATTTTTTCGGTAGAGATGGACGAACGACTTGCAGTCGATCACCCATTGGATTATAATTATTAGGGCTATTGCATTCCATTCCTTTCGACATGATTGATGAAAAATGGACAAACGCTTTTTTTATCTTAAGTGAAAGCTTATACTGTAGCGAAAATTTTACTTCGATCTTGGCAGAGCTGTGCCTTAAATAGTACAGGACAGAACCCTTTTATTTGCCTTACGGCTTTGATCGTTTAAGAATGGGAGGGAGACAATGATATTAACGGCTGATAATGAAAATAAATAATCCTTCCCATTGGCATTATAATCAAATCAATCAAATGCTGCCAACAGCTGATAAAAGGACTACCATAAAAGGAAAATTCAGTGACAGTAGATATTATTTATTATTTATTGACATAAGCGTGCTGATCGATAAAGTACTCTTCTATCCAATGCCATGGAAGCAGCAACCAACGCTATATCATTGATTGTAATGATTCTAGCCAGTAAGATGCTATATAAATTACGTATGAATAAATTACATGCTGCTCTTATTGAATTCCAATTATTATTTACATTTGCTTTCTAATAAAGTCTTCCGCTGGCTGCATCTATCAACCAATGATATACGAATAAAATGACGTATGCATAAATTCAAGGCCGGCGGACCCTACTCCCACCTCTATGGTAACAAGTAATAAATAAACACGGAGCTAAATTTCATTTTTGAACAAATTGATACATTACGAGTTGATTTTCTTCCATGTATCGAACCAATACCTGAAGTGGAGCGTGTGCTAACGTATGCAATCACGTATCCAAACGATTATTTATAACTAATTTACACCTTGTGTGTATATTATTATCCTAGTTAGTTGTTTTTACGCATTATTTGCAGTTATAAAGGTTGATGTAGTATTGATATATCAAGAACAGTGTTGTCGTTCTAGTTATAGATGTAACTGCACACTACCTGGTTAGATTGGTACGAGACCAACATAATGTTAATGTAATATTATCATAGCTTGATAATAGCAGGTTTAAAACTAGTTCTAACCGATATCTTACACTCTTAATGTTTAACTTATATCAGTGTGTTGGTAATGTAAAACGTCAGTCCAGATAGCAGTGTCTGCATTTACGTGGCTTGAGCAATTAAGTATCAGCTCAACTGTGCATCGACGGCGTTGCGTTTGATTCGAACAATTCGTATTACACTAGATGGAAGTGCATTTTTAAGATTATTAATTAATTATTTGAACTTCAGTAGTTCTTGGTCTAAAAAAACTGTCAAGTATGCGTACTCTCATCTATAAATAAATACAGTAAATATCATGCACGAAGGCGTAAATCGTGGCTGTGGGTATAAACTATTTTCTGGACGTATCCTAACCCCACTCCCACTAAATTACACCTTTGACGTAATGCTCTCACACGGTAATTACATGCATCCGCATGTTAATAATTAAAAAGTATGCTGAGTTTTCCTCTCGTGGTTCGCTATTTTATTAACGATAATCATCAAATCCTAAAAATACTGTACAGTATTAATCAAAAGATCCTTGATATGGACTTTCAAGGCGTTGGCAACAGTGAACAAAGTCCATTTTCTTATTGTACCAGTATGATATTATGTATACTATATCAGTCTATATGTAATAAAGGCATTTAATCCCATTACATAATGTCTACAGTAAAACTTCTAAAAATAGGGTTATACTAAACGGTAAATTCCTGTACTATACTAGTGCACTAGAAGCACTTGAAGATACTTTTTATGACTAGTTCAAACATATTGCCAGCATCCTTTCTAAGTGCATGCAGAGTAAATGGTGCAACCTGAAATGACTTAAACTGTCTTCAATTCAGAAATAACCATAGCCGAAAGAAAATAAAGATTGAAAAAATCTCCAACCAACTGCATAGACATGCAGGGTAGATGCTCAATGAACTGTATGCAGTAATGCTTTTAAGTATAGACATAGACTACGAGAAAAGGCCCTACCTTTTCTCCTACCTTTTCTCGTAGTCTAGGGTCCAGACAAAGCCACTTTGAATAGCTGATGTTAATTTATTCTTACGTAATGTTTCAATCTTATCATTGGTAGCTGTTGGTAGTTGATGATATCAATAAATAGCAAGGCTACAAATCCGTCATTAGCTTGCTTTTTCTCGTGTGATAGTCACTGCCAACAGCAGCCATAAGCCAACTTGGGATGATTCTTTGAAGGATATTGCCAATGTTAAGGCGATTAGGTTTCGTCGTCTTGAAATTTTTGCTCAGTTTATGAAGTCAATAAAAACGATTTGTGAAGACCGTCCGTCCAACGTCGACGAATTGTTCCATACTGAACTCTATAGAGTGAATAAAGTGATAACTAGCTCCGTCACAATTTCTATGCTGATAAATAGTATCGGTTATCTCGTTGTGAACAATAAGCTTTTAGATAAACATGCTAATATAGGAGTTGATCATTGGATAATCTAATTCAAACAAAGAAAACAACAATGTTATCTACCATATCTAGAAGGTATATAAAGGTTATCAGCAATAGTTCGCCTGCAAATTAGCTTTGGTTTTTCTTTCATTAACTTTAATCATCGTTAGTGTGGATAACACAGGCCTGTCCAGTGTGCAGCCATTTGAACTTAATTTATCTCATTCGAGAGATAAAATTGTTGTTTTGCAAGTAGCTACCCACTGCATTACCAACTATCCGATATGTCGAAGAAGGAGATCGAATTAAAAAATCACCTATATGATCAAGATAAACAACACGACCAGGTCTTACCAATTCGCCGTAAATCGCTTATTTGTGCTTATTTGTGGGCATTTCCACTTGGATTGATTGGCGCGCATCGATTCTACTTGGGTCAATCCTTAATTGGAGTAGCGTATTTATTTTCAGGAGGATTCTTTGGTCTTGGATGGTTATACGATCTCGTTTTTATGTCTAATCTGGTGGAGAAAGTCAATGATTGCCGCGCTAATCCATCATCTCGAAAAATTTATAACCTGGCTGATGCTTACATACTTTGTTTAGGCCCTGCGGGTATATGTTTTGGACTACATCAGTTCTATTTAGGAAGGTAAGAACAGTTTCTATGATATGGATAAATTTCATCCTACCTTTTCATAAAGCTTACGCAATCGTAGTTGAAAAAGACATGCTCTAACGAAACTTTATCTGCATACCTTTATCATCATGTGTATAATCAAACGCAGTCCACTATTTCGTTTTACGATATCATCGATAATTTAATTTAAATTAAAATAGTACTAGTCACTAACATTGTCTACTAGAAATTATAAATGACATTATGGATCTTGAAACTGATAAGATACTTCTTTTGGATTTTTCTGCCTACAGGAAAGGATTCGGAACCGCATATTCTTTCACCTGCGGCATGTTTGGAATTGGCTGGCTTTATGATATTTTTAGAATGCCTAAATTAGTGGCAGATGCCAACGAGCGAGCAATCGAGCTAGAAAAATGCCCCGAAGCTATTCATAAAAAGCAAATTAAACATTTAGATGATGCTTATCTTACCTGGGTGTTGGGAATTTTAGGTGCTCATCATTTCTACTTGGGTGACACTTTTTTTGGAATTGCCTATTTATGCACCTTTGGCATGGGAGGAGTTGGTTGGCTAGTGGATTTTTTCCGTATGCCAATACTAGTCAAAAGGGCAAATGATGAAAATCCTAGCCCCGAAAAAAAGTTAGACGACGCTTACATTTTGACATTCCCGTTCGGAATGTTGGGTTTGCAGCACTTCTATTTAGGAAGACCACTTTGGGGAACAATCTACTCGATTACATTTGGCTTGTTTTCGTTTGGATTTTTAATCGATATTATCCGCATGCCCTATTTGGTTCGTGAAGTTAACGAAGCTATGCGTGAGCGTCAAAATTTGCTAGCGGTTGTCATTGATGAAAAGAATCAATCTTCCAATGCCACTGGCACTTTATATCAGACAGAATCAAGTACTGACATCAAGAAAAAACCTATTGATGACAACGCCGCTTCTACCCAGCCTCCTCTTAACCTTTATCCCTCGCTACAATCTATGGAATCGAAGCCTACCGGTCTACCTCCTGCTTACGTACCAAATTGTTAATACAAAGTTTCAACTTCTTCATGTATTAACCATCATACCGATGACATACACATACTGCACCTGCATAGGGATAGCTGTTAGAGTAGCATCGTAGCATAAACCAGAATATAAAAATTTATCCTTTTACGGTAAAATGTCATTGCAGAAATGCTATTGTAATATGTATGACACGTAATTATAAATATCGTAACCAGTTAGTTTTGCCTACAGTACAGTAGGAACATATATGTATCACTGTAATAGCTTTGTATCCTACTACATTGATATACAGTATATATGTATATATATATATATTGGAAGACCTGATAGCTATCAGGATTATTGTTATACAAACTTTCTTGAGGTCGCTGGAGGTTGAATAAAAGCTGGCCCCTAACAATAAGGCAATAGCAGCTATATTGATGCGATCCTATTTACTGATTTTCTTGGCATGTGCTAAGAAATATTATAGCTATCTGTTTTACTAATAGAATGGTACCATTGCTATACCTTTTAGGATAGACATTAAAAAAAATAACGCTATAATTGTTCTATCAAGATGGCAAGTCGAATTGTACGCCATATGCGGAGTGTAGGAGTAATTGCTACTTTTTCTGGGTGTACATGATTAAATTATTTTTTAGTAATTCACCGCTACATAATTAATCCTGTAAAATTTAAATTTCTGAAATTATATTTAATTGTATGTTAATATTTACTACATGTATAGAATGATTGGACGACTTCGATCACTATTTTCAAGGTCAAATTTATAGTAGTTATAACAATTGCAATTAGCGTTCTGTAAATCTATCAGGTATAGAAAAACAGAACTTTTACAAGAATTGTTCAAAAAGGCTTGCAGATTTTTTGTATAAGATGTAGATTTTGCGCCTTGTCACTGCTTAACAAAGACCTTGATTTATCTAGATTGAAAATGATTACTAGTTTCTAACCTTTAATAAATGATTGAATCTTATACTGTACTATCTATCTGCAGTATCGCAATCTTTTTAATGTAACTAAATGTCATTACTGTTCGTTGATATTGATTGAAATACTCGTGTAGCAGCATTATTGATTTGCAAAGCTAACTTCTAGTTTACGAATCGATTCGTATTACATAAGAGTATAGGTAACTATGTTTACGGTCAATGTACATATTACATAGTGGTTTCACTATAAAAGCTCAGTATTTAACGTGATTACTATTAACTTTATCGCGGGAAAATAAACTATGCGCATGCTTGTATAACTTAAACAGTGGTAGTTTACTAAAGTCGATTGATTGTCGAGCAAGTTTTTCCACGCAAATAACGTTCCAATATCATAATCAAAGAATAGATATCATTATCGTAAAACTAAGTTTATTGAATCAGTATCTCAACGATGATTATACATAATTATCAAAATGTGCGTAACAGCTAATAAAGTTCAGTAAGCACAGTGCAGCACATTATAAATATTGCCTATTTATAAAGTCGACCTCCGACGGCAGCATAAGTATACAGGATCGTATATCTACAGTACACTGCATTCGTAAGGTACCTAGTAGAACGTGGATGCTTTGAAATTTTATTTTATACACTACTTTGATTTCATACATATTGGTACATTATTGGTAACATAATATGTAGTCGTGATTTTGGACGTCAGTTAACAATACAGTCTTAGACTTATCTCTATATCATTGATACGATAAGTGTGCAAGAACAGAGATCTTCTATCGTACAATTATTACATATGTATGCTGCCTGTCGTGAACTAGTTAAAACAGGTTAAATGCTATTTGTTTCTTAATCATTCTAAGTTTTTATTGATTCATTTCTTAACATAGTCAAGTTCGATATACAATACAGTACAATTTATGATATTTAATTATTGCTCAATAAATTCTCATCAAGCTCTGCTATGGTAACAATTTATAATGTTTATTTGTTGTTTTATCCCTAACTTGGATTTAGATTCCTTAATAAATGATACACTCAAAAGTATGTGTAATACCTAGAGTCATATTTACAACATATAGGCTGAATTTACATGTAAGCGAGGACGAAATTGTGCAAGGATTGTGACAATAACGATTCTATATTCATTCCAACATGGTCTAATTATCATTTTTATAGTCCACTCATACGCGTAAATAGTTCTAACATGGGTAGAAAGTACTATGGAAGAAAATTAGAGATTGGTATTTCCATTTGGAAGTAAACGGCATTTTAAAAAGCGGAAAATTTACTTAAATATTCTCTTGTATAACATTAGTTGTAAAAAAGACCAGATGGTAAATCGTATGCTACCAGTCTATGATGTCGTTGATCAGTTCCGGATGTTATCTGCTAAGAAAAGCAAGTCTTTAGAATAGTATAGCAATCAGTACTACTGCTTAATTATTAGTTTAATTTTAAATCTCTTTCATAATCATAAAATCACACAGTCAAAAATCTATATACGATCGTTAATCGTTTACTTATGAATGCATTGCATCATCTATATGTTACTGTAAACTGTAGTATCTTCTCTTGGAGACAGATAAGTCTAAGCTGATTACATAAGTTATACTTTAAGAAAAATTTTATATTTCAATCCACTGTATTCAAGCATCTCTCAGGCTATGTGAACGAGCTCCATTGGAGCCTTCGTTACACATGCTCCCTAACAATCGTCACATTAGATCATATTTGAGCTAATGCTAAGTGCGCAAGGATGATCTCATCAAAGAGACGATATTTTCGATATACTGTAGTACAACGTAATCATTTATTAATAATTTGAAAAATTCTTAACGTGAGTATATCGTAAACACTAAGCTAAAATGTTAAGTTTAGCTAAAGTACTTTGTTACCGTTAAGCAGTTGGATAGAATGATCGGCTAAAAATTGATCTACCTACCTCAACTGCTTTTACGAATATAGTCTTATAAGGTAATTGTATCAGCCAAGTAGTTACTAATCCTGCTAGATCGTAGACATAGCAGAGTTGAATCAAGTACTGTACATCTGGCATTTTGGATACTTTAATTAATTCTCTCAATTTAAGCAATATAGCACCTGATGATTGAAAACTTGGATTGACGTGGTAGAAAAGAACTTATTCGATTTCATAGCTGCCTCCTAGATACAGCTAGAGGAATAGATTCTTGGAGTTTGATTCTTTTAACCTTGTGAAGGAAAAGATGTATCACATTACCATTAGTAACGTCCTTATTTCTACATGTTAAAAGGTTACTAGTACAGCATTGATTACGACATGGATCTACATTTACAATTTCCGCATGCTGAACTGTCACTCCCAATCATAGTATACTATACATTGTACAGTAGTACTACATTAGTAGCTAATAGACTGAATTGGGTGATGTTAAGTCAGTGCACAGAATAAAACTCAACATAAGATTGTTTCAGCCCGCCCGTCTGTGCTGTACTCATCATCCGATCACCCAAGCGGTAAACAATTTCTAACAAAATCTGTTAGTGCTACTCGTACAACGCCATCAATCAAGCAGTCTACTCATCTACATACGAAATCACAAATTAATCTTATTGTATTAGTCTTTAGCTTAACATATACATACATCAATGAGATATATTGCAATTTGACGTCACTACAGTTGTAGCAAAATTCTAATTTATCGTATGCTTATTCTACAGTTAGTACTGTTGTATAATACCATTTCAGAAGTAATCCACGATTATCATTTCTTGAGATGTCGAGAAAAAATACAACCAATCGTGGAATTTGAATCGATCGACGACGACGCCTTTAACCTTTCTGTGCCAGGTCGGTGACCATGCTTTGATCACTTTGACGATGTCTACTACGATGGCAGCTCCAGCAAGTAATTATCATGATTGTGTACAGTATTTCATAACGTTGTCCTTGATGTCTTCATTAATTGCTCGTATATCCAATAATTCAATCTGGATACTGGATTGGAGGTCATTTATCGGCAAAGATTAGCGGTACTGTGAAAAAGCAAAGCTGCCATGAGAAGCTGCCATGAGGCATCAGCGTCTACATGTTGCCTGTGGCTGCAGAATGTGCAGAGTAGTACAGTACTGTATATATATACACTCGTACAGACGTACAGTACAGTACAGTATAGTACGTCATCGGGCTAATACCGGGGCGGGCCGTTAAAGTACAGTACAGTAGCTGCGCATGCGCTCGAGGTACTGTAGTGTACAGTATAGTCCTGTACGGTGCATTTATTTCGTTTTCAGATGGGCAAAATCCTTCTCGAGATGCTTTAATGCGTCAATAGTTAATGTACTGTAAGTCGTACGGTAGAATACCCATTAAAGTTAGGCCTATATACATTAACCGTCTAAAAATAATCGAGCTCAAGTATGTATTACATTAGCTGAAGGAAACGTGTATTGAAATAATAAATTTGCTAAAGAAGGTAACTTAAAAGACAGACTATATTTTTCTGTTATTCTAGTAGTCCATGGTTTGCTGCCGTTTGTTTAAATAATTATATATAATCAGCTTACTACGCTATACCAAGGATCTCTATTGGCTGCATGTGTATGGCGCAATTTCCTATCTCCTATGCTAGTTCGAGCTTATACAATTGTTAGTACATCCTCAAGATACCGATACACAACATATTATTGTACCGCATCCGGCTGACTGCAACGCTGAACACATCTATCACATTCTACTAGAACTACGAACGTTTAACTTCAATAGATCGGACTAGATTAATTCAGAACTTGCTACTATATCCGATTAATCTCTGCAGTGTAATAATAAAATGAACAACAATTATACACGTTCAATAAACCAGCTTTGATGGTTAGGTATCAATTTATTATGCACATATACGCGTATATAATAATCAAAAATTAGTGCCTAAGAATAAAAGCGCAGTTATGAGTATCGCTTTGGTATCTAATGTGATCAATAAGTAATTAATTGTATTATTATTACGAAAGGATATATTATGTAGATCAGCACTTCCACTACAATGATACTAAAGCAAGTCATCCAAGTCACATATACGAGTATGTCAATTTTCTTTCTTGTAAGCCTCCTATAGTATTCAAATTTATGATATTTATAAAAAGGTAGAAAAAAAACAAGAAACAGAGACATTTTAAGGTTAACATCAGAATAAAGTAGCGTTATTATATTTTAGATATGATATCTACCGGATGACAACAGATAATGCAATAAAGGGCTTCAGACGTTGGTTGTAGTAAATCCATATCAAAATCTTCGGAAAATACAACGTCTAAAATTGACTATCATTATGGAAAATACAAACAACAATAGTTGTAATCAGTCAACACTATTCTAAATAATAGGAAAAATATGAACTTGAGAACTGGATTACGCCATAGTTAACACACTACGAATATGTTCAATTAAGTAATTTTCCAGGAAATTACCTTCATAAACACTTCGATACCGATCATTAGACTATTTCGCTCTTTATTGCATTTTTTTCCATACACGAATGTAGCTAATCCCGTAATAGACTCCAAAGCTAATTTGCTGACCTCACTACCAAATCTAAATAATTGGATTGATAATATCGTAAGAACGCAAATTTTCGTTAAACGCTATGTTAACTTTCCATGTAGCAATAGGGTTGTGCAGGTAAGCATAGTTACTAAAAGCAGCATTGGAAATATATATCCACATCGGTGAAGGCGTGATTAGGTTCTAGCTTCTATTACAGATTTGGAAGATGCTTGTGATTTACTGTAACACTAACGTGCAAAATTTACACAAGTTGTCTAGTGTGTTACGAAATTTTTGAAATTTTTTATAAAATAAAATATCTTTCTTCTACAAATTGATAATAGGGATTATCAATTACGATCTGTGTTAATAATGACAGATCTATTGCTAGTATTCATCTAACCTGCGCAAACCCATATCAAGAGATACCATTAACGAATTCGATAAATTTTGTGGAATGTCGACTAATTTTCCAGGATGAATTTCGCAGTGAAACGAGACCAACTTAAAGTACTGCAAACATAAATCTGGAATCTTATTCCAAAATTAAAAGTAGAACATTAGGTATTGATGAGCTAGTAAATATACGTAAAGAAAGTTTGAAAATAATGATCTATAAAAAATATATACGTCATACGCATTATCATACCTTTAATAGATTTTCGTTCATAAGTGGTATAATAAAATTTAAACCACTTAAAACTACATCAATAACAGATATAGCATCATCTTGTCCTGCATCAACTTTAATCTCTGTATTTACATCAGTTAATTCAGTAAATAACATTTAATACGAAAAAGAGATTGTAAATTTAATGTAATTAATGAAGCAAGGTACATACCAGTTTTTGAAAAATCAAGATAATCTTTCGAGGTAACGTGCGATAAAAGTTGTAATATTAGACACAAATCCGTAAATTTTTCTTCTTCAGCTAGTACTGTGTCGTTAAATCTCCCTGCCAGTGTTGATTCAAATTACATTACATTAATTGTGAGAACCTTAATATTTTACATATTATTTATTAAAATCCATACCTATACTACATTTAGCATATGTCTGAATTATGGCCAAGCATAATTTAAAAAGTTCATTTGTTTCCCTCTAATGAGAAAACCACGAAAAGTAGGATATAAGGTTATCTCAATCAATGAAATTTAATTCTGATCATAACTCTTCACTAGTATAGAATACCTGATTTAAGTAAGCAATCTGCGACTTAGTTGTGCTTACGAAAAACTCAAGGATCGTTTCTACCATATCAGGAAAATTGGAAAAATGTTGTAGGAGCGGTACACAATCATGTAAAATACCCAGCAAATATGAAAATAGAGCTGATACTGATGATGCAGTTGTTGCAAGAGCAACACCAGAACAGCAATCGATAGTATTGCATAATTCATCCCTAAGAGCCGAATCCTGTATCATTTTAGCCAGCAGTGGCCCTTGTAGCGCAGCTAAAAATCGACTTTTTAGCGGTTGTAAAACCTAAAAAAGAAGTAAATGAATTACGAATGCAGACGGTAGATTTATTCCATTAATAATAATAATATTTGTATAAAGCAGCAGATAATATTATAATATGAAGTTTGTAATTATTACTAATCTCTTATATTGCATACGTTGCTCCAAAATCGATTTCTAGCATCATTATCATCTACGCAAGAGCCAGCTTTTATTAAAGCACACGCTAACTGTTTTTGAGCAGCCCCAGATAACTTTTTAGTAGATAAATTGGTGTTACCAGCTTGTTGTACCGCCAAATTCCAAAGATCCTCGCAAGAAACTGCGATATGGCATCTATATGAAAAGCTTGTTAGTTTCTAGCTAAAATTCGCGACCAAATCGTAAAATTATGGAAAAATACCTAGCTTTATTATCTACAACAGTAGATAACAAATTAATAGATTCTATAGCGACATCGTTTTCCGAGCTCCAAAACGTTAAATTGGACATTACTTTTCTAATAAGAAATTTGACAGTTTGTGTGCCAAGATCACAGTCTTGACCAAACGTCAAAATTAAAGACAAACTGATGTGATCATAGCGATTCTCCATCGGTAATAAATAAGCCTGACTCCATCGTGTCAAAAACCAAACAATCGTTTTTCCAACTTGAGGGCTCAGAGAATCAGCTGCAGCTGATTGTAATACTTCTTGTTCAATTCGAGAAATGAATAACATTAAAAAAACTATCACGAATACATGATTGATCCCTAAGTAGATAAAAAAATCCACGATATTAATACAGTAATTCAACATGCATCGTATACGTTATAAATTGCTATAAAGGCAGTGTTGATTAAGTAGTAAAAAAGTAAACGAACTGGTATCGAAAATAGTTGAAACTATATTAACGTATTTACCTTCTACATGCAATAGTTGTACCATGTTGTCATCTATACTTCTGGAATCATTACAACAGATGTGAGATAAAAGCTTAACTAGGTTAGCGTAATTGTCAGAGTTAGGTATATTATCTGAGTAGCGTAATATCGCGGAAGGTATCAAAGGTACTTCAAGTTTATTTTCATCTGTCAGGACACTACCAGCAATTAATATTAACCAGTGGATATCATCCATAAGAGCATTGTGGTCTGTTTAATATAAATAATAATATTTTAATTAAATGCTTGCTATACTATCAGTATACTGTATATTGAAAATGAAAGATTTAATTAACTCAATAGTGTTACCAATTCCGGCGGAAAGTGGACGTGATACGTATTGTCTTAAAGTTAATATCGTATTTTCCAATAACTGCGATAGTAAGGGTAACGAGAGGGATAGAACCGATCTTCCAAGTATGCCGATATTTAATAATTGTTCACCGTATGAAACTCGGTCATCTTCATCTAATTCATCAATTTCAAGTTCGGCATCATGGCCAGTAAGGGTAGCGCAGATAGATTTTCGGCCTTCACTTAGGTGACATTTCAGATAACACTCAAATATTGCAATAGCATTTAGAGAGATACGATTGACGTCAAATTTTGCAGTATCTTCACTAACGATGGAAAACCAGCATTCTAACAACTGGTCACAAGCATAAGAAAAATATGTTTCTTCTATATATTCCTAAAAATTGTTAATTTTAAATAAATATAAGAAAATATTTTAGCATAAATTTCGTAAGTTGGCAAGTCAATTATAAATTACAACAAGCAATATTGCATAAGCGAAGAGTGTATAATGCGTTATTTACATTAATTATCGCACGATTAATTTGATCAGTAGTCACACAAAGTCGGATATTACAACTAATAATGCGGTAAATGATGCACTAGCTAAATCATGAAACATACTACATTACGAAAAGACACCAGTCTTATTGGAGTCAGTCTATAATTTACGTATCAAAATAATTAAGCTTTCAATTATAAATTCAGGAATTTAACCACATGTAGTATAGGTAAAAAAAAAGGGCATTATCTACGAATAAGTTTGACAAGTTGACAGTGTTAGTTACTTTATATTTACCATTTCTTCTTTAACACAATTTTCCAGGCAAGCGCATGTTAAATGAGACAGGTCATCAATAAAAGTGAATATGGCTTCATCTTGTACGTGTTCCAATAATTTATCGACAATAACTATCCGATTAAAAACGTCTGCTAAATCTTGAGCTTCAACGCCATGACAAATTTGCCTTTACATTGCAGTAAAGAATAGGTCAATTTTATATTATTATATGTCAGTTACGAATTTTATGATTTGCATAACTTTTACCTGTTTCGTGCCTTGATCAACGAAGTTATCAGATACGTATTGTAAGACATTCTTGATTGAATACTTGGAAATACATCACCGCATATAGAGATCAACTGAGAAATACACAACAGTGTGAGATGACACAAGCGTGATTCTTGTCGCAATTTCTGATATAGCTGTGGCGAAAAGAATTGATAAACATCAGTGTAAAGGATTTTTTACTGACATTTTCTACCATCCAATGACAAAAGTAAGAAAAAATCTCACCTCTAAAAATAAATTGATGGTCGATTGATTCGAAATCATATCATCCCAATCACGACTAGGTCTAAAGGTAACAAATTTATTGTTGTCCGCTTGGCCAAATTTAGGACGATTAGCTACATAAATTAATTAAGGTTTTATAACATTTTTATGTTTACGAAGTATAAAATACTTAAAACTTTAGGCCAATATCAATACCAATTGTGAAAAATTCGAATATCTGTAAATCATTATCCTCATAAACGGCTATAGGTAAATAGGAAAGATACGGCTTAAGTCGCTAAAGTTCCACGTCAGAACTTGTTCAGATAACTCTAAGTACTTTTCAATAACTTTAGTGTCATGATTCAAGTTGCGACTGCAGTACTGTAATCCTTCCAATGTTATAATACATATTTTTTTCAGGACACTAGACTAGAAAGAGAATATTATAGATTAAGATTTTGCAAGTAAAAATTAGCAATGCAACTACTTAGTAATACGGTAGACAACAATATCATCATAATTCAAAACAGTTGCATACTTCGAATTTTTTCTTTGCTTTAATGTGAAATTCCCAGCTTACGCTTAATCTGCTTGATTTTTGATTGACACAAAATTCGTTAAGTATGGAGGCCATAAGGGAACAGCTATCTAAATGCTTATTTGAGAGTAATATAGTGCGATGTTATGCATCAGATTTCGTTATCAGTCACGTAAGTCCTGATCACTTACCACCCTACTTGAATCGCTGTTTTTTAACTGATAGATAGTGGATAATAAGTTATCAAGATCATTTATACCAGATTCGGTTACTGCTGACTTTTTAAACATAATAGCAACACAGGAAAGAATTTGCTCTCGAACATAATCTTGGCATCTACAAAAAGTAAAAATTTTAAATAAGTTAAAGAATTTTATTGGCCTGTGCAATATCCTTTTATAGCGTATGATGTGTAACGTCTCAGTTTAACTACTATAGCATACAATCAGAAACCAGATTGTATAGTAGACCCACCACTTTATAAAAAGTTCTTAGAATACTTAGCTGAAACTATGGTACTGATGCATTAAGTACCAGTTACATCAGTACGATAGCCTCAGTTAAGTATTTTAAGAACATTTTATAAAGTAGTAGGTCTACTGTACAGTAGTAACTATAGTTAGATTGCAGAATCAGAATATAATCTCCAATAATTTTAATTGGAATTAGGAATAACTTTAAAATAACTCGACCTCGTATCCAGAAAGTATAGTACAGTATTGTATCATCGCATACTTTATAACTTTATGAATTTAAAGCAGTGTATAGTAGTCATATAGAATTGTTCCAAGTTCACGATGGTTCAATTTTGAAACAAATGTTTACGTACTAAATAATTATTATACGTACAGTATATATATATATATATATACATGCTGTAGTAGAATACAGTTACATTGCTGCAAATTATTTATAGTTGGGATGTAAATGTTGCCGCTGTTTTATCATGGATAAGACCGTACACCTAGATAGGTACTTTATACACATCACTACTATATTACATAGTTAGAAGATTATTGCTGCAAGTATTTTAAGATGACTACTGAGATATCGTATAATAAACGGAAGCTATAACAAGAATATGCATGATGTAGCTAGCAATTGCTAGTATCGACGTCAATAAAGAGTCCAATTAGATGTTTAGTTCTCACCTAGATTGGCCAATAACGTAATTCAGTAAGAATTCGCGTAGTGAATTTTTATCGTTCTCATTAATTAATTTCCATTCCCGAACGATTGCTTCTTTTATAGTACTAGCAGCTTGAAAATGGACATAGGTATTGCTGCTGTTTTCTATGAGAGAAACAAGTTAGATTTTAAGAGTCGTAGGAATTCATTGAGCCAATAAAAGTTTGATAGATTTAAGTTAATAATAATAAATCATAATTGTAACAGGTAGATTCTTGAATATACGTTATACATGTAATCAACCTACTCTATTATGAGTAAAGGATAGTAGTATCTAGCAGTCAGGCCTACTACCTATGTTCTAAGGCTTTTCTGAACTTTCAATTCTTCAGTATACGTATATTGTACACGCAGTTATTGCACTAACCATGAGTAAAGTACTATATGGTGCACAGGAGTCAGACTTGCTACTCATTTCTGAAGTTTTTCTGAACTGCAAATTCTTCCATGTACACATGCTGTGTACGTCATTACTGCTATGTTACTAGTATATGTATATCATTATTACTTATGAGTAAAGGAAATGGCATAGACGTCATTGACATGCTAAGTACCCTATCTTTTTCTACGATTTCTCTAAGCTGTCGATTCTTGCATATACGAGTAGGTACGTACGTTGTACTGTACACGTAATATTAATGCGATCATTGTAAGTAGAGTAGACGGGAGTCAGACCTGTTATTTCATTTCTAAAAGCTTTTCTGAACTATAAACTTTTCCATGTACGCATGCTATGCACGCCATTACTACACTACATTATGAGTAGGTAATTTTTTCCTACAGTTTTTCTATACTATTGATTCTTTAATATTCGTACATTATACACATCATTCCTGTGCTATAGTATCAATACAGTATTGATTAATTTACAAGCAAGAGTCAGACAAGGCACCTCAATTCATACTTTTCGTACCTAACATGTATTTACAGATTGAATAAGGCTGTTTGGCTCTACGAAAGGATAAGAAAATCTTTTCAGCAGTTCGATAGTCTTCCCCGCTAACTTGATTAGGCGGACTCTACAGTGTATAAAAGCAAAGGATATTTTAAGGCGTTTTAGAAGACAATGTTGAAGAATTGATTCACCGCTCGGTGTTATCTCGACATTAGCCTATCCTATCCTAGACATTCGACCTTACCATCATTACTATAGCAGCCTTCTCGAAATTAGCCAAAATCTCTTTAGCGTCTGCCATATCCTTTGTGATTGAGTTGAAAATATTAGATAGAACACCTCAATCGAAGTAGTAATTAACCAACTGCAGGTCTCCAAGTTGCAGCAACAATCATTAAAACTACAAGCCTTTCCTTTTCAACAGTCCGTCAATGAGTCCGTCATCCGAGGACGATGTACTTGGATAGGCCTCTTAATCAATTCAATGCTCACTGATTTATTCCCCTTGTCTAATTTGAAATTCTTCTATTTTGATGCCGTATCCTACTTGTATTTCTTACAAATAAAAGCTTTGCTGTAGTTGCCAATCCAATTTGAAAGTAATAGCCAGAAAGAGCAAAGTAAAAGTGATACTATTCCCTAAATGCTGCCAATGAAAATTGCTAAAAGTGCAAGCTATCCTGGCTGCGGTTTAAAGGATAGTGACTGTTCGCGGGCTTTGGCGTCGTTCTTCTTGTATCGACTGAGCATACAGTACAAGGTATGGAAACTTCTACTGTACAGTATGAGTGAGCGTACCAATGATCTGGTCTAGTTTACAGTGTACAGTACAGTGTACTGTACACTGGAGAGTGTGCAGGCTGCAGTGATCCCCTGGCGTTCAATCATTGACAAGCCAGTTATACCAGCAAGGCGACTACTTTAAATTATGGCCATGGGCCATGCTGACTTAAATTATAGTATCGGCCAAATGTAGATGCGATTACAGATGGATTAGCCCTGTAGAAATGATTAAATGCATCGACTGACCATAGAAGGTAAGGAAACTTCTACAGTACTGTATGACTGAGCGTCCCAATGACCTGGTCCAGTCTACAGTACAGTACTGTACAGTGTACAGTACAGCGTACTGTACACTGGAGACTGTCCAGGCTGCAGTGATCCCCTGGCGTTCAATCATTGACAAGCCAGTTATAGCAGCAAGGCGACTACTTTAAGTTATGGCCATGGGCCATGTTGACTTAAATTATAGTATCGGCCAAAATGTAGATGTGATTACAGATGGATTAGCCCTGTCGAAATGATCAAATGCATCGATAATTCATTTTTAGGCAGTATAGGCACATTTATAGTTCAATGATCAGTATTGTTATAATCCAATTGTGGAAGACTGGGGATAAAATAGCAGGTACAAATGATAGTATCGGCCAAATGTAGGTGTGATTACGTAAGATGGATTAGCCCTGTCGAAATGATCAAATGCATCGATAATTCATTTTTAGGCAGTATAGGCACATTTATAGTTCATTGATCAGTATTGTTATAATCCAATTGTGGAAGACTGAGGATAAAATAACAGGTACAAACGATAGTATCGGCCAAATGTAGGTGTGATTACAGATGGATTAGCCCTATCGAAATGATCAAATCCGTCGATAATTCATTTTGGGCAGTATAGGCACATTTATAGTTCATTGATCAGTATTGTTATAATCCAATTGTGGAAGACTGAGGATAAAATAGCAGATACAAATTATAGTATCCGATGGTCAAATTGAATTGGTCAATTGAACAGTTTAGGAATTTTACTCTATCTCTAATGTGGCTGACTTGAATGGAAATAAAATTTGCTATCTGATTCAACGCTCCTCTTCTTGCGACATACACATAGCCCTATCTTGGTATAGGCTAAAGTAGAAATTTTACTTTGAGATCCGCTATTTGATTCAAGATTCTTTTTCCTTAATAATTTTAATAGCCTTGTCTTGGTATAGTCCATGGACTATTCGATACTACAGTAGTTGTCCTGTCCAGACCGGGCATATTTAGTAGTCCATGGTATGGGCTAAAGTAGCAATTTGACTTTCAAATCCCATTATATCGGTTAATAACATTATACCATTATTATCACTACTATGCGCGTATCCGTTTGTAAAGAGATCGCATGGCTAATAGATGACAATACGCGTATTCCTCGTAGAAAACAGTTATTAAAATTAAAATGATTACCCTGAAAATGTATAACGAGGAGATACGCTCATCTTTCAGGTCTTATAGCATAAAAAAGTGATCAATTTTTAGTTCTACTTTCACAGCTATAGCTGTGAGAAAAGTTGCAAGGCTACGCACTTCGTCCAGTTTATGTTGCACATTATATACTGTATTCATATAAATAGATTATTTTTATTTATTTATTTACGTATACGCTTACTTTTAGAACTATGTCTATCGGAAAAGTTGCAGGGATACGCGCATCATACAGTTTATTCTAGTATTGCATACCTATACAGTAGCACCAAAGTTTTTATTCATATTTTCACAATTATGACCATCGGAAAAGTGGCAAAGATACGCATATCATCCAGTTCATATTGCAGACTATAAAGTAAATATAAAATTTTTTTATTTATATTTTCTCGGCTATAACTCATAGAAAACTTGCAATGATTAATTGCATTTCTTAATATAAGCGATAATGAAAGTCATTCTAAGATTGGGTAATCGTTAGCATATAGTTCCTACTTAAATATCATAGTCTTTTATTGATCAGACTCCATGTACGTATAAAGTCAAGTCATAAAAAAGAATACAGTCTTATTGTAGCTATACCGTGGTATATCTACATGACTAAGATTATATTTACGTCAATTTCGAAGCATTCCAATTACAAACATAGAAAATAGAGCCAAAGCGAATGATAAATTAGGTAAAAATTGTCCATGTTGACTTTCCATAAATTACCCTACCGTCAAAGTATATTTAACATTATTTTTATTCATTCTAAATACATACAAATTTTGGTAGCATACTTTTATATAGAAAGAAGAAAATAAGTTTGAACTAATTTTTTACAATTTATAATTGACTTGGATGATAACTCTTGTATGAAAGGGTAGATTTTTTAATCTTTGACGTTCTTGTAATACGGGATTCAATCATACAGTCTCTATTTGATAGAGCTCATTATCAAATATAGAAGTTACAAACGGTTTCGTGATCAGCTCTAGACTAGTTACGTCTGTTTAGACTGGCCCTCACAGATATAAGTAGAAAATTACTGTAGTATTCATTTATTAATTGTCGCAATAGTTTACTTCTACATTCGAATCTATCTTCGTTATTTTTTTGAGTATTTTCGATCAAAAACTATGAAGAATGCATTTCTTACCATCCATACTATTGGTATTTTTTCTACTGGAATCAAGATATTATAGTGCACACATCAACAAAAGGGAATCTTTTCAAAGTTTCAATGCTTCTACTGATGATATTAACTCGACAGTTAAAGTTTATCACTGCCACTCGACCATTTATCATAAAAAGATGGAAATCAATTTTCATTTGGAAAGATTGCAAAAATCATTAGATGGCGATATCGTACAAATGGTGTCCGACGATCGGAAAACACGTTTCATGAAGTCAGGAAGATCGAAAAGATCAGCTGTGAGTAGACATGGTCCCGATAATAATCGCAATAGTCGACGATGTGGCATTTTTATACACGCGGATCAAACCTTTGTCCGTGCATTACAATTATTCCACATTACAAAAGTTCGCCAATACATTTATGATACCATTAAAATGGTCAATCGTGTATTTTCTGTAATAGATTTTAATCAAGATCAAAAAAGTGATAATTTTACATTTTATATTGATCGATTAACTATTGGCGAATTTCAACAAGAAAGTCCGTCATTTGATAACGCTTACCATCATTTAGAAAGAATTTCATTGCATAATCACAGTGAATATTGCTTAGCATATTATTTAACTAATAATGATCGCTATAGTGTAAACGGATTGTCTTGGATTGGTACAACAAACAAAAATACAGGTTTATGCTCTACTTTTGATTATCATCATCATAGCTATGATCATCGAAAATCGATGAATACAGCTCTCATTAACTTCAATATCCATGACCATAAATTATTTCCGTATGTTATGATACATGAATTAGCTCATAGCCTTGGCGCTGTACACGATTCAGAAACTCGTTGTAAACGATATGCTACCAATATACCCTTTTTTATGTCTGGAATTGTTATCAATGCGACAGAATTAGATCAAATGCAATTTTCTATCTGCAGCGTACAAGCCATGGCTAAAGTGATCCGTTCGCGTTCAATGGAATGTTTTAAAGTAAATGCGCAAACCACTACCTCAAAGTCAACTTGTGGTAATAAAATTGTTGAACCATACGAACAATGTGATTGTGGAACAATTGGAGAATGTCAGGATTATTGCTGTAACCCATCGACATGTCAATTAGCTCAGCATGCTGTTTGTAGTCCATCTCAAGGGCCTTGCTGCAATGATGCAACCTGTCACTATTTTACCATTCGTGAACATCACCTTTGTCAAAACGAAACACAATGTGCTGTAAAATCTTACTGCGATGGCCACCTTGTTGGATCAGCTTGCCCCAAAGCCAAACTTAAAGATGATTATACAGTTTGTGATGATCATAAATCATGCATTGCAGGTACATGTCAACGATCTATTTGTTCAATATCTGGATTAAGTGCATGTTCTTGCCCCAATAATAATTATGCAAGAAATAATAGCAAAGATGCTAAGGATAGTAGCTCATCATCTTCCTGCTTGATCTGCTGTCAATCAGTTAATGATAAGCATTGTGCTCCGTTGGATGAATTAGTTAAAGGAGAAGCTAGTTTGGTAAATAATATCTGCAGGATAAAGGCTATACAATATGTAGGAGAGCTAGAAAGGAAAGAGGAAGATATTTTAAAAAGTATCATGAATAGTTTACTAGCAATCTTGGGTGCTAGTTTACTTGGCTTTATTATTTCTAATTTAGGTAAGTGGCTTCTATAGCAGTCAAATCATTGTTACTTTTATTATCACTGTAACTTCTAACCTTCTTAAACTGATTTATTAAGAAAATTGTTATTATTATTTCTAATTTAAGGTATAATTCAGACACTTGGGTTAATATTACTTTCATCCATAGCAATCCGATCATCTCTGATTGGTTTTATCATAACTCCGGTTATTCTTGTTACATTGTACATACAGAGGTATCGATTATGGTTTCCATGTAGTTCAATTACATGGGAAGGAAATCGCGCTTTATCACACAGATATTGTGGTTTATTCCGGCTTATCTTAAGGTTCTTTCTTTTTGTCATTAATGCCATGATTGAGTGCTATACCAAAATAGCATTCTGTTGTTGCTCCAATCAGCAACGACGAATGCAAGAAAGTTTCTACGGCAAGAAAGTTTCTCGGTGTACAGATTCCATCGACTCTTACATTTTGAGTCAGAGAGGTCAACGTCGTTCTTCAAGAGCTTCATCAATTAGCAGTACTAAACGTCAAGGTTCCATTTGTGGAAAGATCTTTCCTGAATGTGAAAATTCGAAAATAACTTCACCAATAGCTAGAGATAGATCTTTTGGTAAGATGACGCCAAGTGCTATACTTTTAAAAATTATTATAATAGAAAAAACAGATTATTAATGCCATCTTGACTTGCAGAAAATTTTTAATATACAGTATTTGAGCTAATGTACGAATTGTTGATCCGGTAGTATTTAATGAAGCAAGTAAAAACGTAGATGCTACATTTATTCCGGAGTATCGAAAGGGATCTGTAACTAGTAAGTTCCGACTATTAGAATGAGGAAAAGATAAAATGCGGTACTATACTGTACATATCATAATTTTCGTAAAATTTATTACTGCAATAGTGATGAAAATACCATAAATTTTCAACATTTCAGTGAGGGCTCAGAGCAGTAGAAAGATTAAATATATTTACAGCTCTCATTGCGTATTGCAAGTTTAACCTATTTTATTAATTACTAGATCGTAAGCCAGATAGATATATAAATTCGCCGGTAACCACTACTTCACGATCAATCAATACGGACACAGCGGGATTAACGAATTTGTCAAGGTCTCGATCATTGTGCAGTAAATTGCCGCCGTCTATACCGAACCGACAGACTAATCTACAGGTGTCTAAGAATAATAAAGGTATAGTGCAACGTACGAATTTGCAAAAATCACTATCGTTGGGTGATGGACTGAAATCAAGGAATTTAACGAATTTGTCAAGGTCGCGATCATTGTGCAGTAAATTGCCGCCACCTATACCGAACCGACAGACTAATCTACAGGTATCCAAGAATAATAAAGGTATAGTGCAACGTACGAATTTGCAAAAATCACTATCGTTGGGTGATGGACTGAAATCAAAGAATTTAACGAATTTGTCAAGGTCTCGATCATTGTGCGGTAAATTGCCGCCAGCTATACCGAACCGACAGACTAATCTACAGGTATCCAAGAATAATAAAGGTATGGTGCGACATACGAATTTGCAAAGACCACTATCATTGAGTGATGGACTGAAATCAAGGGATTTGCCTAGGCCGCAATCATTACGTGCTATGCCATCATCGCCGCCTCTTCAGAGTCGACAAAAAAATTTAATTGGATCAACAAATTTATCAAGATCGCGGTCATTATATAGTAGTCCACCCGCTATACCAGAGAGACCGAAAAGTTCAATCATGCAAGCGTCCTGCATTAATTTAGCGGTAGGTAGACGACCACCGCCAACAAAACCACCTCCACCACTACCGATAAATCGAATAAATAGTTGTAAAAGTAAAACGAGATCAGCTTTGCATAATTCATAACTACATATAAACTAATTCGTAAAGAAAATACGTACTGCAATAATTTCAGATTTAGAAAGTGTATAGCTGTATTATCATGTGTAGTCTGTCCGGATATTTTACTAATAACTACAGCAATTTATATTGTATTAACTTTAATCAAGAAAGGGCATAGATGACTGTATATATTATCTATACTACATTATATATCTTCTCATCTAATTTATATTGGTTGCGAAGGCGAATATGATTTGAAAGTTTTAATGAAGGTAGATTTTTTCTAACGGAGAGAAGAAACAGATATATCCATCTCTAGATAATATTTATAAATTCTAATTCATTTTAGCCCGTTAGTACCCTAATTACAGTAGTGCAGGTGATCAAGGTGTTAACATTTGTTTTCCTATAATTTCAGGTATGATGCATAGTATCATTTCATTTTTTTGTGATTTGATCTCACGATGATTTCAATAATTTGCTTATTTAATTTGATGATGCTATATTATAGACAATAAAAAATGATTTAAAAATTCCCGCCTGGATAAAGTGGTGTTAATATACGATGTATAGGGTAACCGGCTCCAGCATTGATTAGATATAGCGTTACTATAGTAGATGATGGTGGATTATTACGTAGAGTGGGTACATCTAGTGGTCCATTGCTAAATGAAGTGTGTGTGGACGGCGAATCCAGGAGGGGGAAGGAGGATACCAGAGGTTTAACATGCGAAAGAAGCTAATTTTCATGAATTAATTTAGTGTCGAATAGACTTGATAGCTAGCTCGTCTGTTAAGTTAGCTGGATACGGTAGTCTAGAGACTGTTTTTAATTAAAAATGACGATATAATGTACTATAATATGTAATGCGTAACAGATGTACATCCTATACTGAAATTCTACTTATTAATAAACAAATAAACGAAGTATCACGGGCAGGCTGTTTATTTAACTAGTAATAATATAGTAGCAGCGGAGACTATTAAAAGTGAGAGAGAGCTGTATCTCTCTTTTAGCTGCCCTGATAATAAAATACGTGTAGTTGCCGAGTCCGCATACCAATGGACTGTCTAGTAACGTAAATATATAGTAGAATAGAATTTATCCTAGTGTTAATTAAATATACTTGTCTTGATAGCTAGTCTTCTATGTCATATTTTAGTTAGATACGGTATATTAAAAATGTTTGATTAAAAGTATTTGAAAATGACTGAATAATAAGTAAATAATAATATTACCTCTTAAACTGGATACAAATGGATTCTCGAGTAATACATAGTAAATCCATAAAAATATGGAAAATTAATTCTAATATATAGCCATATTATATTATTTATTATTTATTATTAGTACCCAGTACCGTACTCGATGTACAAGATGCACTATCTAACAGTATCCAACATACTGTATACTTTAACTATGCAACAGTATTTAACATATACTCTAACTAATTACTAGTCTGTTATACTATATTTTAGCCGGATAATTAGAGGTTTTTTTGTAATTTTAATTATTATAATAAATGAATAATATTAACTACAATCACCAGAGGCAGATCCAAATAGACTTATTTATTAACGTCATGACCACCAGGAGAAAGTCTAATGGAAATCCGCGCAAGAGTATGGTACAATTGAGACCGTCTTAAAAGATTAATTTTAAAATCAATCATTTCGTAACAGATTCATCATGGTTTAGTGCACATGAGTGGCAGTCTCCTAATATAAATTCTGAAGGAATTCTATTTGCTAAAAGTATTCTATCGCCGTTTCAAATACTGATACAACGCCATTTTGGGTCATTTAAAAAAAAAAAATGGCGTTGTATCAGTATTTGAAACGGCGCTAGTTGACTTTCAGTAAATAGAATCCCTTCAGAAATTATATCACGAGACTGCCACTTATGTACACTAAATCGTGAAGTTGTTGGAAGTTTATTTATTTTATTTGAAGGCTTAGATATATCCGCTGATCGTATATTGCAATGATCCAGATTTTTAAATTGTCTACGGCGTCCATTGTACAATATAGTATACTATAGTATACTATTGTAGTACTGATACTGTAGTCCACTCTGTATACTAGTACAATACTTAGTCAGCCCAGTCGCACTAACCTATAGGTAATAGGACTGCAGATTGCTATATATAGTATCGCAAGACGTAGTCGTCGATCCAGTGTAATAACTTTACCCGAGTTAGTTAAGCTAAAGTGACGACATTGGAAAAATTGGAAATTCAGGAACTACTGTCTGCTCCTATCGCTTTAAAATTGAATGGTAGAACAAGTTTTGAAAGAAATGGTAGGATTTCATTGGAAAAGGATGAAGTAAGCCTACAAAGAGTGAAAACTTGAAAGAATATAATATTAGAGAGTACAAGCAATACAATTTGAAAGACAACCTTTGAAAATTTGAAACGGACCTACTAAAGTTTTTAGACCTTTGAAAATCCTCTTAAAATCCGTTGAAATTCTATTTTATAGTCACAATTTTAAATGTGTTAACAACCCGACATTTCCCATTGGTGGCTATTATTAGATATTACTTTACCCTTGTGGTTGATTAATTTAAAAATGCCGACAGGTTTATTACTCAGTGCCGACGATTCATCGAATGATGATTTCGAACGTAGTTGGCAGCAAATTGAACATACTCTATTGGCGCTCTTAAATCAGCAACCTATCAGCAAAAGGGAATGGCAAGATCTCTTTGCGTAAGCTAACTTTTATGCAAGCTTTACTGTATTAATTGATTATGCTACTTACAAAATCTTGCCTATTGAGTACGGTATACGATAGTGACAATTTGAGCTACGGTATATTAGTGCAACTAGGTTGTTGACATGTTATTTATAAATGGTGCTTCCGTACTACGGTAGAATGTTTACTTATGGCCTACATTGGCTCTTGCCAACTTGCAATACGGTATATGAAATATAGAATAACGAACTACTTGTGGATCAACATCGAATGATTTATGCCTAGACGATAGATCGAGAAACAAGTACATATACTGTATCATATAATCATAAATATACAATCAATATTGCAATTTGCATTGGTTAAGGTCATTTTCTGACTATCATTGCATCCCAAGTCGACTGCTAAACTTGTTATAGCAATGAATCAAGAGTAGACATTTACAAATACAGTAAAGCATGTGTCTTACATTCCTTCCATTTTATAGCTATGAATGATAGCATCATCTGTACTTCTCATTCTAGAAAATATATGTCAATACGTAATTAATGAGTTCTCGACCTGCGAAAACTGTCTCGAATACGTACTTGCTTCGGATACTGATAGACATAATTTGTTCCAACCAAAGCTATAGAAGCATTTATATATGCTATATTCTACCGAAACTTTATGCAATGTTATGCCTTCTTAATTCCAGATTGACTTTTCGATTGAGTATGTGGTATGAATCATCCAATCAAATAATTGTCGATAACTTTAATAGCGTTATTAACAGATTTGTCCTGGATAAAAAGGAGGTATGCATCCCAGTAATATACTCGTATGAAGTAGAGATTGGATACATTGTGTATCATTGTGATTTTCTTAGCGCAAGGTAATTGCGCCGATAATCTTTAACAATGTGTCTTGCTTATACTAATACAGTGCGTAGAATCAATAGTGCAGTATTTTTATCAATACTTTTAAAATAATTATTACTTTGTCAGTTTGAAAAGTTCTGTAATTATTCATGAAATTTATTTAGTCGATCTTGTAGCATATCATGTGGTCTCTGATATTATCATTATACGACTAGATACTGTGAACGTAAGAATATGAGCATAGAATAATGTCATACTGAATTTCAAAGACATTCATATATTTAGTTCTATTTAAGATTTAAATATTGTTTGTAGTTAGGATAATAAACTAACCATTATCTTTAATGGTAATATTAAATATGTAGATAATCTGTTAACGTCCTAGGTTCTTGCAGCGCAGAGTGACAAGCTAGTCTTTTTGCAAGAATATGTACAAATTTGGGAGACTTACTATCGTTTATGCGATTACATACCGCAACTATTTAAGAGGTTGGAGGTAGCTTCAACCAACAAATCTGGCAGTGCTGCTTTGTCAGTTAGTAAGAGAAATAAATGTCAAGCTTTTCGAGATGTAAGTGGTAGCAGCTATACTAAGAAAAGGCATAAGTTATTTCCAACTTCAAATATAAAAAGCTCTGCAATGGTGAATATATTAATAATCAATAATTTTTATCATTTAAGACAATGTTGGAGAAATGGAAAGATGGTTTGCTTAATTACCATATCCAAAGATTATTAGATAATGTAATGGAGTTGATAATAGAAGAGAAGCGTAATCATATTTATAATGGACAACTTATTACGAATATAAAGGATGCGCTTGGTAGGCATAAATCTATTACTGGTTAATTAGAATTCAAAGCTTCCTGATAATTCTTTTAGCTGGTCTTGGTAATGTCACCTATATTAATTTAGTTTACCTTTTTTCCTTCATAGTTCATCTCCATTGCTCTAAAGATAAAGATAAGTTGGATACTTATCAACAATTTGAACGAGCATATATGAAAAATATTTTAGAATATTACAAGTTACAATCTTCAATGGCATTGGACGAGATGTCTATGTCGGATTACATTCGTTATGTAAGTTATATCGTTCCAAAGTAACATAGGATATTGTGGCTAAGCACAGCCGCTATGATATAATTTATTATTTGTTGATTATATGTTTGTTTCCTTGCTATCAAGATATAATAGCTATATTATGTCCTTAATATACATATTATAGGTAGATGCTAAACTACGAGAAGAAGAGGATAACTGTCGGCGATATTTGGAATTTAGTTCCATGAAAGTTGTATGTATTCATAACTGTAATGTTTCTCTTACTTTACATTCTTATATACAACTTGGATTGTAATCTACTGCTAATGATTCCTTAAGGTACTCGAATCCATAGAAAATCATTTAATAAATAGTCGAAAATCTATATTATTACAAGAGTGTTTCAAAATGATAAAGAATGGCAATACTGCAGGTTAATCTTTAACTGTCTTTCTTGGCTTTATATGTTAATTAATAATTTCGAATAAAATTTGAATTTTAAACCAGCCACTCAGGTGCATTTTTGTTCCCTACAGACCTTATTATAATATTTAAGTTACTGGATCGAGTTAATGGATGTATTGACAACGTATTGGAAGCTTTGAGCTCACACATACTTGAATCGGGAATGTCAACTTTATTGACTGATGCGGAAGTTATTATTTGGGTAACTTTTCTATACCTTATTTGTCATTAAATTTACCCCTCCTGTTATGTTTAATTTCTCATATAATATTTGAAAATGAACTTTATTCCTTTTAGGATAGCGAAAAATACGTTGATAAATTTATAGGGCTTTACGAAAAGTTTAGTGAATTGCTTAAAGGTGGTTTCAACGACGATGCACGTTTTTTGTCATGTCGAGATCAGGTATAGTAGGAATTTTGGATACCATAGATTATTGCTAATGTGGTCTGGTATAACTAGAATTATAATGCTATTTTGGTATATTTTATTATGTTTTGTAAGGCTTTTAAGAAAATCATCAATGATCGGACTATTTTCTCTATAAATATTCCAACAAAGATCAAAGGGTGATTATTTGTGCATGTATTGTAAATATAAATATGCCTTATGCACTTGTGTAATATCTACAACTATTATTGTTTTGGCTGTTAAATTTTTATATATTTTAGCTGTCAGTCCTTCTATTCGTAAAATATAACATCACACGTAATATTTCTGATCCAATAGCATGGGTAAGCTTGAACCGGAGTCCAGGTGCCCTGAGCTATTAGCAGGCTATTGTGACTTACTGTTACGTAAAACTAACGTAAATAAAAAGTTGACATCTGGGGAGATAGAAAGACGTCTAAAAGATGCGGTATGATAGCTTGATCACGTTATTTCCATTCGGATACAATGTAGAATATGAGCGAAAATTTCATAAAATTTCGTGCAGATGTTATATTTCTAAAAGTCCTTATTGAAGTTACTCGACTTCTCATTGTATTCTTTGCTGCTCTTTGCTATAGCTTCTGTTATTGAAATACGTTCAAAATAAGGACGTTTTTATGAGGTATGAATATTTCATATTTGGTTATGATTCGACATGAACTTAATTGCTCGTAACTTGTTCTTCAGATATTACAAGGTCCATCTCATGAAAAGGCTTCTCCTAGATATTACAGCTGACCAAGAGATGGAAGAGAATATGATCGAATGGTTAAGGGTACATCAAAATGCTGATCTGCACTTTTAGTGATTCATAAATTATACTTTTGTTAGATATTCACAGAAAAATAGTAGGGTGTTATTGTTATTAGCCTATGGTAATTGTAATATTCATTTATTGCTTACATAGAATATAGAAATGCCCGTTGAATTTATCAATAAATTAGCAAAGATGTTTCATGATATTCATATTAGCCATGATGTAAACAATCTCTTTAAAGAAGCTAGGAGTAAAGAGGCATCTGGTAAAATATTGTATACTTACATTATTATAATAATTATAATATTTCTATTGACATGTTTTGATAATGCTATACCTTACTATGTCAAGATACCATTAATGCCAAAATTCTAAGTGCAGCAGCTTGGTCTCGAGGATCAGAGAATACTAACGTATCACTTCCATCCGAAGTAATCCTTTACTCTAATGTTTATTTTATTTTTTCTTTGATTTGTTTGTTTTTGATTATTTAATTAATACTATACTATACGATTTTATCGTTAGAAAGAATTATCATCAAAACCTTTTATAGCAATTTTTACATATTTTAATTAATAGCCAAAATGCTTTCTTATCTCGTTTCGAATTATAAATTATGAGTGATGACAGTACTCTAGAGATAATATAATTCTGTACGAACAGTTTTCTTTGTCTTTACCTGGCTTAATTTAATTCTATGTATGCGTCTTATATTTCAATTTCCTTTAGTAACTTGAATAATTCTTTATAAATTTCTACTAGTTAGCGGAATATATTAAGGAGATTGAAGGCTTTTATCATCAAAAATACACCACTCGGAAATTACAGTGGCACCATTTATATTCCAGCGGCACTGTTAGTATCAGCTCAACAAATTATCAAAAATTGTTAGGAATTTGCTTTATTTATGAGACTAAAATAATAGTCAGCTTATTTTAAGCCGTATAATTGAATTTTTGTTTGTATTCCTTCTGTAATAAGATCACATTTGCGACTAACTATGGTAAGTACGATTTAGAAGTGACAACTTTCCAGATGTCGGTCCTCTTTGCTTGGAATTTGAGACCAAGTGATGAAATCTCGCTCGATAGTCTACGGTATGAAATCCTACATGTTATACTCGTATCGTAGTTAAAAAAGTTCATTTTGTATTAGACTATAAAAATCATATTACAAAAAAGGCAACACTGCCTATCTAGCTAGCTCTTCTACTTTATTGCTGTTGAACATATCATTATTAATTGCGATATTATAAAAAATAATAAACTTTTAGGATTGCAACAGGATTGAATGAATCAGAACTTCGTAAAACATTATTTGTAAGTCTATATTATAAAATTTATGTCTTAAGTAAAGATTATGTATGAAAGGATTGTTGGATTTTTTTAGTAATTTGATGATGTTGATTGAGAACAGTTAACTTCCTTTATTATAATAATTATTAATACGGATATCCACTTATAATACCATTAATCTGCAATATGAACATATCTTGATTATAGTCACTGACTAACAATTCCAAAATGAAGTACCAGATTTTACTTGTCAATCCATCTGTGCAATCATTTCGAGAATATACCCATCAATCAATTTTCAGGATTAATCGTGATTTTAATATTGTGTTAGTCAATACTTGCAATTTGTTTGTTGAAAGGATTTAGATTGTTTTAAATAATTGTTATTGATCAATAATTTATGTTGCATGTAAGATTAATTCAGTGCATAAAATGAGTTAAAAACAGTATGCAGAGAAAATATACATCTATGTTACAGTATTCTTTAGCGCTGCTGCTGCATGATAAATTAGGACTTTAATTTTTGTAGTTATGAGTTAAAGCGTAATGGATGACGTCAGTGTGAGATAAATGAAATTCTTTTTAATATTTTCAAAACAGGAGTAAATCTGGAAAAATACAAAAAAGGGGTAAAGTTACCTTAATTGGGCGATTACAGCTAGCGCCAGAAAAGGGTAACGAAGAAGAAAATAAAGAAATTGCTAGTTTACGAATGCTTCGAACACAGGTATAGCCGGTAATGTGGGTAATGTTTGATTAGAACTTAGTTGCTATACTTTGTCACTAATTTCGATTTGCAGATAAGAGCGTTACCAACTTACACGGTTGTGTTGATTTAGGAAGCTATCATTAAGATTATGAAGATGAGGAAAAGACTTCGTTTTGGTCAGCTACAGACAGAGCTCGTGAATGTACTTAAAAATATGTTTTTTCCGCAAAAAGCAGTCGTAAAAGATCAATTGGAAAAGCTGATAGAAGAAAACTATATTAAGCGGGACGAACAAGATTTAAATACATTTATTTATTTAGCTTAGTAGCACTGTATACGACAATTTTATCGCTTAATGGATTTTCAAACACACATTTACTTGTATTGGTATTGAAATATATATATTCTATTAAGTTATATAGATAAAAAACAAGGATTGCTGATGATATTTCATTGATAATTAAGTTTGTTCTATAGTGTATTACGTAATATTTTTATACAGTAATAAGGTTTTCGGTAATGGCCTTACCAATTTATTGATGGTACTGGTAACATATTATCGGTATGAACTATAACTGGCTGGTAAGTATGCCTAGCATGGCGAAGTTGAATTACTCATTAAAAAACAATGAGTACTGTAATAAATTGTCTGATATTAATAAACTTGATATAATTAAGTTTATAGTAGGTAAAGTTTATTTATACCATCATCCATCAGTATGTACAAAGTCGTAGCCATGCTACAAGTGATTTACTCGAATATATTTACGTTTTCACCATCTTCTTCTTAGCAGATTGACCCTTGATAATCGTAATTATAATTAATAAATAATTGAAAACTATGATCAGTTTTTACCGCTGATTGCATAGAGTAGCAATAATACGTACCATTTGTAAAATTTCAGATTGTAGCTGACGCTCCGCTTTTTGAAGTTCTTGTAATCGATTTAATCTAGCCTGTAACTGTTTCTTATAATGACTTAATTTGGTATTCTATTTTAACAAATATAATACATAATTTAATAAATTAAGTTGAAACGAATTTGATAAAATGATCTTAAGTGGTTATACTTTAGCGTTCAACTTGATCTCATCTTTTGTGCTATCTTGAGAATTCATTAATTCTTTTTCTAGATTTGCAAATGAATGATAGTAATGAAAATAGAAATTGCTTAAATGGGTGTATTATAGGTGAACAAGGAATAATTAGGAATATCACTTACTTTCATCAGTTGTCTCGTAAAATCTAAGATGAGAATTTGATTTTTTAAATCCTGTTTTGTTTTCGTAAAGGCTAAGACTACACTGCAATTTTTCAATAGTCTATTATAAACACAAATTGTTAAAATGTATAAGGTGATACTAGCATTTAAATATCAGTGATTACAAATTGGTTTACACTTCTTTGAGGCAATATTAATAAGATTTCTTTTTATCAATAGTGTTGATGTCAGAGACCGTGTTTATATTACACTATAAATTAGTAGAGTTGTAGAATAATTTTGCAGCATTTTATTCGCATAATCATCCAAAAGAGTGTATGCATGATTTGGCAATATAATTTTAATTTAATCATCTATGCTATAGTACGATGATTGTACTACAATCTCGTCGATTATTACAGATATTATTGCAACCTTTTTTTGGTCAGCGCTTTCTAACAAGATTGCACGTAGTTCTCTGGTCTTAATTCGTCGCATTTCTACAACTTGAGCTTTCCGGTACTTGAAAGGTCGTTGCTTATTATTATCCTTGGCAATGACATGTTTTCCGCCCTGTTAATAGGATATAAATAACATATTGCCTTAGCTCCTATCTAATCTCGATTACAGTGTCTACAGTATCCGTCATTAATTTAGCGATATCTAGTATGGTCGATAAGAAAAACTTCTTTGCATCGATGTTAGTAGCGATGCTCAAGGGCAAATGAATATTATACGAAGAATTTGTGTTAGAATATACGTAAGTCTATCATGCTACAAGTGCTGATTTATTATGTCAAAACTGCACAACTGTAGATAAAACGCCGAGAATCTTTACTGAAGCTATCGCTCAATAGGGCGATCTGAGATTTATGTTAACAGCAAATTGAGAAATTTATGAACTTCAATGCAGTTGTTTTGAAGTCAAGTTATATTAAAATTACACCACCTTGAAGCGAAAGTTGCAATTGTTCTATCGTATGTAATACAAAATAATATTAGCAAAAGGACTAGGTTGACACTTTACAGTTAGTGTCGGATCAAAGTGAACACTGAGCAGGGCAGGCGTTGCTGGTATACAGTATGCCAATAATGACATAATTTAATAATATACCGTGCTGTAGGCTACATGCTGTATAAATGTACTTATAAGTACGTATTTCCAATAATAATAATAATTCTATTAGCTACACCTTATCATTATCATAAATTCAAGCAGGCATATTGTATACGGTAGTATCTCACAAGGTAATTCATTAACTTACGATAACGCGGTCGTTGATCATACCAAAATGGAATTCATCTGGATTTTTATCACGAGCCTAAGATAAATCATAACACTTTGACTTAATAGAATATGGATAACTAGCTGAAAGTTCTGTCGCTTGGCTAACAGAGATATCACCGTTTATAATGTAATAATTAGCAATACATTGTAGGTATAATGAATAGTAATTCATTTGAAGGTGAGCAATATCGTTTTCATTAGAGGGATATTTATACTTTGCTGAAATCGATTAGCTTGTGATTTCTACGCACTAACCTGTATTTGCAATTTTTTCAGTTGCTCTTTTTTTTTTTGATAATTTCTAAAAAGAGACACAGTATAATTGCTTAAGTGAGCTACCTTTACTAGTCATAACTTGCTAGATTAATTGTAAGATATTGAAAATAAGAGTATTTTAATTATGGCTGATGTTTGGTGGTATGATTTCACCTTGCTCTAAGAAGATAATCCTTATGCTTCTCTAAGTGTCCAAACTTTCGTCTCTCACTTGGCTAAATTATTGCAAGTGAAAAAAAATAGCATTGCAACGACATTCTCACTTGAAAGTAGTACAACTGCATGAAATTCAACTATGAACGCATGCAACAAATAAAAAGAGTACTTGATCTCTTTCTCGATGTATTCTCTGACCAGCTTTAGCAGCTTTTTCGAAAGACGCCATGCTAGTAGCAGTAGGCAGCAGCTATGGACTAGAAATAAGATGCGAACAACTTGTGCACGCTGCAGGAATCCTGGAATAGCTCAGACCTTGAAGACCTTTTGGCTGGCCAGTCTCCAGTTACTACAGTACTGTATATCACTATACCACTGTACGCTGTACACGACGGACGCTGGACACTGGACAGTCCATGGGGCAGAAATGATACGAGTTACCGTGGTATACACTGTACTGTACACTGATTATTTTAGATGTCACCCCTTGAAGACTTTTTGGCTGGCCAGTCTCCAGTTACTACAGTATATCACTATACCACTGTACGCGGTACACGACGGACGCTGGACACTGGACAGTCCATGGGGCAGAAATGATACGAGTTACAGTGTTATACACTGTACTGTACACTGATTATTTTAGATGTCACCCCTTGAAGACTTTTTGGCTGGCCAGTCTCCAGTTGCTACAACAGTATATCACTATACCACTGTACGCTGTACACGACGGACGCTGGACACTGGACAGTCCATGGGGCAGAAATGATACGAGTTACAGTGTTATACACTGTACTGTACACTGATTATTTTAGATGTCACCCCTTGGTTCAAAAATCAAAGTTGTATTCCGTTGAAATTCCTGTATAATATATATCCGTCAAATGAGCAAGACTGAGTGATTAGGCTACAATTACCTATAGAATTTCTCTAGTTTGGGCCTGATTTAACTTACACAATTATATCTTTTCAGGGTGCCATTGAAAAGAATCAGACTTGTACTGGACATTGGCACAAATGGAAGGGTAAATTGAGTCAGGTCTAGACATGCACGACAGCACAGTGTACAGTATACAGTACTTCAAGTTGATTAGCGAGTTTTTGCATGGACGATGAAAGTTGGGACCAAGTTGGAAGTGATTTCATTTCATTTGAACTGATTCTGCCTATATTCATGTTTATAGAATCAATTCGATTGCATAAATGAAAGCATTTTTGATTTCACAGTCAAATGATTTAATTACAATGAATGAATTCGCCATACTATTCCATTTGCAGTGACTCCATCAGCATCTTGCCGGTGTCTGTCTGATCGTAGTCCGAAGATTGTTCAGTTCAATGACACGCTGACACGTAAAATGGTACCGTACCTTCCCGTTCCGTTCCGTCCACGATCCACTCCGCGGACTGTCCCAAATTGTCACACCTCAAGGCCAACCGTTACTGCGCAGTACAGACAGTCTATACAGTAGACTACACAAAGAAGACCTACAGTGTACAGTGTACAGTACTCCCAAATTAGTACTGTACATTGTACCACCCTGGAACGCGGTACGGTACCAACGACCAACTACAGAGCTGACAGCTCGCGCAAAACACCAGAGTTGGAGAAATGGCGTCTTGTCGATTGCAAGCTTGCTTTCCTTGCTGGCATTCAGTGTAATCTGTAAACTGTTGCAAGATGCTTTCGGTTGATTGATTGATTGATACTTTTAGATTAATCCCACCGTAGTGTCGTAAGTAAATTAATGTCTTTATACACGAATATACTGTATTTACTACATACATTAATACGACTGAGGATATGGCTGTTTAGCGTATGGGACAAGGTGGTGATTACAACCAAATCCATCGTTGCCATGAATTTTATTCAAAATCCTGGTAGCCTGATCGACCTTAGTTCTATACATAGAGATAGCAAACGGATGAAGCAAATTCCTGCTCATATTGGATTAGTTGTTGTTGAAGATAGCATCAGTTGTAAAGATATCGCCAAAGTCATTGTTTGGTCTATTGGAATAGGCATACCATGTGTTACATTATTTGATCAGAAAGGTGAGAATATTTTCTTCGCTCATTCTAGGTCATCATCAACGCAATCACATGCGGTTCTGCCTGATTACTTCCTGTAACAATACAAATACATTCAAAGTACTCTTTTTAAATCGTTTCATTAATCTTACTGCATCAACATCATACAATTTCAAAATTGAGTTACTTTTAAAACTGTTGGCATGCAATGGATTGCAAGTGATGATCATAATTGTACACGCGTATTCGTAGACCGTACAAGCAATCTCCTGCTAATTGAAAAATTGACGGTAGTGCATGTCTTACTTGCATGCCAATTAGATCATCATGACTGTTGTATTCCTGATATGGTGCGACTGTTGACTTGCTACTCTGCAGTAATTGCTATGTACAGTATTTATATGGACTACCCAAGCAAATTTGTATTATTAACATATTCCATGGTAAAACTACAATGTACTGTCTAGTGCGTCTACATTGCTGTACTTACAAACTGCCCAAAATAAGTGACTAATGCCAAAGTCTAAAAATGTTATATCTACGCTTAGGCACGATATTATTCTTTGAGTGTAAATAAGTAATATTATAACTTAGATATCATGAGACAGGATGTTGAAGTATCTGATAGAGTCAACAGATCTGATTTGCTTAATAATTAAATTAAATAGACTGTAGTACGTACAGTACAGTATACTCTTATGTACAGACTAAAAGTTAAAATCAGTGTTGATAATAGTGCAACTTTCAGACGTTGAATAGTTGTAAATCTAGCCATGTGTATTGCTGCTATTAATTACAATTAATGAATTACCTAAGTAGAGAGAACTCAACTTGTACAATATGACTTCAATTCTTATTCAATAACGGACGCTAGTACCCTGTTATAAATTATATCTTGGCTTTCTATTCCACTGTTGATATAGTTTAAAGTTCATCATATGCTAAAACTGTTATTGAGATGTATAGTAATTTTGTCAAAAGAGCCTGTCTAGCATAATACAATTACGTCTTATTGATTGAGCTATCATCGTTTTCTTCAGGTTGGTTGAAAGAGATGAGACACAAAATTAATCAAGAGGTAACTAATTATTATAACCTCTTACTAAGTAAAGAGAAGACGAAAATGGTCTTAAGTTGTCGTAACGGCATAGCATTGGCTAATATTAGCATACCAGGTTTGTTCATAATTTCGTAAATTGTACGTCATGTTGTGTAAATGTTGTGAGTACCAACAATCGGAAAATAGTCATTTAAGATAGTGTACATAAATATTACAAATATGAGACATGTATGCTATGTTGATAGTTAATAAGATAGAATGGTACCCTTCATTAACTACGGCTAGATTGTTTCTGTCTTACTGTAAGCATCATTATGGCAGGATATGATACTCTGATACTGTATGATTATTTGACATGTTGGATTCTTACAACAATTAGTAGTTAAAGTATCTACTTTCTACGATAATGATATTTTGATAGAATTTTTAAATACAGGTGATCAAGTTGAATAAAAAAGATTCTATCTAATTAATGCTATTACTATACATTTCTATTGGTAACGATCGACGAAAAAATTTTAGGATATTCCAAACCAATTCGCCTAAACTTCCTATCAAATTCAGATGGACGTCAAGATATTGTCACAGCTGCCCAAAAGTTATGCTCTGACTCTAATTTTTATCACGCTACAGTCACTGATCAAGAAATTGACAGGGTTACGTCTACTTTGCATGGTAAGTAAAATGAACAGACTGTCTCCTGTATCAAGTGACATCATTCTCTATTCAGCCTATGGTAGGCAGTTGTATAAAGGATAATTGCAAATATGATTTTGCATTTTGTTGTAAACGTATGTGATTTGCTTTGAGCATCACTAACTCGTATATTGATTGTATCCTTGTGCAGTTGTGCTTAAATTAGTATGCATTGTACTGCCGTTAGCGTAAATTAGGTATAGTGAAAATGATTGAAGCCTAGTATCAAAGATGTTGATTTAAATTTATGTAATAGCTAGAAAAGATGTCAATCTTCTTTTTGTCTTCTTGATGTTTGCATCAATTAATTGAATGCGTAATATAGCCACGCATGGATTTCCGGATCCTGAACTGGTAATAAAATTTGGTGATATTGATTCTATGTTGGGCTTTTTGCCTTGGCAAATTAGGCTGACCGAAATAACGTAAGTTTAGCAATGCTAGAAGTAACCGCGATGTAAGGATATGATTATTTAAGTTGTTATAGCCTGTTATGAATCGATCGTTGATGTACTGATATTTCATTATAGGTCTTTACTATCGCATTGGAATCTGCCGTATAGCTTATTCTTAAACGTTATAAGGGATTACTCCAATTGCCAGCAAAGATTTGGAAAATAAACGACGATATCTATTAAATTACTACCTTACATTATTTTACCTTATATGATTGAAAATACTTAGTAAGCTATCAAACTTGCGATGATTATTATGCAATACTTACTGTAGGATAACGACATAAAATATCAAGAGCTGATTTTGTTTCTAATATTGTACTATGGTATTATTTCTATATTGCTTGAAATAGAACTATGGATGAATTCCTTACTACGACGTAACATACTTGCATATTAAAAGTATCAATAGGAAAATATGATTTTATATAACGCAGCCGATGTAGAATACCCAAATTTGTAACAAAAAATTTTGATTCCTGTCATCATGTCAATGTTAGCGGAATACCTCTATGTATTACCAAAATTTTCGTGCAAAGACATGTATCAGTAACATACTAAGTTAAATAATATGCCTAGATGTATACAAATTTTATAAATGGATACTTTAGTAATAATTCATGATTAATTGTTGTCCTTTGACAAGGTTAAATAGTGTTTGGAATGCGTATTTTAGCTTACCGAAAGATGAATTGCATTGGTTATATACTCTAATTAGCTGTCCTGTAATTATTAGTACTTCTAACTCTGAACCTTGATCAGGTGTACTTGCAAGACTTTGAATGTTTTTAACACCATAATGGTATTATAGCGTTAATATCGAGCAATCGCAAATTCATATGTTTCGTCTGCCACGTGATGAATTACTGGCAATTAACTGTAGTATAGTGTGGCGTTCTATCGATTCCTTACTCTGAGTCTGATATAGAAAATTTTCCTTAATCCGGTAGTAGACTTTAGGGTATGATCGTATTAATCACAATTCATTTTAATGTTGGATATCGACTGCTCGTAGCGTTCCAACTTGTGCCATTAAAAATAGCTAGAGTTCTATGAAGTATTCGACGGTAGTACAAGAATAATAGTGCGCCTGAACATTGGTGTGATATAAAACTTATCATTTTATTATAATACATACGTCGATACGATGAAATTTGTGGTTTCAAATTTAATCTTTTAAAATACACTGATTTGATAGAAAGAAGGAAGTGTATACAGTGTGTGATACCTTGAAGTTTTCAAATGATATACATACTTTGCGTTGACAGTTTATACAAAATTGAAGCTTTTAAGACGTCAAGCAACATAATTTTTGGTTATAGCAAAAGCACTAAAGTAACTATTCTGAGTAAATTAACGGAAATCAATTATAACTTATTACATATATGTTACGGGCAATGTACAGTATACATTGACCGATCTCTTATATATAATTACCGAGCATGTCAATGTTGTACTGTTATCGGATAAATTATTTTATTCGAATTTTCTTTCCACCGCTTATAGCTTCATATATGCGAGTATTGCGATGCAAGAAATTAAAAACAAAATAAATTTACAGAAGATCCCCGATTGAAGCTAACGAAAGCATAGCTCCTAAGGCTATATGTTGTTAGATTGACAATTGCTGAGCTGCCGGGCCTAGTATTATTCTTAGCAATACATTGTTTTAAGAAGTGTAGTGACATCTTGTTGTTGCCGATTTCGTCTACAGTATTAATATCTATAAATTTTGATACCTTTACAGCTTCAATAAGTAGATATAAAAACCGTATAATCTATCTTGCAAGTTTTTAAATCAGTTTTCTTCACTAGCAGGCTTAGGTTGCTGCTCGGGTTTGCGAAGTGAGGAAAATAACGCGAAACTATCAACTAAATCTTGGGCCACCTTAGAATCTATTTTAAATTTTTCAGCAAGTTCTTCAACTGGCATTGATTTATGCTGATATAGTGTAAATAACGTAACAAGTTGTTCCATATTTAACTTGCCAGGCGGAACTTCATCGGGAGTATAGTTGTTATAAGCGGATGGATCTATAGTTTTAGTTGTTACCAGCACCTTTCGATTAGATGCTAAATTTACCAATTCTTCGTTTGGAAAATTTTCATGGATCTTTAATAAAAGTACAATATGGCATATTAATAAGTTCGATATTAAGATCTGTTGACCGTACAAATTAAATAATTTTAGTGGAGACATTGGATGCGACGTATACTAAGTACTCTTGGATAAAGGGTAAGTTATCGTAACTGTTGTATTCTTATTACTCAAAAATACACGTATACTGTTTAAAAATACATGGTAATATCCGGATTAGCCATACTTTATATGCTGCGCATTTATAAAAGCAATTGCAATGGTTTGTGACGGATTAGTGACTTTATAGTTTTCTAAGGTAAATGGATTATTGTAGGTGGTTTTCTTGCTGTTTGCTGAAGAGGAATCTTCAGGTATACTGTACGAATCTTTAATCTATATAACTGTTTATAACAGTACTGCAGCGGCTATATTAAATTTTCTAAGCCTAGCTGCCGATTATGACAACCTAAGATATACTGCAGTGTATTTGATCGGCAAATTCTTACAGCTTAAAATCAATCGATGGATCAGCAACCGCTGATACATAATTGGTAGAAGACAATTATAGGTATTAGAGTTATACTTTACTTTTATTATAAGAGCTCCGATATACAGTATACGCAAGGTATGGCTTAATAGTTACAGTTCTAGGTAAAGTAATAAGACTATCTCTGCTTATACTTTAGGGAACTGTGGAATCAATTTGCTATCTGTGGGATATGGGTAATATAGTACAAGAATGTGCATGCACTAGTGCAGTAAAATAAAATATATAATTAACAATAAATTTAAGCATTAGTAACTATCGTGATAAACTAAAGACCTCAATTTTTCTTGATTGAGCTCTAAGACCCTTTAATCTTTCATTTAAGGTAGAATCCTTCTTGAGTAACTCTTCCGGCTTGAATGCTAAATAAACATGTCAAATAAGTAAATTTAAGTAAGAGTATGTCGAAGTTGAAAAATCGGGAAGTAATTACAAGATGTAATTCGCATTAGTTAAGGCTGATGAGATACCTATGCAATATACGTAGCAATGTATGCATGATTACGATGTATTTAAATTACCATTAATACGCTGTAAGCAGAGTAAATTTCTGTACATGAACTAAAGTGCTGTAATGGCTTGACTGGATGCATTCCATTTGCAGAGTAATTAAAGTATAATGATAGCATTCTGTAGCTAAAGGCAAGAGACTACAAGCTATAGCATCCAGTAGAGTTATATCATTAGCCAGTAGTTACTAGCCTTGTCTGTTAACTCCATTGGTTTACAATTGCAAGAAATGTTGATCATCAACAAATGCATGCGGTGTATTTGCAGATTATAAATAGCAATAATGACTATATGCAGTATCCAGCATGAATATATCAAGTTGCTACGTATTTACTGCCGATAGTGGCAAGTGAAGGAAATTTCAACTTAACCACGCATCATTGATTTTTACTTGGTTCTGGATCTCTGTGTCCTGGATGTCTTGGAGAGCTAACTCGATTAGTTGCCCCTTTTTTCAATTCCTTAGCAGTTCCAGCTAATCTGGACCTACCGGAGCCCATTTTAGTCTATACTTTAATTTATTGCTTAACGTCTCTGATTTATACAGTTACTATAGTCCAGTGACAGCGCTATGAGGAGGAGCTAGAAATCAAGTCAGGGTCGCCTTGAAGAAGAAGAACTTTGCAGAAGGAGCTTTTAGTGGAGTGCTTGCTACAGTACACAGTACAGTACGTACTGTACTGTACTGTACTGTATTTAGCAAGCACTCCACTTCTCGTTTTTGTCCTGGCAGCTGACAGTCCGAGGCTAAAGAGGCAGCGCAGACGAGTGCACGAATGCGAAGCGTCATACTGTACTGTACAGTACAGTACTGTGAGTGAGTGTACTGTACACTGGATGTACTGTACAATAGTGTACATGCGCTGAAAGTTCTTTTTTACGCATGCGTGGTACATTATATTTAGTTTTGTGTTGATTTTTTGGGAATGCAGAACGCTATATATGAAGTTTATTTTAGGGTTATGCAAATATTTTATTACGGTATTATGGCCAATCCATTGACAGTCTGGTAATGTTTTACCGAGGTTTTCTCCGAATTGATTATAACTTTCTTTGAAGTTAATACTACGTCTACACTTGGAATTTCTAGTTCTTAGAGGTATATTCTCTATGCTTCTAGTGGTTTCCAGTAGTCGATGACTCCTGTACTGTACTGTCTGTACATATTGCTGTAAAATATCTAGGGGAGTGTCTATTTTTTTTTTTTTACGGAATGTCTCAAGTACAGTCCCCTAAAAATGTATTTTTGCCTAGTTTAATAGTGATAATTTTTCAAAATTGGAAAAAGGGTGAGCACGACCCAAACATATACGGGTTCATTCTGTCATGGATGACTATACTATCTATACAGTAAAAATGGAGTCCGTGACTGTTCACCATTACAAATTACCTCAAAGAGGTACAGGTAATAATTGATGGTGTAGCAGCGCTATACTGATTGAATGTGCCTTCTTTATATTCTCATTTCTCACCTCTATTTTCTATTAAGGGTTCAATTAAGGCCGTATATTTTCTCTATTTTACTTTCCATTGCTCTGACTGATTGTAATTAAAAACAGATTGACGATTTTCGGTAGACATTCATGCGAGTGCAATGTGTAGGATTAGTGTCGTACTGTGTACAGTACAGTACGACAATGATAGAAATGAATAATGGAGCTAATTACAACTATACTATTATTGGCTAAGTTTTAATAATATGACAAAAAGCGGATAGTTTGTTAAACAATATCATTAAGACGAAAGTATATTCCATATGATCCGAAAGTGAATTGATAAAAGAACTACTATTATGTACTACCAGCGTATACCCGAAAGCTATGCCGGCTAGCGCTGAAAGGCAAAGTTTCATCATAGACGCTTTACAGGCCTGTACAATGTACAGTATAGTGTCTGTCGACGAGCATAGTGTCTGTAGACGAGTATAGTGTCTGTAGACGGGTATCTTGCGTCTTCCGGGAATTCTTCCGAACCCGGAAGTAAAACTTGATCGTTGTTCATTACTGCCGTATTGACAGTACCGTAGAGTACTGTATACCGTACAGTACCGTATACTGTGTACAACATTGCTTTCACATCGAGGTTACAGTGTACAATATATTGTAGGAATTCATTTATTGACGTACTGTGTACACTATGATTCTTTTCCATGGCACCCTGAAAACATAGAATTGTATAAGCTAAATCAGGCCCAAACTAGATCAATTCTATACTTGGCTGTAGCCTAATAACTCAGGGTATGTATAAATACTATACAGGAATTTCAACGGAATACAACTTTGATTTTTGAACCAAGGATAGACATCGAAAATAATCAGATTGTACAGTACAGTGTACAGTACAATGTACTGTACAGTACTGCTATTGTTATTTTTGGGTTTGATCTACAGTACGTACAGTACAGTATTGTACTGCCCTAACTACAGTACTGTACTGTAGATACTGAGACACGTGCACTGCGGTGCGGCACTATACTGTATAGTACCGGGTAGGACTTGAACGCGGAACTATGCATTTGCTTTCTGTTCCATACTAGACAGTGGTGTGCACTTGAGAAAGGTACAATACAAAGCTTTGACATAGTATATAAGTCCCGTTGGGAGGGAGAAATTGTGTTAGTTTGTAGCATAGCGTGCTGTAAGAAACACTGTGAACAAGAAGAAAAAAAAGGGAATGGAAATTATTCGCTGAGAAAATCGATCGTAGAAAGTAAGTGAAAAGTGATTTTTCTAAACAACAATTTTAAGCTATAAACTTGATCTCGATGTCGTCAGTTTTTTCATCACCAAGTCTCTACTCTTCCTTAGTTTAAAACGTTCATAGAAATGGATCATGCTCGTTGTCATTCGTTCAACATACCAATCTATTCGCACGTTACTGAAATTACATAAGCGTATTTTTTAACGATCGCTATAGACTATGGTGCGGTGGCACCATACGTATCAATCGAAAGATGAAAACGTTATTGAAATTGACATTTTGAATGTAGTCTAACGCCAGTATTCCATTGCACATTCGTTATCGTTTCATTAAAAAGCGTCTACAAAGACATTTTACGCAGTTTTGAGTCTATTTCCTACTAATGGTGCTGTTGGCTTACAATTCACTTACTGTAATTTACGCAATGATTTTGACTAATAAATTGTTTCGTTTTTCAATTCTTGCCTTTTTGATGACAGATCACATCAGTTCAAGTACAGCGTAGTACTGTACCGCATTGAAAGAACAAATCTGATTACTTTTTCAACGAAAAGATTTCACAATTTTGACCCTTTCAAGTCGTTTATTCAGCGATAAAACATACCCGGAATATACTCCGCTTTCGTCACCCTTTCCATATCGTAGATCGTTCAAGACGGCACTGAATTTTTAGTCAGAAGAGAAGATCAACTCTTTAAACGCTCCATTACGTAGGATAAATTAACATTACAGACTTATTGACTATAAACCCCCAAATATGATGAATAGTAATTTATTACCGAATAACTATATCACTGCGCGCTCATGGTCGTCTACGTCTAGTTCTGGCAAAGTTCTTGACAATAGTAACGAAAGTCCTCTGTATTCAGGATCTTCAGAAGAAAACTTATCGCGTGAGGAGATTGTAGAACAGTTGAAAAATTTTGCCAAGAAAAGTGGTTATTCAAAAGATGTTGTAAAGCTTGTATTGCAAGAATTGGATCAGTCATTAAGTGTAAGTGTACTGCTTGACATTGATGATGAAAATATTAAAATTAGATCGGCATTCTTATTTTGAATGAAATGATTGAATGATGAAAGTAAATCTTGAAAATTTCATAAAAATAGAATATTTTTTTTACGATAAAAAAAAAAAAGACCCAGCGTTAAGCGCTACATACTACCATACAGACGTCACTGAATGAATACTGTGCTCTGAACATTATGTAACATACTATACAGTATTGTTATAAGTAATAACATATCGAAGAAACGGTACAACGGCAAGTTTTTTTTTTCGCTATAGTACTATACCGGATTAGTTGCGACTCACAGGAGAATGGGACAGGTGTAAAACATTTTTGTCAAGTACAGCAATACGACTACAGTATGGAGTTTCAATAGTGTATGTTGCCCTGCATTAGTTACTCTAGAAGTATAGTATAGTATAGTATTGTATTGTATTGTACTGTACTGTAATTTTTTATTTTTCACACCCATCTTTCAGGTAAAGTACAGTACAGTACAGTACGTGGCTAGACGAAAATTCAAAACAATTTTTTGACTTTTTATACTAACGTATAAATGAGTATAATTGATAGCTGCCATCGTTACATTTTGCTTTGCTTAATGGTAGCTGTATAGTCAGAGAATTGATCTAGAAACTGCTTCTTTGTCCTTAGCTCCCAAGTATAGATGCTTTCTTAAAGAAACTTATTGAAAATGCCAAAGATTTAGAGGTTTCTTCTGGAAAGATGCACAGAATATCTTTAGAAGAAATTGCTCAACAGTTCAACTCTTCCGAAAAGGTTGATAAAAATCAGAATGTCAAATTAAAGTATAAACATATCGTTATTGATGGCAGCAACTTAGCTATGAGGTAAGCACTTGACTAACAATAGTAGTAAAATCCAAAATACTTAGTATACGGTATAAATATCTTTCAACATTGTTATACCAGAGTACTATATCGCATTGTATAAGCTATCCGTCAGTATTTTTAGTTATCTTGCAGTACAGTACTATATAGGGATTTTCGTAACGGTTCTGTGGCTTTTAATTATAATCCTAATACACCTAGTTTATAGCCTGGTCATACATCGATCATGTCTACGTTAACATTCGATTATGATAAGTTGAAAATTAGTATACAGTATACTGTATGAAAGAAAGGATTTTTGATAGGCGTATTATTATATTATACACGTAGCAACATTACAATTTTAAATTCAAATTTCCAGTTTCTAGTTGAAAATTGCTAAATATATAAATATATTTTACTGAGAATCTTGCACTATACTATACATATGTTAAAGTATATAATTCATTATCAGTTCAATTACTTCAATATACAGTATACCATAAAATAAGTAGAGGTGTTTACGTGTTATTGATACTTTAGCAACCGTATTTGTGTGTATTAATAAATTGCAGTCTCAATTGTTATGTGTTTTTATTATCATAATATGTTTAATTGGATTTATACTGTACCTTACAACCTTTCGACTCGAATAATGCAATATGACGTCAAAATCACATGACCCTATTCTAATGTTAATAATAATAAAAACATGTTTTATTCTTATCACATTAATAACAATAGCCATGGTGGTAAAAAAATATTCTCTTGTCGAGGGATACAAGTCTGCGTGCAGTACTTTTTGAATCGTGGTCATAGAGAAATCACAGCTTTCGTTCCTGAGTGGCGCAAAGAAGCTCCAAAGCCTGATGCCCCTATTTGTGAGCAAGATATACTAACACAATTAGAATCACAAGGATTTCTAGTTTTTACTCCATCACGGCGTGTTCGTGGCAAACGTCGAGCACATCACGATGATTACTTCGTAGTCAAATTAGCTGCGGAAAAAGACGGAATAATAGTTTCAAATGATAACTTTCGTGATATACAGCATGAATCACCGAAATGGAGAAAGGTAATAGAAAAGCAGTTATTAATGTATTCTTTTGTCGGCGATACCTTTATGCCAGTAGAAGACCCATTAGGTCGTCATGGTCCAACTTTAGATATGTTCTTATGTAGCGGTGTGGAATCCGATACTGAAGCGACGATCTGTCCTTATGGTCGACGTTGTACATACGGGAATAAGTGTAAATATGTTCATCCTGAAAAATTGAGAGAAGATCACAGCGAATCTCTTATGAAGCCGCCTGTTAACCCTATGATGAACGATGGATCAATTGCTACCAAGTCAAACATGGATATGTTTGCTGGCACTTCAAATTGGATCGTAGCTCGAGAATTTGGCCCAAGCCCTGTATCTGGTGGGCCTAAGTTCAATGGTGGTTGGGATTACAAAGATACAAATAATCACTTTTCTAGTTATGATAGTAGAAGAGAGGATTATGGACGACAAAATATAGGTTACTCCTCATACAGGACTGGCCCAGATAGTCATCGAATGCAACATGGACGGAATGATTATGATACACGCATGTATCCAAATGGGAATACTTCATCTGGTATGTATGCTCACAATAGCAATACTGAGGTTCAAAGTCGTGGATGGTCATGTGGAGATCAAGCAATGGAATCCGGTCGATCCATAAATGATTTTAGAATGCAATCCCATCCATTACCTTTGGAGTCCAGACTGCAAACATTGTCGATAGACAATGAGCAATCCTTCGATCATCGTGGATCAAGAGCTTATAATAATAATCAACCTACTATTAATCGTATACAGCCAATACAGAGGCCACAGGCGCGACCACCACAAAGAGGAAGACCAGACATGTCGAATTGGCCAGCGCCTTGTGCCCCACCTAGACAACATGGTGCAACTTATTTTGATAGGGCTGTATAGCTATAAAATAAGACACAATATAAAAAAAATTAATTGCATCAACTTTGATGTTGGCTTTTGGTTTAGTTATATTTACACAAAACAGACAGTAGCCTGTTACTGGGTTCTTACATCTGTTCACGCCTTGTCTATCCGTTAGGAACAATTAATGGCCGTATAAGCGTTGCTATAATCACCTTAGTGTAGATATTATAGTGAACGGATTACCATTGTTACCCTTCACAAGTATAAATTTTGTCTTCTATAAAGACGTTACTATTGTATAAAATTTGGTACGCCACATTAGTACATAAAATGTAATATTAGCTAATGGTATGGATATATTATGACCAAACTTTCGTAATTATATATATATATCAATTATAATAATGATTCCATAAGATGTGAGAAATATTGATATTAATCTGTCTCGACTAAATAATTTGAAATATTGTCTCTGACTGATAATATTTGAATGTTATCCCTGTACGGTATTATAAGTAATGAATAGGACTGAGGGAGAGTGCTATTAAAATTTACGAAATGATTCATAATTCGTATAATTTGTAATTCTTTGAAATAGGCCTTGTCCACACTTGCAAAATTGATAAAACTAATATTCTAGGAATTATTATCTGTTCTCTAAGCTAATCAATATTCGATAGTAATCGTTAATCATATTTCTACTGTTATGTGGATGATATTGTATACAAATGCGTACTATAATTTCTAGCAAAAGGATATCTTATTCTAAACTTTCAACTCTTTTAATTTTTAAGTACAGTGCTGTCAAGTACGACTGATTTGAAGTTAATATTGTATTTAATGTACTGTAATCATAGGTACATTATTGTCTGAATATTTGAAATAATTAAATTAAATTAAAAATGTTTCAGATGAACTTGTAACTCATACTCAAGTAGATTACTGGTCTTCATTGTTGACTTGCAAGAAAAATATGTAGCTACTAAGTACCTCCAACATTAGAATTATCAAAATAAAAGCATTTTGTGTAACACTGATAATTGGCTCTTATGCGTATGTTTCTTCTAACTACTTTCATAAAAATTGCTAAATCCTATATAGTATGCACTAGTGATGAGCGAATTAACTGTAAAAAGTGAATTCATGGTGCGTAATTTCAAATACCAGATGGCGTTATCATGAATTTCTACCTGGTTTAATATTCTTAGACTTTTCACATACTTGTATTACACATATTATACAGCAAATAGAATTAGATCGTTACGGCGCATAGTAAAGGAAATTACTGAAATAACTTTATAACGGCAATTACTACTGTCAGTATAGATATGCTGAGAATATAAGAATCGTAAACTACTACTTAAGTAAATAATGATACCAGAATTTAAACATCAGAAAAGTGGCGGTTGTTATGGCTAGTAATTTATAATTCATTATCATTACTGTATTGATACAGTAATACCAATGTAGGATCTAAGTACTAGCAGCTTCGAGCCTGACACACGGGATAGCCAGCTTATTTACTGTGCTTCAGTTAATTGGATACATTTTATTTTGTATTCTATTGTGCGTCTAACTTGACTATAACAGAATAAATCCATGAATAGTAATACAGGATTAGGGTAAATTTTAAATGAGCTAGCTTAATATCATTAATTAAATTATAATTTAACTCAAAAACTGATATGAATTAATCTCATTGTTATTATATGGGTCGCTCTGTTTAAATACGAGTACCTCTTCAGCAGTAATGAGTAATAACTAAATACCCGCATGTGCACGTACGCGGGAATATCAGTATACGCTTATTTATAATTGAACATGAATATGAGCTTTGAGGTATACTTTTAGTTTTTATTATTTGTTTTAACAACGGCGTAAGAAGTATACGAGCTTAAATATTAAGCATTCATTCATTTAACCTAGGAATATCTTTTTATTAATTTTAGTTTTGTACGGCTTATGACAAAATGAAGCTTATTGTCGGTCTATTAGCTACGATAGTTTTTTAAGAAGAATCCTGCCTTATGATATTCGTTATTTCTCAACTATAAATAATCTTCTTCACGGCAATACTACCTAATATTAAATGTTCTAAAGCATTCACAATCGCATAAATATCACCTGTAACAGTATTCATGCGCTATAAAGTTTTAAAATTTTTATCAGATAATTAAAAAAAAAATTAATCAAATGTATCACGTTTCTCCCTCACATTTATATACTTTAACCCTAATGCTATTGGAGGAAAGCTAATAAAACTAACTTAATGCTTTGTATATGTACATTTACCGTGCCATCTACCGTCACGGTATTTATGGGAAAACTAAATATTTATCGAAATAGCAATTTTTGTATAATTGCATTCCTGAGCCAAATTCTTCTAAGTTTCTTTATCGTTCTGCTTGTAAAGAAAAATGATTACGTAGTTATTACATCACAGACATTATAAATTTGATTACGTAGCCTTACTATTTTTTAAAATGGAAAAATGAAAGCGTGTCTATTAAAAGTTGCTATTATTAATATCGAAAAATATTTTCATAGCGCACAAAGGAATTAATATCTTTCTGTTTATTAAGAAAGTTAAACAACTATTTGAAGGGGTTGTTAAAGTTTTCCTTATTGCTTTAATATTCATGAGTATAGAAAGAAATGTACTAATGAAATAGATTTTATTTAGATATATAATTGGATTTTGAAAGTATTTAGCAAAAGGTGTCAAGATTAATATTAATATGTTGGAATACTATTGAAATTTTAATTTATCATTTTCACGATCATACGTATAAGCACATGTAAATGGTGTGTATAGTCGTTACCAAGGTAAATGTATGCTTTATTTACTAAATATACTAAGTACTGGTAAACATTCTTCAAGTATTAAATTTAAAATTCTTTGCTCAAAAATATTTAAATCAAGACCTACATTAAACAATAAAGTGAAAAATATTGATAGTCGTTAAATAATATCGTTTGTTCCATGATGGATCATATCTGTTTGGCAATCCACCATTCGCGACACCCATCCCATGATAATGACATCATTCTCTCTAGAAAATAATTGCCATTTGGAGACTACAGTGCAAATATGTACAGGTCGTACTTCAACAACTAATTTCTCAGGGAATAAGTGTATTCTTATGATGAAATTTAGCGTACGAATATTAGACTTTATATCTTTGCGGTATTATATTAGATTCGACGTTATCATGAATGTACTTAAATTTTATTGATGGAGTAATTAACGTCGAAAATGAAGTGCTGACTTGAAGATGTGATACAATTGTCATGATAGTGCAATCTACTCGTATGTCCCAAATTTGTTTTATGTTAAGCTATGAAACAATACTTCCGCTTTATCAGGGAAAACAACATCAGTCTTGGATCATACAATTCAAGAATTGATAATATACAATAATTACCATTAAATACTTCAAGAAATATCAAATAAATTTTTAGAATGGCGTAGGTAATTAATAATATGAGCAGAATATATCGACCACATTAGTAATATACTACTGAAAAAATTTGTACAGATTTTTCTCAAGGAATCGTCATGATGCTGGCTGTTTTATTTCAGTAGTAGATCTTGCGCAATTATTATTGCTTCGCCATCGGTCCCACATATCAAGTCCTGATTTATGATGTCACAGCTATTAATAGGCAATTTATTGTGAGGAGCAACACTGGTAATTCTTATTTTGTTTCTTATAACATCACTGATCAACCAAGGATTTGTAGCATTGGCAGGTTCAATATCGGAAAAGTTACGGATAGATGTTGGTAAATTAGTAGAAGTAATCAAAGATCCATCCCAGTGCCAAATTGAGCCATCATCAGAGCAAGTAAATAAGTTATTTGGGAAGTGACGATGGAATCTGACTTCCCAAACTAAAGTGTAACATAAATTATTATATTAACATTGCAATTTAAAAACTATAACACATAAATTCGATTAAAGAACTGAATATTTTTTACTCTATACCTGTACTCATATGGGCTTTTAGAACAACTGTTGGGTATTTATCTTGGCGAAGATCCCAAATAATGATAGAACCATCATGACTACCAGTTATAGCAACGTGGGGTTGATTAGGGTGTTGATCGATACATTGTAAGCAGGTCTGTTCTCCAGATCTGTAATAAAGTAAATTTATATCGATAACTTTAGTTAGAGCAATTACAAATAAACCGATTTTAGTAGCCTTCAACATAAATACCATCGATATTGTTATCTATCAATAAGCAAGATATTTTTATAGAGTATACTTTGACTTACAAAACCATAACTTTGGCGGGTTTATCATAGGGCTGCCGTAAATCCCAAACCTTTAGACGACCCATAGAGTCTACAGTAATAAATTCTGATATTCCTTCGCATGTTACAGCATTGATGGAACAGCTGCTTATGTTGTCTTCTATACAAAAAATCAGTATTTCAGGATATAAGTGAGCCTTTTGGAAGTATCATACATACAGTGCGGCATTTTGGTAATGATAAATCAACAACTAGAGGTATTCAATTTCTAACGCATTAACTTTTACATTAAATGTATTATGATGTATTGTGACTAGCCAAGAACACCTAACTTCGCCGACAGTATCCCCTATACACTGTAAATACAATGCAATACAGTACTTGGTAGAGTAATATGCTATACTATCTAAGTGACAGGTGATGTGGTTGTGATTGTACCTATTGTAGCAATTGGAGCTTGTACATCAATTTTTAAGATATTGATTCTACTATCTTCACCAACGGTTATTATATTTGGTAAGTTGACAGAAAAACCAGTGCAGGGACAGGAATTGGATGAGAAATGATGGATATTTTTCCATTTAGAAATAGATTGCAATTCCTAGCAAAAGGAGAATAGTAGTGAATAAGGTCTATCGATTTACTCCAAAGCTTCTTTTAGCTATTATACGACATAATCCCTTAGTCAGTTAGTAAAAATAATGAAGAATTGTAGGCAATAAGAATTTAGTACTAACTGCTATAGTGGATGATGCTTCTACGAGATCTATACATTAAATTGTGCATACTGCATATTTAAATATACATAATATAGTATTATGAGTATCAAAATTTGGAAGAACTGTTTACTAATTAGCTGATATGTTCTACGTATTAGCATAAAAAGAAATGAAAGAGCGAGAGTTGCTTACCTGTCGAGGCCGTGAAAATTGAATCAATTCTAATGAGCCATTTGATGAGGACGTCATTAATTTTTCATCATCGATGAACTGTTGGTAAATAAAACAAGGAAGCAGACTTAATATTAGTGATTGTTCTTGATACAATGGCCTACACACATTATCCGCACACTACTAAAACAGCTGGTTGTCACCAGGAACCGAAAGTAAAAAATGAAAATGCTAGCTTCTCAATTAGGAGGCGACGTCATTAAAACTGGTAGCTATCATCTTCAGTTACTGTATCCTAGACATACACAATATCACGTTTATACTAGTGTACAAATTGGTATTCATTTAGTCTAGCTTTTCAGATGTTACTAAGAATTAGAATTTTCATGCAGAAGCTATTCAAAGTATTTTACTGTGATTACATTAAAGATTACAGTAGTTCAGGTAGTGCGTAGGTAGGCAAGAGATGAATGTACATATAGCCGTTGGGAAGACATGACAGTCTGCTACAGAATTTGGTCTATTTTGAGATTGGTATTATTTGAGTACAGCACATTGTATAGTGTAAGCATTAATCGAAATCTACGTATAAGTATTGACAAGCCTTCGGAATAGTGTTATACAATTGAGGTCTATAGATAATCTAGCAAGACAAGGATTATTTTACATCATGCGTAATGTACTACAGTACTCGTGAAGTATGCAGCAAAGTCTTTGCAAGAATAAAATCAATCAATGACCTTTAATTCAGTTACTTCGCCTTGATGATGCATCGAGGTGATAAGTTGAGGTTCATTCAGCGCAGATTCTTGGTGTGTATCTTCCCGGAAAGTTCTGCCTTTCTCATAGTTCCATATATTGACGACGTTATGCTACAATAAAATACCATCCAAAGATAGGAGATTAAAGATCATTTCATTCAGTAAAGTGGAGAATACCTCTGGTGTATAGTACAGGTAGATTGCCTCAGCTATGCGTAAGGCTGTTGAGTCATATGCAATATTCTGTATTACTTGTATCAGTCTGAAATTGCTATTACTGTAAGTAAGTCATTGCAGACTAGGATCATCGTTGTGATTTCCTCTATGGTGTTGAAATGTTAAGTATGGGATTGAGCATTTGTGCAGTTTGTATTTTACGCAGGATGATGGCTAAAGCCAGAACCGAATTAACAGTTGGCTAATTACAATTATTACGCGCGCACAAGTAACTAATTCTAACTATTATCATCCATACCGACTGCTGTTGCTTAGAGTAGCAGCCTAGCGTTGTTGAGAAACGAGTATGCCTACTCTATTTTACACCATTAAGAATACTCACAATCTACACTATACAGTATGCTATAAAGAACAACTCTATTCATATAGGACTACAGTATTGCTACCGCAAGGAGTCATTGAGGTAGAATTGATTTGACAGCCAATTCAATTTAGGACCGAGAGCTAGATGATTTACCAATTCGTCCCATGTACCAGTCGCAAAGATATTCTCGTGGCTGCTATGGCCCTTGGGATCCGGTCTCCAGCGCAATTTGGATATTTTCTTTTCAGTATATTGAATAAGTAGATTTTCATGGCCTTGCAAAGATTGGAAGTTATCCTGCAAGTTGTACCTTTTCTTGACACGCGAATGGACCTCAGCGAAAGCCATGTTTACCTGATGGACTTGGAAAGGGAAAATTCCAGATTGGCGCTATCGCATTCTACTGTATGGTAAGTGCTGAAGTACCTCGTTATGCAATATATGGCAGTACTATACAGTCGAGAACTACCGATACACTATCGTACTGTGACTGTTATGGACAGCTCGAAGAAGACCTGGACAGCTGGACTGACGAACCCCTCAGACAGACGGACTTTTCTTCTTTACCAAATGAGGACGTCAATATGGAAGAATAGCTATTTAGTATGGATCTTTCGGTGTCTATTCTGTAAAATTGCTGGAACGAATTTAAATGTCCAAGTAGAACTTGAGTAACGACTAATCCAAGATTCAACGTAATCTTACTTCAATTAGAAAAAAATCAGCGACAATAAAATGGACCTTTTTCATACTAAAGTAGTGTCCTAACCAAGTGTTTGAAACAATATTTTGATGAGACGAGGTCGACAACGTCTGTCCGTCCAAGGTCTTCTTCGAGTACTATACTGTACACTGAGTGTACAGTACAGTACATGGTAGCTGATTTAGTACAGTACTCAGTACTTTACACCTCAGTCGGACGGACGCACAGACCTTTCTCCAAACCAACCAAGTGTTCGAAAACAATATTTTGACGAGACGAGGTCGGAAAGGTCTGTCCGTCCAAGAGTAATCAGTCCAAGTCTTCTTCGAGTACAGTACACTGAGAACAGTAGTGCTGTAGACGTCGAGCGATTGGACGTCCAACGGACGTTCGATTTTGGACGTTCGGTATGTACGTTCGTTGTCAGATCGGACGTCGACGAACTGTACTGTACAGTGTATAGTGTACAGTACTGTACTGTGTATACTGTACAGTCAGTTTGTATAATCCCACCCCAATACTACTGTATACAGTACAGTACATACAGTACAGTAGTACAAACGTCTTTTACAAACACTTTCAGTACAGTGTACAGTACACTATGTATATACTGTAGTGTTAACACTGTACACTGTGTACGTTGGTACTGTACGTTCAATGAACGTCCGACGTTCAAATTGGACGTTCGTACTGTGTGTACTGTACGTTCGTTCATTAAAACTGGCTAACGTCCACAGTACTAGTCATGACTACAGTATACTGTACGCTGTTACGTACAGTACTACTGTATGTACAGTACTGTACAGTGTATAGTATAGTCTTATACCGTACTGTACAGTGTACACTATGTACAGTATATACTGTAGTGTTAACACTGTACACTGTGTACGTTGGTACGTTCAATGAACGTCCGACGTTCAAATTGGACGTTCGTACGTTCGTTCAAACTGGCTAACGTCCACAGTACTACAGTACAGTACAGTACTGTACATGGTAGCTGGATTCAGTACAGTACTCAGTACTTTACACCTCAGTCGGACGGACGCGCAGACTTTTCTCCAAACCAACCAAGTGTTTGAAACAATATTTTGACGAGACGAGGTCGAAAAGGTCTGTCCGTCCAAGTCTTCTTCGAGTACTGTACTGTACTGTACTGTACATGGTAGCTGATTCAGTACAGTACTCAGTACTTTACACCTCGGTCGGACGGACGCACAGACTTTTCTCCAAACCAAGATGGTGGAAAATGTCGCAAAAATACACTGTAGAGGCCATAGCGTTAAGAAGAAAACACAATCGAGGCTTCGTATGGATCTTTTGTGTCTATATTACGAATTCAAAAGCATCCCATAGACTTTACAGTGTATACTGTATATACAATTGTCCATTTGCTGTAGAGTAAATGGACTTTTAAGAAGCAAATATCCAAATACTCATACTGTCCATACTGTCCATACTGTACAACGATAGCGGCAACATTCATGGCTAAAATGATGTCCGAGCGTCCGAGTCCAGTGGACGTCCATCAAAGGACAGTACTGTACTGCAGACTCAGTTACTTCACTACACCAGGACGTCTTAGACGAGCTGCTGCAAGGGCAAAAATTCCTTCATCCTTTTGCCTATTTGCAACAAGAATTCATTGAAATTGATTGATTTTCCTCTTATTCCTTGCAAGACTTGGTCTTCAAGATCGAAAGCTGTCATTCAATATCGTTTCATCCAAGAGTAATCAAGCTTTTTTAAACACACTGCCTTTATTCTGTACTATGATCGTTAGTGGCCATTGACCTACAGTACTGTACAAGGGTACATGAGCGGATCGATTGGGCAGTATTTTCCACCCATCAAAATTTTCACCATTGGACTAAAAAGTGACAAAAAAATCTTGTACTTTATCTGAAGATGCTCCACTTTGGATTGATCAATCATACAAGTCATTCAATTCGAGAAAATTTGACAGTGAATTTGTAGCGTTTGGATCAAATGCTGTTTCAGTGAGTAACAACACTTGTGTCACGACTGTCTAGCATTGCAAACATACGCCTGTGAATGATGAAAAAGATTTTTTGCTGATTTCATTGCAACCTAGTTATTTTCTCGCTTGATAGTCTCTACAAACTAGTATAAAAGTTAATTTTTCTATTAGCTCGTTCTACTTGAATAATAGTTTGATAGGTTTGGATGCTATGTACTCTTCAGCCACAATATTGAACCATTTCATAGCGTTACTCTAACCTTACACCAGTTTGCCGAGCAACGTTACTGTAGTCAGCCAGGCGAGACAACATGTAGCAATAAGACATTGCCTTCCTAAGAATACATCGTTCTACAATAAAATGGATGCTCAATTACAGTAGTACTACACTTGGCTTAGCAGTAGATAAATGCAAGTTTTCGCTAGTGTTAAAGGCTTAATCGCCTACTTGTTCATGACAGCTTATGTAAGGTGTTTTAAAAATTAGAAATCCTAGTACTGTAGTCATGGACGAGTCGTCCATTTCATAGCAGCAGACGTTTTTTCGCCAAGTGTTTGGTAGTGAGGCTGCATTTTCCACACGTAGTTTGTACCTGCTACTTGATATTTACTTCATTCTACATAGACTACTCCATGCTCGGCTTTGAAAGATCGATTCAATTAAGTAGTCTACACCGTTAACACAGTATACCACCATTGCTTGTACGACACGGTAATACAATTTCTTTTACTTTAAAAAATGCTTCCAGTACTCTGTTCAAATGCAGCACTCGGACTTGCAGTAGATGACTTAGAAAATAATTTCACAGTCGAATGTATAATGATGAAATAAACATAGATAGAAAGTTACCACTACGCCAATACTACTAGCACAACTTTAAACTACGAAAAGCATCCACTATTGGCCTAACTGTATGTAGAATACTTTACTTAAAATCTTCTATTGAAATACTGATTCGATCTGGATAATAGTCGTTCACGTATTTTATTTTTCATTAATTGCTATTACGTATGCATACTTGTGATGTTGTGCTAAATGAATTTTACCTGACTCTTTAACTGTTCCCTTTAAAGGAATCTACATTAAAAAAAAACAAAACTTACATTGCTTTTCATTCGTTCAGCTATTTTACTCTATTAACTTTGAAAAAGGTATGTTATCAAAATATTGTCGGATGCTATCATTTTTTGGTCAACGTACTCGTATTATATCATTAACCAATTTGCTCTACATGTTTATTCTATACCATAACCAATACGATTGCAGTATGTTGAATTTTACAATAACTATAGCTAAAAGAAAATTTTGCTAGCTTTCACTATCAAATTAATAATATACTCTAATTAATTAATAGCTTAAGACATGATTCTACAGCTAGGCAACGTTTCATTCTGTAATGCATAGTGTGTAACTACGATGTCTTTTAAATCATAGCAATTACTTAATTTGATTAAAGCGAAATCAAGCACTTACAGTGAATGTATCAATATGCGTATAGATAGCCATCGTACTGGACTGTATACTGCATAGAAACGTAATTAGTAATTGCAGCTGTAGTTATTTGGTTTTAGTAACGTAGTGGTAGTAAAAGTAAAATCCTATTTCTTTTGTAGTATTAGCAGATATTCTTTATTGAAATATCGTATATACCTATACAGTAGCATAACCCGAAATAATTGAAGTTGGTAATGACAGCTAGTTGCGTAGACTTCCATTCTGCGTTAATTACTTTTATCCATTTGACCAAAGGAAGATACTAATTAGTCATTCTTTACTATCATACGTGTAGAACACCTTTCGTACTATTTAAAACTAAAAATTTATATATCTATTTGTAGCATGAGATAGCTTTAAAATTAGAAAATGGAGATTTATACGAATACATTACAGCAAAATAAGTATACTGTATTCTTAAGAGATCATGAGATCTCGTTAATATTAATACTTAAATCTAATCTAATCCATTATTATTAGAATAAGTTATCGATAGTTAATACATCGAAATATGCTGTACCTGAGTGATATTACGCTTATTTTAGTACTGTACAGCAGATAGGATAGGCAAGAGTTTGATTAAATTGTATGGTAGTTTTGTCAGTATTGATTCATTATTAATTGATCATATTTATTATTATACACTTTTCCTCGTTTGCGTCAAAGCTCAAGGCGATAGCTTTAATAAAAAACACGTTCATAAACGTAAAAGTTAGTGTAAAAAAATTAAAAATAGAAGATGTGGCATCAAGAGGGAAGGGGAATGCCTAATCCAAATGATAATTCTAATCAATGGCAACAGCAACAGGAATATTACCAGCAGCAACGATACTATGGAAATTACTATGGAGAGCAAAATCCAGCGAATAACGGTATGAGATTTTAATACATAAATTACAGTAGATTTAACCATGGATGAAATGATAGATTTTTCTATCGCCGTATCATGATTGCTCTCTGTTGCTTCCCGCATCATAAATTGTGTCTTTATTCATCGGTTAAAAAATACGAGTATACAGTATTGGTACAATCGCTGTGATTATCATTATTATCAGAGCTTAGAGTAAAAGTCTTCGTGATACTTTTTATGATTTGGCTAGAGTCTTACTGAGCTTCAGCTTGTAATGGTTATTAATACGAGCATACAATAAATCAATAATACTGATAAGAATTTCGAAAGAATTTCATTTTTTTAGAGTATCAATTGTATACTATTATTATAAATGCTAAACATATACTTATATATGTCAATATACACATATAAAATGAATAGATCCTGCAATCTGGGCGCAAAAAGCGGCTGAGTGGATTAAACATAAAGAATCTGTATCCCATAGGAACAATGATCTGAGCGGACAATTTGCACATGGTGGTGAGATGGGTTTTGACGGAAGACATCCTTCCCATTTTTATCCTCATGATGCAAATTTTGAGCAAGATCGGTTACAACAATCTAACGTGGATCATTATAACTATAGTGCAATGTCTGGAAATGAAATATTATATGATAATGAGTCATCACAACATATGCAACATGCTCCTGTAATACCAGTGGGTCCGGATGGTATGACTGTAGACCAAGCGCCATATTATAATCATTATCCTGAACAAGATCTATATGGGGGAGCTCCAAATGCCGCTGATAGCTTACCTAATCCTCATGCCCCTATAGGTTACGGCTACGACCAGTATAATGAATTAACAGCACCCGTAGGTTTACAACCCGACGCTAGCCATTTATCCGCTTCTGCAGGTATTATATTATAAGACACATCATCACGGTATCGCATAAATTATCTTGACCATAATCATACACTGTAAGAATGGATCGGTTGATAATTTTATATTAATACTATTACGGATTGACTGTGCTCACTCGTCGTTTATGATAATATCAACTTCTTGGTATTCGCTTGAATTAATTATTGCTATACCACTAAACTTAAAATTTTTCAAAAGTATTAACAATGTAATGAGAAATAACTGGAAAATATTGCTCTTTTTTCTTAGCGGAGAATAATAAGAAAAAAACATTACCGTTGTGGCTCCGACAAAGTCTAGAAAAATTAGAGAAAGATAAGCAGAAAAAGTCTCAACAGGAAAATTTAAATGCTAGTTTTAACAAATCAGATAAATTATCTACATCTTTAAATTATTCTGGGTATGCTTTTGAGGCATCACCTATGAATTCACCTTCACCAATTCAAGAAGCTGAAGTATGATTGGAATAATCCATTAACGTGTATAATTTGCACTGCAAGTTGGTTTTGTTCTTTACAATTGATATACCATTGTTTTTGGTATAATTGCTTTTCTCGTTAGAGCGCACATAGTGATAGCGAAGCATACAATACTGATGAAAAGACAGAAGCATTATCAAGTGCGAATATAGTAAAAGAACATTGCTTACAATCAGAACAAAATTTGGTATGATATATAAGTGCAAAGCAATTATTTTATTCCTCAAACATTGTCGTAAAGATTCTTTGCCTTTAAGATATTATTACCACTTTCATTAACAAAATAAATACTCTTTCTAAAATTTAAACAGTTGGTTCATGTTAGAAAAATTTTAACGGAAGTTCTCTTAGAAGTTACCGACGAAATGATTCAGAGTATTGCTAATGAAAATTTACAAATTACGAAATCTGGTAAGCGAGTGTCCTTACTTTCAGTTGTGGTATATTAATTTCAGTCATATTTTTGGACTAAAATTTGCTCATTTGCTGTTTCAACTTAGCTACAGCGACAGTGCTGGCTAGTTCTAGTGCTTTAGCAGCGCTTGAAGGATTAGGTAAATTTTTACTACTACATTAAAAATTGACTGTGCCAGTAGTACTAACTGTAGCGTGAAAATATTACATACCTAGGAGCTTATGATCAAGACAGTGATGAAGATGACGATAATTCTGCAAAGACTAGAATCAAATCGTCTACAACGCCCAAATCAGAAGATAATGCTAACGATGTTAATGCTAGTTTCGTTCGTGAAGGTATTATAAAATTCAACTTTAGTTCATAGCCAAAAGGTTATACGATAAATCACAAATTATCCTATTCTATGATTACTTTACTGCGCCAGTAGAAGCTATAGCTGTAGAGGGTTCGTTAGGGATTACCAATTAGAGAATTCGAAATAAGGGAATTTTTAGAAATTCAATTATATCGTTATAGGTGAAGCTCCTGGGCGTGAAAGCGATTCTAAACCTCGCAGTCGTCGATCTAGTAATGATAAATCTAACCAAGAAGATTATTCCAAAAGAGATTATCACACTCATCATCGATCACGCCGTCGAAGTCGTAGTCGTAGTCGCAGTTATTCACCCCGAAGACGGCGTAGTAGGTCTCCTGACAGCAGACGAACATCTTATAGTGATAAGTATAAAAGCAGTCGCCATCATAGGGATTTAAGTTCATCTCCAGAATATCATAGATATCGTAAGAAGAGCGTTCGTAAGTGATCACTATTCTGAAGGTAGGCAATATAATGAATTTTTTGTATTGTTACAGCATTTACGGCTGTGCCTTATTCCAACAAGCGGATATCGGCGGTTCTGCACTCTAGTTTTACAGTAGTATCACAACTAATATGTATAGTGCCAAATGTATTGTGCAGTATGTGCACTACGGATATTCGGGATCTATCACATTGTGTAGTTGATTAGTAAATACGCTTACAAAGAAATGAGTGATTACTTACTGTACTGCAACATGCGGGTAATATTCCTTTTCATAATTTTTATGCATTATTATTCCATCTCAGTTACGCTGCATTAATTATTTTCTAATAACTTTTTATTCATAATTTTATTTCCATATATAGCTTTCCTTGACAACTACGATCGCCTTGTAAAGTGTTTTGTTCGATTACAGACAGTATTGATTATAATCATGTGTGAAATTGTTAATCGTGATCGAAAAATAATGGCGCTTGGTTAACTGATACAGTCAGAAATAAATAATATTCCTGCGGTTTGGTAGATCAATCTTCATAAGGTAACTTAATAACTGCAGGCTTTTTAACACTTTGTAATAATCAGACGTGAACTTTGATTAATTAAGGAAATGTGCGAGCATAAATCTGTTTCGATACCAGTTCTACTTGATAACACTAATTAAGCATTCATGAAGATTGGGTAGTCATGAGATGTGCAGAATGCTCTATAATCTATTGTAGTATTGGTAATGCTGCAACAGTTATCAATCGTACTTATATTGTAATCAATCGTTTTTGTATATGTTAAAATTTTGATGTTTAATAAAAAGAGATGTATAAATATCAAATTTTAGTGTGTCCGTACAATATTGCATACTTGCATTCTGGTCATTTATCAATTATCCGAATAGAAACATCAACAACTCATGTTTATTGCTTCGATCTTTGTAGTTTTAAAGATCATATGACTGCACGATTATCTTAAACGATGTAATTTTTAAATATAATCCAAGAGCTAGTTAAGGAGCCAAACATCATAGCATCGACATTATTTGCTGATGATCCCAGTTATTTCAGTGTTGATCCCAAATATTCAGTTTGTTTTAGAGAATCAAGTTGACCTCGATTATACTGCACGATTTTATCTTGTAATCAGCAACTTTAATTAGAACTCCATATGAAGATATCAAGAATCGAAAGTATGTAATTTCGTAAGATAAGTTAACTTCACGATTGAAATGTAGAAAGTTACTTTGCAGAGTTTACTAGCACTGCCAAAAATGAATTTTTGTTGATTATTCATAAATTTAAAATGTTCCGTGTTTACGTAATAAAACTATAACTAAACGCTTAGCCTAGAAGTATAAAATTATAATCCTTTCTTTCAGCTTAAATAATGCGAGATTAGCCTTAAAAAAATCAACATTAAGGTCATTTTTAATTCTTTAAATCGCGATCTTAATCCAACTTCTGCGTCGAACCGTTACTTTTTTTACTATTTGATCTCATTTGGCTATTCCATAGATATGAATAGTAAGTACTTGGATCGCTTAAAAGCGATTCATGATTTCCTCTTTCTAAAACGCGTCCGTTTCCTAATACTAAAATTTCGTCAGCATCGGTAATTGTTGATAGGCGATGAGCTACGTAAATCGATGTTTTGCCTTTGGTTACTTTCTTTAGAGATTCCATTATTGTCTGGTATATAAAAAATCACATATTAGGAGGATCTGGATTATAGTTCACTCGATTCAAACAGAAAATAATTTGTACCTGTTCGGTAATGTAATCTAAATTTGAAGTAGCTTCGTCGTAGAAAATAATTGGTGGATTCTTTAGAATAGTTCTTGCAATAGCCACCCGCTGTTTTTCACCGCCTAATGTTAATACATGTCATTTGATATTGAGATTCACTTATTATAGAGTACAGAAGTTATATTAAATACCGCAATGGCAGTTTTTACCTGACAGTTTAAGACCGCGTTCACCAACTAATGTATCATAACCTTTAGGCATTTGTAATATGCTATGGTGTAAGTCAGCCATATGAGAAGCTGCAAGGACATCATCCTCAGACGCAGAAAGCATACCGTAGTTAATGTTATAGAAGATTGTATTATGAAATAAGACTGTATCCTGAAATGATGATAAAAAAGAAATTTCTATATTTGGTATTGTGCAGATTTTAAAAATACGTTAATAGAGAGCGAATATGACGAAGGCTTTTAATACAGCAAGCTCTTAAACTAACTTGAGGTACTACACCAATAGCTTTCCGTAAGCTATGCAAGGTAATATCGTTTATATTACATCCATTAATTAATATCTGTCCTCTTTGGGGCTCATAAAAGCGGAATAATAATCTTAGGATGGTCGATTTTCTAGCGGAGATGCGAAATAGGACATAAAATTAATATCATTTCATTTGTCAACTAGATATCATTTTTAGCGTATCGAATACCCTGAACCACTTCCACCAACAATTGCTACTGTTTTTCCTGCAGCTACAGTAAACGATATGCCATCTAGGATTTTACGGCCATCCTCATACTCGAAGATAACGTCTTTAAATTCGATATTGGAGTTAGATGCGTCAATATTCATAACCTTTGAATCTGCTTTATCCTGGTAATTTTAAAGTAAAATATTGAATGTGATAACAAGCTAAAATGCTGAAAGCGAGTCATCGAAGTAACTGCTGGTTTATTTTAAATAGATGTAAACCTGCTAAATTGGTACTTACTCGGATGGAAGACTTGACATCCATTAAGTTGAATAATGTTTGCATGTCAATGAGCGATTGACGAACATCTCGATAAACTGAACCGAGGAAATTTAGTGGAATAGATAGTTGAAAAAGTAATCCATTTACCATGACTAAATCTCCTACTGTCATGGTTCCTAAAGTTTCAAGGCATAATTGAGCATATTTGTCAAGCAACCGTAGCATTATAATCACTAACAGTAGGAAAAATTATACCTGCAATTATTTCTTGACTGGCTAATAGCATCATTCCTGTTAAACCGACACTAAATATCATATGTTGGCCAAAATTTAGTGTTGAAAGACTAGTTGATGTCTTTAGAGAAGCCTCTTCAAATTTTATCAAATGTTTATTATATTGTTCTGCTTCGTGTGCTTCGTTGTTAAAATACTACAATTAAAGTCAGGATAGCTCATTAGTCTCCAACTAACAATTGATGGTAATTAACTTAAACTTCGTACAAATTATGATAATACAATTGGAATCAATGCGTACTTTAACAGTTTCATAGTTAATTAGTGAATCGATTGCCTTAGAGCCACTTTCGTTATCAGCTGCGTTCATTTGAGCTCTAAATTTTGTTCTAAATTGATTACGAGAGATACACAAGATAGTGAATTCGTACGTTAAAAGTGAGTTTTCTAAGATCGTAAATGATATTAAAATAATAATTTAACTCTGTAAGTAGCACTGAACGGTCTGATTTGTAACTTACCTCCATTGCGTTATACCTAAGGTAAATACTGCATACGCAGCAATAGTGCCCATAGTAACCAAGACAAACGGCTGGCCGCATTTATATGCCTATTTAATGGTAGTGATTATATATAAAAGTAGTCAGCATTATGTCGTTGAACATTCAATATTGTTGACACTAAAATAACAACAGCACGGTTAGCAAAGGGGTAGAATTAACTCGTACTAGTATATAATTTTTATAGACGATGTACGCTATCATCATACCAAAACTCCAGACACTAGAGACACTTCGAGAATAGTAGGGAACACGTTAAATAACAACGCACTCAAGACAGTATTTACAGACCTAAAATGTTAACAAAAATATCGAAACGAATTTATTGAGACATTGAATTATGATGCTAAACTTCAAAGTTATAGAGTAGCATTGTCAGCATTTATTACAATACTATACTACTACCTCGTGCCACGATCAATGGCTTTGGAAAGAGCTCCCGTATTGCGTCCAAGATGAAATTTAAGGTCAAGGGAATGCAAATGGCGAAATGAATTCTTGGCAATCGTTCTAACAGAATCATGAGCTACTTTGGCGAAAATAGCATTGCGTAATTCACTAAATAATGCAGCTCCAGCTCTTGCTATTCCATCTAGCAATAATTAATAACAAAAATGTAAAAATCTTTTTTATAGCCCAAAATAAAATACGTAAATTTGCATACATTCAATTCAGGCTGTTATACGTAATGATTGCTACAACTTTGGAATGAGAGTACCACTATTTCTGATAGATTTGCTCCTTTAGAAGTCAGCAATCTTTATTCTCGAAATAATTTGTATCGATCATATCTTTTGTCAACTTACAGCCAATCAGTAACGCAGTAGAAACTGTAAAGATTGCCATTATTGGCTCATTCATGTTTAATGTGTTGTTGGTAACATTGTTCAAATGATCCACAGCGTGTTTAAAAAGGAAAGGAACTTGGAGGGTCAAGAGCTAAATAGCGATTTTTATAATCTTATATTAAAAAAATTGATAAAAGGATGATATACTATATTATTTATTATTATCCTTCGCAGTATCTTCATAATTTTAATACTAGCGGACGTGATAATAATTCAATCATACAGGAGTATTGTGATCTTACTGAGAATATTATAATGGTTGGTTATCACATTAAGATGTTATTTTCATATTGGTTGTAATGCAATTCGATAAGATTACATTTTACGTAGCAGTTATCGATACAAGAGTGTCTAAACTGTTCCTAACTTTTGTCTTTAACTAACCTTAGCACCAACTAGCAGGCTCAATGATCCTATAACACGTGCTTTTAAACCTATTTTATTCTTAGGCCAAATAAATCTCAACATAGTTTTAATTATTGCTAATGAGTTTAGTTCCGATGCGTCTGTCACGGCAACTTTGCCAAGGCCTGGTCCAGGGCCGCCGACAGTGGACGCTCCATGAAATGTTTTACGAGTAGTAGTTATGTGCTGAAATTTTAACATGTAAGAGAGCTCAGTAAAATTGATCATTTTATAGTATGTTTAAATCAGGCAGTTTAGTCTAACTAATTTAAATTATTAAATCAATAGAAAAATGATCCAATAAGTGTATATTCTAGTGTATTGAAATTTTGAATACTAACAGGATTCTTTAGTCGCTGTGTATTGATTGGTTTTGAAGATGAGATATTTGTCTGTTAGATAGAAGTTTGATAGTAGGTTAGCTTTTATTATAAATGCGATCATACTTGAAGCAATTATTAATAAATGCAATCAGTACAACTGGATATAATACGAAATTTAGTTGCAAAAAAATAATTGCACATTTGAATATTAGTTAAGGCTGACATTTAATTCGATCAGAGTGATTAATGTGAGTAGTATACAAATATCTATTTACACCTAGACATTTATTGGTCTATTTTCTTATAATTCAATGTATTTCAAGAGTAAAATTTTTAATTTTAATTTTATACTGATGTATATTGTAAATTCTTTGACTTCGTGTGTAAGGGCAAAATCAAGCAGTTGCTATTTTAATTCTGTTTCAACCTGAGCAACTCGTATAACTATTAGTGATGATCCATAGCACACCATAATACTAATTAGTATCTTTTTCGCCGAAGCTTCAGTTATGTATATGATAAATATCGCATGGATTGATGACACAATCTAGCAAGCAAGATGATTTGAACAAGTATAGAGGGAAAACCTGGTGGGTACTTGATAGAACTCTTCCGTCTGTATTTCAAACTGCTTGTAATATAAACTTGGAAAACTGATACGATACTACCACGATATAGCCTAGATGCCCAATGCAGGTATACGAGTATGTCTATTCTATTCGATCATGGTATAGCTGTCAGCAACTGTGGTCATGTATCTTGTTTATGAAGTGAAATGATTGATATTTGTATAGCAGAATTGACGTATGCAGCTGGATATGCCGACAGTAAGATTTCAAAATGCATGATCCACATACGACATCCTCTTCCACGCCGCTATGCACACTAAGAGGGGCGTCTAACTAAAATTAGTATTACCATCCATCTTGGACAGTGGCGGTCATCCACATTTTCAATTCTCGATTGGATTTTATTGATATAGTAAATTCTAAAACTGTAGTATATATCAACGATAGGGTCGAGTATTACGAAATAAAGGATGATGATTGATTTCACTATGGCAGGCAGTGATTGGCTTGTGCCTTCGTTTCTACTCGTCTATCGACTGCCATTGTCATGATCCATGTAGTATTATAGCATATAACATGATGGAAGTGCAACTTACATTGAAACGTAGCCTAGAAAATCGTTTCATACTTGATCGCCAGGCAGTATTATTATGCGCTAGAGTCCATTGACTTCGTGCAACTAGAATTCCATATGTCCCCGTTCGTATGATTGCCGCCATGACGATGATCTAATTTCAACTCCGTAATATTATCCCAACAAAATGAACGATCCTATCACCAATGTTGTACTCAATTTGTTCCTAATACTAATATAAACAACAATCGAAGATACTGTTATGCCATTACATAGTAAATCGAGTGGAAAAGGCAGCTGGAATGGATTTCAATTAGACTTTAGTATCGACTACCATCGCCATCAGAGGATTGCGATAGAAGAGAACACTCCAATCCACTCAAGCCTAATGTTGTGAACTTAGTATGGCTTCCGTCCGAATCTCCCTTCCCCATGCATCCCGTCTTGCCGTCCGTACGTGTCTCGTTTGAATGGCCCTCTTTGGACTAGCCAGATACCCTAATATGGTTGAAACTTGAGTTGATTACTATAGCGATAGAGCGTACGTTTACGATATAGTATAGCAGTATGAGCCATGACCAAGCCAGTCTAACTCAGCATGATAAAACTGATTCTAGTCAATTTCTATATAACAGTACTCCTATTTGCGCATGATATTGTCGGCTATTCCATCTGCAGGATACTCGGGTGTCACCCTATCGCTCACGTGTCCTGTACACCGCTAGGTTTCCTACTCATACTGGAGTTCAACGCCTATAGTAAAGCATGTAAAACTTGTTTGGACTGTCGTCCACAAGACAACAGCCCAGCTTGGCACCTCGTAGGAATCGTAGTTGCCTCTGCAGCTGCTAACATGGCTGCACATCGTTCCGATAGAGAATTGTGATCTACTGGATATTGCCTTTCAGCATAGAATATTATAACAACATTGAAACGCTCTATCATAAGCCAACAATTGTGTGATTCTCCTTTGCAAGAACTGTAGCTCTTGACGTTCATCTGCAGTAGTTGATCATCAATCATGACAAGCTTAATGCATATGGTCGGAAGAAGAAAATTCTCTACTGGCCTACCGTCTATTTTCAAGCTCCATCGGATGGATGCTTATAGGGTTGGTTTGAACATTAAATTCTAATAAAAGAGATTGTAATAGAGATCCTCTTATGCCATTTTATCATGCTTATCTATGGGTCGATCTGGATGTGCAATAGTTTATGCATGGTATTATGCATCCAGCAGCGAAGAATTTAGCTTGCCTTCCAACATAAATTGCGCTCTTGCTATCGTTACTCAACGCCATCTATGATTTAAAGCTAGACGTACAAATGCATAATACTATTGCCCTCAGTCATTCCTTTTCATAAGCCAACTGCTATCAGATCTGTACTTTTGCTATTTTTTGTCATTCTTGTCCGTACATAGCCTGGATGTACTTTATAGATAATAATGTCAACCAGCCATAGTGCAGCTTGTATTCATTACGACATGGAGTGCAGTTGCTGTTATGGCATTATATAACATTTAAATCTACACGTACCAATGCATATTGCCATCAGTCATTGCTTTCTGTTAACTAGCTACTAATAGACCTGTACTTCTGTTCTTTCTTATTCATACATCAATAATTATTGACCGATCTGGATGTATGGTACTTTAAGCGTAGGTGATATTGTGAATCAGTAATCATTCAGTTTGCATTGCAACATCAGTTTCTAGTGCGGTCGTTTTCACAGTATTTCTAGGATTCGAAATTACACGTACTAATGCATGCCAATACCATCAGTCGTTACTTTCCATGGCTTAACTGCTATCACTTTTGTACTGCTGCCATTTTCTTGTTTATATAAATCGAAATAATAATTATTAACCAATCTAGATGTACGGTACTGTATAGATGATATTGTGAATCAGCAATAGTTCAGCTTGCATTGCAACATCGGCTTTTACTGCTATCGTTTTCACAGCATTTTAGCATTCGAATTGACACGTACAAATGCATTCCAATACCATCAGTCGTTACATTCCACGGCTTAGCTGCTATTAGATCTGTACTTTTGCCATTTCTTGTTTATATATCGATCGATCATTATTGACCGATCTGGGTGTACGGTACTTTATAGATGGTATTAAGAATCAGCAATACGAAATTCAGCTTGTATTCCAACATGAGCTGCAGTTGCTATCGTTACTTACGGCATGTACTGTACTGTAGACTTCCCATCTACACTATATAAGTACTCACTATTGCTATCAATCGTTACATTTCGTTCATTAACTAGCTGCTATCGGATCTGTACGTTTGTTATATTATCATGCTTGCTTTTATGTAATTATTATACTCGTATATCGATCGGTCTAGATCTTCAATATTTTACAGATGGTATTACTGCATAAATTAGTCACCATTATTCAGCTTGTATTGCAATATGGATTCAATTCAGTTGCTATCGTTACTCATGACTTTTAAATTTTGCATCTACGCTTATAAATGCATATTATAACCGTTAATCATTACTTTTCATCAACCAGCTGCTATCAGATTTACACTTTGGCTATGTTATATTATTTAAATTAATTTACATTTTAAATTCTCAGCCAACTCCTGACGTAGAATCTGAGTTAATATTTTAACATTTAGCTTTGAATAGAATGGTTTAATATTTATTCCTTGTATTTGCAGGGTATACAAGTATGGAAGAGTTTAGTACAAACGAACACCAACAGACTCATTACACGCCAGTATTCAAGACTAGATACAAATAGAAATGAGCAACAGTCAAGTTCAATAATACCAGGTATCCTAAATTGGCAACACTAATTTTCGGTGCTTATTGCTAATTCTTATTGAGAATATTATTAAAATTAATCAATCACTACGCATTAATAGTTATAGTTATATTATACACTGTATTGTTCAAGTTACCTCGATATTACTGTAATTTTAACTCAAAGACAGTTGCTACCTAACGTGCGTTAATACGTTATTATCAATCTTTTTCGTATTCTAAACGTTACTGTCCTATTTCCTAGTAACGTACATAGTACTAGCCTGATGATTTATACTGGTAATGTTCTATCAACAGCCCTGAGTAACTTTTTTTCCTATTGCATTCCCTATCATAGAGGAGAGATATAAAAATGAAATTGCTGCATTTGAGCGTGGCAAACGAAGATTAGCTCTAATGATGGAAAAAGATCCGGAAACGTTTACCGATCAAGATATTGAGGTAATGCTGCTATTTGTAGAACCATAGCGGCTATCAATTAGAGAACGCTTCAATTTTTTGCTACCATTGTTAAGAAAGTGACACTTTTACGGATATTATTAATTACGTACGAGTCATTCAAATTTTAAATACTATACATCTCTTTGAATAGGAAGCCTTAGCTTATTTACTACCTTCCAGCCTTTTTGCAAAAGATGCAAGACCTATTATGAAGGTATCGCTTAGTATCAAAAAACACTAAATGAAAGTAGTAACTATTCTAGATGGAATGCTATGATAATTTAGCATGGTCATTAACTAATCAATCGGGTTTTTAACTTTTTACAACTTGAATATACGTAGATAAGTATCAGTTACTAAATTATAGTTTTGGTAATAATGGAATATTTAATGCTATTTTTCAGCATCCCCTTGAATTACTGCCGAAAATACAAGGTAAAATCATTAATTAATATAAGCTGCCACTAAATCGTTACTTGGCAATGAAACAATTTCTTATTATTTAAATTAGAAAAAAAAATAGATAAGGATGGCCGACCTTTTGCTGCTGGATATTACACCGGATTTCCAGCATTTTATAACACCATTCATGTAATATTTTTTATTCGATTTAAAGCCATCAAGTATTGCTTACAAGTACAATTTGGTAACGTATGTGATTATTCTATCGAATTAATTAAATAGGAAATAGGGGAACGTGAAGAGTTACTGATGTCCCTAAGCTTAGGAAAGGAAGTTGATAGACTAGCTGATGAAGTCACGCAAGATTTAGCTCCTGCTGATTTTAGTCAAGATAACACCAATCTGTCTTTTAGATGGTTAAGTAGCGATCAGATGAAGGATATATTGCAGGAAGATATTACGGATAGACAGGTATAAAAGTCTAAAATTAAATTAAATATACTATTAATCCTGGTAATTCAAGAAGAAACTCTTTTCAACTATACTCCGTAAAGATGATATTGCCTATTAGGCCTTGTTAATAGTTTTAAAGCAGATATGAACACTATTGATCTTTACTCTCTAACTTCTTGATAGTATGATTATTTAATCGCTCGCCTGGAAAGACTGCAGCAGTTCCCTAATTCCAACCGTGTTAAAGATTTTATGGACAAGTATCGGAAAAACGTTGAACTTAGAAGTACTAAAGTTAAGATACGGCCGGTAAGTTATTTCAATTATACACGATCATATGTGCACGTTAACATTTACCAAAATTCTATCGTTTAGCTAAGTGTTGCGGGAGTTTCTTACAACAAAGGTAAGTTTTAGTAATTATATGACTACAAAAGAACATCCCGCATATTCTATCACATAAAATATATATATATATATATACTTTATACCTATCGTAACTAGGAAAAAGAAAAACTGCTGTTGCTAACATTCAAATACAAGAAGGAACTGGCAACGTTACGATTAATGATAAAAGTCTTGTGGAATATTTTCAACAACTGTTACATAGGTCAGCCATTGTAATAAATTAGACTATATAGTTTAGCAGAGAAAATGCCAATTACTAGACCTATATATTTAATTACATTCAATGGTGTACGTATTTCTTTTAGGGAGCAAGTTTTATATCCTCTATTGGTCTTAAATCTTACCCATGCATTCGATATAACATGCTCAGTACGCGGAGGTGGGCTTTCTGGTAAGGCAGACAATGTAAATTGTTTACTTCTTCTTTCTTTTAATTGATAGCATGTCTGTAGTTTTAGCTATTTAATAATATACCGTAAGCGGTAAATAGAGAAAATATGTATCTTGTGCTATATCAACATCATTCTGACTCACTGGTAAATATTCAGGTCAAGCAGGCGCTATCAGACTGGGAATTGCACGAGCTTTATTAAGTTTTAATGAAGCGTATAAGGAAACCCTGGATGAGTGTAAGTTTGGTGATAAGTTTTGGATAATTTTAGATACAGGTATGCTTACTAAAACTAACAAAAGGTATATATTAATTTCATATTTGAAGACGAACTACTGCATCGAGATCCAAGAATTGTTGAGAGAAAAAAACCTGGACAGAAAAAAGCTAGAAGAAAATTTGCATGGTAAATTTGCGTGGTTGTCGTCACAATTACTACTCTTTTGGAAAGATTTTCATTTATTAAGCTTCAAATATGTGGAATCGTAGTTAACCATTATTATCATTGTTTCTTTATTTCTATAATAGGGTCAAACGATAACTGATGATGGGCATTTTGAAATTTTATCGCGTTATTAAAGTCATTTTCACTTGTGAAAGATAAATTTTACACTATTTCTACAGGAATATTTTCAGCTCTACCATAAATTTGCAGCTTTTTTCCAGTACAATATAATCATAGTGCATCCAAAATTGTCGTCTGGGATGCTATTCTTGCGTGTAAATTCTTGGTAATTTACTGTATATTTCGATGAGCAGAATAAAAATATGTTCGATATAAGTAGGGTGAATATCTTTTGTGAATAGTGGCTCTAACTGCTAAATATGTATCTAGATATTCATTTTTGAACCTATATTGTGACTTTATTTCGGATTTACATGATCATCCCAAGGCTTTCAAAGCTACAATTACACCATTTATCTTGAAATTTTTGATTTTATTTTGCAACAAATATATATAGCATACAATATTTTATTTACATTTTATTTAACGGTTTGACACCTAATATATTCAATCCTTTAGCCAGAGTATTCCTTGAAGCGGCAAATAGCAACATTCTTGCCTACATCAAAAAATAGGTTATATTCCGACCTGCATTTGATAACGTTTATAGCAAAGACGATTATTACCTCAGCTATCTTTTCAGTTTGGCCTAAGACCTTTAAATTATGATTCGCAGCTGATATTAAATGGCTGAAAAATAAAAGTTTTAGATGAACTCAAGCAACAATCCTATACCAACACTCTTATTGCAAAAGATATGACATAATATCGGACATTGTAAATTACCTTAAGATGAAGAGGTAATTAACAAGAAAGCATGGCTCTGAGTGTAATTTTGCTCTTACAAGTTCCCCTTCGAACCTTTATTACGTGAAATAATTATATCTTATAGCATTTATAGTGTTCAATGTAAATTTTCTAACAGTGAAAAGGCATTTAAAAAATTCACTGACGGAATAAAATAATCACCTAGTGATATGTTCCACTAGCTTGATTGCAGAATTTTCAGATAATAAAGATGTTATATCTGCTTCCATGTTAATCGGAACTTGAGTTTTTTCTGCGATACTAATTATAGGTTTTGTCACATTAATTAATGTAGAATAATCAAAGTTAAATAATTGTTTATTACCTAACAAGACGGGCATGTTCATATTGCAAACGAGGGCCAGTATCACCATGTGAAGCTAGCATCTTCTCCCTGATACCGCGGCATAGCACATTTGTTATTATTATACATATAATATGTAATAATACTTTTACCAAAGTTTTGTCATTCCTTACCAATTAAATTCGTAATCTTTAATTCTTTTAGCTTTCAGATCCTATTTAATGTTAGAGATACATTAATTATGTGGGACCACACCAAATTTTCTCGTATTTTGTAATTTCGGCATGCGCATAAGTAGGCCTTATTTTTACCTGAATTAAAATAGCAGCCAAACCAACTAGTTCGGCAATACTTGAAGGATCTAAAAGCCATAGTAAAAATAGTTTAAGGTACAATATGATTTATTGAAGATAGCAGGATTGAAAGAATGCTGAAATTAAACTATTTCTAATTAATAGAAATTTGATTAAATTTGTTAAATAGAAATTGCAAGAGTAAACAAATATGCAACAACAACTTTCATAAACCGAAATTACGAATGTCTTTCTTGTAATCCAAATCGGAATTTAATGATGGTAAGATGCATATCTAGTTTAATTGCATAAATTTTATATTATTTATTTAATATTGTACACTTTGTTGATAATTTACCATTGTGTTTTCTAGATAAGGTTTTCATCATTCTCTCTTTTGCATCATCCAGAATATCCTGTGATAAAATTCAAGACAAAACAGTAATCAACTATACTGTATTTGCTAAAGTATGTAACACACGCATTACATACGCGTTCGATAATATATTATATAATTGATGTCATTTGAATGTAATTTATAAGTACATGATAACTGTTTGCTACCTACGCACTGTCATTAATTCATATCGGCATACTTTAACAATATCTACTGTTACAATTATGACATAACTGAACATAATTTTAGTGCTTAGTAGCATACCTGCAGAAATACCACATTTCCTGTCCGCGTACTCATACCTTTCACCATGCCAAAATCGACATGGTAACAACTATTGGCAGCGTGTCAGTTGATTATAGCAAGTCATATTTAAGTAAAAAGATTTATAGTACTGAATAGACCAGTTGATTAGAGACATACTTTTTGACCCAATTGTAACCACTTAAGTTGAGAATTTTAAATAAATGCTGAAAATGTAGGTTTTGGGCACTTGAAGTCTTACAATAAATTAATGATAAAAATTAATAGTTGCAGTCATTTGCAGATTACGATTCGAAGACAGAAAATACGCAACATCAATTTTATTTGCAGCAATCAGTAATACATTTATTTAGGGAGAAATGTATTTCTTGCTTACCACATAGTACATCTCATCAAAGTTGAACCTTTCAAAACGGTCTATTGCTGCCACAATATCTCTATTAAAATAATATCAGTCTTACATAGGCAGTCAAATATATTTCTCTATAACTATCTCTTACGGCTGTTTATAGTCATAGTTTAATACCTGGACATGTACGTTGTAGTGCGATCTGCCTTCCTTAAGAAGATACGGTCTGTACGTTATTGTTAAATGGTAATACTTTAGTATCTTCTTAAATCACAATCATAGTTCAAAGTTAATTCAGTATATATCCTCCACCTTTTCCGATATCAATTGTAGCAGCTTCATCTTGTCTAGAGTGATAATTAGGACAGATTTTAAGATTACTATTCAGGATATCTTTACTCATTTGATTTGTTTGAAAATAACTATGGTGTCAAATATAGCTAGATAATTTATCAAATAAATAAATTAAATACCAAAGTATCCCTTTTTCTGTTATGATATAACATATGTAGCATTTTAACAGTCTGTATGGTTGATAGTTATCATTGATGTACCTATTGTCTACAAGTAATCCATCATCTCGTAGTTTTTCGATAATGTCCTACATAGAATCACAATTCGTACTTAATAACATCTACAATTAAAAATATTAATGCATCAACCTATAGTTTGATATTCCATCAATGTGATTGTGATACAGACATGGACTCGCTTATTGTACCAAGACTCCCCGGAGTATTCATCGAAATTAATATGAATTCTCTTTATTAAATAGAAAAGTGATTCCAGTCATATACTTCAGTCAATTATTATATATTCTGTCACGTTAACAATAATATTCAGAATCATTCTATACATTAACAGAAAGTCTACTGTTCTTGATTATCATACGATATTAAATTATTAGCAGCATACTTCTGTTGATTATTGGTTACTGTAAAGTTATATAACGTTTACAAATATACATGTAATAAAATGATGCGGTAATAATCCTCTGCTAATATTTATATCGTAATAGGTTGACCATGTATATATTAATATATTAGATCATAAACGATTCTTTTCTGGGTTGTGTGTGTAATACTATCAGTTGCTCAATTTTGATTCTAATGTCTGTAACGATAAGTAAGCGTAAATATAGGTATCTGCGTGCACTATTATGCTTAAGCACAAGAAGTGTAATGGTGTTAATATGCCTAGTTAGAACGGCTATTCTAAAATAAATCATTTATCTACTTGCAATCATACATCTGATGCTAGAATTCCTATCACGTTACCTTGTAAATCTTTTTGTATTCTTTAATGCTCAAACTACGAAATTGTTTCCACAGATTAATGCATTCTTCGTCATCTATAAAAGTAGGCATTTATGTTACAAATACGTAGGCTGCATAGTTACCTCGATCAATTATTAGAATTGGAAAATTTTCTATCTTTCATAATGTCATGGGAGGCAATAATATTACTTTTAATGACCTTAGTCATACCTTCTTCCATACGTCTTGCAAATAATCTTGCCCGTTCTTGAATGCTAGCATCTCGTTCCATCTCATTGTTGATCTGAACGTAAACCTAAAGGATTGAAAACATGAAGCGCACTATAATAATAATTTTCAAAATATTTATAGTAAATGTCTGCATTCCAGGTGTTGCAACATAAAATTATGACTAATCTAATCGATCAAAATTGCCCAAATATAATCTAAGGTTCTAACATCAAATAAATGTTTGATGGCATTATTGATTAAGGATTCCGTAGAACCAAATTTTTGAAAACCAACACCTAATAATCCTGCAATAATTTATGAAAATGTTATGATGTAACGTTGTTTATAAAGTTTGATATAAATTATTCTATTGCACTACGGACCAATTCTACAATCATTGCATCGAACATACCAAACTGAACACCCCAATCTCCTAAATAATTTATTCTTGTTACTTTATTCCTATATTCAAATAAGTATAATGCAATTACACGTCTAAAAAATACTAGCGATGCAATTCGGTGCATAATTAAATATGGAGTATATTACCCGAAGTATTCGTTAATATTGGCAATAAAGTTACCAATAAAGGTTGATCTTAAATGACCGACATGGAAAGGTTTAGCAATATTGGGAGAACTAAGTAGAATTTCATAAAGGTTATTAGCAAAAATACTTTTTATACTCATAATTCATCAATTAAAGTGAGAGGCTATTTAAAGCAATGTTTCCGTGATTAATAAAAAATTATAATGGAAGATGAGATAAACCTGTAATCCACTAAAATATGTTTTTTAGTTTCATTAGAGTAGTCGGTCACAGCGTTGTTATTCATTGCATTGTTCAGTACTTCCTATTTACATTATGATCCAATTTAAAAATTATTACTTGTGTAGTTAATAATAAATTGATCGATAAGTTAGAATATGAGCTAAATCTATATAAAATTACAAGTTATCCACTTAAAATAGAATCAAAATATGGTGTAGATATACATCATAATCAATAAATCATTTATCGTTGGCCTCTAATTTTCTATATGTAGATATGTGAGCTAGTATCAAGATAACAGTCCATATTGATCACTACTAGTGCATACCGTCATCAATGTTTGATGATTGGGTTGAAAGATGATGGATGCTTTATCAACGGTGACGTTATGGATATAATGATTATCAATTTGTACCTATCTCAGTATTTAAGTAGAAAAATCTTTAGGATCAAAATTTTTCACTCAATTCATATTACTTCGTATCATAGTTAATATACTGTAGATTGTCTATAATTAATATACATCTATTAATTACGAATTCTAATTAGTATCTAGTAACGAGACGAGCATAGAGTTGCAGTGATTGTATAATATAATAGTTGTTATTAAACCTGTTGAGCCAGATTTTGAGCTGTTTGGCAGCTGTGTCGGAATGTATTAGCTCCCTAAATAATGTTACAAATGAATAAAAAATATGGCTTTATCTGATAGCATTTTTGACGTAATTTACATAGCCGCATCGAATTTTCATGATGGAGATTTTACTTTCTACTAGATTATGAGAGCGAATGTTCATTGAACCTGTTATGGATTTATATCCTAGTTTGTTAATTACCGTATACATTTTAATAAGTATAATAAAATATGATAAATTCGATCTATGGTTGCTAGACTACAATTGCAATTCTTATTATAATTATTGATGTCGTGCTATTCATGATTTTGGCAATTTGCACGTACTTTATTGTATGATATCATGCTAACAACCGAACCTATTTACAATAAGATGGATTACCTTGGGTAATTGATTGGTAAGAACATTATTTACGGGAAGAATAAATCCAAACGATTTGTAGCTATAATATAGTTAAAGAGTTGATAAAGTAAATAAGATTAAATGGATTGATTAGGTTGCTGTTGAGCTAAGTTAACTAGGATGATTTTAAAATGAAACATGACATTGCATAGAAGTTTCGATCATAACATATACTTACTGTCACTTGTAAAAAATCATTCCTATAGACTACTGTAGAGCTATAAGGTTGCACTGTAGCTTACTTGCGTCCTGTAACTCGTATTTGATTGCTAATGAGATTGACTTCCTGTTGTAATAATTGAGCTACCTAGGACGAAATGATGTATATAGAACGATTTAGCAAAGTATCTATTCCTCATCAAGACAACATGGACACCTGTAGTCCTGTACTCTTCTGTTACATCCATAGTAAAATAACAATTTAAAGGTCCTATCTGTATTGATGAACGAATCAGTTGCAATGCCTACTTGATTAGCAATATACAGGCGAAAATTGGCTGTCATGATGATTCTTGCTCGCTTTGATTTACTCATTCATCAATGCTGCCATGGCTATGAGTTGGATGGACAGACCGGACAAGGCGGTCCAGAACTAGTTGCAATACCGGTACCCTACCGTAGCCAGTAGAGTATGAAGTGCTGTGAGCGTCTACAGTACAGTGTCACCTATTATTCACACTACGATAGTCCAATCCCTGCTCGCCCTATTTGGCGTACTGGTACTTTTGACTTTATTAGTAGGTACTGTATATACTGTACAGTATAGTATTGTAGAGTAGTTTAAGGCTGGGACTTTCTATTTCAAGCCGCACTTTTAGCGAATTTTCTGATGCTAGTCTCTGACGTGTATTGAGTTTTTGTCTTACTTAAAAATCGTTGAGTAGTCCCTGCTTGTTTCTTACTACTGTACTTGGTCCTATGTATATCCATTAAAATAGCAATCTGCTTCCCTGTTGGCGACACGATTTTTTACGTAGGTTTCAAACGAACACTTTTTTAGGCAAACCATTGATCGCTCTAGATTAGGCTTGCTTAAAGCAGCTCGTTTTACATCGTTCAGCGGTATATGATAACCTAATATTGGTGCTGACAAGAGCAGCTAGAAATGGATATAATCTTGGCAAGTTATTGCTGCATACTATTTATACGGTATATCGATTGATATTTCATAGAGTTGCTTGCTCATTCAATGCAGTATGGAAGAGTATCATCCAAAAGCGGAACCAATCACCATCAAAATGGATGTCACCAGTACAGTCAACGCCTACAGTACAAAGTCATCGCTGCAGCTGATGCTCGTCGACGGTACCGTATAATACTTCCTAGGTAAATTCGTGTACTCTGTGTATAAGTCACTACTCCGATACTCATACTATTTCCTATTGTAGCCAGCAGTCCATTCTTGGTGGCCAACTTCATTAAACAGTAAATCAATCTCCATGTCAACAAGCTCCCACAGCCAAGAAAATTTCGCTTAAGCGAGGAGCAAGAAGGATTGATCAGCTTGCAATCATTGATTACATCGTTTATTAAGCTGTACTAGTAGGAATATATCCTGATAGTAGTACAGCAAGCATTCGTTTCTACTGTATGATCAATTGGATGAACAAGGATGGCCGATTGGTGGCTGAATGAAGGTCCTAAGTATATTATATTTGTAAGTATTGTTGCTTTGCTCATGCAATGATGCATGGAATCATTTGTCTCCAGCTTAGCAGTAGGTAGTTATCCAAAGTAAGAGATTAAAACTATTCTAGTCATTGGAGAACTCAGTCAGCAGCTTCTTCTAGGATTGCTTGATTCAATAGGAGATAGAGAAAATCCTTAGGCATGTCAAATTCGACTGTATGATTAAGAAAATAATACAAGCAAGAGGTCGTCAAAACATGCACATTTTATCCTTAGCATGTTGCAACATTGTGTAAATAATTGCATCGAAAGTATTTTTAATTATTTATTCGGCGAATCTATATACTATAGTATATCTACAATCGCTTCGAAATGATTTTATTTATAGATACGTGTAGCTGTTTAACTCGTTTTTTAACCATGCAACGATGATAGACCATTGAGGTAGAGAATAAAGTCGTGCAGTGCTCTATCGCGATTTTAATCAATAACGACCAACCATGGATAATTTTACTTGAAATTTGGGGGATATCAATGTTAAGTAGCTGGAACTTCAGTATAGTAGGAGCGAAAATCAATTTGAAATCATTCAGTAGTCCATTTGCTAGGATATTAACTATAGTGTTTTCTGCATTTGCAGAAAAGTATCATCTTCCGAGAATTTTTGTTACACCCTACAATTTCTCTCTGTCCATAAGCTGCTTAAACTACTCCAATGATGGTATTATTAACAAACTGATACTGATAGCAATGTAATTTATTAACTTTGAACCTAGTAATTTGTAAGATAGGGTAGTTAGAAGATACGATTTCGCCTTGCTTACTTTAATCTTACCATATAATGATCCACTGCAGGAATTATTGGTGCAAACTAGCGATAGACGTATAAGTGTAGATATGGAAAGAGGCTTTATAAAATCGAAAAATTCAAGTTTCGAATTAGACTTCACTTTTATTCATATCAATCGTATGAAGATTATTAAAATCTGGTTCATTTAGTAATAGCTTACATCAAGGTACCGTGCAATAGGCTACATTGATGGTGCTATCAGATCTAATGTTCTACATAGGCTCGAATTTTTTATATCAATTTTCAAAACTTAAAGTACTTTCTTTTGAAGTAGAAACTGTTAATTTTTGTATAAAATTGCATCAACTTTTCTGCTTAAGTGAAGGAAGTAACGGCAAAAATATTCATTCTCTAGTACGATGTAAATACACTGTAGGCTATGATCATGACTAAAACTTGGATTACCATACGTCATTACTTGTGTTTACATATGGTATGCGTTTATTTCTAGCCATCTATCATCTCTAAATTTGTCATAAAATTCGAATATACATAAATATCTATAAATAAATCTTGATTTCATAACTAACAATAGGTCTACTAAAAAGGAACCGTATCTCTAGGAATGATTATTCTTGCAATCTACAGTGCAGTAATATATTGTAAATGATAGGCCATGCTATAATTGGCGATAAAGTTACAATTCGCCCCTAATAATCCCTATTGGTAAAAGTACTAACTATTTTTGTATTTCCCATTCAAATTGTCATGATACTCATGTGTGTTATCGTATTTTGTCAAAAAATTAAGTAACTGTGACTATACGTACTTTAATAGCACCTGCGATAGTACTTTATAAAACATCTTTCTATTACAAGCAATCGACAATAACGTATCTATCATCATATAGGTAGCAACTGCCTGACATGATAGTATCTAAATCGTATTAAATATTAATATAACATCACCATATAAAAAATCGAAATATATATTATTTGCATTGACCAGGTTATTCGATTAGATATTATATAAGGGAACAGTGGCTATGCGAATTTATACCATTTTTCTTACTTTTAATACATATTTTTCTCCTTTTCTATTTAATACTAGTTGCTCTGGATGATTATCAATGTTATCCTCTTTGCTACTACTTATGTCAACTATAATACAGACAAAAAGTACTTTTATTTAAGAAAGTATTTAAAAGTAAGTTCTATTTGTAAAGTACACACATATCAAGCTAGATGGATAACATTTTTTATTTGCCTGAATAAATATATTTTGTTTTCATCGAATACGTGTAGTATAATGGCTATAATAATCAGTCCCCTCGCACGCGCATATTACAACATCTTGTCTATAATCCGTAATTACATCGTTAATGCTAATTGTAACGGAAGTAACTCTCTTTATCCTTACACATTCACAGTTGAATATCAAAGGTAGTTTTTAGTATTCAAGATAGTGCTCTTTGCGCCAGTTGTTTTGTTAAATACTATTAATTATCTAGCAGTGCAAGAAATAGAGAAAAAATTGATACAGTGAGTGAACAAGTACCTAATTATGGATATGGTTTACGATGTGCAGTACCTTCATCAATTAGATTATTAATAGGTTTAAATTTTAAATTATCATTAAACAACTAACTTGAATTTTGACTGATCTCAAGACGGCTGTAGCCTGGGCAAGAGGAAGTGCTGCTGTTTTGAACTTAAATTGTGCCTTAATTCTATTACCAGTATGTCGTAATTTGTTATCCTATGCACGCGGATCGTGTGAGGTAAAGATTAAAAATTGTTCCATACATAATAATGGATATATTAAAAAGTTCAAAGTCAAAAGTTAAATAGTTGATATCAGCTGCGGACATTTTACCGTTCAATTGCCTTAAATAGCTGCCACAGTAATAAATACCATCCATTTTAATCATTGATATGTTAGATTACCCGTACATTTATTTTTGCGTTTGTTATCTTCTTTCAGTATGCAATATGCAGTCGGCGAGTGCGTCGTCTAATGGATAAGAACATTACTTTTCATCGCTATATAGGCTACATGATCTGCTTAGCAACAGGTACTCATTTTAGATACACTTTAATTTTGTTTGTATACCTGTTAAAGATACATTTTGAACTTATCGTATTAATGAATAAGTATAAAGAATCGCTATAATTGTAAAGTATTACTTGAATTCAATTTACATTATTTTAATGTTTTAAGCATATTGTTTATGCTGGATAGCATTGCCAACGCAATCTGCAAGTTGCTATTTAATTTATATCACTATAACATGTCAGTATTATAATGAAGCATTAAGTTATTGTGATTAATGTAAAATTACGGTATTGATGTTGCCAAAAAATGATTAATAACGTAATTTATGCTTCTAAATTACAGTATTATAACCCATTGATTGTCCTAAGCTTATGGCGCAAAGTACGCCTAGACCTAGCACTTAAAATCCTTGTTAGAATTTCTATAACTGATTAGCTACAGTATTTTTTTTATCGAACTATGAATTGAATTATAATTAAAAAGCGAAAATTGAAACGTTTAGTACAATTTGCTTAAATTTAGCATTGTAACTGATTTAATATTATTAGCAATGATACTTGCAAATATAATAATTAGAATGGCATACAGAATCTTATCCGTTAAAGTATTAACATCTGTTGATCTCTACTGTTATTTTGTAGCTATCCACGTATATGCTCATTGCTTTAATTTCCTGTACTTCCTTGTGAGCTACAAGGCGGGAGATCCACTTTTAAATACTTTGAATCAACTTAATACTTCCCTTAATCCAATTCGATTTAGCAACGTAAGTTACCAAAGCGGCAAATTTCATAATAAATATAGGTCATATTTAGATGGAAATGATTATTGATAAAAAAATTTATTTATTCTATATTTATGCGTACTTTTTGACGTCAGGCTGATCTAACAACAGAAGTCTTAAAGACAGGTAAAAAAATCTAAATCTTACTGTTGTTACTAATGCTACAATGAGCTTCTTATTCGATATACAGTATAATGCAACAGTATACCTTAGTCCGAAACAAGAGTTAAATCCTGTTCGTCATGTAATAATTGCATTTCATCATGTGTTTTCAATTGTATCAAAATATAACGATGATGTTACTGTTCAGCAGCCGCTGTATTCAGTTAGCTGATTATTTTACTAATTCATCATCCCAAAGTTACGTATTTATTAAAACTTTACATGCGATGATGGGTATTTGTTTATTCTTTTTTCATGGAATTAGCACCTGGAATAACTGGCATAATTATTACTTTAGCCCTGATATTAATGGTATGATACTGTACAGTACAGTGTACATTCCATACGCATCTTTTAACTTTTGAAGAATTTTTTAGCAGATGAATATTCACGAATTTCGTATTTTTTATTAATTCACTTACTAACAAACGTAATTACTTCGCCATCATTTTCTAGTATGCCAGTTCCACTGAAGTTATCAGGTAAGAATATATTTGCATAAAATGACCGTGCATGCTAGTATTTTTACGAATGATTTTTTATGTGTTTATGAAGTGGTATTGTGAGAACTATTGTAATGCGCTATGTAATATGCGTATTATAAATCAATTGAAAGTATATGAATTGTAAACATAGGAGATCCTATTTTGAAATCTTTTGGTATGCCCACCACCTATTTGTTATATTCTTCATAGGCCTTTGCATTCACGCCGTGATGTAAGTTTGATAAGATTTGTGAATATCGTAGAAGAACTTTGAAATAAATTTCATAGCTATATTGAATATCATATTATAATAGTTCAAGATACCTATTATCAAATAAATAAATTAATAAATGTAGCTTCGCTACTTAAGCTATACCATATCGTTTTAACACTTAGTGGGGTAATTAAAGTGCAAGTCAATTTGGATACTCATGATCCCGATTACTGCTATAATAAACGTCCTTGGGGGCCGCCGAACAACTTAAATTGCTCTATCCCTATTTTTAAAAGAACGAGTACACCACAGGTATAAACTTTCATAAGCACCAGCATCTATCTGATCTGCAATTTCTATAAAATATTTTGTTATGACATTATCTAGGTTTGGAAATGGGTCATTGGTCCAATAGTTCTTTACATTTTTGAAAGGATCGTTAGATTTGTGAGAAGTAAACAAAAAGTGGTTATTTCTAAGGTTTAATAATTTAAATAATTCATCACTTATAAAGACAACATCTGACTTTAAAATATAAGATGCACTAACAGATCATTGCTTGTAAAGGTGATCAACCATCCATCGAAAGTACTGGAAATTCAAATGCAGAAACGAGGTTTTCAGTCCGTAGCCGGACAGGTAATATATCTCAATACGACATTACGCTAGCATTATATAATCCAGTGTACTATCTGATCGCAACTTAACTTTTACGATTCTTTAATATTTTAGTATGTTTTCATAAATTGTCCGAGCATTGCAAGATTCGAATGGCATCCATTTACTTTAACATCAGTATGTTATAAAAATTTTTTAAAAATGGTGTGCGATTTAATCATATTTACTAATTGAATTACCAATAATTACGATTTATATTTTAGGCTCCAGGAGATGATTATTTTAGCGTTCATGTGCGTATTGTAGGAGATTGGACAGGTATGAACTTTAAATGCGAATACGTTTATATGTCTCAACTATCTTACATCATAGTTTAAGTATTTGGTTAAAAATAAGAATACAGTAAATGAATTATTTGATATTAATCTCGTGTAATGTCTACATAGGTGCTTTATTTGAAGCTTGTAAAGCAAATGAAAATAAGGTTCAAGAAGCTTGGAAGATGCCTGAGTATGCATGTAGAAGTTGTGCTCAATTGTATTATTTTTGGATTATCAAACCGAAATTTATTGACTAGGAATGATTGTTAATTAATAATAGCGTCTACATCGATGGACCATTTGGAACCTGCAGTGAGGTATTGGTTGGATAATATGAAATTGTTACAATCAATCTTAATCGATTAACCCTTAAGCTTGTGCTTAAGGCCATATAGTATACTTTACCCTTGAAACGACTTAGATAACATATCCATAATTTGGACAATATGTAGGATGTATTCCTATATGAAGTTGCGATCTGTATTGGAGCTGGGATTGGAGTAACACCTTTTGCTTCTATCCTAAAATCGCTTTGGTATTTATTTTATTAATATCTATAGTCTTGCTAAAATATACTATAATCTTGGCTGAGCTTAGAAAATTTGGGACACAGGTACAAACAGCGACAATCCGACGCAGGTCCCTCAAAGACCAAGAAAGTTTATTTCTTTTGGATATGTCCTGATTCTAATGCCTTCGAGTGGTTTGCGGAACTATTGAAATCGTTAGAACGTGAAGTAAGTTATTATGGGAATGTTAGATCTATAGCATAACCCTATAAAACATCTGAGGATATTCGCGCGTACAACGTTACGGAATATATCGAATAAAAATGTCCAACAATAAATGATCAGTTCTGGTGAAAGAAAATGTGCTAAAAATTTCTGACTTTATAATACTAATGATGACCTTTTATGCAACTTTGAATAAACCTGCAGATGCTGAGTCATGACTTGGGTGATTTCCTAGAATATAACATCTATCTTACCCGTGGCTTAAGCGATAAACAGGTCTTAGCTATAAAACTTAATCTGATTTTATACTAGTTATATCCTCTCTTATAACCCAACATTTTTAACATTAAAAAGACAAAGCATATAATGCTACGCGAAACTGACAGTGAAGCTGTTGATGCTATTACTGGTCTTCAGCAAAAAACGCATTATGGTCGCCCTCGTTGGGATCAAATATTTAGCGATTTAGCTTCTACGCACTCGGGGTAACTGAATGCATATATCTGAATTCTATGACAATAGCAACTGATGAAATTGGAATAACTATAATTGCTCCCCTCCATTTTTATTACAGATCCGATCTTGGAGTATTTTTTTGTGGGCCAAAAGCGTTATCGTCAGTTCTGCACAAAGAATGTAATAAGAACACAAGTGCGAATACTCGCTTCTTTTACAATAAGGAGAACTTTTAAAGTTAATTAATTTTTCTTTCTACGTAGTAAGCCAGTCCTATTGATATTAAGATTAATTTTAGCAAATTGTTCTCAAATCCGTGACTGCTTACTCTAAACTTTTGTTAATATATAAATACCCCTATTTTCTATTTGATAAAATTGATATCATATTTTTACAAGAGATACATTGAAGAGAACGTTATTGTTGGTTCTTATAATAGTACGTTAAAAATAATAATTTAAAACATTAATTACAGTATATATTTATAAGCTTTGAATCATTGAACTAATCCTGCTATAGAAATGTAAGAAAAAAAATTATAGTGTGAATGATATTATACAGAGTAATATTGTACCAGTGAATTGTACTAGAGTTTATGTATCGATATATTTTTGGAATTGACTAGTTAGATGACTATTTTAGCTTATACTAAGATGTGTTGCAAAGTCTACCATGAATTTTGCTACGCTCATTGATAATTACTGTAATTTGTTGCACTCTTCAATTATCTTACGGCTTCTCCTAAGATCTCATCTCTTAGAAGTCCATAAAAATCAAATAGGTCATTTAAATAAAAAGTTATTACACTAGTATTCATACATATCTTTGCTATGTAAATGGCGTATACAGTTAACTGGATGATGCAAAATTGTTTTATATTTAAGTGCTTTACTTTTTACATTAGTATATTCAACATGAAGCATGAATTATTTGTACAGTACTTTCGTGCTAATGTAAAGCAATAAAATTGCTTGTAATTGTGGGTATTATGATTTTCAATTTCATTTTACCTGTAGGCTGTAGCACCATGCAATAATTACAAAAATTTTAACGTTATGATGAATTTTAGGTACTAAATTGTGCATGTACGCTATACCATTTAATGGCTGCACACATTCAGAACATTAGCAACAGCATAGTAGCATTAATAATTAATTAATTCGAGATTTCAACCGTATTTTAAAATTACAGTAATATCAATTAATTAATATAGAATACGTTTTTATCAGGTGGTTATATGTTGCATGGTGAATGTACGCCGCAAACTATCTCTATGCAAGTAGAAAATTTCAAATTCGTAAGTAAAAAAAAAGCTTGCATGCACTGTTTCAAAATTCATACGTAACTTACAGGAAAGTTAATAGATGTGGATATTATTTTATTCCGATTATATTTGAATAATGTATGTCGACCATATCGTACATAGTATAGCAATGAAATTAGTTAGTCATCGATTAGAAAGAATTGGCAATGAGGTTACAAGTGATTGCATATCGAAAAATTGAGGCCGAAGAATAGCCTGATGTATTAATTAATTATTAACACTTTCAGCGATAATAAACAGTTGTGTTGTGCCTATTTCAGTATTCCATTCTCCTATAAGCTTACTTAACTTTGCAATGATTGGCTTAATAAAAACATCATTAGCTCATGTTATATTGAAATGTAGGAATTTCATAAATTGATCTTCGAATAAGCAACAGCAAGACGACTATAATGCAGTAATAATCTTTTATGATCGTTAGAAAATCGTTTATTGACTAAGGTAATAGCTGTTCCGTAAGTACCCATACGGCCAACTCTGCCTGCAATGTGTAAATATTCATTCGTAGTTTTGGAAACATCAAGCAAGATAACATTTTTTAAACACATAAAATCGAGTCCGCGAACACTTTCTTCATTAGTAACCAAGATATCAATCTTGCCACGATTTAAATCATCTACCAATTGGCCATAATCCGCTTGGTTATTATCCATTGTTTTCTCATATAATGCAACAGCATTAATATTATATTCTATGAGCTGTTGTACACAAGCTATCACGGAATTACTACGATGAACAATAAGAAGAGCAGGTTTAGGACTCTTTTTCTGGTTTAAAAGGCGAACGACAGTCATTAATTTACTATGTTCGAGATTATCGTCGTTGCATTCAAATTCTAAAAATTGATGCTTAACTGTTGTACTATCAGTAGAAGCTAAACCATAGCTTAAATATTTAGTATTTTCATCCCATCCTAATCTTTGTAAATCATCAATTAATTCAGGTACAACAGTTGCCGACGCGCAAATTAACTGAAATTTCCTTGGACTAGAACTTTTTATTTGTAGTAATTCACAAGCTATGTCAGCAGCTTTTCGGTGTCTAAATCGCATCATTCTTTTCTTATGATGACCATGTTTTTTCAAGGGTAGTAGAACGCGATCGACTTCATCAATAATCACTCTGTGTACATTGCGAAAAAGTGATTCATTATCTGGATCTTCTATAATTTCTTTTAATTTTTTACCAGTACCGACAATAATACGCGATTTCATCGATCTTAACGTATTACGATTTAATTTATTATCGTTTGAGCTAGAAACAATTGCACGAGTATGATATTTTTCATTTATATTACATAAAGTTTCAATACGATTAGCGTTATAGACAATTTGCATGGCGAGCTCACGTGTTGGTACGATAATAACTGTTGAGAAAGGTTGTTTAGAATCTTGTATAGATGGTAATAGAAAAGCAAATGTTTTGCCAGTTCCGCTATGTGATTCAATGATGGCATCATATCTATTTAATATCGGTGGTATTGCTAGACATTGAATTGGAGTTGGTTTTATTAGTTGTATCTTTTTCAATTGATTTGAAACACCATTCAATATACCAAGATGATGAAATGATGTATTTGCTAGTCGTTCAGCATCTTGATCGATAATTTTTCGCTTAAGTAATGTCTTCTCTCGATCGGTCAGAGGTTGATTACCAAGTGGTATATAATCCAGATCATCATCATCATTTTCGTATGATGCGCTTGCAGTCTTGCGACTATATAAACGTCCGCTAAATATACGTTGGATAATTGCTTTGGATATTCTTGGGCCAAGGTGGTCATGCTTTAGCCACGTCGTGGTAGAATAGAGGCAAGAATGGCGCAATTTTATCATCACGTTCCTAGCACCTTGATAGAACAGCAGTGATGACAGCGATCGATATGGCGTGTAGATTCTATGATATGCGTACTTACTTGGCAGAGAAAGGGACATTCTTGATGTCAACTAATTTGCTATCTACGTCAAAGTTCTGCAACGACTTAATTTGTTCTATAATTTAATCAATCGAAGTGAAAATTCCTCTTCGCTGCAAACACGTTTACATCGAGTTCATTTCATTCCATCCACGTTGAAAAGAGTATTATTCCTGTCTTTTCCTGGATATGAAGCTTATTATACCAATAAACAGTAGGCTTTTAGCTGATTTCACTTTTACTTCATTCGCAGGCTGTTGAATATCGCGATGGTTTATGTGCTTGCAAACCTTTGCAAGGTGCTTGGAGGCAAGGCCATTTGCATCTCAATGGTTATACAGTACAGTTGTACAGTATGTAAAAGTCGTTTGATCGGTACTGAAGCAGATTGACTGTGCACTGTGCACTGTAAAGAGTGCACTGTACACTCTATCCTATTGAGGTATGTGCAAGACAGACAGAGAGACATCCCGAAAAGAAAGAAAAAAGATGCAGTACTGTACAGTGTACAGTGTACAGTACAGCTGGACAAGTGTATTGTACTGTACACTGTACACTGTATCCTATTGAGGTACGGACAGAGCAGACAGGAGGATCTTCCGAAAAGAAAGGAAAAAAGATGCAGTACTGTACACTGTACTGTACAGTACAGTATACTGTATCCTATTGAGGTATGGACAGAGCAGACAGAGAGACATTCCCAAACGAAAGAAAAAAAGATGCAGTAGTGAATGTACAGTACAGTGTACAGTTCAGTTGGACAAGCGTACTGTACACTGTATCCTATTGAGGTATGGATAGAACAGACAGAGAGACATTCCCAAAAGAAAGAAAAAAAGATGCAGTACAGTACTGTACAGTACAGTACTGTACAGTTCAGTTGGACAAGTGTACTGTACAGTGTACACTGTATCCTATTGAGGTATGGATAGAACAGACAGAGAGACATTCCCAAAAGAAAGAAAAAAAGATGCAGTACTGTACACTGTACAGTACAGTACACTGTATCCTATTAAGGTGTGGACAGAGCAGACAGAGAGACATTCCCAAAAGAAAGGAAAAAAGAAGTAGTACAGTACAGTACACCGTATCCGATTGAGGTATGGACAGAGCAGACAGAGAGACATTCCCAAAAGAAAGAAAAAAGATTCAGTACTGTACTGTACAGTGTACAGTGTACAGTTCGTCACTCGTACTACAGTACTGTACTGTACAGTACTTACACATCTTGATGGTGAGGAGTCGATCTCGATTGTGGGTTTGCTCAATTGCATTTTTTTTTTGTCAACAATATCCAGTAACTACTTGGAGAAAGTGATTGAAATTAGGATAGTCTTACTTCTTATTCCATGTAAATTAAAGCATCACTCAATGTTAAACTTGAAGAATTGGTTTTATTCTCAGTCAGACGAAGCAAACCAAGATACAAATACCGACCATCAAAGCGACAAGGATGTAGAATCAACCAGCAAAGACGAGAAACAACCTGATCATAATCAAGATGACCATCAAAATGACCAAATTACCAATGATGATGACAAAGATACAACCGATAAAAATCCTTCAACTCCTTTCAATTGGGGATGTAAGTACCTATTTTCATCTTCTTATAGTAGCGAAAAAAGATCAGTCTTGACTGTGGTGTCTACAAGTACTTCAATTGCAAAATAACCCACAGTACACGTAGCATTACTGAATCTACTTTCTACTCCACCGTAACTACACTACTCTACACTAGGATATTATTGAATGAATTAGGAACATAATTTACTAGCGATATAGAAAGTATTACGCACTGTAGTAGTTATTCTTTCTATCGTAGGCGATATTAGTTTCTTATAATTACGATATAGGAAACTTTCAGTAAAGGTCACAACATCCTGCAGGAACCACTATCCGTACTTGTACCAATTCTACGATATCCTGTACTGTCCAGTGTCCACTATATCCGACTGATCGTCTTGCCGTATTGAATAATTAATTATAAGGGATGCGTCGACTATTCTCTTTAGCTAGAGCAAAAAGATGATAACATTTATTCCAAAATATATCTTACGTTACGTTTTTCCCTTTACCCATTCATAATCTCCTTGTTCACGCTTGAGTAATCTCATTAACTTGATGTAGGGATCGACAGTTAAGGTGTCGCTCATCAATATCATCATAATGGCGATTTACGTAAGAGTGATGAGTAGCGGCTAAACAACACCAGCAGAGACGTTAACAAGATGGTAGATACAATACATCTTTTACTCTGTCTTGTGGAAATGCAATCAAGTAATCGATCCAGTGATTATGGGATATACTATACAGTACTGTACGTAATTTTCTAGTGTTGGATAGTTTCGAAATTATTCCACTATAGGATTGCCACTGCAAAGATGACTTTTTCATACAGTATTGTAGTAGAAATACATCATCTCTCCGATATACTGTGGTGTAACGCCAAGGTAGCTATTCTAATCGGACTTGTTACACTTACTACAGCGATATTGAGAGCACCCGATTGAGATATCACTCAATGTATTCAATCTAAAATCACGATTGAACAGCTTGCTGATATTTACCTACATCTGCTTCCAAGCAATAGTCCAGACCTCAAATGTCTATTTATTATTCACTATACGGTACTGTACGTGACTGTTAACTATCAATATTTTCCTTACTAGCTTTTATCGCCAATGTTAAAAATGTCACAAGCGATGTTGCAAGTAGAACAGTTACGGTTGCCTCTAAACTAAAGGATACAGTGGAAGAGAAGGTAAGAAGCATATATAGCAACTGTGCATAATGCCATCCCCAAGTTACCGTAATAGCAAATTCATTATTATTATTATTATTTATTGTGCCAATAATTAAAGTTGAGATAGTGTAAAGTGCTTAAAAAGAAAGCATTCAGTTTGTACGACACGATTTCAAATTGATAATTTCTATATGTTAATGCGTAGACTACGAACGATTTATGATTACCGCTATTTAATTTACATGCAACCACTAACGTTTTACAATTATGTGCACTTAATAAGCCAGCCATACACACGCTTTCTTCAAATTAGAATTATCTGAACTGCAACATATTGCAGTATTCTTACAAATTTTATTATCTCATTATCATCTAAAATACTGAACCTTATTGTAAAGATGCTTCTACAATAACACAGACTTATACAGTATCAAAGTAGATAGCTTAGGGTCATAGTTATCGAAATTTGATAAAGTAGGTGTACAAATTAATCAATACACACTACCTAACAATAAATTGTATTACAATTTTTAAAACAAGACGGTCATTGGATCTTTCATGCGAGAACAAAAACAATTTATCGAGAGTAAACAAGCAAATCGAATTGGTGTGTAAAGTACAGAGGATACATAGTAGATATACTCAACTTTATTCCAATCTTGCTTACCTTACCCTGATAAATTACTAACATGCTACTAACTGGTAGGTGAAGCGGCCGTACCTCCGTGGGTAGGCTATAATGAAGAAGAGGCTATGAAAACTAGAATCTTAGCATTGTCAAAGGTAATTGAATGATAGTAACGTCATCATATTTGCGCCAAAATGTGCTCGGATTTTCTTAAAGTGAACAGCACAATGCTTGCAAAAGATTTTTTATTGCATCTTCTTGTTGCATTGAATAACGCCGTTCTGTAATAAACGATATTTAAAATTGGGACAAATACTGCAATAATCTAGGACAGAAGAAATTTCTTGAGAAGCCCTCCATCTGGAGCTGAGTTTCGCTTTGATGCTGCTATCTACTATCCTGTAGCAATGGTGACATTAGAAGAAGATGGAAATCTCATGAATATGCGTTTTGAGCTAGTACCTAAACTGTAAGCTGTCTTACACACTACTATAATAAATTAGGAAATGACCTTTACTTAATTTAGTTCTATTTCTAATGCACAAATTGAAGCGTTAAAGAGGAAGAATTTTGGCGTAACTACTTTTATCGAGTTTCTCTTATAAAACAATCTATACAACTGAGCTCTATGGCTGAAGGTATAAATCGATTTAATAACATCAGCGTAACTATTGCGTTACTATTGCAATCAAGCGTATTTCTATCAGCAGGGACTATTTCTTTTGCAGTGCTCACTATTATCTATTCTTATAAAAAAACCTCTGACACATTCATCCTAACTTGTCTAACACGCTTTCATGTGATGGCATCATAACACAAAAATACATGATTGCATGCTAAATTCTCCATTATTTACAAAATTACTAGCGAACACAACTGGAACACCTGAAAGTACTAACAAGCAATCATCTTTGTCCGAAAGTGCTAGTGATGGTTAGTGAATACTTAATTTGGCATAATTTGATAGCTTTGCTAAAATCCTGCTAGTCGGATACAACCAATACCGTTATATGAGTATAAACTTAAATTTGTTCGTATCTTAGTTGACAGTGTACGGGATTCTCCTCGCGATACTGCGACAACTCCGAATACCAAGGTGGAAAATAATGACTCGGTGAGAATCTATCCATGATTAGATCTTATTAAGCTTCACTCTTGAGCTACCAGTATTAAAATATGCATTTTTGTAGATTCAAAACAGCGAAACTGAGAATCAAGATACATCATTACAAGATCAGTCCTTATTAACTAACGAATTTGTTAGTGAAGCTTATACAAATGGTATGAATTTTCAAAGTGAGATAATACAGCACCATTTCCAGTTTAACTCTGTAACTACTTCTTTGCTTTGTAACTTACCTTGCTGTTTGATATTGTAATTGTATAATACTACGTCTAGCGGAATTAAGTCATGCAGATTTAGCAGATGAAATGCACCAGTTAGGAATACTAAAGAAAGAGACAAATGAAACTAATGATACGAACGAAAATAACAGTACAGATACGAAAAACGTTACCGAGGTTGAATCTAAGGAAAAAGTAACTACTAGTGAAGCAGAAAAACTACAAGATTGGGAAATAGAATTACAGAAAGAGCTGGAGGTGACTTACACTTTTCTACATTTTATAGAAGTAGAGATGGCAGTTTTAGTCGTTAACTTATGCTAATTTATTATATAAAGGAATATGAAGTGGTCAATGAAATGAACGAAGATCATTTAGTTCTTGAGGAAGAAATAGAAGATATGCTAGAGCTAGAAGGAGGTTCTACTTAGTAGAATCATTTGTAAACTCTCTAAAATATTAGCTTCTGCTGTCTTATATTTCATTGTATAGATTTATTCTATTTTACACTTATATACATGAATCTGAAACGGACAGTAATTTATGACTTTAATATCACTCTTGGTCGAGGTGCTAAATTATGATTATATTCTTTTCATACGCTCTGAAGAGCAATCAAGGCCGCTTGATATTATTATACATATACAAAAGCATTCTAAAAAGATGATACTTTACCTTTAAATACAGTGATATTAACCATGTATTATAAATATCATAAACTTAGTTCCATAACTAGTTAACCTCATAATTCATTGGAAAGACTTCCATTTACCAAGTATGGAGCGACTTTATTAAAGAGTTTAATTGATTACTGCTACGGGATTAAATGAGCCTTAGTTTTAAACTGTTCCTATCTATCAGAAGTTAATTTCCTTATTGGGAACGTAGATTAAATAGATAAATAAATCTCGAATAAAATACTGTAGATGGTGGTTGATATATATTTACACCTGTTAGCCCTGATTTAAATGTAATCTCACTAGTTTGATTTCATCATTGCAAATAGAACATTAAAAATTAATTAATATATAATGGTATTCATGAAATCTATTATTCTCTACTTAAACTATGTCGTTTCGACTTGCTTTTAGATGACTTAATTCTCTAAGTAGATATTGAGACAAAAAAGCCTCTCATTTTGCTCCTTGCGGGAGTACTCTTTTACAATAAATACATAACTTATAAGTATTTCGGGCATGGACCATAACAATGCCACTGAAATTGGCAGTTGCGTCAAGTTATCAATAAAATTAAATTAATTTATAAGCTCTACCGTTATATAGTACTACAGTACCAACAAGGAAATTGAAATAAAAAAGAGTAAGTAGCTGATGGAATTCTGTAGATTTGCTTCTACCTTTGGCCATCGTACTCGTTTTAGCTAGCCAAATTACAACTTAAGTAAGTTTGCAATAAAAGTACTGATAAGAGCGGTATTGTCCGAATTATTGTTGCCTACCATAAGAATTATCATGAAATTATCATCTCTGAATTACATTTTATTACGATAATTCTGGATTCAAGTTCCAATAATTGCAATACACGTGCACCTTCAAGCGGATTGCTTTATTTCTCAAAATTTTTTACACATCGACAATCTCAAGTAAAGTAAGCTAACAATGCAAGGAGCGCATAACAAGTCATAGTATAAAATATATAGGGAATTGACAAAAATTTTGACTATGTTATAAAACAATGACTTTGAGGTAGCCGGAATGGGGATACCTTTTAGTAACCTATCAAGGGGTTCAATAATTTCATTGGATATCTTTCGTAAAGTTTCTGCAAGTATTCTAACACCAAAAGAAGACTCTAAGACAGTAAATGATTCATATTGCAGATATAGCAACTTGACAGCTTACTATTAAAAATTACAGTAGCGCTTATAAATTGATCGATAGTAATATTCATCATCAGATGATTAACTTTTATTTTTGTACAATATACAAGATAATTCATATTCTGCTTATAAACTCTTTATAACAATTATTGTACTAATCAAGATTGCTTAATGCATTCACAAATTCCAATCTTTTATTGTGCAAATAATTTATGAATTTATTAACTCGCTTCTCACGTTCTTGCCTATATCGCTTGATGATATCATCCATGTTCGTATTTACTTCTCCCGCCATACCTAAATTTATTACAGTAGTTATAATATGTCATAATAGTGGAATTTGATATTTTGTAATTATTTTAAATAGCTTACTATATTAAAAAAAAAAAAGTATTTAGAATATTCTGCCAGCTAGCGGCTAATAAACAAAATTGTAGATCAAGAAACCATCAATTAATAAAAGGTTTCTTTCACCATGGAATAGAAAAATTTTTAATGACGATTTAACTAACGATGTAATCGTAATATTTTAAAGTTAAATAGCCAATGAAAGTAATTATAACCACGTTTAATAAGATTGATAGATATGTTGGTAAATTTACTACCACTCTACTAGCTTTTCAGCATCAAGTATAACTGTAGATGTTCTCATAATTTGCTGAAACAATAATCAGCATCCACCTATGGATCTTTGATAATACTTACAAGCTTCTTTTAAGGCATTCTCCTTGTCTGATACATGTTGTAAATGTTCCTTCATTTGATTGTTATATTGTTTGCCGTCCTACCAATTATATTATTTATCAACAATGTTCAATAAGTTGAAACTTTTTAGCTATTGCGGCATCATAAGAAGATAAAAGGATAATTACGAGATAATTTAAAGTATTCCTTACCTTAATCTTTTGGTAACTTAATTGAAATCGTATAATACACCATAAAAAATTCCAAATCGTAAATTCGGGCCAATATACATCAAGAAAGGTCAAGCATGAATAGGCACTCTTGCATTGAAGAAATATGATGTTGTAAATGTCAAGATTTTAGTCTCATTTTGGTAACTAGATAAAATGGATGCTTGGGATAATAACCTAAACGTCGTGTAACATAAAATTACGCCTTACTTGCCACAGTAAGAAATCACTTAATCGCACTTCTCCAGATGTCCTAATGATTAGATCTGGTTGGGTAGCTTCGCCAGTATACATGCATTTTTCCAAAAGATCTTCGCAAATATCGCTATCAATTGACATATAGGCAATCAATCATTAATAGACAATAACAATAAGAATTGAATTTAGGACAAATCGAGGACACGGCTAAAGACTAACCTAGGTCGTAACATTTGATTTTCGACTCCTATCGCTAATTCCTTCATAGCATTTGTCATCTCATTTCTGGCAGTATAAGCTAAGCATACATTTAAGAACGCCCTATAAACAGTCAATGTCAATTAGCCCTCGGTTGAATAGAAATACTTGTATTTGATATTCAACTATTGTACATTACTAAAAAAATTGCAAATGTATGAGTAGAACCTGTTATTATGCCGAGATATTTTAACTGTGTTGGCAACAGCAACTTGGACATCTGGAGGTAGCAAACTAATATCGCCAAAGATTCTAATACAAATACCATGCTTGTCGATTTTATCTCTGATCAGAAAATAGATCCAAATATAGACTAAGTCCAGACTTGACACACAGCGAACTGCTGTAGTAGCCTAGCAAGGAATTGGCTGTAATTATTGATCAATGTAGCAATACCAAGATTACCTTTCCAGTAACAATCTGTCGAATTTTCCTTTGGCTAATTTCATTAAATCTTCCACTTCCTTCTTGGAACGTTTAAAGTTTTCAATGCTGAAAGCGTATACTGTCACTTCTTTGATGCCTAAATCTAAGCACCATTCCAATGTCTACAACGTTGGGGTATCATTATTTTGTGATAGGACATTATGATAAAGCAATCGATATTTCATTTGACTAATGTATAGTATGTATCCTATTAGCACATATGCAGTTATAGTCCATCCATGTTATAGACTATTTTCAATTGCATACAATTCTATAAGCAACACTAAATTAATTTTGCTATTACTGTTTCATAATACACACCAGCTTGTTTATGGTCACCTGTGAAGAACATTCTAGGCAGTAATAAGATACTGCTGTACTGTACTGTAGTACTGGTAGTGGGGGGCACGTCCTGCAGCTCATATTATCATACAGTATCGTACAGTAAAATGAATTAATCAAGATACCTCTGCTAATTTATCGAATCCCATGGAATGACCAATAATCCTCGAGTAGTTCATTTTCAATGCATATCTTCTATTTCCATCCATGATAAAGGCGACATGTTTGGGTATCTCACCGGCCTTGATGACTTTACAGCAAAATTTTTGAATGAAGCCAGGGTCTTTCCTCTCGGGGAACCAAGCAGAATTGCTTTCTTGATTGCCTCTATCGCTACGTGTAGTCAGTGCCATCTCAATAGACTGTGTTAACAATTAGCAAGTGTACACCTAGGCTTAACTGACAGTGTTCTGAATTGAAAATTTCGCTTTAATGAATGAATTATAGCGCATTGGAAGGAGCAGAAGCCATGGCTGTATCCATCTGCAAGGCAAGGTTTTGACGCTTTCGCATGCTTCAACTGAGTCGACTCTCAACTAGCAACACATGTAATATTGCAATAGACGTGACGTGACGTACAGTGAAAGCTTGTACAGTGTACAGTACTGGTCTTCTGTACAGTACTGTACAGTACAGTACAGCACTGGTGTAATTACTGTACTGTACTGTACAGTATTGTAATTGGGTATTTCATCGTACTGTATTTGTCTCGCCAGTCCGTGACCGTACCGGCAGTTAACCCTCGGCACAGTCCAGGCCGGTCCGTTTACACGTCATGGTAATGACGTACTGTACAGTGTACAGTGTACAGTACTGTACAGTACAGTACAATCAATCTTTCATTGGGACAGGTGAGATAAGATGAGTTAATAGCACAGTACAGTGCGCAGGCTCACAGCCCCAACTTACAGTACAGTACAGTACTGTACTAAGTACTGTATAATTGCAATCAGATTCTTCTCAGTCTCTAGGCTACAGTAGTGTACAGTACAGTACTCCGTACAGTACAGTTGTATCCTTGTATTCATACTGTAGGCGTCCAGTACAGTACAGTACAATAAGATAAGTTAATAGCCCAGTACAGTGCGCAGGCTCACAGCCCCAACTTACTGTACTGTACAATTGCATTCAGATTCTTCTCAGTCTCTACTCTACAGTACAGTAGTGTACTGTACGGAGTACTGTACTGTACTGTACAGTTGTATCCTTGTACTCATACTGTAGGCGTCCAGTACAGTACTGTACAGTAGTACTGGACGCCTACAGTATACTGTACAGTACTGTACAGTACAGTATTTGCTTTGTTGTCAAGTACAGCACAGTACTGTACAGTACAGTTCAGTATTGATTTATTTACTAGTACTGTGTACAGTACTGTACTGTACTGTACTGTATGTCAACGCTCGACGTGCATGCGTCGTCAAATGCCCCCTTGAACAGATCCTGTACTGTACTGTAGCTCATGGACACATTCAAACACTACAGTACTGTACAATACGTACTGTACACTGTACACTGTACTGGAGTGGACTGTACTGTACTGTACTCAGCACAAGTTCTATTAACAGTCATCCTAGACTGGACCATACTCTACAGTACAGTATACTGTATTGTACTGTAAACGAGTATTCAGTCTATTCACTGGTCCCTCCGTAGCCAAAGAAAGAAAGGAAAGAACTGTTGAAAGTACGTAATAAGCCATTACAAACAATTTTAAGCGGGTCGCGTACAACATAGTGTACAGTGATTCATCGGTAAGCAATGACTAATTTATCTCACTAGTAATATAGACAAACTTGGAAAATGCAACGAAGAAACAAACACCAACAAGTAGAAGATAACATTCTGGAGCGAGGTAACTCATTTTTCAACGGTTAAACTACTTGGCGGTTAATTTCCATACTGTATTACTGGCAGTAATCCATTCACTACGGTATTAGTACACATTTGATGTTCTTGGTTTTTTGTTTTCATAGAATTGTACTTCCTAATTGTTCACTTCTTAAGCAGTGGCCCTTGTAAGGAAGCAGCTAAAGTAAGTTGAAGTAGTCTTTCTGATCAACTTGTAGCCTGCGACGGGCAATCCAGTCATCAATACGAGATCGATTATCTCCATAATTTTAAATTCTGAAGGACATACGTATTTCTTTATTCCGTTCTCTATTCAGGTTCTTCGAGAGGAAGTTGACAAGTATCACGTAAGAGCATAACCATTTCTTGTCGCATGCTATTGTATCATCACATCTACCATTTATAGCTTATATAATCCTGCATGGATTGATTTCTGCTGAATTTTTCCTCCATTGCTATTTTCAGTATTCACATTTTACCATAGCTATTTTATGCTTGCCTTCCTACTATAGTGTAGTCATCAATCAAGAAGCCTACGGCTTCTATCTGCACTTATCCCTCAGTTGGATTATTGACAATCCTGCATGTTCAATATCATGTTTAGGTATTTTTAATTTCATTTTCATTTTAGGTTTTGCCTAAACGTTACGATTGGCAAGGAAACGAGCATGATCAAAATTATGATCATATGGTAAGAACGACGTATCATTCTATACTACCAACTTGTAGTAAAGATTCCTTATGTGTCTATTGAAGAATCTTATACCGGCATTTCGTGTTCAACTTACTCTAAGAAAAACTTGATTGCTAATACCTCAATCAATTATTGAATTACAATATTACATACGCGCAGTGTACGTACAATATGATCGTCGAATGAAAATGTATCAATGACGGCTATTCAGCAGTCAATCTACTGTACAGTATTACGCGCGGTCGATACTCTTAGTCAGGACTGTAGACACAGTACACTGTACAGTACAGAACAATGCTTGTGTAGAACCCTACTGTAGCGTACATCGCAGATTGGATAGGACAACCAATATTCAGTAAGGCATAGTATTGTACTTGGACATATATAGTTTACACTTAACAGTATGTGAAAAGTTTGCAAACCCATACACTGGATGTTTACTACACAGTAGAAATTGTATGATTTTTGTTCACTTTTTTTTGGGGGGGGGGGGGAAATCCGGTGATACTATACTTTGGATTTATCCATCATGATGCCAACGAATTAGTGGTTATACTGTAATCTGCCCAAATATCATTCCTCTTTCATTACCACAAATTCGTCCATAACCCATGGAGACGGCAATGTCGTGTTGTATTCCTGTATTCCCCAAAAAACCATTCATCTTTTAGGCAGCACACGAGTAGCAGTAGTAAATACGAAATAGAGTGAATACGATTACTATAATGAAGCTTAAATTCACTCCAGTAGCGACTATACGCCACTGGAATTATTTTATACTCAGTCTATTTTACTTTTCTGCTTCCCATACAGTAGTACCAGTAGTTCAAATATTGTACTTTCTTTGTTGGAGGGAAAATTTTTTTGCGGCAAAAGACGGCTCGTCGCGTACAATAGATTGTACTGTAGGCTCGGTTCTCGGACGGTAGAAACGTCCAGTACAGTACTGTAGAAAAATTGCTAAAAATAGATACTCGACATAATTATACTTGTACAGGTTCAGCAACGACTTGTAGTGAATAAGAGAAATTGAAATTTCTCTTACAAGTCTCTCCTATCAACCCTGTATAAACATCGCAAAGTGACAAACATGATATTTTAAATGGATGGTATTAAGTATTTCGTGACCTTATTTATAGCGGAGAGTTATTAGTAGAATGAGTTAGAACGCTCGCTGACCGTGATCCACTCAACATAGAATTTAGACTATAAATACAGCACTCTACTATAGCTGCTTTCGTAGTGCCATTGCCATAGATTCAACTGTAAGTAACTACTGCAGTTGCTTGATTGAACCAACCTATACTGGTGAGAAGTTCAAAAGCTGCATAAAATACCATCACATTACTTCGATATGTTAACATTGTAATGCGTTAACCAAATATTGAACTGTAATCAAATCTTTGAACTTGAGCTATCAAATGCTTCTTCTAAATTAATTGGGAAACTGGACGACGATTGACAAATAAAACTTGTATTCTGACCTACAGTCTTGCCACAGTGTTAAGATTACATGTAATAGGCATTTTAAAATGAATGTATTACAAAGCCGTATATGAATGACCTATTATAGTCAATGAACAAGTTACACTCTTAATATTAACACCGTCGTCTACTCCATTAGGTGAAAAATGAATGTGCATGCATTAATTTTAGCTGCTTTCAAATGTACTCTTACAATGCAAAATTCCATACAAATGTTGTCATATGAACTGTAAATTCCTAAATATTAATGAACTTACTATTACTTACAGCCAATACTCATCTTTACGATCGATCAACTATAAAATATACCTATCAGTTCGTAGATGTTTTAACTTGACATGCATCCGAAACTGCAATATTTAAATATACGCACTTCCTTTTGTAGCTACGTCAAAATTCCCATATCAAATCGCACCACATATTTCAATTATGCAAACGACTTAAAAATCTAATTAGCAAGCAACCATGCTCACCGAATGTCCGGATTGAAACCCTCCTTGGGAGAGATCAGTTCTCGCTTTTGAATGATAAAACTTCTGGTAATTGCTAGTTGCTCCATAAATCTTTTAAGATATCATTCTACTTCTATTTATATTGAACTTCTATACGTTATACGCGCAGTACATAGGTTATTCTGCACATATAGTGCAATACTTGCAAACTTTAAAATGTACCTCCTGAAAATCACAATTCATAGGTGTCGCGGCAAAATTACCTCCCGTAAGGGATGAATCGTTAAGTTACAATGGTTGCAAGCCTTTCATTCCTAATTATCATACTACAGTCCAGTGCCAAAGTACGACCAGTTCATTTGTGGCTCGACAGCTCTGTGGTATTTCGAAAACTCGCAGCACGGAGTTGATAACTACTAATCGCTTCCATAAGGTTTGCTTTATTTACGTAATAATAGGTAGCTGTTGTTAAAAGCCTCATATTATCAGGCAAAGGTCAAAGACTTATCTTATGTCTCTATCTTTATATACAAAGCATTGTCGAATTTTAGGCCATTTAGCTGCTTCCTATTGTCTACTTTTTGATCGGATTGGCAATTGTATAATAACGGTAAAGAAATATAACTAATTGGACTGATATTAATCTTCTTAGGTTTGCCTCTACAAAGTTTTATAATTTATATCTTAGGGAGCTGATGATGGATTAGTCAAGATATGGTCTCGCACTTCCGGAAGACTCCTGTCCACTTTACGTGGTCATCAAGCTGAAATAACAGACATATCTATCAATCAAGAGAATAATTTAATTGCTAGCAGTAGCTGTGATAAGGTAAGCTATATAGCCTACGATTCTTATTTAACTTCCGTGTATCATAAACACTACAACTGGACTTTGCGTGTTGACAGATAATTAGGGTTTGGAACTTAAAAACAACTGAGCCTGTGGCTGTGTTATTGTCTCATAGTTCTACAATAACATCATTACAGGTTAGTATACCCTAACAAAATAAGCCTATTGTCGTACTTTAGTATTAACGTTTTTATTCATTTCTTATCTCAGTTCGGCCCTAGTCCTTTTAAGGAATCAAGGTAATCAACATCGTAAAACGGCAATTTTCTTACCATACCTAAATTCGAATGTTATGTAAAGTAGATAACTATAATAATTTTTCATAGGTATCTATGTTCTACAAGTGTTGACGGGAGTATCTGTTTTTGGAAATGGGATCCTGATACCTTAAAATTTAGGTAATTCGTAAATATGAAATAACTTTCAAATAATTTATGTCATTTACATTCTCATTCTTAATTTATTCGCCTCTTTAGTAAAAACCCATTTAGATTCTATGAACGTTCAAGGCCGAGCAACAAGATGCTTTGCTCTTCATTTAGCTCGGGTGGAACTTTTCTTGTAACAGGCAGTACTGATAATTTAATACGAGTATATCAAACGCACCCTCCGCCACCTGACAAAATCGCCGAACTGGAAGGTCACACGGTAAGCTCAATTTGCACCAACTACTTCTATTTCGCAATCTTATAGATTAATTAATTAATTCTAGGACCGTGTGGATAGTATTCAACACTGTCATTGTGGTGAACGGTATGTGCAATTTTTAGCATATCATCAGTATGTAATCATGACGGTTTAATTTAAGCTATACTTTCATTATGCAGATTTATTAGTGGCTCAAGAGATGGCACGGCTCGTATATGGGAATACAAAAGATCTGAATGGCATTCTATAACTCTTAACATGTCGACACGATTACAGTGGTAATGACAATACAACAGTACTTTTTTGTTTATATCTAATCAATCGCTGTTAGTGTTTTTATTAATTGTTCTTTAATCCTAAATTAGTAATTCATCGGAAGAGATTGGAAGAGTGCATAAATTAAAAGTAACCATGGTAGCATGGACGCTTGATGATCGTAACGTAATTACTGCAGTTAATGATCGCAGCCTTAAAATATGGAATTCCTATACAGGAAGCTTACTCCAAATATTAAATGTAAGATATTTTCCTTTCTTCTATGCTTGGTATCAATAGTTTTGCGTTTATACTGGACTATTTACGTATATTGTTTTATGAACTAGGGTCATGCTGATGAAGTTTATGTACTTGAAGCGCATCCAACAAATCCTTACCTATTCCTTAGTGCTGGTCAGTTCTTATTTTAATGATCTAGTAACTTAATATATTATTCTATAGGAACTTATTTTATTCTTAGGTCATGATGGGAAAATTACCTTATGGAATTTAAGAAATGGAAATGAAATAGTCAGCTTTACCAATCCGGTACGGTAACATTTGGTGCCGCAACTGAAATGAGCTATCCTGATTAACTAATATTTTTACATGTAATCTTAGATTGAAGGACAAGGCCCAGGAGCTATTTTCGATTGTAAATTTGCTTCCGATGGATTAACGTTTGCCGCCTCTGATAGTTTTGGACATTTAAGTATTTTCGGAACTGATTGTAGTAATGAATACAAAAGGGTTAGTGACATGGTATAGAAGTACATAGCATTTATGGATATCTATATAAGATTTGATTTATTAATATGTTAAGCGCTAATTGAATGCTAATGCTATAACTCTAAACAAATTGATGATATCGTCTCGCTCTTGGTTACCTATTGTGATAGTTACCGGAACAAATGTTTTTTCATACCGATTATCATCCGCTACGAAGAGATCAAAACGAATATGTCATTGATGAGCAGGTATAAATACTTCTTGAATTTAAGTATCAGCAAATTCTAAAAACTAGCTTCCTTTAAATCTTAAATTACAGAGCCAGCAACCGCCTCACTTAATGCCGCCGCCGGTTTTAGTAAATGCGGACGGTATGCCATATGCGCGGTCGTACCAATCACTAGTACCTGGACGAGAGAAGCACAGCAACTGCGATGTTCGTCAGATTATCGACGCTATGTCTGTCACTGATGAAAACGGGAGAAACAGAGTAGTTGCTGGTCGTAATCGAAATCGTAATGTGGGTCGATCTGGACAAGACGAAGCGAATAGTCCTCCTGTCGTAGATAATCAATTGTCAGTCAATTTTATCCAACAAGATCAGGTTAACGACGATGATACTAACATTAGGACAAATAATGTTGTCGACGAGCGTTATCGGAGAGTCCTTATTGAAAATGATGAAGAAAGTAGAGACGATCCTGCAAATAATAGTAACCCAGAAACAAGAGATGAAAGCTTGCTAAGTCCTGACTGGTGTCGCCGTGTAATAATGTGCGATGTTAAACCAGCAGAAGCAAAGTAAGTACCAGAGTACTAGATCGATAAGAAAATAATAACTCCTAAAAGACTTTGTCATCGTTGATTAAGTTTAATACAAATATATCATCTTCTAGATATTACGAGGGACTGCGTTATCAGTTGGCGGACGATGAGCTTGATAAATATACTCGAGAAAGAAGGAGAAAACCTATTGTCCCTCGGTCACAAACTCAGGAGGTAGCATCTTTAACATTTTCTTTGGGTCGTAAAATGCCTAATAGACTATCCTTCTCAAATCCACTAGAGCGTTCTTCAACCTACGAAAAATACGCATAAGCGCAGACCATTGCCTGATAGTCAGCATCAATCAGCTTCAAATCCTAGTGAAGCAGTATCCAACCGAGCAAGTATTGATGAACAAGAAATTGAAAGTAGTGATAATGATAGCGATTTTACATGGCATTCTTCTAGGTATAGTTTAATGTACAATTGTATATCACTTTTATCTCATAATCTACGAATATTATATAACAAAATTTCAGATTCAGTATTTGTAAGTTATTTGGTATTAATTTCATATAGTGTGTCTGAATCTACGGATGATTCTGATTGGGCGGAAGAATCAAACACGAAGACACGGAAACCTAATAGAAAAGTTGCTAGGAGACGAAATAAACGGTTCATTTACACCTTTAATCATTTCTCGTTATTTTTTATCCTTTTAAAGCGAATTTATGCTTACAATAACTTTTTAATTTACTTAATTCATAGTGGTAGATCTCCTTTAAGTTCGAGTGGCAACGATGAAGAATTTTTACTAGATGATGAGCCTTCCTCATCGAATAGGCGAAACCGCCAGGTGAAAAACTTGTAAATTATAGCACATAGGTGGATTGTTTATGTTATATAATATATCACTTTTACGTGAATCTTATCTTTTTAGAACCAACTCGTTGCTGTTAACATAGAAGATTACTTACCAAAACCATGGATAACATGTACCTTACCTAAAAGATCACCTTACGTACCCCAAATAGGAGATGAAGTATGTATTTACATTGTTGCTAATAGTTAGGCTCAAATTCGTTTAAAATTAAGTGCGTTTATCTATTTATAGGTGGTCTATGTTAGACAAGGACATGAGCTATATATCCAAGAGGTTTTAGATAGCGGATTATATCCTGTCGATGTTTCCAAGTTGCCATGGAGTAGGCATAAGATAAAAGTAAGTTGCTTCTGGACCTATGTTAATGTTGATTGTGCTCGAATTTTCCTTTTTCTTTGATCCTAGCTAGTAATTTTAGTAGATTACTCACACTAGAATATAAATTATAATAACACTGCTGTACTTTATGAAGAATGCATAATTATCACATTTATAGCATATTTAGTACGATTGGACGTATTTTAATCTAGCATTTAAAGTATAATAAAGTTTTTACTTGATTGAAATTCAGGGACAAGAACTGTGCAAGGTTCGTCGAGTTCAATTCGAAATTCGTCCTCCTACTCTCTGTGTAGTCCTATTAGGTATGTAACGTTGACAAACTAATATTGCACAGCCATTGGAGCTAGCTAATAACCTTCTAAATTCCGATAAAGATGTACTCGATTNTGAATCAAGAGAAAAGACCGGAATTCATTTTACTGTCAAGTACGAATGATTTTGACATTCTTTATTGCAGAAACAATTCTGATATAAATCTGACAATCGTGTTTTAGGTTCCATGATATGCCTGATGTAGTCGATTTCTTCGTTTTACATCAGTATTATGAACAATCACTAACATTCGGTTGGGAATCAGGTATGACAGTATCGAGTTTAACCTGCCGTGATGTTGTTAGATCACTTTTTCTGAAAACATCAATGTCATTATTTAATAATTAGGAGATAGATTTCGTAGTGTAATAGATGATGGCTGGTGGGAAGGTGCCATCGTAAGTCGTGAACCATTCCAAAAGGAATTTCCTGAAAGCTTCTTCCAATGTTATCAAGTAAAGTAAGTAAAGGGACTTAAAAATATTCTATAACGATCGGCATTATCACACAAGCGTCTATGATTCCACCAACCTATTTTCTACTGGTCAATACTTATTAGTGTAGCCATGATAAATTTAACCTTTTTGATGAATTTTCCAGATGGGACTCTGGTGAAGAAGAAAGATTAAGTCCGTGGGATATGCTACCAATCCCTGAATCTAGCGCAAACGTAGATGATCCTCAAATAGCTTCAAGTAGCGATTCAAGAGGTTCTAGATTACGATCTAGGTCTCTGTCTGATACAACTAAGGATAACTGTGAAGGTGAATTCATATTTTATGATATAATTGACTTGGAATATAGTTACTGTTTTATTATCACCATTAATCTATTTGTCCGTTGGATGTCGTTGCATTGTAGGACCTACTGGTCCTGTTACTGGCGAAGATTTAATTGCGATAACCTACACCACCTCTACCGATGAGTGGCAAAATGGAGATCCAAAATTGGAAATGGAAAGAATTATTAACGGACTTACCGAAATTAGTAAACTGCCTGAAGCTGAACCTTTTATTGCATCAGTTGATTTAGACTCGTATCCTACCTACTGTCAGATAGTACCCTTTATGACAGATATTGGAACAATTATTGAAAAGTTAAAAAATAGATTTTTTAGGTAACGCCTTGTTAATTATAATTACAATCTACTATTTGATTGCAGATGTATTAATTACTATATCAACGTTCTTAGGAGAGTCGATGCCCTCATCTGGGAAGTAAAGTTAATAGAGAAAAATGCTAAAACTTTTAATATTCCAGATAGTGAAATCTGTCACTTGGCAAAAAAAATGGCGAAGCTGGCCGTAGATTTTATAAGGTTGAAAAGCTATTAAAATTTGTTTGCGTATTTCTTCAAAATTTCGATCAATTCCTTAAGAACTTTTTATGATATAGCCTCTTCTTTTGTTACAGAAACGTAGAATGTGTTGACCCGATTGCAGTTTATCATGAAAAAGCGGTTGAAAATACCGATGTTGACGTATGCTTTTAGTTATCTCAATTGTAGTTAGCAAACAGTAAATTTAAGTTGCTCGTCATGTTACATTGATAGTTATAATGCATAGTAGCTGCATAATATTAACTATATACTGTTTGTTAAAGGTTGATGATCTTGAAATTAGCAATCAGGTAAGTGATATTGTGATTACTCTCCGACAGTGCATTACAGGTGAATAAAATTATAAAGTTACCATGGAATATTCATTTTCTTGCTTTGTAGAAGATAATTCGAGGGAAAAAACGTAAAAGGGAAAGCATTGTAAGTACTACATAGCATAACTATAACTTTGACAATTTACCTTGTTGTGATAATTAAATGTGCCTAAGAATGGAATACATATAAATATTTGCGTGTGTAAACTTACATATTACTAAGGAGGTAAAGAACTGGGTTAAACATGCACGCAAGTTAGTTGTGTTCCTATTGCGCCAAGATGTTTCCTTCCCTTTTCGCCATCCGGTTGATACAAAATTATATGCGGTACTGCACAACTGCTCCTTGAAAAGATGATGTATTTAATGTGTTACTAATGTCTATTTTTCTATCTCAGAATTATCTAGAGATTGTAGAAAATCCGCGAGACTTAACAACTATTCTTAAAAATCTGGATCATAATGCCTATCAAACACCGGAAAATTTCGACAGAGATTGTAGATTAATATTTTCAAATTCTCGCCTTTTCAATACCGATGTCAGATCAAAAGTTAGCCATGAGACGTTAATAGAATTCGTTGTAATTTTTTTCATCTAGCTTTATAAACGAATTTACTATTTACGTACGTAGATATTCGAAATGACAACGAAACTTAAGGAGCTGTATGATGAACATATTCAAAGTGTATTTAATAATGTGGAAGAAGATGAGGACTTGCCAATAAGCAAGAAGTTTGTGTAATACTGATACATTTTATGTACTTTATGCAACGATAATTGAAAAATACTTTCAAATTTTGTTTCATCTTAGTCTGCCAGGAAGCTCTGGATACAACGTAAATGCGAACTCGCTCTCTAATTATGATACCGTAGGTGATATACCAACACCCGTTCATAGTAATGGTAATGTTAGTGGTACCACGAATACAAATTACAATCGTACAAGTTCCGGTCCGATTACTAATAGTTTTAACGAACAGAATGTGAAAGTGAGGCCAAGCCCCCCTGTTTCGGATGACTACACCGACGAAGATGATGATAATTATACAGAAGATTCAAGTATAAGTAGTCATGGTGACTCGGACGATGACGATGATTACGAAAATTACGATATTGATGATAACAGGATTGATAAACATAAGCAGTATGCTTCGGTTAATAATAATAATACACAAAGACAAAGCCGTAGTAGACCACGAAAACTATCTATGGAGATTCGAAGTAGTCGCAGAAATCAATCTACTATTCGATCTTCGCATCCAATGGAATTAGATGAGAGTCATTCGCGCGTCTCAGTATCCAGTCGCGGTAGAAAAGTTCGATTGCAGTACAAGCCATCAGATTTCATGTAACGCTAAAACTTGGTATTAACAATATAATGCTGTTTGTGCTCTTTTTCGTAATAATTTACGGGAGAAAGTGCTTACCAAATTTCTAATATTATCCTCATTAATGTAATATACTGAAATTTTTTGTTAAAGATAATGTAAAATAAAATTTGGGATCAGATTTCTACCAATACAAACGATATGTGAATCTATTGTATGGTACGCTATATTCATATTAAGTTCGCTGTAATATATGCGCTGTATAAAAGAATATCTTACCCGCTGTAAACTGATTGCACCTTTGCTGATAGCTTTCTACTTTTTGTTAGCAGCGAGGAAACCTATAGTACGAGTAATTGCACTACCCTTTGGATTGAATTAGCTGTTTATCGATACAGACATGCAGTAGTAACTTCATGTTATGGGAGTAGTTATGTGTAATCAAAATCTGACGTCATCGCTTGTTCTATAGTGCTTGTGGATATACTGTAGTAGGACTAAGGTATAATGCTCTGCAAACAGAACTGTACAGTACAATACGTGCATACGAATACCTAGATGGATCCGTTACTTCTATGTAGTACATCATTAAGTCCACTCTGTTTGCAAATTGATCATCCAATCTATTTTATGATGTGATCCACTCTAAGGTGTAGACTATCCAATTTATTATGTTCAGCTTGCGCGGCAACCTTAGTTGCTTATAGTAGTATGTTGACAATTTCTTATAAAGTATTAACACTATACTATTGATAGTGCTTTACAAGTTTGCCAAGTACCGTAGATTACGATTTTGCTTCAATCTAGATATCAGAAGTTGATTTAAGGTATAAAGCGCAATGCATGTGAAAGTAAACCTCTTTATTATGCAGGCTTACTATAGTATACTAACTCTCATGACAGCAACAAATATTAAAATATAATAACCCGTAACCTCGTTAAAGTTATGATGAACTCTTTGTATACTGCAACGAGATTTATGTTGACAGTGAAATTAATTGATGAAGTTTTCGTTTGTCTTCGCGTATGCATCAGTATGTACTGTAAAATGGATGGCGTTGAGTAATACCTGTGATCCCAAGGTCTATAATGCACAGAGATAAAGATAGAAAAAATATGTATGAGTATACTGTATAGCGTATAGTACACACAATACTGTATGTAGGTCTTGCGGTAATCCATAATCTCCGGTTATTTTAAAGACGAGGACCGATAGTCGAGCTAAATTATCATGAATAAATTAAGGTATAATTAATGATATGCAGGTGGTTTTCTTCGTATTGTTTATATATGTTATATACATTAGAGACCTTTCTTTTTAGAGTCGCATATCTCTCTATATGCACGTATGCTATTATTATTATACTGTACAGTTAATGATGTAAAATTTGCATCCTGCACATCATAGTGTAATATATGCAAAGTAATGGCGGTAAGGCAAATTTTAGGTGGCAAAATATAGATAAAAAAGTCAATAACAATGCGTTCATAAGCGGATATAATATCAGTAAAACACGTTATAATAGCAGCATAATAACCTATACAGTAGAGTATTGTAATGTTAAAATAAAGGAATTAATTATCTTGAGGAATCATTGTGGTTGCATTACCGGTAGAATTATACTGTCATGAGTCATGGTGCAGCAACTGGAAGCAAAGGTAAATTGCTTTACTCGGATAGAAAAATGGTTTAATAGTAGATACCGCTATATAAGTTACAGTATTGGTAATGGATAGGCAAGCAAGCCTACACATTATGAAGGACTTTTAGAGAAGTGGCTAACATTATGCTGGATAATAAAAAGAGTAATCCAAAATTGAATTATATTAGTATTAGTATTAGTATGTACACTGTACAGTACTGCATCAAATCATTACTAGTATCCATTAATGAACTATTACTAGTGTATATGTCTAGTTTTAAAAATTGACATGTTTACTGAAACCCTTTGAAGGAAAAGAGTCTAGACTCTTACCCCCATAAATATCATTTTCCTCGTTTACGTAAGGAAAAGATGCGATGATAACAATATCAAGGCGATACTAAGAACATATTGTACAAAATGAGTTATGCTTTAATGTATTCATTAGTGATAATTTTGATTGATATGTTCAGCGTGGAGTATTGAATGTAGTATTGTTCGGTTGGTTATTATACTAATTATACTAATTAAGGGTAAAAGCTATAAAAGGAGAATTGTATATTGGTTTCTTGATTAGAATTCAACCAGAGATCTCTCATAAACCCCCAAAAGGAAAAAGACAAATTTAAATCAATGTGATTCAGAAAATCTGATAATAAAATAATTTTTAGGCCAAATTCACCATAGGCATAGCAAATTTTCTATTGAAGGGTATATTTAAAACTGTGTCGGTTTCATTCATTTTGATTTTAAAAAATAAACATGAATTTTGCCCATGGTGCCACGACATCTTATGGCAGTTCGTTGTCAAAGTCGCCACTAATGCCTACGTATAATTGCATCTAATTGGTGATATGGAAGCTATTCTGGCTGAGTATATCTATATAGGTACACAAGTATTAAATACTAAAGTGCTTACGTTAACTATCCATCCGGTTACTTTATGTCAACAATGTCTGGTATTAGAGCCCAATTACTATCATGTCCATGCAATAATTATAATACCGTGGAGGGGGATATAAATCAAATCCAATTTTAATTTAATTTAATTTATATGCGTCGTTGATCACAGTAGGCGGGCAGTGATGAATAATGAAATGACTATCTAACTTAGAAGCACGATCCAACACCAGCTTGCTGATCTCGAACAACTCACAAACATTACTTTACAGCTTGAAATTTAGGATCGGATGCTGGTTAGTCATAGAAATTAATGATGATATCCGTCAATGGCTAAGCTTGAAGTAACGACAGATCATCTCTTGATGACTATATTATTATCGTTAGTATGCATTCAATTCGTCCCACTCATAGAGGCAAGAAATCAAGCTCAAATACTATCGACCGGTATTTTGGGGCCGTCAGTTAAGATGCCATTGCATCCTATTTTTTGATGCTAGAGTTACAAGCCATCGGTATTGATATACTGGTCCATTTTGTATGAATAAAGCTTACCAATAAGTATGAAATGATGTAGTCGTATTGATTGGTGCTGTAGAATATGCGGAAAAACGTTTCTACAAGAACGTACAGCGATGAAAAAGGGGAGCGCTGGACTATCACTGTACTTTAACAGTAGAGTATCGTCACAACACTCTAACTGTATAGCAACCAGTAGTACTAGTCAAGGCAAGTTAATTCTCCATTCAAGCGCTCTCTCTAAGTTGAGATTAAGTTCAGTTCAAGCAAGCGGCAATTTTCTTTTGGAGGGGAAAGGGGGAGTGAAATACATGTATGGGAGTTGTACTGTACATCAATGCCTATTCCTTCAAGCTGTCCATGACCTACTTTTGGGTGGAAACTGCCACTGCATTCCTTATGTAATACATGTATGGAAGTTGTACTGTCCATTAATGCCTATTCCTTCAAGCTGTCCATGACCTACTTTTGGATTGAAACTGCCAATGCATTCCTTATATCCACTAGAAAGCCAAAATGACAAGTGTAAGCAAAGCGAACCAGGTCATTGTTGGGTTTGAAATGATGACTTCATTAGGTGACTGAAAATTTTTTCTTTTGGCCTTAACAAGGCAACCCATGCTACAATATTCATTGAAGCATTTTCCTGGTCGATGTCCATTCTGTTGCATGGCGAGCGCCGCCATGCCACAGAAATGTGTCCTCCATTTTTTTACTAATGAGGATATCGCTAGTGTCTGTCTACAGTATTCGCCTTTGGTGTTGACGGTGGTGCTACCTTCAAGGCCTTCATTAACCTTTGAAGTGCTTTACTATGGGAACGTAGCGTGACCATCACTGTCTTTTTTGGGGGATTCAATTTAACTTCTCGATGCAACATTGATGTGTAATTAGAAACAACGATAGGGTTTAGAGGTTATTCGATGTTTAATATGGAATTAAAGCTACCTTCAAGGCCTAAACAGTCTACAGTATTCGCCTTTGGTGTTGACGGTGGTACTACCTTCAAGGCCTTCATTAACCTTTGAAGTGCTTTACTATGGGAACGTAGCGTGACCATCACTGTCTTTTTTGGGGGATTCAATTTAACTTCTCGATGCAACATTGATGTGTAATTAGAAACAACGATAGGGTTTAGAGGTTATTCGATGTTTAATATGGAATTAAAGCTACCTTCAAGGCCTAAACAGTCTACAGTAGCCTTTAGTGTTAACGGTGGTGCTACCTTCAAGGCCTTCATTAACGAAATGCCTAAACAATCTCCAGAACAGCGTACAGTAGAGTCCTGCCTGCAGTCCACAGTCTACAGTACTGTGTTGTACAGTACTATAGACTGTGGACGACAGACTACCCTAGACAAGTAGACATGGTGGTCAACCATGCTCCATACAATCCTATCGTCGATTGTTGAAATGCATACTGTTGCATACAGTCGCGACGATGGTATACGATCGTGTCTAGTCAAGCGAGCGTTATCGCGTCATCACGCTTGTCAAGCGCCGCCGGCGTCGCCGACTTCTCCTGTCCTCTACAGTCTACAGTCTACAGTCTACCATACTTGACACTCGCTTCCGCACTCATGCACTGTGGACGCCAGTGCACGTCCTACACAACGCTACAGTCCGCAGTAGTGTGTCACCACGGTGGTTGAATGTGACTGCACGCTTGACGTCAAATCGCTGCTCCACCTTTTTATTGCGCTCCTTTCTCATTTCTTGCAAGCTTTTGATCGCTAGTTAGTTGAAGACGATTCGATGAATTAGATTGATTTCAATCTTAGGTTGCCACTGCATTCATTGAATACTTGTTCTATTGGCTAAATAGATTGGATACCAATTATGTCCGTTGTCGATCGAGTGACTGCTGCCCGCCATGTTTTAACTGGCGATTTCATCTCCAAAGCTGTATGCAAAGCGACCAACCATGATATCATCTCACCCAAGAAGAAACATGTCGATTGTATGTCGAACAGGATCCACCATGTCCTTTGCTCTATTTTATTCTACTACTGTTATTACTACTACTATTCATCTCCACTGTCGTTACTTGCTGTCATCATCAGCGAGGATGATGGGTAGTGCTTATCCTAAGCTTCTCCCATCCATTTCCTTTTTTTTTCTTTCTTTTTTTTTTTTTCCCACTTTGCATACAAAAGATGCAAAATCGTCGTCGCCATTGCTCTTTTACATACAGGACAAGTCCAACCAAAAGGATCTTTTACTATCTCTCCACGCTAATCTTGATCGACTCGACCACTTTCCATCCTCATCATGGACAATGATGAATTGTACAATCGATCCGTTATTCAATCCATTCACTTGCCATTTTTTCCAACCTTGGATGAGTACTGTACAAAACATGCAATCGTTCGTTGTCAAGAGCTTGTTGATCATCCATCGTTCACACATAGTACTACTGTAGACACTTTTCGTACCACCAATAAGTATATAGAAGAGACAGTAAGATAGTCCAAGAACAAGACTGTCTGCATTCCACTTGCTTGTCATGTCTTTTTTTTTTTTTTCCCCCCCCCTTCCCTCCTTCCTTTCTTTTCATACTTTCATCGACCTTTCTCAAACTCAGTACAAACCAGAAAGACCCAAATTTCTCACTAACAGGAAAATTCCTTCACCAGTAGTCATCATAACATGCTCCAATACTCGATCATCCAACCAACAGTCCTGATCGATAGGGTCCAATGGAGGATTCAAGTTGATATCGATCAAGAATGATACAATTTCCAGTTGGATAACGATAGACTATCCTACTTGTTTCTTCTTCTTTTTTTCCATTGACACCAATCTGTCTTTTGCTTGAGGCAAGATAGCGTTAAATAATGATTCTCTTTTTTCCTATTTTCAACTACCTTCTAGATTTGATCCAGTGTACCCATGGACAAAATGTGGATATTTCTGTCATGGTGGATACCTTATACGAGCGTACTAATAATACCAGTTGGGTGGTAGTTTGCAAGACATTAGTCACTCATCATCAACTCTTATGCTATGGCAATGAGGTAAATTTGAGTCTAATTTGTACCTTCATCAATTCAAATCAATGCTTGATGATTAGTTTATGTTGAGTTACTCCATCCAACTAGTATACACTATGTGTTTTTTTTCCACTTATAACTACGATCTACAAAGGCATTTGTTGTTGTTGTTCAGTCTTTCACTACTCCTTTCTAACTGACCCAGTTGATTGAAGAAATATACGTAACTACAATGTTACAATAACAATATTTCCATTCAATCCATTTATAATCAACCTTGGGGTAAAGTAGAGGACGAGCAACTTTGTTCCATTAGTCGTTATCCCCGCTATTCAGACAACGATATCAAGCCATGGTAGTATTCTTCTTCTACCTCGCCTAAATAGAGCAAATACCCATGTTGTCGTGATGGTCATGATCCCCATTGGATCATCAATAATAGAGCACAACCAATTTTACTCTTTTTCAACACGTTAACTTGTATTGCTTCATCACGTTCTCCTATTAGTCATAGCAACTTCATTATGTTCCAACAAGCTTGAACCACTAAAACCAACTATATCAATAGATATTTGCAACAATCAATCATTTTCGTCAAATTTCAGTCTAAATCAACTCTCCAGGTTAAGATACCACCAACCTTGCGTCAAGTAATACACAGACTGCAGAGTAGAAAGTAAAATTTCAGTACAGAATCTTCAACCATATTTTGTAATCAAGTATTGTAGCTCAACTACAGTTGCTATCCATGTCAACTAAATGTACTTTATTCCTCCTTTATTGCGTTCAACGTAAAATAATCGCACAAAATCGAATGAATGATATAGTTGGCAATTATAAGAAAGTGCCTCATTTCCGCGTTCACAATTCCAAGTTACTTCACATTGAAAGGTAAAATTTTCCGCTTGATCACACTTTGATTTGAAACTATGAAGTACATTTTTTGAATGTACTTTCCAAAATCATTGATCAGTCATACAGCTGTCAACTATTGTAATCTTACTACGGTGATATTTGCACCAATTGATTCAAATGCCATTTGAACGTGTTGTAGAGTACTAACTGTTTAAAAGAAAGTGTAAAATAGCAAGCGAAATTACACTTTATCCATTATTTATAACACACGTAGTTAATCTTCAATGCAAGTTTCCCATAGGAATAGGCGATTGTAAAAATAATGTTTCAGTACAAAAAAATGAAAAAACTCTATATTGATAATAGACTAGAATAGGAGAAATGAACTTGCTTCGATTCTTAATACAGGCTATCAAGCCACTTCTCTCGCCCTAGAATTATACTGTATTATGAATTATCCATCTTTGCCATATTTAGCTGCTGTATCCTCTATTGAATAAGTAATATTTACCCAAGTATAGTGTATCAGTGTAATCAAGAATGACTATTGCATGTACTGTATGACCATGGATGATCTGATCATTGGATGAAAAGTTTAATTTCTTGTAAAAATAATTCACTACATGGGATAACCAAGGACTACTAGTATACTGTAATAGATAGTATGACTAGACTATTTTCAATAGGGATAATGAAGTCTTTTCATTAGAAAGGCAATAGTTGTTATCTATTCTGCCTTATAAAACTTTAATCGATAGAAATACGAATATCGACTACTACTTGAATTAATTGCCAATAAATGAGTATCATTTCTATTTCTCTACTGGATGAGTAGAAGCGCAACAGCTATATGTATTACGTTATTATTAATGACAAGATACTTGATATATCAATTTCGATCATCAATATTGTACACTTTTGAATCACACCCATTTTGAAAGCAATTTTGTGGCATGTATGCATTGACTTTTTATCGTCCGTTCTAAGTTGATACTTTGACATACACTTATATGGCTAAAAAGAGGCGAGCGATTCCTGTTGGAACATTTTTCTATAAATGTCGTTAGGATAAATTTATCAAAAATAGCATACAAGTGAATACATTTATCTGCGTAGTATTATAACAGTACAATCTAAGTGAACTAAAAATTAAAATTAGCACATAAAACTCCTACTCGTCGATGCAATGATGACATTTGTTCAACAATGTACATATATCGTGTTTTCAGCGTTATGTCCAACACGTAGCTTCTAGAACTGCTAGCTTCAACCTGGAAACTTTCTTAGATAGAAGTGGAAATCAAGGTTAGTAAACTATTTGGATTGATATTGTCAATATTAGGAGATGAGTCCATTAATTTACCGCTTTACTATTGTTTAGGATACGATATGTCACTGTTTGCTAGAAGATATGCCAAATACCTCAATGCAAAATCATACTCATACCGTATGATGGCTTATGATTTTTGTAGAGTTGAACGAGGGTATGTAGAAAGGGTTGTATTACCATCTAAATGTAATAAATTTAACCCTGTTATTACCAAGTTAAATCCTTTGAAATAAAATTGTATTGTTTTTTTTAAATTATCCAGGAAAGATGGTATTCTGAGAAAGCAAGAATTCGCTAAGGTAACTATAATGATTAAAGTAATTAAATATGCCTTATTTTGATTATTAGCTTCTCTTTATACTTTTCCTTAGACAATAATAATCATTAAAATTATCAGTAGTATCAGTAGATACACATTATCATATAAAAAATTTACAAAATTTACTAATTAGTTATTGGGACTTGATACTTTACAGTTAAGTAAAACTTTGCCTGCACTCGAGCAACAAATTGATTCCCTTCTTGGAATGGAGGTACGCAGTCGTTTATCATTATTGTAGCATAGGAAGTGCATGTCATAACAATATTCTTCATCATGCACTAGATCACGGTTGGTGAATTAAGCAATGGCGTTATTTCCAATGCCTTCTTCTTATTATTCAAGGTAATTTTAATTCTTAGCAGTATATATTATTCCAATTCAATCAAGTTATATCGTCTTATAAATCATGTACTATCCACTGTAGGATCTTGTACGGCTATTTGCTTGTTATAATGACGCAATGATCAACCTATTAGGTGTGTACTAAATATTCTGAAGTAATAAATACAAAATCTGTCTGAGCAAAAATTTTTTTTACGCATAAATTTGAATAACATCTCTTGACTAGTTCTTCCTCTCCTCTGTATTACATATAGAGAAATATTTTGATTTAAGCAAAAAGAGCTGTAAGGATGCATTAGAGTTTTATAAAAAATTTGTTGTCACAATGGAAAAAGTTAAAGAATTTTGGAAAATAGCTGAGGTTAGCTCAATTGAAAATAATTATCTGAAAGCACTATATCAAGTAGATCCTGAATAGTAAAGTCACAAATATATATATGCATTTAGGATCGTGGATACGACAAAGGGGATATTCCATATCTCAATTCTGTAAGTGATGAACGTTTTGTATCATTTTGGCACAGATAAGTACATAATTAAATCGAACTTGGTATTGAACTTATTATTAGGCACCTGCAAGCTTACTCGAGGCCCTAGAGAATCATTTTTACGGTCTAGATAAAAAAGGAGCCAAGTACGCATTCACTCAAACTTAAAACACATGTAAAATAATGAATGAATTGCTATCATTAATTAAATACCCATTTCCATTTAATACAGAGGCAAAGCTTCAACTGAAGAAATAGAGAAAGCAAAAGCGGAAATCCAAAATATGGAAATATTGAAGGTTATACTGCAATACTGCTTGATAATTTAATATGTAGAACGTTATATGAATGTAGATCCTGTATCATTTATCTATAGCAAAGAGCTTACAGTCTCAACGTTGCACCCGGTTCTGCTACCGCAAATCAAGCAAAACCGCAAACCCCTCAACAACAACCAAATTTAATATCACCAAATTCACCACAGCCCACTCCAACTGAAAAGACTCCTTCATTTGATACTTTTGAACCATTCAACAATGCCCCTGCTGAGCAACCAAAACAGCAACGTACAGCGTTCGATCCTTTCAATTCAAACAGTCAACCGCAGCCTACTGTTGCTAGTCCTCAAGCTGATCTGTTCCAACAGCAGCCAACTGTTGCTAAACCTCAAATTGATCCTTTTCAATCGCAGCCAACTGTTACTAGTCCTCAAGCTGATCCTTTTCAACAGTCGCCTATGGCCAGCTCTGTATCACCACAGCAACCGACAGTACCAAAGAATGATCTAACTGATCTTGGAGGTATTTTTCCTTCGCAACCTACAGGCGCTCAAAGTGGTGCTGGAAATTCTCTCTGGCAATCTCAGCAACAGCCTCAAGGTTCTTTCAACAAAATTAAATGATGTTTTACGCCTATCAGTCATAAACACAGAACAATTACTATATATAACGCCAACTGAATCATAAAATACCTTTACAACTATAAATGAAATACCATAGATATGTTACTATGATATAAGTTCTGGAAGTACTTATACTGTATTTCAATGTTTATTTTAGCTGCTCCTGCTATGCAATTTAATACGAATTTTAATCAACCAACACAAGGTAAAAATATAGAAAAATAAAATAGAATATAATACTAGATGAATAAATTACATCAATTACGATATAATTCCTACTTCTCGTTTAATTTCAATCATTATTTTTAGCTGAATCGTTTAATGCAAATTTCAATCAAGTGCCACAAGGTATCTTAAAATATAAGATTAAAAGTTAGAGTGCAGCTATTTCAGCTGTTGAATAAAGTTTGAAAGAATATGAATCTTTAAAGCATTCTACATACTTATATGGAGATTTCCATCTCAATATATTAGTCTTGACGTTGAGCGTATTTGCTAGTTTCATCTTACTGTAGTAATATACAGTATACGACAAAAATAAAATTGCATATTATAGAGGAAGCGTGTATTAATTTCAGCAATTACGAACATTTGATTTCTATTAATATGTACCCTATTACATTAACCTGTAGCAAATAACGAACCATTTAAAGCTAATTTTAAAGATGCCCCCAACTCGAACAGTGATCAACCACTAGATCGTAAGTAGTCTTTAAAAATTTTCTCACTTTATCCAGTACAAAAGTAGTTTATTAACTTTATTGTTACATTTTAAGTATTTGCTGGAGTTATGCAACCGACCGTTCTTGGAACAGAGAAAGCCCAACAGATTCAAAATAATGATTCAAATGCCCAATTATCGAATGATTTGGATTCTAGCTTAGCGAAGGCCGCTGAAAATCTGAGTACGTAGCGTAACACATGAATTAATGATGGCCAATAATTGTTTAATTTATATATACGAATTGATCGACTATATTTTCTTTACAGCCTTGCGTAACACTAATGCCACTGTTCCTGCAAAAGGATCAGTTATGGCCAGTAAAAAGTGAGTTAGGATAGATATACTTGCAACTGTTGAATATCTTGACGAATAGTACTATTGTTAAACTCTTTATTATACCGTATAATAAATAGATCGAAACATCAATGGACACCATCTCAACCACAAAAATTAACCGGAGGAGATAATTATCAATTTAGACCGATTGCCGCTACTACAACTACAACCTGGGGACAACCTGGCACTTGGAACCAGCAACAGACTGCGGGGGTAAATTGTCCTTATATTTTCTTTAGGGAAATTAATATGTCCTTTTTTCTATTCAAGGCGAAATCTACAGCAGTATTATACCCACTATTATAGTACTAACTATTACACTTATTTTAACATTTTAATAACGAAAACTAGTTTCCTCAACAACAGTTTACACAGCCGATGGCTATGCAGCAACCCGTTAACCCTGTAAGTTGGATAAACTGAAGCCTCTTATTCTACTCTCAATTTAATTGCCAACCCAATTCTCATTTTTATAGTTAAATCCATTCCAACAGCAAAATATGTTTCCAACCCAATCACAACCGCAAGCAGCATTTCAACGACCACCATTGCAACCACAAGACCCATTTGGTTTATAAGGAGAATGTACAACGAAATTACCGGCATGCTATATGATATAGCCTGCAATATATTTTTTTACCTTACTCGTTTATCACTAGTATGGCTATTATAGAAGATATATCTATGTACGTGAAGTCGAGTATTTAGAAGTCAATCACTACTGAAAAAGAAAATTACTACTGTAGATTCGCAATGTATGTCCGTTTACGTAAGTATATTTACACACTAGTTTCTTAAATTATGAACATAACATCATATGCAGTTAATGTAGCCTGTTAGTTCTTATATGCAATAAACAGCATACTACGACGTTCGAGTTTTTTCACAAGTGTGTAAGAAAACTGCTGTAATGATAAATTTTGCATTCATAGATTAATATTAGTTAAATAATTACTTTATTTGTTTTCGTGTTGTATACTATTTCAAAGAGAAGATTATCTTTAGATTGATGTAGAATACGAATAAATTTAGATTATTACAAATATTAGTTAAAAAGGAGGTTAATCATCGTCTCGATCTTTCGCTTCTGGTGGCTTCGGTCCACCTGCTGGTTTTGACATGAAGATCTATCCCATTTTATATGAAGCACAGTTTTAACTTTGTTAGCATTATATAAAATATGAGATAGTCAAATGATAATGCATGTTTTTGTTACCTGATCAACTCGAAGAACAGTAGCTGCCGCATCTGTGGCAAATCTTAGTCCCCAATGTTTAACAAGATACAAATCAACAATACCGCACTCAGTTGCGTTTTTTACATCTGCTTTTCCCGTCTAGAAAATTTAAAGCATCTCTTATTAATGGGAAAGATAGAGTTTTCCGAACTCTGACTGACAAAATGCGCTATATAAACGCAATTGCTAATATAAAGTTCGATAAAACTGTTGCACATTTGCGAATGTTAGAATGCACAGAATTGCAATCCACAGCTAGAGAATGTGCCAAAATGACCCAATACCAAATCAACTTACCTCAATATCAAAACCACTAGCCTTATCGCCTGTTTGATGGGCTGCATATAAATTAGAAATAACTTCATTGGCATTGACGCCAGAGTTTTCGGCAAGCGCTCTTGGAAGCGCCTCCAAGGCTTGTGCAAATTTCTTTATAGCGTATTGAGCTAAACCAGGACACGTTTCACTGTAAGATGAAATTTCCTTCGCTAACTCTATTTCTGTTGCACCAGCCCCGGGTACCAATCGAGGATCCTACGTGTATGAATAAATTAGATTTATAACTATCACATCAGATAAAACCAATCTAAGAATGCGAGGGAAAATCGGTAATTATAGATTTAAACGCAATGGGTTTACTTTTATTGTTAATAGTAATATAGAATATTAAGTAACATAATCATTAGGATAACATTCAAACCTTCGTCAAAGCCTTGTAGGTATTGACACCATCGTCAATTGATCTTTCCACATCATCCATGATATTGTCAGAAGAACCACGAATAACGATAGTTGATACTACACTATCACTCGCTATTTAAAATAAATAAAATTACGTTGCAATAGAGTGCAGAAAATTGATGAATATAACGATAGATAGCGCTACAATATATTAAATTACATTGATCAAATACTGTAACAGTATTATCGCCAATTTCGGTTAAATAAACTCGATCACAACTGCCACATTCATCCGCTGTAGGCGGCATCTAAATAATAGAACGAGACATGAAGTTATACGTGCTAACGAAGTGACCAGTACAGCAATAAGAAATGACTGCAAAGGTATATTACAATTTTTGGTAATGCAGTTGCTCCTACAGTTCGGCACAATCGTCGAAGGTCAAATTTAGAAGGGATTCTGTAGAGATTATAATTGTAGAAGTTACAAATTTATACAAGCCTTTATAATGACTGTCAATAAAGAAATCAATCAATAATGTAACTGTATTCTTTTACCTTACAACCATAATTTTAAATTTATTCAAAAAGTGAAGAGCCATTTCACCAACTTTACCGCCAGAAACAACAATATTACATCCAGTGTTAGCAATTGCTTGGATTTGCTAATAACCAAACATTTCAAAGTAATAGAATACAGATATTTAGAAAATAATTGCGCGCAGACCAAAAAATTATAATAATCTACTCATTCATCACTACTATTTTATAAGGACTACATAACAGTATACATACTGCCTCAAGAATAGTCTCTTCCCCTTTACTGAATTCCAATAGTTCGTCGGCTGACTTCAATAGTACAGTGCCTTTGGTTTCAGTTTGACTAATATCAACTGGACAAGAATAAACTACAACTTTAGCGTTTTTCAATTCTTTAATTTCACCTAATAAGCAGTATAACAAAAACATTGCATTTAGTTAGAATTTTAAAAAAGTCCGTGGGTTGTAAATATCTTAAAAACTTTCTCCCTTGCCTTCAATTCCTCTTCTAAATACCATTCCTCGAAGAACACTAGATCTGAGAACTCCCGATCCTAATATTTTGGCCACCCGGACATTATCCACGTTGAAGAGAACACGATCACTAGCTCCAACTGTACTGACTTGAAAAATACAAATTAAAAAGTAAATATACTAATAGTATCGAGTCTGTCGACAACAACTGTCCTAGTTTACGTTATCAATTTTACTACAGTTACAGGTGGATACATTCAATTATCCATCAACTTACTACAGGCTTTAGCAATCAAATCAGATAGAAAACCTTCATAACCATACTAAAAATAAAATAGAACAAAGACCTTAGTTCCTATTCAAACAATCTCTTGTAATATCGTTATAATTTACCTGTTTACTTGCCACAGAAGTTCTGATAGCGTTACCCACGTCACTCTCATCACGAAGATTTGATACCTTACCACAAACAAGATCTAGAGAAAAGATATGATTAAAGTAAATTCCCAATGTTAAATTTCTACGTTATCATAAATGGAACACTAATGAAGCCACAAATTGTCAAAACGGCAATTGGTTACCAGGCAATATTTCAATCGCTTTTTTGCATGCCATTTCATACCCTTCAATAATCTCGGTTGGTGATAAACCCTATCAAAACAAAGATGAAAATAATCATAATTCAATCTGATGCACGGTACCATACAAAGTTTGCTTAATTTAGTAATGTACAGTAAATAGTGCGTTGATTTACAGTAGCAAGAGAAAACAGCGTACTCTTTCAGTTTGACGATACTGTCGAACATACGTCAACTAGTGTACTGTATCGTTGTGACTGTTTTTTGCAACGTACCATTCTTAGTAAATCTTCTGCTAGCTCCAATAACGCTCCAGCAAATATGATTACGAAGTTAGTTCCATCTCCAATCTAAAACGATTATGCGAGAACAAAAGTCGTTTTTGTTTGGCAAGTAATTGATATTGGAGATAAAGTACTGTGTGTGATCGGTTACCTCTTGCTCCTGCATTTGTAAAGAATACACAAGCATTTTTGCAGCAGGATGTTGAACCTAATTAGCACACAAGGGAATTAGCATTGAATAAGTATAATTAGAAAACTAAATAAAAATTAATTTGAGAATATCTTACGAACTTACCTCCATTTCTTTAATCATGGTTGCGGCATCGTTACTAACGAATAATTTTTCGATATGATTAATAATCATTTTATTCATCCCATTTGGGCCGTACGAAGTCCGCGTCATGCGCGCTAATTCTTTAGCGGCATTTAAATTGCGCAAGATAGCCTCATCAAAGCCACTAAAATGCTGGAAATTGATATTATAAAAGCCATGAGTTAATTACTGTACTATACTATAGGAGAATAAAGTCAGTACAGCATTGCTTATGCCTCAAATATAGGTGAACAGATGAAAATAAATTCAAATTTATTTCAATAGTGCTTTGAACATCAGATGAACTACATCAAAAATGTCAATTTAGAATAATTGTATGACCCAATTACATATCTTTCATTTATCTTACTTCTATACGTTGTTTACTACATAATCGTATATCATGACTCTTTGAAAGCGATGTATAAAGTAAGAAATTTTATAACTTTATCGCTGGATAAAGCGTCACTAGGCAGCAGATCGGTGGAAGAACTGGACTACAAGGCTGTCTATCTAGTACAGTATCGCAGAATACACTTCGTGAAAAGTAACTACAGTATAGCGTACGGCTACCTCTCCAATTTGTCAAAGACCACCTTAGTCGAGTCTACGATATCCATCGATCAATACCTCTACATCCAACTTTCTTCTGCACTCCATAGTGGACTATCATACTTAAAGTCATCCTATAATTTATGACTGTATCATTGTAAGGATAGCACTATCGAATGATATTTTTTAGTAGTAATATCTAAGTATATCTATCTCAGTCAACTGGTCTCCAATTTGTCATTTTCAGGTAATATTGGCACACTATCAGACTTTTCTTGAATGCAAAATTTCATTTTACCTTTGCGCCATCTTTCATCATAGTTTGTAACATCCCACGAGGTATATGAAGAGCCATTTTCGCAGTATTTCTCTGGCGTTTTATATGATTTTACTTCTGCAATAAATTTCCTATTCTGAATCAATTGATACAGCAGAGAATGCCAAAGAAATGTGCTTAAAGGTAACGCGCGATCTTCCACGTTTTCTGACCGTAAAGTCTGTACTGGATTCTGTCCAGCAATTTTCGACTTTTTGACAGTACTGTACTGTGCAACCCCTCGTGGTCATACCGTGATAGTGTACTGTACACTGTACGGTGCGGTACAGTACCTATGGTACCGTACAATGTACTGTATAATCCCGTACATTGTACTGTGTTTCACCGTATAACGTACTGTACAGTACAGTACAGTACTGTACTCGAGAAGGAAAGATTTTTTTTCTTTTACTTGTACTGTACTGTATTGGTTCTACAGTACTGTATACTGTACTGTACAGTACAGTACTGTACAGTATGGCAGACCTGTACAGTACTGTACACTACAGTATAGTACGGTACGGCACGGTCCAGGACAGTACAGTATAGTACCGTACAGTATAATGTACAGTACTATAGTATACCGTACAGTGTACTGTTTTTACCGTATAATGTACTGTACTGTACTCGAGAAGGAAAGATTTTTTTTCTTTTACCTGCATTGATTCTACTGTACTGTACAGTATACTAGAGACCCTCTACTGTACTGTATACAACAAGTGTACTATACAGTATACACCTGCAGTCGCTGTTGCACGTGAGAAAAACCTTTCTCCAGTGCATTCTATAGTTGACGACAGTTCTAATCTCATGGATGATGGACCTCCAGTTCTAGAGGTTCAGACCATGCCACACTGAGCACCGAACAGCCATCCAGATGATTTCGCATTTTAATGTATCCACTGCATCTAAGGCTTCTAAGAAAATCCGCATTTTCAAAAGCCCCTGACTACATCCAGTCATTTCCCTATGACATACGATTATCCAGAAATGCCGCTGAAACGGCTATACTGTATATGAGTAGATGAGTATATCTTCAATGTGCAGTACTTGTCCAAACATATCTGCTAGTGCCTATGCAAATGAATCAAACACTTTTCCAACATCTTAGTTCATTTCCATAAAACTTGGCAAATTGGCTTAGACAAGTACAGTAGAATACAAGTAGAAAGGAGTTTCGGAGGCATTTTTAGATAGGTCACATGGAAATAACTAATGTATATAGTACAGTACTGTACATGACGACAAGAAACGTTTGCTCATTGGCTTGATCCACTCGAGTTTCCTAGTTATCTTTCGTAGTGCCAAATCACGGATACCTAAATGCATTGGTTCTGTACAGTGTACAATCGACATGCCGCTTTGCTCATAATTTACACAAGGCTTACAGTGTTGATTCGCTCGCTATTCACTCACTTTGATGCCGCTTATGCTGAATTGCATAGTATGTAGTAGTAGCCATACAAGTAAAAAAAGCTTTTACCTCTACGGTACTAGCTCAACAACCTATCGCTTCTCGACCTCCTAATTCACAATTTGCAATAGCCCAGTAAATATATAAAATACTTACACATTACTATTGCTATTCAGTTTATATACACTGTATAACTAACCGAACCCATATATTATGTCGTGCCAATGAGACTCTTGATAATAATATTAATCGATATTATACAGTCATATCTGGACTGGAGCATATTAGCACAATGCAAAAGAGACAAGTTATATTTCACATTAGTGCTACCACTCTACTTCGGGTGTACACTTATTACAGTACCCGGTGATCTTACTAAGAAATGATTGTAACTGAGAGTAAGAGTCCTAATTTCAGTCAATCGCATAACTCATTGACAGACTAATCATTCAATGTTGAAATGATAGAAAAGTGAACACTAAAATACCATCATAATCACCAACTTTGGATTACGTTGAACAATATTATAGCCATACTAACGTGCCAGTCATCAGGTAATCGATATTTATTGAAAATTTAACACAGTTTATAAGTATCTACATATTTGATTGCTTCCCTTGCAAACGTTTGTCACGTTCTTCCGCAATTGTCAGACGAATACCTTTACCACGAGGCAAAGAAACGTAAGGCTTAGTACCCTTGCCGATTACGAACACATTAGTCAATCGCGTAGCAAAGGCGTTCCCTTGGGCATCTTTGACATGAACGATGTCAAAAGATCCAGAATGTCGTTCACGATGAGTAATAACCCCAATTCTACCCATGTTACGTCCGCCAATTGCCATAACTTGATTACCACTGTCAAATTTGAGAAAGTCGGTTATTTTTCCAGATTTAAGGTCAACCTTGATGGTATCATTCACTTTAACTAATGGGTCAGGATAACGAATAGTACGAGCGTCATGGGTTACTGCATATGGGATACCCTTCGCGCCAATTTGAAGTTGTTTCACCTTGCATAACTTGTACTAATGATTAAAAATTATAAAATTAATTCCAAGAGCTATAACCTACCAATCATATCACGAAAAACTGTAACTATGATCATATTTACAGATGCTTCCTCAGGCGTAATGCGGTGAACAGTAAATCGACCTTTAGCGTCATAAAGTAAACGAAAGTTTTCTCCAGTTTTTTCAATAGCAATTACATCTAGGAAAAGGGATCAATCATGTAATTGTTAACATTAGTATAAAGATTAATCAATTACTATTCTACGTATTTAACTAGTATCTTGACTAAATAACCATAAATATATCTGGAAAGCTATATCCATATACTATACAATTACAGTACAACATAATGTATATCGCGGGTACTAAGCGCTTATAAATTTTAATTATTATACAAGGTAGTATAAATTAAGGCAATATTTCGCAGTAAAGAGTGTAATGCAACTTATATAAACAAACCATGCTACGAAATACTCACCCATAAACCCAGCCGGATAGGTGATGTCCGTGCGAACTTTTCCGTCAATCTTGATCAGACGCTGCTTGACGATTTTCTTTACTTCATCATATGTCAACGCATATTTCAAACGATTTCTCATAAAAATAGCTAAGGGCAAGCATTCACGAAATTTATGCGGACCACAAGACGGGCGAGGAGCCTAAAATAGTAAGCGCATAAAGCATTAGTTTATCAGCTAAGTAATCCACATAGTTTAATCAGAAATTTTTAAAATTTCAACGACAGAACTTTGTTGTAAGCATGTGTTTGTTTACTGTAAATACGACATAGTATTTGGACAATCGGTAAAATTTATTGCCTAGGGATTAGCTATAACTATCGTATACGTATGCATAAATATGCTTGTCATCTCAGCTTTCTAAAACTGATAATTCATTGATGGAAGCTAAAGACCTGCAAGCTTGATAAATTCGCTATGAAATAAACTACATTGTGGATCTCGAGATCTAGTCTAACTTTAGTTTGCAAATGAACCGATTCTATGAGCAGTGTAAAGTTGCAAACCATTAGTTCAGCATACCACGAGAGTCTACTAAAGGAGTATAGTATGGTAACTACTTTACAACTGTGTATAAATACAAACTCTATGAATACGGTATAGTAGAACTGCCAGGGACATAAAATAGTGTATAGAGCAAAAATAGATCAAAACTGAACTACTTTATACATTACGTACAGTATGTATGCTGTACTCTATCGTACATAGTTTACTGTAATATTTATAATAGTGAATGATACCAGCCGTGAATGGATGATTTCGTAATCAGCTCATTTATATCACAATAGTGTCTTCATGCAGCTTATTGCCTATACTGTACAACCCAGGTAACAAATATTGTAATATTACTAATTGATGATCTAAAACAATTTGTAATATTAAACTACAGTATCCGTAGTTTTACAGTAAATTGCAATACTGAGCTGAAAGCCGGATACTCGTACACGCTTTGGTCTGCCCACTCAGTTGTAAAATCATGAAGAAACACAGCCATCGTGATTACTGACAAAGATTAATTAAGAATCGAACTATCATTAGATGATAAATCTACTCACAAATGATCCTGAAAGCTTATCAAGCATCCAATGCTTAGGCGCATGAAGACGCTTCAAGTGCTTCTTTGGGCCTCGTGCCTAAATGAGTTCAATTACAAATGGCGCTCTATTAATAAAAGTATACGCGTACCGTAACACCTTATTTCAAGCCATATCAAGTGATTTTGAAATTCTCTGCACTCAGCATGATGTAAAAGATGCTGTATGTAAAATTTAGAAATAACTTGAAAATTAAAACTAGATCCAGATACACATCGAATTTAATGCAGTATAGTGGACTAGAACAAACTATATCTTCTACTTTAACACAGTGGAGAGTCGACTGAACCACGTTAGGTTGTCTACCGTATTGAACTGAAACAAACGACACGCACTTTAAAACGGTGCTATAAAAACGTTTTACAATTTAAAAATACATTGCTATCATCATAACTTTTAAAAAAAATGTACGATACGATCAAATTTACAGATAAAAAGAGGATTAAATGAACGATGTTAACGATATAAAACAGATGATTCCACCTCACGATGATCTTGATACCTACCATTTTTCTTTTCTATCGTAGAAACAGCCAGCAGGGCAAAAGGACCTGATTCCCAGAAGTCTTTGCTTATAATACTGAACGCTAAAATACAGTCCGTACAGTACACGACTGTACAGTGTACAGTACTGTACTGTCCGGTACTGTACTGTACTGTACAGTACAGTACAGCAGTGTTTAAAATACATGGCGGGATGGGCGTGACTCGTACTGTAGCGAATATGACTTTTCACTGTAGACTTACAAGCTCGGATGATATAGACTACTACTGTACAGTACTGTACAGTGTACACATTGTACTGTAAATCTTCTTGCCGTTATGGATAGCTATTTATTGTACAACCTTTATTGATCTCATTTTGATATTTCGGTAATTCTACCGTACAGTATATATACTGATGAATCAGTTTTCATGTAAGCATATTTCGTAAGCAGCTTATGCATGAGTTTAACTTGATGAATGACTAATAAAATTCGGTTCAATGAGAACACAGACAAGTTACAGTAACTACTGTACTGAACTGGCTAATAAAACTGTAGTCTCTTATAAAGAGTCTCTACAGTACTGCAGTTGAGTATGGTACTGTACTGTACACTGTACAGTGTACTGTACAGGACCTAACACAGTACAGTACTGTACTGTACTGTACAGTTAGCCAATTCAAAGGTGTGGCAAGCCTAACTCGATAACGAAGGACTATACTGTACTGTACTGTACAGTACTGTAGCACAGTACAGTCTCTGCTCAGTACGCCGTGTGCAAAGTACTGTACACTTTACAGTACAGTAAAAACTGAGGCTTCGAAGGAAGAATTATGGCTGGTGAGCCATTTCATTTTTTACTGCAGGTCAGATATTTCCCATTTACTGTTAAATTAGATTAATTAAATAAGGTACCAATATACACACTGCATTGTAACACCATCACGATGGTAGTACTGTACTTAGTGCAGAAGGCAAAAGAAAAGAGCCTCTGAAGTCTTAACTGTAATGTAAATAGCATTGATGGAGTCAGCCTCACTTTGCTCTTTTACAAGAATAACTCGTGACGGCAGACGGAGATTGCGTAATGCCAGAATCCTGTTTTGATAACAACTGATTAGTGATTAGGAAGACAAGTGGCCACACGTAGAATTACGACCAAGTAGTGGTATGCGTATCAAACCATTGTTCAAACATATAATAATTGGACTATCATCACGGCAAAATCTTGCAAGCGTAACAAATTTAGGTAGTAAGATGCCTTTATTGAAAATAAGATCAAGATGTATATCTTTATCGGTGCCGTAAGCAGACTTAAAAAAAATCTGTAGTAACAAATACAATAACAGATACAGTAATGCTCTATGAAAACGATTACTCATTACAGTAGTTATTTGTTCATTTATAATTTTAAAATTGTAATCATCGCAGCAGAATAGTAATCACTGCAGATATACCCTCACGAACGGTAATAACCGATACCTATTAATGAACTGGAGATTAAAAAATGCACTACGTACATGCTACTGTACTGTAGGGCAGTGTATAATTTTAGTCAGTTTGCAGATTGCAATTCTTCATTTTATTGCTGTTTAATTGATAAGAATGTAAGAACAGAACATGCTGTCATCATTTACATCAGCAACCTGCAGTACAACGCTTAATGTCGCACTGTATCACAGTGAGAAGCATTCGTCTATAGGTACACTAATGTAACTGCAACTGAATAAGTACAGAGTAAAGTGGCAGATCGTTCTTTGAGGGCATATCTGAAATTATAGTGAAACTACATTACAGATACAGTAATTGGTCAAAGTTAGCGTTGCTACTTTTACATCTCGAATACCTATGTACAATCGTCCAAGAGAAATTATAAGCCACATTGATGAATAATACCCTTGCGACGAGGCAATTGAAACAAAAATGTTAGTAGTATAGTACAGCTATACGTATACTATACTGCGCTGCACTTTTTCTACAGCTTAAAAATAAAAACGACGGCAGGAAGGGTAAAATAAAAATTAGACACAATACAGCATTCTTTATATACGCGTACAGTATCAATGTGACATTATAACACAACACTATCACAGATATGAATGATATCACGATACAAAAGTCGACCCTTTATGAAAACAAAAACTCATAGTACAGTATGATCGTTTCGATTATTCGACATAGCTCTCAAATAGGTAATCATTGACGGTGCTAGCGGACTGCACTGGCTGTTTTTATATTTTACATTTACCATTTATGATACAGTATCTTTACATTTCACTGCACAAACGCCGACTAGAATACAGACTGTACAGTGACAATACAGTGCTGACATAATTATTTTATCTATCAACAAAATTATATTCTTAGTAGATCATACAGGATAACAAAAGATGAGGAAGTTAGGCTATGATCAACTGATATCATCAGAAACAACGAAAACGACTACATTTCGTTCATCTTTTCCACGGTTAATGACATGTATTAAAAAGCGATTTGGTCTACATAAAAAAGGTAATATCACAAAAAGCGCCAACTGTACGGTATAGTAGTCGTTAGGCTATTATCGTATAACTGAAGTTCATAAAAAAATTCTTTCGTAGCCATCTTCAAAAACTAGACACCAGTACACGAAAACTGCCATGCAGGTTAAACTAGATAGTAGAAACTCTACATTAATAATATTCTTAGATAATAGACAATGTACAAGTACATTACTGACGATGTTTAGCGAAAAATTTAACAGAGCTTAATTACGTACAATATACTCTAGAAAAAATAACACAAAACAAGTACGGTACTACATACAGCACTTTCATTGATTAAATCGGTTCATAGAATGCTTCATCTGTAAGCTATCATTCATTCGTCAAATTTTCGTTTTACCAACTTACTAATTCACTGTAGTAGTAGCAGCAACTTTCGAAAGATAAAAGAGTGAGCGAATCAAATGAATTTCCCAATTTAAAGTAATAGGTTGAAGTGCTTTTTTGTTTCAATTACTGATTCATCTGTGACTCCACCAATAAATGTGAATCCTCGCCATTACCTGACATTGCTGAATTAAGTCGTTTCTCTTTCTGCCTCCTGTTACAGAACCATACACGCACAACCTCTTTATCTAATTGTAGAGTGTTGGCTAATGAACCAATATCTTGTGCAGATGGCTTAGATTGTTTAAGAAAATGATTTTCTAAGGCTCCTTTTACAGCTACTTCAATAGAGGTACGCTTTTTACGCTTCCTTCCTTGCGTTGCTACTTTATCAACAGCACTTGGGTTACTATTATTGCTATCGGCTTGTTCAAGCCATTTGTTCAGTAACGGTTTCAATTTACACATATTTTTGAAGCTAAGTTGCAAAGCCTCAAAACGACAGATCGTTGTCTGGCTAAAAACATTACCGTACAAGCTACCTAAAGCAAGGCCAACATCAGCTTGTGTGTAGCCTAACTTGATTCTCCTCTGCTTGAATTGCTTAGCGAACTGTTCTAGGTCGTCTGATGTGGGTGTGTCTTCCGATTGATTCTCATTACCTGGCTTATCGTTCTCACGTTGTTCTCTCATATGTGGTGGTGGAGGACCAACATGAGACGGCATCGTTTGGCCAGGTACACAACCATTAATAGGATAAGCAATTTGTGCATTGGCATTTAGATGCGATCTCTGATCAGGATGAACTTGTCCTGCAGCAGGTCCTGTAGGCCAGCGGGGATGCTCCATCATACCTGGATGCGCATGTGCTGGGACTAATTGAGGGCGAGCATGCAAAGGTATAGGATCAGCCATAGTTACTTGACCATCTTCATGCCTATGCGGTTTGATATCGATTAAATTTTGAGAAGTAGCTGTAGTTACTGGCCAAGGAACTTGGCCGCCGCTTTCCGGTAAAGGCCACGGTTGAGGCGGAGGCATACGGCTGCCTCCCATTCTATCACCGACAACATTAGCTTGTACTTGTTGATTAGGATCCTGAAATTGAACTACTTTATGCACTTGTGCGAATTGACTCTGAACATTTATTGGCGTAGCCATTCTTGGATCATTCGTAGAAGCCGTAGAAGAAACAGTCACGCTATAATGATTGGAAGGGGCTGCCATCTTCCTTCGGTCTCGCTACAAGGTTTAGCCGCCAGATACACACACATTAATGTGTTGAAAGATGCCCTATCACGTTTACCACGATTGGCCAGCGAAGATCTGATTGGCATTCAGTTTTTACTTAATTAATCATGATAACGTCAGACGTGTCGGTGATTGGCTGCTAATGTAGTTGCTATAGTGACCGAACTAGTCATGAATATGCAAATGAAGGCCGATAATTAATGCGATGTTGCTTGCTCTCATCTTTGTTTTGATTGTTGCGCAAGCAAAACAACATATTGAAATGCATTTGCAAATCAGCTTTCGACAGGCCACAATATGTAATCACTTACGAAGACAATAAGCTGCCACCATATGCGATTAAATGGCTGTTCTTTTGTCACGTTTTCTTGGCTTGGGCGGTGCTAGGGATATAATGGGCGGTACAGTAAGGATGATCGACATTCAGCCAATGTGAGAATTACTAGTTCATGCATACTCAAAATTCTTCGCTCCATCACTAATTTGACCTTGCACATCACCCAGTACGCTACACTACTGCACGGTACTATCCACTATGTGGAATTGCACTGACTTCAATGCACTGTAGCGAACCCTGAACTGCACTAGCGTACTGTACTGTACAGTGTACACTGTACTGTACAGTACAGTACAGTAATCACCAACCTCTTAGCACTGTATTATGGACTGTAAAAGCTGATTTAACAAATAATTAAAAATTATTATTATTTAAAATTTTATTACTAATGATTATAATATTATTACTGTATTGACTATAACTATTGACAGTGAAATACTGTACATCCATGTCTCCATGGTGTACTACTGTAGTATGAATCAAAAAATTACCAAATAGTTTCATAAAAACAAGCTTTATTGCTGCTTACTGACTGCTTTTTTTGCATTTTGATACCTTTAGTATATTGTACTGAAAAATGCAACAAATGAAGGATTGTAATTATCCCGGTGCTCACTATATTCTCCATTATAAGAGTATCCGATCATGCTTTCAGCCATATCATAGGATTTAGGACTGTAAAACTTTTTAATTTCAGTATATCACGACGCACATACAGTAGTAACTGTCCGAAATTTGAAGATCACATTGTCAAGACAGTGCAGTACTGTACTTTTTCACGTGTGCGCCTGCTTCTTGAGACGAAATTTTGTAGAATTTTTAAAATTTTATTTTAATTCAAACTACGCATATTTTAAATTTACACTTGGAAAACTTTGTCATTACAAATTCGAGATTACAGCATACATTAAAGATGGAACAGTAGTAACACAGCATATAGTAACACTTTAGTATTTATCGCTTATTAATAATTATGATAATTATTCTAATTCTTAATCAATTAATTAACTGCCATATCTGTTAGAAGAGCAGAACATTAGAACGAAGGTAATACCAACAATTTATTTACTGTAAAGACAGAGCTAACATTCCGATTTCAAAGTTCTGATTATATGTGTATATTATTGCTGTGCTGTGCCTTATAAAATTTTATGAACATTTTACAACTGCACTTGGACAAGTCCCGCGTGGAGTAACCGCGACCAATGCTCCTAGAAATGCACTTATTTTTATTATAATTCTATGTTTGTTTATTTATTATACTGCACGGTATATTTATTTTTATTTTTTTATTTAATTAATGATAATATCCCCGTACTTCATGACTAACCTTAGCGATAAGCATACGAGTATACGCATAACTAAATTCTCCTACAACTAGCGAGCTCGTTGAAACCCAAGGCCTAGAGTTAAATACATGTGCTTAGTAGCTAATACACTAGCCATTTGAGTTAATCCAAACACAGGCGTGCACTACACACTGAAATGCTGTTGGTGCTTACTAGTGGCAATAATGACGAACAGTCGCACTGCAGAGCATTGGTAAAATCCTCACTCCCAAGTCCCAACAGCACCAAATAACAAGCACAGTAGACTCTGTTGAGTAGCAAAATACAGTAATAATTATAATTATCTGATATTATAAAAATATGAAGGGATATCAAGCCCTAAAGTGTATTCTTTGCACTAGTTCGATCTGAAACACCTTAGTACAGAACAGCACAATATCTCCAAAAAAATAATATACATACTGTAAGTTCGGTAAAATAAATACGTAAACATTTCATCCATCTACCCCACCCTTGTTTTTCCGGATCAAGACGGCCGACAGGTCTAGCTGACCGCCCAGTAGTGTACATTGTGTCGGAGTTCAACTTTTGCTGTACTGTACTCCGAAGTTCGGAGGCCTCTTCCTGGTTCTGCTTCATTACTCAACTACTGTAACATTACACTACACCGTACAGCACAGACTGCGTAAGAGCTGATTTTGTAGCTTCCATCACTGACTGTCACGTGCTCTTGAGTGACGCGCACGTTGACATCATACCGACTGGCCCCTGGAGCAAGCACATTCATTCTATATTGTACTGTACATACGAAGTGGTTAGAAAATTTTCAGTATAGTACAATAAATAATACTGACGAAGTTATCGAATAAAGTACAACTTTAAATAACCACAACCAACGAACAGAGTTCGTGGGCATACACTAGTAGTATAATATTAATAACAAAATAATTAGTTCTATATGTAATTTATGAGATTTCATTCATTCATTAATTACAGTAATTAATGAATAATGATTTAGAATGAAGCTGATAAATCGATTATTGTGATACTGTTATCCTAAGTACGTCATCTTTTGCAGTTTCGGTTGATATTTAAGTTATTGTACAGTAATTGATACGCACATACGGCGTTCATGATTTACGAGTCATAAATTATAACATTTCAAAAATCAATTGGATTTTCATTGCTTAAGCCAACCAAAAAACCGAGTTAATATACAGTATAACATTACGAGGGTAACATGTTGAGTTAAGATACACGAATATACAAAAATCGAAATTTCTGGAACTCCATTAGTCATAAAAAATCCCCTAAAAAAATTATAAGATTAAGCTTAATTATATTGATGTAGATGCTAGGTGAAGTGGGTAACGATTTATGATTAAGTTATCAGTCACTATAAAATCCGATCTGTTGTTGTTGGCAGATATAACTTCCGATTTTACAAAATAATATGTTATTCCATTCTAATTTACAAAATTTTAAATTCATGCTTTATACATAAACTTGCAACCTATAGAACTCGTAGAACTGCGTTCCACATCGTTTTAGGTTAAAGTCACTTATGTATTTCCACTTTGTATGGTCCTCTAACGGCTTGACAATACTTTACAAGTGCATATTATTTTGCTGTATTTATTCAAATATACAGAAAATGGAATCTTTTGAATCGATGATTATTTAGAGCATGCAGGAATGATGCATAAAATTAGGAATGCAATTATTTATATTCAAATGCAAGAATAAAGAATGAATAATACTATGCATTTTATTATAATCGCATACTTCATTTTTAGGTGGAGTATGTACAGGACATTGTATGGGTATAACACAAATAATGGTTATCAAATTATAAACACAGTATGTAGAGATATCCGCAATACTTGTATAAAGCGCGGTTTGTAAATCTAGCGGGAAGGGCTGGCTGTTTGACGATTATTATAATGCCGTAATTATAACTAGCAATGCTGTTAACTATAAATTAATGAACTAAGATCAGCGGTTAATGTATTAGAGGAATAACATAAAGATATGAATATTATAATTTAAAATAAATAAAGTTGATACAAGTGTTCGAAATATCACTTCAAAGCTCGTTCTACAAGCCTACAAGATATTGTAGAATTCTAGCTCGAACGATATCTCTCTTTATGATAACAATTAAGTGAGTCGGCGGTCAAGAGAATCCTCTCAGAATTACACCTGTCGATGTTTTAATTTTGCTAGATATCACATTATTCGACTTAATATTAGTAGCTACCTGGAACGCAAATCAGACTTAAATACGTAGGCACAGTGATAAGTCATTTATTAGTTACTTGGAACTAGTCCATCTTTTTTTTACTTTTTGATGGATATTTCTGAATTAACTGTATATACAGTATAAATTAAATAATTTAAATTTATTCATTAATGCACAAAGTACAGTACAGTACATACAGTAGTTAAGTAAGTTCCCAGTGCTCTACTGAGTGTACTGTACTCCGCCCACTTTGACACCGGTGCCGTCTCGAGACCCTCTATCTCATAGAGGGTCTCTCGTGCCGTCGATAGCTGCAGTACTGTACAGTACTGTACATTGCAGTATACTGTACAGTACAGTACTGTAGTCGATGACGTATTGATATGCGCTTACAGTACATGTACTGTAGTATACTGTGGGTCTTTACTGTACAGTACTGTACACTAGTGTACAGTACTATAACTCACTAATACAGTACTATACAGTACAGTACTGTACTGTACTGTACAGTACTCTTTGTGTACGC